TCAAAAGGTGTTAAAATTTATTTCAAATTGGAAAATTTACAATTTAACATATGTCTTTACTTCTCCATTTCATAAACTGATATCTTAACTTATTCTGCTCAAAATAATGTTTTACAAATCCCATTTTACTATATTATTCTATTGCTAAAATTCTTTGAATGGGATACCTAAGTATGAAATGATTATTTTAAACAATGGTAAGTTATTAAAAAATATAGTTTAAAACTAAACCTTTTTATTTGGGAAGATGATTTATTTAATTTTATTTTTACATTCCAAATAAAAAATATAATTACAAAACTAAAAAGGACAATCCATTTACCTTGATTTTTATAATTTTATTAAGTTTGGTAGTAGTTCTAAACATTAATATTAAAATGATATCATTGATATAAGATTAATCGTATAAATCAATTTTAATTGGGCCTATTTTTTCTAACCGGCTGTATTCGATCAAAAGATATTAAATATAAAATTAAATTCTCAAATGCTTATGTATCTCAGTCTTTATAAATAAAAATAATCGTTAAATTTCAATTCAATTCCATTAAAATCATTAAATTTAAGGTAGAAAATTTTTAAAAAGTATTAAAAAGTCATTCTATACTCTTTGAACCGTTTTGCTTTACCTTTAATTGATACTTAAGTTCATTGTTTACGAATCTTTTTAAGTTAAACGTCAAAGACTATTAAATGTGAGAGCAAAATATACCAAGAATATTTTCTATGCTTCGAGAGCTTGAACAGATATAAAATTTTTAGTTGTAATTAAAAGGAAAACAAGGCTAGTTTGAAATACATGAACCAAAAGTGTTTGCTGCAATTAAATTTTCATTAGTATATTTAGTTAAAAGAGATAGAGTTTTAAGATGTGTTGAACAGTTGAAATCATTAATATTAAGGTCTTAGGATAAAATAACTTTATTATGAGTAGATTAGTTCAATATAACAGTGAATTACGAGGACTAAATTCATACCTTTATTTTATTATTTAGGTGATATAGATATTTTGATGGTTGGGTTATAAATCAAATGTTTTTTTTTTTTAATATTCAATTGAAAATAGAAGAAATTGTTCATAAGGTGGGGCGATTTACATTAAAAAATTTGAGCATTCCATTTATAAATCTTATTTTTTGATTTTCTAATTTCAATAACAAAGATTGATGTAATCAGAATAAAATCATTACAGATTTTGTTTAACTATATTACCCATTTAAATATATCAGAGTATATAAAATTATCAAAGTATTAAAAAAACAATAAAATCTTATAGTATTTAAATGTAAATTCGGAACAGTATATTTTTAGATCTAGGTAAATTTTATTAGTGAATAAGTTTATTTGTACAAGTTAAGTATTATTTTTGTTATCTAAACTGTAATTTCTCTATCAAATCAATAAAATATCCATAAACTGTTCGATGTATGGATAAAAGAAACTGATGATTGGATAAAAAATTAATGTATGAACTTCTCCTCATCATTGAATTTAATAGAAATGTAAATTTTGATAAAAGCGACCAAACTAATTATAATTTGATATTCAATCCCCCATCAGTTCATACATATTAAAAAACAGAAGCCAGTATAAATATTGACTATAATTTCCTAAATAATTATTCATGCATAATAAAAATAAAATATCAAATTTTTTCAGTTTGAAGATTTTCTTAGATAATTTCATTTTTAAATCGATAATGTTTCAAATAAATTAAAGTTCCCATCTTACATATTAATTAATAAATGTAATTTAAAATTCTTGAATAAGAGAATTAATTTCATTTTAATTCTCAAATTTTCAGACTGCATTTAAATTCTTATAATATTTAATTCATATTTTAATGGTATTTCATTTTAGCGGTGTCCATATCATTCAAACACAATAAAATACATTGAGGACTTTTCTCGAAATCAGCCTAAGCAACATTTTAGAGATTCCTATTCACCATCAAAGTTGTTATTCGATTCAAGTTTTAGAAAAAGAAATCAACCAACATTAGGTTTGTTGATTTTATAAAGTATTTCTAATCCAGAAGTCAATTTTTTAGAGCTACATCCATTTAATTCCCATTTTTAAGAGCTCAAGTATTTTAATTCTGCTTCCATCATATTTGAATTCTCATTTAAGATTGAATTAAATACTTTTCAATTTCACTTAGGAAATGCTTTGCTAAGAGGTTTTCCATTGCTGAGAAATGTTTATGTTATCGTTTGATTTGGCTCCATAAGCACTCTTAGATGTAAACTTGCAGACATACCATCTCATTTATCTACATATTTTCCCTTTCGTATCCCTTATTCAAACAAAATTCATTTAACCTTTTAGATAAATGAGTATTTTATCATTTATAAATAATTACTTCAATTTTCTCAAAAAAACTGGTGTTGTTCATTCTAGCTGGCCACCAAACTACTATCAGAGTCTAAATGAATTACTTTCCACAGCCTATTTAAATATAATTTAGCTATTTACTGCTTTAAACTTATGAATTTAGACTAACCTGACATCAGAAAATAAAAATGTATAAAATATTTTTAAGTTCCTTAAATAAAGAAATTCAATCAACATCTGACAGTTGAGCTTAAACCCTATTCTCAATAGGAGACTTGATATTTTAACTTCTGAAATCAGTTAGTAATTTATAAATTCACAAAAATAGAGGTCTACTCTATAAATCCAAATTTATTATCATTTTATACAAACTCTGCCTAATGAAATTGATGATTTGGATTCATTAACCAATTAAAAACATAAATTTGAAACTCTAACGATCATAAATCGGTATTCAGAATAACTGACGAGTATGGCGAAATACTCACTATAAGAATTCATTTAAATCAAAATTAATAGGCAAAGGAGGCTTTTTATAGCTTATGAATTAGCAATATTCCAATAAATTAGCTGATACAACTTGAAAATCAATATGAGCTTTGACTCCTTGTCTGAAGAAATTTGCTTGCCAATTTAAACAGTTTTTATAGCTAACTTCATAACAGTTATGAAATCGATATTCTTCCCTTCCTCTAATTATTGCTATTATTATCATTATTACTCCTCTCATATTTGAAAATGACAACAAAGCTGATCATCGTGCTTAATCAAATTTTAATATAAGGAGCCTAGTTCACTTAAGCTTCTAAGAAATTTTGTGCACAATTTTTTGCAAAATTTTCCAAGCCAAGTTAGATACATAGTCACTGACTTAGGGTTAAAAATTGGATATCTCTTGTTGTTTTATTTATTGTAATAATAAATGATGAACTTACAAGTCTTATCTTTGAAGTGAAATAGAATTGTAATCATCCATTATATTTCTCTTTACTATTTCCTATTGAGTTGAAGCCCTATTAAAATCCCAGCTTGACTAATCATTAGACTAAATCCATCTCAGATTGCTGTAGGTATGCCTTTAAACCACAAACTATCATTTGTAAAGCAACCTTATTTCTTGCCAAAGTTTTCTTGATTGCTCTTTATTTTTCATAACAACGCAGAAGCATCTTATTAAGATAATCTTCCTCTATCGCACCAATCTTTTAAATGAGGCAAACTCATAGCTTAACTTATTATTCTGAGAAACTTGTCGTCATTTATATCGCTTCAGTTTAATTTTCATAATTTTCAAACTTATCCATTCAATCATTTTTGTTTACCTATTTTTAGAGGAAATTACTTAAAATCTCTAAGAATTAAAATTTTCTTTAGTTATAATTTTGATGAATTCTAATAATTGGATGCACAGCTAAAACAATTAAGTTTAGACTTGATATCTCATAAAATTTATTGACTTAAAAAGGATTGTCTATTTTAAAAAATATATCCAACAACTATTGTTTGAGAAGGTTGAAATTTTCATATGTAACCTTAATGGGCTTCCCTCTGGGGATTGAGCAAGGAACTCATATATTCATCTAGAATCCTGTCTTGCTTGAGTAGAATCTAAAAGATAAGCTTGCAATGTTTTTTGAGCAACATTCTCAACTAAAATTTAAGAAATATCAATCACTTGCTGATTTTACCCAAATTAGTTTTAATTTATGTTTTCCTTTTGAAATTCTAGTGTTCAATCAATACTATAAGAAAAAATGTAAACAGAATATCTCACTATGCACATCGCCAATATTCCATCCGCTTTCAGCATATTATTCTAAATTATCCAAGAAATAATATTTTAAAACTTATTCGGGCTCTTTCTCTCAAAAATCCTATTGACCTAATCCTCCGTACCTGCTCTCAAAGAGAGTAACTAAATATTATCAAATAGAGGAAGCAACTGATTACGATGCATAAGCAACACAAAGATTGGTTAGTATTAATGGAAAATCAGTTTAATTATAAGAGTAGAGATGTTTCTCAAATGGTTTGTTTGTGGGAGCATTCAAAACAAAATGATGCTTTTGGAGTTATAAGAGAATTGAAGAATGATTTGAGTGAATACTTAAGTGGATAATCATCCTCAATGCTCCGTTGAATGTCAATAATTTGTAAATTCAGTAGGTTTAAATTGTAATGTATCAAGGATTGTAATTTTTTGATAATCCAATTTGAAGAAACGAAAATTTTTCTGGAAAAAGTAATAATATCTTTGTATAGAGATTTAAACAATGTATTTTAAAAGCCAAGCTTATGCTTGATTAATTAGTTAGTGGTAAAGGTCTCTCAAGCTACTGCTAATAAGATTTAAAAAATTTCTATACTCCTACGAAAGCTGTAGAGTTGAAAAGTTCACAATTTTCGAAGAAATGAAAAAATTGATTAATAGACTGCACACTATGCAGTAATGGTTAACCAATTTAAAATGAGGTTTAACCAGATATAGGTTTGGTAAAATCAACTAAGCTTGGTATTTAGAAATTAAACAAATAAGGAGATGAAACCAGAGCATTTATAGTTTCTACAATTGAAGCAACGTTGTGAAAACGGGAATGAAATCATTTGAAATTATGTAAAAATATGATGATGAACTTTCAGCTGTGGCAAATTTCCCCACACATTAATATAATTGAATAAAGCTTCATGACAAATAATACTGATATAAAATTTCTACCATCTCTATAGAACCTCTATTATATTTTTTATAAACAAATATTATATTTTATGTTTAGGATGGTGTTCCTTAAGGTTTGTCTGATTTTTTTTTGATAGTGTAATTAATATCTTGAAGACTTTAGATTCTTATTAAAAATATTGGAATTTTAAGTATTCTTTTTTATAAATATCAGGCAGCATTTTAATTGTTATTGATCATAGAAAATCCTTCTTATATCAATTGATTCTAATTTCTGAATAGATGAGTATAAAGTATATTAGAAAAATGTTAAATAGTTTTTCAATCAAAAATCATAAACCTGTTCATAATAAAAAGATGCATGTTAAACTTATAAAATTTTTGGAGTAAATAATATAGCTTTATAAAAAGAGTAAATTTTAAATTTATTAAGTAGAAAGCTTTTATGGATCACTTAACTTAACTGGAAACAGATCCATTAAATATTCCAAATTTTCCTACTCTAATGTCATTACTGTTTTGGAGTGATCTCGATATCAATTAATTGAGTTATTTTGTTAAGATTGATGTTTTAGACTAGTTGGCATTGAAAAGCTCTTTGTTCTAGCATGTGATTTCTTCTTTTTTGATTTTCTTTTAATGAAAAACCATATATAGGTATTCGAAAGTTGAAAGAAAAGGATTTTATTTTTCAAAACCAAATAACCATTTCTGAAATGCTTCTTGTTCAGGTAAATTTTATGCAGTCATGTATTAATTAGATGTTAAGGGGGAAGAGTTAGCAGAAAAGTGTTCTAAATTAATAATTATGACTCTATCGTATTCCTCCATTATGAGATTGATGAAAAAAAATTATTGAAATACAAAATTCTACTCAAAAATTAATATAAAGTCTATAATCTTGCAGACTATTACTAATAAACACGTATTAGAATGCCGAAAAAATTTTAAGCTTACAAAATTGTATTACGTCTGAATTGATATTCTTCTAACTATTCTAATATAAAAGAAATAAATTGTATTAATTGCCTAATTAGACTTTAAAATATTTACTCTCAACAAGATATGAAGAACACATTACATAATATAAGCATGATTTGCAATTTAATAATAAACCAGTCCTGGCTTTAAATTATATATTAAATAAGAATATTTCTATTTTAGAATAATTTAGTTTCAAATTTTATTCCTACTATTTTGATTTAAATCACTCCATTAAATTTATTGCTATTTGTATTTTAGGATATCATTTTAATTTTATTATGAAACTCTTCGGAAACAATGATGTAGAAATAGGTGAAAAAAACAATTATCTATTTTTGACTTTATTTATTTATTTGTAACTTCTATAATATTTAAATTCTAATTTGGAAGATGCTGGACTAATAATTTAACATTATGTGTAAAAATAAACTTGACAATTTTAACAGAATATAAAATAAATTAAAAGGTTTCGTTATTAAAACTAAATTTAGATTTGAAAATAAGTCTAATTTTATCTGTACAACATGAAATTATACAAAGACTTTTAATAAGTAGAAAACAACAATAGAATTTGCATTTCAGTAATAATATATTTAATAAGATGAGTTATATTATCAAATCATGTTTAGAAAATTGATAATTGGATGTAAGTGATATTTAAGAAATCTTAAATATCAATAAACTTTATTTAAAGTACTGACTTAACCTATTTTTATTTCGCATCCAATATTTCACTTGGTTTTGAATATTATTTAATATATACAAGTCAATATTTAAACTCTTGAGAATGATAAAGCAAAAATTCAATTTTAAACAATTATTTTCTTTTCTGATGTTACTTCAACTCACTATAATTTTTAGACATACTTCCAATTGATGAAAAATAAATCTGGTGTTATGATGTTATTTCGATTTTGATTTTCCAGACCAACAGAAAAAATAAATATTTGATTATTATGAATTTTCAGAGTAATCAATTTATTATCAATATTAAAAATTTATGGGTATTGTTTCAAACACTCTTTTTAAACCAAAGTTTATTATTCTAGAGTCTTGTATTATTTTTTCAAATGATCCCTAAAAAATAAGCTTAAACCAAATTAAATAATCATTTTCAAATCATTCAATTTTAAAAAATCTTGACTATAAATTAATTATAATTCAATTTAAAATTAGCAAAATCTTAAGGTATTATTATTACTAGTGTGAAGTGAATATAAATTATTATAAGATTGTAATATTAATAATATAGATTTAAACCCTAAATAATTTCATTTTGCAAAAGAATCATGCCTAACTATTAAAAATAAATCTAATTAATTTTCACACAACGAATAATTGATATTTATGTTAGTTGATGAAATATAAAAATGATTATACATTGAGCTATATAAATTATTTAAAGATTTCTACAATCAGAAATTTGTATTTAATTCTCAATTACATATATAGAGTATAAAATAAATATTAAATCAAATAATTATCTCTAAACCACAAAGTGAGTTAAGATTTGGATGAATGAATTGCATTAAGTAATTGACTGTTTACTCTCTGGTACAGAAATATCCATCTGAACAAAATTTTGTTTAAATTTATTATCTATTGTAATAAACCATAACTGTTTCATTTTTAACAATAATTTCTAATTATGATGCAAACGGGATTATTGGTTTAAAGTCTGAAATGGCAGATAAAATTGCCACTTAATTTGTATCGTGCCCTGAATACCAACTAAGAGGAGTAATAGAGTATAATTCAGAGATAATCCATTTGAATGGTTCAGTTAATTATGCAAATTGTTCCAAAGAATCACAATTATCTTCATAATATCTCAGAAATCTCACAACATCTTGCATATACAAAATTGCTGATTATGAGGGATTTGGGAATAGGAATCCTTAGGTTTGATTGCTTTGATAGTCATCAAAAATATCTTGAATGTCTGATAAAGTAATGGATTTCTTTTTAAAGGATTTGCTTGGATAAGCAGCCTTAATAATATCAAAAACTTCATCAAATTCAGGTCTGTTTTTAAATTCTTCTTCTTTTGATTTAAAATATTCACTAGATTCAATTTTTTTTTTCAAATCTTTAATACCTGGACATACAGATTTTTTATGTCCATGAAACATGAAATCATTAGGTCTTTCAAAATAGTGAAGTTCTAATTCTAGTGGGTTTTGGAAATCTGAAGTCATAATCTAGTTCCATGCTTCAATATTTGTGGAATATTTAGCGTAATATTCATTGAAGTATCTTTTGAGTATTTCTTAATAATTGTTTGGACATAACCCTTTTAGGAATCCAATGGTGGACATAATTACTCTCTAGGTTGTGGATGCTTAAATTTCTAAATTTTCATAAATGCAATTTCCATTTATATCAATAATAGATAATCCATTTTTACTCTATCCTAAGTTAAAATGTTATTATAATCCTATTTCAGTTAAATCTTCTGGTTAAATTGTCCAATAATATGTGCTATCAATTTCAGTATACACTTTTGGCGATCTAGCACCATGTCGAGTTATCAATATTGACTTTTAAAGGCAGGAACCAATGGTTAATAGGATGAAAATCGTGAATGCACCTGAAATTTTCATGATTGTATAATTAATTATCTTAGGATTTATTCTAATCATTATAAATGATGAAATAGACATAGTAAATTTATGTATTAATAAAATGTCATCTGACGTTATAAAAATAATTAACATTATTATAATAATATGTAGAATATGAGTATTAAATATAAATTCTAAACAAATATCTAAACTTCTTGTATTACCAAGATCAGAAACTAAATAATCAAATTTAAAGAAAAAAAATTAAAAAAGAGATTTCTTAAGATTTTAAATGTTATCAATTAATATATATCAATTCATTATACTAACCCTCAGTCTCGTTTATTGCATATTGGTATCGATCAAAAACTAATTTATTTTGAAGGGAAAGTTACATTTAACTATTACAATTCTTAAATTGAAGGATAATTTGTTAACCAAAAATATAAAATACTCAAGGTAAGATATGCATATTAACTAACTAATTAATGAAATGATAAAATAATGCTTATCATTGTAATTTGCATAATTTAAGAATATTGAATTACGGCAATAATTATTTTTTTTAAAAACAAGAAATACTCTATATAGAATTTTTGTTCTAAATAAATTAATATAAAACTAAAAATGTAAACATTGAATTCAAAAATAAATATCAGTTCCCAGATTAAACGCAAAGCTACTAAGTTATTAAATCTCCTTTTAAAAATGGTGATGGAGTATTTCCATTTTATTGCATTGCATTAGCAGAGTCAGGTGAGGATGTTTCTATTAATATGAAGTAAAAATTACATTATAAATGTTTTAATCTTTATTCTCTCCTTTAAAATTCGGCAAGTTTTTATTCATCTATTTACATTGCATCACCTGAAATCACCCCCAACTGATAGATTTAATCCTCTTGTTTTTGTTGTATGCGCTTTTGTTTGTTTAAATCCTCTCTACAAAATGGACAGGTCTATGTATATGTGTGATTTGCATACATGATTTCTTTTCCTCCATTCATCTATACAAGTAGAATGAAATAAATGTAGGCAATATGTTAATTTGACTAAGTCTTATTTCTAAAATTCCACAAGACATATCTAACAATCAGAAATTTCTACTAATCCAGGGTATTCTTGAATAATTTATTCATACAATTCCACTGGAATATAATCCTATCTAAGACTTCTATTGGTATTTCCCTTAACTGAAAATGATCTTAAATTAAGATTGTTTTAGGTTCCATTATTTATTCTTCTGGTCTTTCTTTAAAAGTATATCACACATATAATTATGAGTAAGGCAATAATTAGAGCCCCTAATGCACCAGCCAAGATATAGTATATTTCCAATCCAGAGGTGTCATCTTAATTGGTATTTATGTAGAGTTTCAACTTAACATTAGTTTTATATGCTTGATCGTTAACTAGCAATAGGATTACAAAGTTTTCCATTCTGAATCCCAAAGTTTATTCTATTTTATTAGTGTTATCAAGACAATACTGTATATCATCTTGTGAATATTTGATTGTTCCAGTTGAAATTTCACTTTATTAAAATGAATTACTCTCAGAAAATGGAATAAAGTCTTTGTCGTGTTGGCAGCCAATATATGTTTTTATACTGGCATCAGCACTTACTTCAATTTCTAAGGATGCTGGGTTAGACTTTAAAGGAATGGTTAGAATATTTTTAAAAGACTTTTCTTTCAGTTCAAACTATAATTATATTGTAATATACCTTAAACTACATTGGGGCACTTATAACAGAACTTAATAATTAACAAGTGCTATCAACATAACCTTCATTACATTAACAAAATAGTATTTAATTACTCATACACAGACCTTAATTATTGCATTAACTAATTTAGATGAAAAAATAACTTATAGCATTCTCCTTTCTAAGAACCCTTAATTATGATTGTGTATTAAGAATCGTCAGATGAATAGATATAAATGGAGATTTGTTTTTCGTTTAACTTATATATGCTAAATTTATTATAAGCCCACTCGTTTTCATCATTGATTTAATCTGATAACACAATCTGCTAAACGCGTTATGAATATAACAAAGCATTGTTATCGAACACACATAATTTTCTAATGATCAATTTGCATTGCTTACTTATTTGAATCGATTTGTTTCTTTATTACATCAGGAGAGCTGACAATCGATTTTATTATTTATTGATTCTTCGTATTGCAATAAGCTAAAAAAGGAACAGTTGAAAGTGAATTATTTTCAAGTATGATATTTATAGTAGTCGATCCTTATTTCAAATCATCATATTTCTCCAGATCAATATCAATAGCATTAAAACCTCTAGTTCTATAGGTTTTCTTTGAATAGAGAGCATTTGTTTAAGATATCAATAATAGTAGTACAAATATCATAAATGAATTTTATAAAGATTTTATAAATATCGCATATTTTAATATTCATGGCATTATACCATTGGTCATTCTTTGGAAATTATCATACTAAATGGTTCTCCAATTATTATCACTGTAATCAATTAATTTGTCAACATATTTTTACAATTCCTCATCGTTTGCCTCCTCTTTGAAACGATCTCTAAATTCTTTGATGTCAAATCTCTCGAAACATGGCAAGTCACTGTCCTACATCATAACCTCGATGATCATTATTATCTCATCGACATATCCTTGCAGTGCTTTGAATCCCCTATACATAAGATTCTTATAATATAAAAAAAGATCAGAATTTCTTCCATTCATTAAGTCAATATATTCTTAAGTCAATTTAAAAGGAGCCTTCTCAAAATTCAGATTTCCAGGCGAAATGCATAGAATAAATCCAAAATCAATATGGATTATTCTTCCTTTGCTGTCAATTAAAATATTGCCATTGTGTCTATCCTTTATTTACAATAAATAACTGATAATTGAATAGGAAGCAAGACTCTAAATGAACCTCATTTAAGCTTCTTCAAAATCTTATTGAAATATTTCTTTATAAATATGAACAAGGGATTTGCAAGCTGGATATTTCTTTTTCAAACCGTCAATAGAAATAGTATCTGCACAAAATTCCAGAATACCTGAACTTGCACTTACAACTATAATTTCATAAGCCTTCACATACATATCCAAACCATGACTCTAAAATGCCTAATACATTTTATGAATAATTTGCATGGTCATAAGTTCTTATCTTAGATCATCTCCTCCTTTAACAATAATAGGTTTCAGACGGTAAGTTTCAAAATGTTGGTAAGGACTGTCTCTCTTTATCATTTCAGCTCTATCTTCCCATAAGTCATCCCATGGTCCAAATTTACTATGTAATTCTATTCCATCCTAATGGATATCTACTTTATTTTTTTCTAATTTTTTCTCAATCAAATCATATTAAAGATGCACATATATCTTTTTTAAAACCTCTTCTTATTTGGGACAAACTAAAATATTTTAACTCAGTACATAATATCAACTCTTTAAAGAATCTGACTCTCCCTAAGGCAGTTAATTATTTTATGGATTTATGTTTGTGCCTAAATCCATTTCTTGAATTCTACTTATATAGCTTTAACCAATAATTTTAATCCTTTCTCTAACCTTGCTATCTATATTTGCTATTTAGTTTTGGAATACATGATTAAGTTCTTTCGTTAGTTTTCTCAGGAAATAATATATTGAACCTTAAAATAATTTTAATTTGTTTACCGTTGTCTATTTTTTTAGAATTTCTCTTCCTCTATTGCATTTGTACATTACTTATAAATTTACAGATTTTTCATAATTTGTTCTTTTAAAATTAACTCCTAGTCTTATTCATTCTCTGTAGTTTTCTCTTTTTTAGTTAAATAAACAGCACTCATCATATCTTTAAATACTTTCATTCCATTTTTTGGTTCTTTATTTTATGTTATTTTCATAAGATCACCATATTCCTTTTTATTTCTATTTTTAGCCAGTTCCTCCATTTTTTTTTCTATTTCCTATTTATTTGGTTGATTTAAATCAGCTTATAAGAAGTCTTCCATAGTATCATCATCTAAATTAGCTAATGATCGATTATTGGTGATTGAATTATTTGCAGTCTTTTTTGGTTGTTTATATTTCAATTCATGTGGACTAAGATAATATTTTCAAATACTCTATGGTTTCTACAACTATTCTATAGGGAACCCTTTTTTTTGTGTTGAAACATGAGCATTCTCCTTCTATAATTCTAACTACTAAATTTGAATGCACAGCAACATTTTAATCTTTGCTCATCGTAAAAGGTACTGTAATTCCTTAACAAAAGTAATATTCTTAATGTTTTAATCGATATTTCTCAAGTGCTACATTGGCTCTTGTGATAAAATTTTTTAATTTTGGCTTTCTTTCCTCTGGTTTATATGTTTTAAGTATCAAGGACATTTAGATCAGATTATTTAGATAAAGATCTACAACACTTTAGTATGATTTTAATTATAAATTAGGAATTTTGACTGCATTGTGATCATTGTTTAATGTTAACATTGATTATTCAAATTACTAGTATGGTAATTGTAATTTTTACATCATCTATTCTTTATAACCTCTTCATTTTGTTCTTATCTGTTCTATCCCTGTCAGAATATGAGACCCAACACCATTTAATTAATTAATACAATGCAATGCTTTTGTTACACAATGTTGTTATGAACTTCTCTAAATAAGGAGAATCATTCTTTATAAGTATATACCTAAATGATATACAAATGTGTTATATACACTAATTAAGGAATAAAGAACTCTAATTCTTCTTATTAAACCTAGTATAATTTATTTGTTAAGAATTAATGAGGACCACTCTCTTTTAGCTTATAAAAGTAATAATAAATGAGTTTATTGACTTCTATGTCTTGAGTATTGAACATCTAATAAATTGAACTAATGATGTAATCCTCTCTTGGTTAATTGACAGGTAGAAGAATTATTTGATATTTCTTCCTTTCTTCAGAATCATTTTGTTTCCAAGCAGGTAAATAATTTGTACTTTAAGTATTCGAACTTTATCGAAAGCGAGAAGGGTTATTCATAAATTTAATATTTAATGTGTATTATTATAAATTCATGCACCAATAGATAATTTTGATCTAGCCACTTATTTTCTTGATTGACGAGCCACCTATTGATTATTTGTCTCCTTTTTGACATTCTCATCTTTTTCTGCAGCCCACAATTCAATATGAGCATTGGATGATAAAAATGCTGCAATATTTTAATTTTTTACGATTAATTCTTCCATGTGCTCTGTAGGTTCTACGTCTACCCTTTTATGCTCTATTCACTTAGACATGATTGATGATCAATTTCTCATTGCTTAAATTCTTAACTTAAGCATTAGCTGCCAAATTTTACAATAATGATAAAACAATTCTTACACTCTTTTCTGGCCATCTACCTAAATGATTATTACATGCTCCAATATACCTTATGATCTGCCGAATTCTTTTGCTTATGCAGTTCTACCCACTCCACCATTGAAACGAGTGAATGGAACACATCTCTTATGTTATAATACATCTTATAAGTATTTTAATGCTTATGCAAGTGTTTATCCTTTAAGTGCTCTAGCTACTTCATAAGTGTTTTTGAAATGTGTTCTTAAATCACTGGCTCTAGCCTTACATGATTTCTTAGCAACAGCTGGCTCTCTGGCGTATTACTTACCCATAAATATTGAAATCTTTTATTTATTTTATTTAAAAATTGTGAATATATAATAAATTCACTTTCCGAAACCATTTCCCAAATCAAATTTATTAGCATATTTTTAAAACAAATCTTTATCATAATCCTAGGTTTTCTTTTTCATGTCCTACTTCATATTCATATACTTGCTATCTCCCATATATGTTCTTCTCATAACATCTTAGTTTTAGAATTCTTTAAAGAATTCATTGCTTGTTACCAAAAACTATCATACAAAACTTCACTACTTTTTTTTTTTTATCTACTTATGCATTAACATTTTCTTAAACTTTATTTCTAAAATATTCTTCCAATGTCATCCCATTATAACTATTCGGGTTAAAATTTTAAGCAGTTCTGCTTTATATTGCAGTACGATTTCTTTACGAATTCTGACTTATCATTCTCCTTTTATCCAGTCGAGAACATTTCGATGTCTCAGGTCTTTATTCTACATGCTCTTCACTCATTAATTATTGAAAATATTAATATTATTACTCATCTGTTAATAAATATATTTCATAACCTTTTAGTATCACTAGAATTAATCTTCTAATTCATCTCTCGGAGTATCTCTTTTCTAAGAGCTAGTTTGTGTTTCTAAGAACTTATATGAGTATCTCATTTAGCTTTCCTTGATCCCCAACTAATTAAGCACCCAAATATTATTATCCTGCGATCTGTAACACCTTAATAATCCCAATTAATCATACCATTATTGATGAATTGGAGTATTACCAGCTAAACTTTAAGATTCGCTTGACAGATCTCAATAGTTATTAATTATGCTTTACCAACCAAAATCTCTAACAGTTTTGTTTGCAACTCCGATATACATTCATATTTGTTAAATTCATTAACAATCTCCAATATTTGCTCATCCTTTTATATTAATAAATCTAATAAACTACAACTTAATACCTTTTAGATATCCTTTCTAAGAACTAGATATGATATTTCCTTAACATAGAACATATAAACCATACAAATATTTGCCTTCCTTAGTTGATATTTAATGCATATTATAGTAAATTATAAATAAAATACATTTAATAACTTTTCCAGAAATTTCAAAAATCTGTTCGCTCTGTTCAAATCATCAATAAATGAATGAGGATTCCTCTGTTTGTTCCAAATTTTCACAATGAATTAATAAGAAGTGTTCTAAAAAGAATATCCACCTACATTTCACTCTTTTCAACTAAATTAGCATATATTAAATAGATTATATCAACTAAATATTCTAATGTATTTAATTAATAAAATATTAAACATTTATGTCACTGTTAATTTAGACTTATAATTTTAAACTCAGTATGATTCCTTATAAAATATCTTAAAAATATAGATAAAAGGGAATAAATTTAAATTGAAATTGTTGTGTTGGAATTTTGTACAATAATAATATTTTCAAATGTCAAATTTAACACCTTGAGCAAGAGGCAATGTCTTACCAAAGTTAATTGTGCATGTAGATCTTCTCATATAAGTCTTCCATGAATCACTTCCTGATTCTCTGCCTCCTCCTGTTTCTTTTTCACCTCCAAAAGCTCCTCCAATTTCAGCTCCTGATGTTCCAATGTTTACATTTACAATACCGCAATCTGATCCTAAAGGTCCAGTCCATTTATATGAATTGCTTAAATTGGAAGTGAATAATGAACTGCTCAAACCTTAAGGGACATTATTATTAATTTCGATTGCTTCATCTAAGGTATCATATCTAACAATGAATAAAATAGGCATAAAGAGCTCATGTTGTAAAATAGGGTGATCAGCTTTAACCTCAAAGATTGTTGGTTAAACGAAGTTACCTGGACCTTCAATTACATTTCCTCCATAAAGTAATTTTCCTCCTTATGCTTAGATCTCAGGGATGACCTTTTTGTATTATTCAACTTACCCCTTTGTATGAAGTGGACCACATAAGGTATCTAGAATAAGAGAATTAATTACCATCATTTAAAGCATTTCCAATTTTAATGGTGCCATAAACCTTGACCATTTTTTGTATGAATGTCGCTGCAATGCTGTTATGTAACAACAATCTTCTTAAGGATGTGCATCTCTGTCCACATGTACCAACAGCTGCAAATACTGCAGCCTTGAGTGCTAAATCCACATTGGCATCTTCATGAACAATCTAAGCATTATTTCCTCCTAATTCCAATAAACTTCTGGCTAATCTGGAAAGCCACCTTTGCTGCAATGATTTTACCAACTTAAGTGGAACCTGTAAAGGATACTAATGGAATTCTCTTATCACTTGTAATGGCTTCTCCAATTTAAACACCATCTCCACAAATAGTGAACACTATGCTTGTTGGCAACTAATTGATTTAATATATTATAATTTACTCCATTTCTTTTAAAAACTTCATGAATGATGTTGGTACAAGCGATTGATGATAAATTTGTTGATGGTGCTCCTTTCCAAACACAAACATCACCACAAATTAATCCAAGTGCTAAATTCCAACCTAACACGGCAACTGGAAAATTAAAAGCTGTAATAATGCCGACAACACCCAAGGGATTCCATTATTCCATCATAAAATGGGATGGTCTCTCTGATGGGATTACTAATCCATATAATGATCTGGATAATCCACAGGCCCATATCACAAATGTCTATGATTTCTTGGACTTCACCCAAACCCTCTGATTTTATTTTACCCATCTCCAATGCAACTAACATTCCTAGAGCTTCCTTCTATTTTCTAAACTCATCTCCAATTTATCTAACTATATCTCCTCTTCTTGGGATAGGTAACTAATTTCATAATATCAAATACTTCAGCCCACATATTCTTAACCTTCAAAAGTTCTTACATACCTTGTTCATATTATTAGAGTGTTCCTAATTTCACTTTTGCAATTGCCTCTCCTGTGTTCGGATTATAACTAGTGGTCCACTCTCCATCTCCTACCCATGTTCCACTTAAAGAAGCTCCAAAGTTTTTGGCTTTCAAACCAAGCTAGGCCAAGAATGGGTATTTGTCAAATGTTAACATTTACACTTTTATTTATGACGTACGATTTTTAATATCTGTGTATGTAAATAATATTCATCAATCTGAAAAATCTGAACTAAACAATACAAACCTTTCAAATTCTTAAATCTTTGGCGACTCTTCTGGTGATACTGAAACTAAATTCTATACTTAACATTGGGTTTGTGGCGACCTATCTTACTCAAAGAATTTCAGATCTTCTTCTTTCTTAAATATTTTTTTTAAGTTTTCCATTCCTATTTAATTTACCAAAACCAATTGAACGCGAGATAATTCTTATATAAGATTATTAAATGTGAACTTCGCTCTAGCAATTTCTAGTAATTCATTGTATTTGTGCTTAAATTGTGTTAACTTAATTTCAACGCCTTTATAACGCACTTCTTTTACCTATCCTAAAAAGTTCTTTGTAATTTAGACTTATTTAAATTGAGGATAATAAATTTCAATTATTTGATGCAATATCGCACTCTCCAACATAGTTGTATTAATCATATTGGAAAGTAATTTCAAAAGCATTATCATATTAACAATAGATCCGATTTGAGCCAACACCTCTCCTAATTTTGGCATAAGAATAGTCTCATTTGCTTCTATGTTATCAATCCTAAATACAAATGTCCCCAAGGTTTCAAATTCCAGTTGAGAATTCTCCACAGTCTTTATTGTATCCTAAGCAAATTTCTTTGTTACAGCTTAAGTTATCACTTAATAATCCTTTATCACATCAAAGTATTCAAAGCTATTAAATAGTATTCCCTTATCAACAGTTGTTCGTTATTTTTATAAGATTACCTATGAATAAAAAGGGCTACTTTCTTCGAAGGCAAAGAATTATGTCTTTTTAATTTCATCAAATTCCAAATTCTCATAATTATACTACTACAAATTTATTGACAAAAATAATAAGCCGTGATTGATACTGAAATAATCGTCAATCACTTATTGATCAGCACAATATCCCCCTTCTTCCATCCAATCTGAGCGGCATTTTGTGAAAAATATAAAATATTACTTAATCTCTTCTTGATCATCTGCTTTTGACCCATCAACTTAACTTAAAACTAATTTGCCCTTATCAATTGTTATAACATTTTTATCCCCGTCTACCTATTAGGTGCTATATAGAAATCTAGGCTGAGCAGAAACCAATAATCCAGAGATTTCCAACAATACTGGCATGATAATGTTGTTTTACTTTGTGAAGGGATTAATCTGTGTGCTTAAATCGTATAAAGTAAAAGAGATTTCACCATTTTCCCATTCATAAGTAGTAACTTTAGGTATTAATTGTCCATTAATCCATTGTTGCATAACATAAACGAAATAAGCTAAGCTTAACATCATTATTATGATTGCTATCACCCCGCTTTGAGATGTCTTAAACTGTTCTTGCTGTTTAATGGTTTTCAACTTAATGGGCACACCAAAAATGTCAAACTTTTCTAAAATGGCTAACATAATTAAAGACAGTTTCGATAATTTAAAATAATGTATAGTAAAATATCTTGTGCTTATGTAAATACTCAAACTCCGATTATGCTCTCGACACCTGCTTGTAATTACGATATCAACTATATTAATTTAGGCTATGTTTGTTCAATAGTTGATTAAGCAATCATCATTTTTGATTATTAACTTGGTTTTGGAATATCTATATTAAATTAAGAATTCTAAGTAATCAGATTTAATACATACTTTTGGTTCTAAACGAATTTGATCATAAATTGCCCTCTTTTTCTTGATGTCAGATTCTTCTGGAGGATTGACTAGATTACCTAAATCTACAAATTTTGATTTGATCTACTGAGTTGCAGATGCCAATTTTTCCTTTAATTCTTTCTTTATCCTCTCATTTTCTTATTACTTTTATTATTGGATTTTTTCTATTGAAGACGCATTACCTAAATTATCGTTTTGCTTAATAGAGTCTTCTTTAAAAGGCTGTTGTTGTTGATCCTTTATATGCTTTTGTTCTCCTTTAGTCAAAAATTTCTTGAGAGTTGGACACTAATCTGCATCCACAATTTGAAGCAAAGTCTTAAAATAGTTCTATAATCCAGCCTTTCTGGTAGAAATAAATTCAGGATCAGTATTTTCCAAAAAACTTTTTAGCTGGAAATGAGGGAAGTTGTTGTTTAAGTTCTGAAGATAATTGAGTGTGCAAATTATTCAGACTTTTATATCTTTCTTCAAAACTCCATGAGACTTTTGTTTATGTATTTAACACCTGAGATATTAATGCTATATTATACTTAAATTTGATAGTAGACAATATCAGACCTGGTTTCAGTGTTCACAATTTTCAATTAATATACTGAGTTATGTGATTTTTACATCTAAATATATAAAATTAAAAATAAATATTTAATCTCATCATTAAAGGTTATGAATACACATTGAAAAATTCTGAGATTTCTTAGCTTTTTATCCTTTACATTAAAATTCATCTTCCAAAACTTAAATCATTCATGTTTATTTTAATTTAAAACATAAGTAATTCAAAAATGAGTAAATACAGAGCTAATAAATCTTTTATTTTACTTTGTAATATCATATTAAAATGAAATTACTCAGATCTATATTTTATAAATAATAAAAAGCTAAAATGGACGTGATTAATAAAGAATCTTTTTTTGATGACCCTGATGCCCCAGTGTTTTGGAATGTTACTGAGTATCCATCAAAAGATGCAGCGTTGGATTTGCAGGATACTATGTACATAGATTAAAATTCAGAATTACATAAAGGAACTCTAGGTATCTCCAATCACTATTTACTTTATTTCAAAAAGCAAGTAAGTTTGGCACAATAACCAATAGGCTGTAAAGAAGTGGGTCAATTTGGATAATGCTACAATTGAATATACTAAACATTAGAAGGCAGGACTGGGAATAAAAATAACCAAAAATAAACAATATTTCGAGTTCTTTGGAGATGTAGAACTGTGGTACAATTATTTGAAACAATTTTGTATTCAAAGGAACTTTTCACATCATTACACGTTACTGAAAAAGATTGGATAAGGGAATTTTGCAGATGTAAGAGAAATTCATATAATCAAGGTGTTCAAAGCTGTAAACAAAAATGATGGTACTGAATATGCAATAAAGTGTTTCAGAAAAGCAAAATTAAATGAAACCGTTGACAGATTGGCTATAATCAAGGAAATATCAATTATGAAAAAAATTCAGCATGAATCCATTATTCATTTATATGAGGTTTTTGAAGGAGATGAATTTTTATTTTTAGTCTTAGAATATTTGAAAGGTGGCGAGTTGCATTAATATATGAAGAAATCCCCTCCATTTTCTGAAGAAAAATGCGCAAAATTCATTTTTAGATTATTGAAAGCAGTTTCATCTATACATGAAAAAGGAATTTTGCATAGAGATATCAAACCTGAAAATATCATGCTTAGAAACAAAGAGGATGTCGATAATATTTGTATAGGGGATTTCGGATTGGCTGATTATTATTCGCCAAGTGGATAATACTTATTTACAAGATGTGGCACTCCTGGATACGTTGCTCCAGAACTGCTATAGGATAAAACCTACGATTTCAAAATTGATATTTATAGTATAGGGATTTTAATGTTTATTCTGATTGCAGGGAAATCACCATTTGATGGTAAGGATTATGATGATGTTGTGATGAGAAATTATTATGCAAAAGTCAAATTTGAAGAGTGCAAATTAAGTGATATAGGGATGGATCTACTTTAAGGACTAATGAACAAGAATCCTATTAAGAGATTGACTGCCGAAGAGGCTTTAAGTCATCCTTGGTTTGCTAGTGAAAATCTAACAAAAGTTTGTTAATTCAAAATTAGAAAATCAAACCAACCTACATTAAAGAAATTAGCCTATTTTGATACGAACATTAAATAATATTCTGCCATTTCAACTTAATTTAGTCCAAAGAGTTCACTATCCAACCTCAGTCCTTATTGTGTAACAAAGTGCAATATTGAGGATAGCCCATAGACACCAAACACTCCATTGATTCTTAAACCCATCAATACTCCTAGAACACCAGCTACGTATAAATTACGATAGGTTCGAAGAACTTAAATACCTCTTCAATAATTATGATTTAAATTTATTTATACAAGTAATTGTTCTGTTAATTATGTGATTTATCAAACTGTATGGTACAAAATTGATTATTATTAATAATAATAATAAAAATTTTAAATTAATTTTAAGTTATGTGTGAAGATTTGAATCCAAGGTAATTTTAAGTTTGTTATATTTAATATTTAGATGAAGTAGCCTATTTGAGCAGAAAATTATATATTAAGAAAAAAACATATAAACTTTAAGATCAGTATTTATATTATAAAAATAAAATAAAAATGTAAGCAGTGAATATATAATTAGAAAAAAATAGTTTGGATTAACTATGAAAATGGTAATATAGAGTTGATCTCTGATTCTGAATTGGGAATGAGAGTTCGTTTAAAAAACTGTTTTGATAAAGTTGAATTTATCAGCGATGCTAATAATTGGTATATATTTATGAAAATGTTTGCAATCTAATGTGATTTCTCTTGTTATTATATTATACTCTTACAGTTATGAATCATAATTTTAAATGATTTTATTTTATTTACATATAATAATTGACCATTCATAGTATCAAGAAACTGAACAAAGTGAAATTTGGAGATTAATTTAGGGGGAAAATAAATAGATAGTTGAAAATATATTATCAAAATATATTAAAATCGTTTATCTTTGATGATGAAGAGAAAAAATCATTTTATAAAGAAATATCAGTGATTCTTCAATTATCAACAGATTTAACAACAAGGTTTTATGAACTATTCGGAAGTCCAGATCAAATATATGTTACAAGAATATGTTTAAAAGAATCCTTTCTTTTCAGAAAAAGACTGCCAAGGCCATCTTTAGAATAATTAAAATAGTTGCCTATCTTCATTCTAAGAAAATCATGCATAGAGACATAAACTAGAAAATTTTATCTTTAAATAATTAGAAAATTTAGAGGGTTTATGTTTAACAGATTTCAAATTAGCTGAATTCTTTGATGATGAAGGAAACTACTAATATAAAAGATATGGAACCTTTGGATGTGTTGCTCCTGAATTAAAATGAGTATTTTTGCATTAGATTTGCTTAAGGGTCTTCTAAAATTAGATCCTTAAGAAATACTTTCATCTCAATAAGCATTAAATCATAAGTGGTTTTATAGAGAAAACTAATTAGGGAATTACAATTATAAATCAAGTCTAAATTGTAACATCAACATAATCCATAAAATTTAATGACATCATTAAAGAATTCATTCCCATTTTTACTAGTAAATTCTGTTCCTCAACTTCTAGTCCATTAAGTTTCAGACTAAAAACATAGCCAAGTTCTTCACCCTTTGAGAGAGTTTTTCTGCCTGAAATATCAAGAAGAACACCAAACTTACTTCCTTCAAATTCGATAATTAATGGAGGAATTAAATGAGAAATTACAATTACAATTCTCTTTCAATTCTTATTATTTTTATAAATATTTTAATTATTGATAATATAAATAGTTCATTAAAAGTTATTTGGAGGAATTTTACTTTGTTCACATTATTATTTAATTGAATCTTTTAATTAAAAATGGGTATAGTTTGTGGTTAACCTCTGAAATCTAAGTCATTAGAGTTCCATACTTCAAGACCTTTGACTCAGTCAATAAAACAAGACTAGGAAAATGTTGAATTCGAGGATCAGGATCAGTGTTTTTGCCCATCCTTAACTAAGAATTATATTTTAAATCCTAAGTTTCTTTTTACAGAGGAATCTAAATGTGAAAGGGAAGAATAGCGCCTAAACACTGATATTAACAGAAATTCTTCACTATTATCCTTAGGTATTTAAAGTGAACCTAATAATTTAAATGAAATACAAGGAAAACAAAAAAACTAAAATAAATTAAAGCCAGACATCTAAAATTCTAAAAGAATGAGTTTGGAATAGAGGTTTAAAATTGCAACGTCCCCTTCGTAATGCAGGAAGCGTAATAACAATACTCCTAAAAGTCCATTAACAGCAATGCTCTAAACGAACAACAATTCAACAAAGCAAAAAGAATAACTGATTCTAACTAAGGGAAAGCGAAAATTATCCAATAGAGACCAAAAACTATTATGAAGAGGAAGGTTATGAATAATTCAAAATACTTAATATATTTATCTTCCTTTATAATAACAAATCTCCATTTTAGTATATCTATTTTTATCAATTTATCTAAGGATTGCTTTTTCTTATTTCTCTGCTAATATTTTAGTTATATTTCCTCATATAATACTCAGACATGGTCTTTCGTGACAGCTTACATATATTAAATTTCATTTTTAGAAAATCATTTATGATTAATTTATAATTTGCTGATATATAATTTATATATATATCTAAATAATTCAAATTGTAAATAATCAACATTTTCAGCGAATCAACTATTCTGAACTACCATCAATTTATTATTAAACCAAAAATTAAAATCTACGTCTCTATTTATTCAGTCTTATATTTGAATGAATATATAAAATTATCTAATATTTCAATAAATGAATGACGCATAATAAACATAAATTTATCTATATAGATTAAAATAATTAGTTCAAGAAATCTATTGTTCTTGGATAAAAGATTTCACAACATTCAATTTAGTCTAAATAATTATTTATACTTTTTTGATGATATCGATTTCCCTGCTTCTTTAAATTGTATTTTATTAATATTAGACTAATAATTCTTAGCATTGTCCTCTTCTTTACTTCATACCTGCCTTGGAGGCTACAAATTCAGCTTAGGCGTCACTTCCTCTTTTTTATTATTGGTCTCTAGTCCTTATGGTGTCCTGTAATGATTCATCATCTGCTGCTTTTTCTCTAGTCAAAGCCTACATGGCATTAAATATTTCATTTAGAGTAACATCATTATCCTAATCGCTTAATAAACAATGAGTACTCTAATGGCTTGCTCCTCTAATGCAGTCTCTTCATCGACTGAAGTTATTAAAGAGTCCCTTACAACTTCCATTTTTTCAATTATGGTTTGAATAGACCTTGAATCCATCATGGAGGTAACCTGAACCAAAGCTAAAATTGGATTAGAAGGACCACTATTAGCTAATTACACAAAAGAATTTGCAAAGGCTTCTTCTTAAACAAAGGACTGCTCTAATTAGATTAATTTATACTTCTGCATCACTCAATTAAACTTTATCATATAACTCATGCATTTTTGGGAGCATGACTTGAAATGCGTTTATCATTTCTTTCAGCTAACCCAATCTTTTATTATAATTGGCTGATTATTTCAATCTCAAATCTCGTAAAGAATTTTCAGCCCCTTAAAAAGTCTAAATTATCTTAGGCTTATTACATCTATCTAGGATTGTTTGAGGTCCAGTTCACTTGTATAATCTTCAATATCTGATTCTAATCTTCCTACTTTGAATTCAACATCATTAATTTCATTGACTGCTAATTATATCCTCTAACTATAACTGTCCATATCGGATTTGCATTATGACTAGATGGCTGCATTAGATCCGTCTTATTAAATTTATTTTCCCTTTTGATAGATGCATAATCTACTTCAAGATCACTCTTCAAATTTGTCAATAAAGAAACTATACTATCGATACCCTCTCCACTTTTTATTTGCAATGCCACTGTTTATAAAACCTTAGCTCCTAATGGATTCTCTACAATTTCCTCTAATTCATCAAAACTGGGGTCATTATGTAAAATTTCTTGATTCGCTTGAAATTGCTCGTCATCCTTCCTTCTTACTGCTCTTATTCCGATGAATACAATAAATAGAAGAAGAGTTTTCATTACTTATGAAAACGGATTATAATAATAAAATAAATATATAATATTTCTTATTGGTTTTGGAAATCAACAATTAGACTATTATCCTAGATAACTATTCAGACAACATTAAAATGATACTTTGTAGTAAATTATACTTATTTTTCTACACACGTATGTAAGTAGGGTACTAGAAATATAAACTTAGAAGTTCAATTATATAGACCTTTATGAAATTTAATCAATCAATTATAAAGAAGTTGGGTTTATTTTCTTTAGTAGTTTTTAAGCGCCATTTCATATAACGATAAAAATCTACTGAAATATGGGCAAGTAATGGTTTTGACTTTTTAGTGTAGGACATTATCATACTCTTGCATCCATCTTAATTCGTAATAGCATTAAGATAAATTCAAATTTTTGGTTGCTGCCATATATCTTTATAGGATATAGAGTAAGACCTCAACCTTTGAATCCTCAGGTTTAATTAAATTTACAAAGTGAGCTATTTAGCTTTAAGAGCGAGCTTACAAGAAGATTTCCACAATTTGTAGATCCAACTTTCCGATTAAGATGAACTTCAACCAAGGCATTTTACAATTGACTATCCGATCAATCGTTGAAAATGTCTAATAGTAATGGAAGTTCTAGTGTTTCTAATCTGATTATTAATACTTTAAGTTTTATTCAATCGAGTCTAACAATTCAACATCAAGTTCACCACCACTTAGTATGCTATCTACATTTTCAGGAATGAATTTGGACTGCAAAATAGCTGGAGACATATGTTCAGATTTAATTAAAGATTATTGGGTTTCATATTTGATTTGAATAGCAGCAGTAATCAATTTTTAAATAAATGGATTTGCCTTGATGATATTTTTTTAATAGACTTTTGATATCAATATATAGCGATCTGTAAATGAATCAATAGAAGAGCCAAATATTGATACTATGTAATTAGAATAGACATATTCAATAATTAGATATAGTAATTTGAAAAAACAGCTTAATTGATCTAAAAATGTAGTGGCTAATTATTTATTTTCCTAAAACTATCTAATTATATTTTAATCGATATTTTTGCTTTGAGATGTGTTTTGATCTGGCAATTATTTCCCTTGAAACCTATGATTGTCTGACAAAGTGCGTTTGATTGAGATATTTTTATTTAATTGAGCATTTATTCTAATATCTCCTGCCTTATAAGCCGAAATAGGTTTTGATTATTAATTTTGACCCATTTCAAAGAGTTCATTGAGAAATTAACTATAATGAAAGATTAGTTAATTATAAATATGTTTTTCTTTTTGTGCAATGTCCCTAGAGATTTTGTTCGATATAACTTATTTTTCTTCTTCAGTTGGGTATTTTCCTTTAATAGATGAATCCAACATTTTTTAATTCATAAATTTCGAAAATGTCTGTATGTCTTTTTCAACTATATTCTAATTAGGACCTAAGAGTATACCTTATGAAATTATTTAAAGTACAAGTCCTGGCATTACTCTATAAATTATGTATTCGTTTAAATTAAAATCTGAAAAACATTTTTCCCCTTAATAGACTTTCTAAGAGTTGGTAAATCAGATTAAGGAGTCTCTTCTTTATGGCAATAATTTCCCATATAAATTAAAATATAATATATTTAATATAGAATCAGTAAAAATTAATACACATTCAAACGCGAGATAGAATACAGATATATTCATTCAAATTAAATTAGTTCTACTTCTTTTCGATTTGGTGAAACCATCTAATGTTCAATATTCCCTTCCTTAAACTCGATAAATTAAGCAGGGACATTGGTAGACATCATTTAGCAAAACTCATCAAAGCTAATCTTCTCATCGTGGTTAGGATCTATTTCATAGATCATCTAATTTATTTTGGTGTCTGTTAATGATTTCCCATGTCTGGCTAAAATCTCTTATATATTTTCTTTAGTAATAAAGTTCTTATTCTACGTATCAAAGTATTTGAATAAGGAGAGGAGCTAATTATGTAAATAACAAATACTTTGTCTTTGGTGAGAACTTTTCTCTCATCTATGCAAGCCAATAAAAAGTCACTGTATTTTATTACTAAAGGTTTATAGGATTTAGCAGAAGAGCAATCCTCAGTTTCATCGTCGTTTTCAAACCCTACAGCCATCATCAGTGTTTTAATTTCTTCCTATGACACTCTAGAGCCCTTAATAGTTTGAATTTATTCTTACTTCACTCAAAAATGCTCTTTATAATTCTTGATATGTAATGGTTCCAGAATTATCCCCATCAATTTTCTAGAAGACTTTCTTCAAATGTTCCAACTCCTTTTCATTCATCAAATTTATGAGCACTTTCATTACTTCCTTCTTAAACTTGGCTCCATTTTTATAGTTCTTTAACATTTAATATATAGATCTGCAATCTTCGAAATAATCACTTGGAGCTATTTGTCTCAGAGTAGTTGCTTTGGTTTTAGAACGTCTTAAATTAGGTTTATCGATGCTATCTAAAGACACATTAAACCAAGGATCTTTTAAGAGATCTTTAGCACTTGGTCTGATCAGTGGATTCTTACATAATATTCGTTTTAGGAAAGTCTTAATTTCCTTCGACATAAAATTCCAATGTCTTCTATCAAAAATTAACTTATTTTATTAATGGATAATTACTTCTTGATTTTAAATATTGTAAAATAAATCCTTTTTATTACCAGCATAAAAAGGTGGGTATCCACAAAGTAAATAAAAGAGCATCACTCCAAAACTCCAAATATCACATTTATCACTATAATATCCATCGATCACTTCTGGGGCTACATACAAGGGAGTTCCAACGCAATTCATTCGGGTTCTATTCATTTACATAAATAAAATACTTCGATTGTGATTCATCCAAAGTGATTGCCATTCCAAAGTCGATTATTTTTGGTTCAGAATTCAAATCTTTTTTGCCAAACAAAATGTTCTCTGGTTTAATATCCCTGTGGATTATGCCCTATTCGTGCATGTAAGCCATCGCTGAGAGCACCTATTGATCAATTTAAAATAAATACCTTGAGAGCAATTTTTTAACATTGCTTTTCTGTTAATGAATTCTAATGTTATGGAAATCTCTTCAAAATTTCTCCTCCTCCACAGTACTCCATACAGATATAGAAATTCATATTGTTTTAATAAACCTCGTAAAATTTAACAATATTTGGATGATCAAGTTTTTAAAGCACATAAATCTCATTAGATAGCTATGTTTCTTTTCCTTAAAGTTTTGCTTTTTCTACAATCTTTATTGCAAACAACTTCTCATCGTTTGATTTCATCCTGGCCATCATAACCTTTCCAAATACTCCCAAGCCCATCATCTTTCCAAATGTGTAGATTTAATGAATGTCTGTTGTGGATGTAAATATATTCACTCCATTAGATGTTTTGATGACTTATATCTTATTTAGTTTATTTGATTTTATACAGCAACCCATTTAATTTAATTAATACATCTATTTGAGTAAAATTTTTGCTTTAAAGATTTGATGTATTTTGATTTTAATTACTCTCTTTTTTTAATAATTGGATATTAACAAAAAATGAATAACGAAAGATGGAAGTTCATTTCTCTTCCTTAATCTACAAATCAATTTCAATTACTTCTAATTTTATAGGAACTTAGAATATTAATTAATTTAGAGAAAATTTCTAAAGTTAATTTAACCCAAGTATTCTCTTTTCTATTAGAAAAGAGAAGCATTATAGGAATTAAAATAAATGATTGAATAAATTATGAAAGAGATTATAATACAATCTCTATATATAGATAGAGTAATTATAAAAGTTTCAAATATGGATTTTTAATATAATTCATATATTACGTATATGTTCAGATTATTTGAGAAAATGAAATTGAAATATTCTAATCCACTACAATCTTTAATAAACGATTCCTTTGCTATTTAAAAAAGTAAGCTTAACCCTCTTTTGTATTTTAACATTGATAATTTAAGAATATATTTCATGTCAACTGCTAAGTTAGAAAATTATGAGAGTTTTTCCAATAATATAGCAAAATAATATATTTAGATACTGAGACCATAATGATCAGAATAGGATCTATCGTATAGTGGTTAGTACCTGAGGCTCTAACCCTCAAGACCTTGGTTCGAGTCCAAGTAGGTCCTTTTTTTAATTTGTATTTTTTTGAATAATAATTTTAACATATAATCAGATGTAAGTAGTATATGTATCTTACTATTACAAAAATCAATCATTTTACAATTTATTTAAGTGGACTTAGTTAAGCATCATCCTAATTCAAAGTAGAATTTTCTGGATTAAATCAAATAGAGTGGCATTAATTTGAACTTAATTTATGTCATTTGCAGTTTCAAGTCTAACTTCAAAGGAGAATTAAGGAATTTCTTACATTTGATTGAAGAACTATTAAAAGAAAAAGTAAAGGATGAGAAACGAAAAGAACAAAAAATATATTGAATAGTAGAGAAATATTGAAGAATAATATAAAGATATCTAGAACACCATATAAAGTGGATGAGAATAACAATAATGGTAAAAGGATTTGAATTGGATATGGTATTTTTAGAAAGAGAACTTAATTAGCATTAAAATAAATTAGAATAAAATCAAAGTAAGGAAAAATGTTCATTTTTTTTAATTAATATAGGAAATCAATTTATTGAGTCATTGCTTTATTCATTATGATTATTAAAATTTAAGGTTCTCTTTTATCTGCTACCTCTTCTAAACATTAAATGAGTTTTTGGAGGTTCAAAATAATCGCTATTTAAATTAGGCTTTTCCTGTGGACTTTTAGATATGATATTAAATTGTTTTCTAATTGGAATCACTTTTACTTCTTTAGCTACTTTTGGAGACATTTAAGTTTACTTTGAACTAATTCTGAACATAGCCTAATTCTAATTTAATGTTCCTAGAAATTATATAGGAATATTTCTATTAGACATCTGGTTTTCTCTATCAAAAAATGGATGTTGCAACAATTATTAACAAGTTCTAAATTTGGATCCTTAGTTAAAAATTATAGTTAAAAAATCAAAACATTAATCTGATAAAGGAGGATCAAGGAATTAAAAATCTGTAGTTCCTTAAAATTTATTCATTAGAGCATCACCTAATGCTTAATCAAAATGCATTTGATTCCCTGTCAACAAATTATGCATCACAATTCCCAAGGCAAGGACATCAAGTTTGATATAATATTATCTCTGTTTCTCAACATTTACTTATAAATATTGATAATCATCTTGTTCCAAATTCGTATGTTACTCAGCATGAGTGAGACCAATTAAACAGGGATTAGATAAATCATCCTTCTATTTAAGAATAACGTTTGAAGTACAAATTTATTTATGATATATTTTGAGATCATGTAGATACTAGACTGCTTGAAAGAGAGGTTTCATGACAATTAACACTTACTCTTCTTTTAGAGGTTGTGAGTTTTGGAAAAATTGTGAGAGTTTCTATCCTTTTAAGTATTCCTCTAACATATAAATATGATTGTTGCTTTCAAAAATTTCGTAAAAGTGGAGTAAATTAGGATGTTCTAGTTGCCGAATTATTTTCAACTCTTTTAAAAATTTCTTTGATTCATAATTATTTGTCAACAATCTTTTTTTATCAAATACCTTAACAGCAAATTCCTATTTGCTTACTTTATTCTTTGCCCTATATACCTATCAATTAAATTAAAACGAAATATACTATTGTTGAATATCCTTCTCCTAATTTGTTAAAGAGTTAATACTTCTAACCAAAATCTAGTTAGATAGTGTGCTTCTTTATTAAATTTATCCATTCATCCAATTACCCAAACATTTCAAAACTTGCCCCATTTTTACTAAGCCTAACTCCAAACAGTCCCGTCTTTGGATGAACTATTTTCTGCATACAAACATCTGTCAAATTTATGTATTTCTAATTAAGTACAGAATTTCATTACATCTTCTCCTAATTTAATAAAATTTTGGCATATTGACAACTATTTGATTATTAACCTGTTTTGATGACTAATTTAAAATTCACTTGAATATTGAGCTATAAATGGATCAGGACAAGATTTTTGAAATAAAGAAGTATGATTATTGAAAAAGGAATCAACTGAACAAATTTATAAAAGTTGTTGCTTTATCATAATATATTAATTGTTTATTAATTGTAATAAAGAAATAAATTGAAAGTCTCCAAGTGTTAGAGAATTCTTTACTTTAAAGAAATTGCATCTCAAAAATATTATTATCTTTTATAATTCCCTTTGACAAAATACTAAATTATTATAGTAGTTAAAGTATTAGAGTAAGATGAAATTTAAATAATATGCATATATTTGGATAATATATCATTTCAAATGCATATCCTTAATAGAAATGATTACTTATTGTATGAAATATAATATTGGTCTATTTGTGAAATAATTTTAATTAAAATTTTAATTTAAACATACATTTTCTCTGATAATATAGAAATTTGATATAAAACTGGAAAATTTTTGATCCGTTTGATTAAATATTTTTAGTTTAAGAGTTACGACAAGCGCTTCCATTAATAAATTCTATCCCTCATAGATATCATAAACGGGATCAGCATGAAATTAATATTTATTAGGTTTAGTTTTGTTGTAGATTATAATTTATTTCATCATAATGAAATTAAAAATATTAGACTTAATTTAATTTAAGAAACTGTACCATAAACATTCAGTCTTTCTTTCCTCTTGTTCAATCCAATAATATCTGAATTTGAAATTTGTCACACTTTTAACATCAAGATATTTTTACATAATAAAGTGTTACTTTGCATCTTTATTATAATTATGTCTCTCATAAGTTAATTATCTGCAACTTCAAGTTTATCCTTCTTAGTAAATTATTACATGTTGAAATAATTTGCTAAAAGACTCATTTTAATCTTCAAAATTGGATAAGTTAAATTACGGTATCGGTGTTTTTTGATTCATACTTTTTAAATAGATATCATTAAGATATTTGATATTATCATTTAGTTATCAAATAAAATTCTTATAATGATTGTTTTTTAAACTAAAACCATTTCTATTTTAAAAATTAAATGATTTGAATTTTTATGAGCTGATCAAATCTTGCATCCTGCTCATTGAAATATTGAGTGAGCATTCTCTCTAATTATTAATATTTATAAAGTTCTATTACTTCATGAATCTTATTGTAACAAAATTTATTAAGATAAAATTAGAGCTAGAAAATGTTTACTTTAATAATTGATACTTAAATAAGTGATATATATTACTAGCACATGAATCTGAATTAATATTTAAGTTCTGCAAAAATTATAGGCAAAAACATTAAGTATAACTTCTATTTCAACAAACAGAATTTTAATCATAAATAGATTAAAATTTGCCAATATATTCTTGAATTTATAATCGTTATTAAACGCTTAGAGAGTTGGGTGATATCCATTTAAATTAGTCAACTTGTATAGTTTTATTTGATGCTACATAAAAATATTTTAGATAGAACATAAATAAACTCTAAAATCTCTGTTGGGATAAGAATATTCTTGATTGTTATTCAATGTATTCAGCGTAATTTGAGGGTTTAGAGCAAATTTACAAATTAAAACTTTAATTAAGATGTCTCTTGTTTTGAGTTAAAATATATTAATGTTTAATTGAATAAGCTTTAATTATAAGTTGGAAGTATACTTGGGTGTTACAAAATATAAATTCCAATAAATTGTGATTTAAAATTATAAATAAAAAGCCTCACATAGAAGAAATACATTTTAAATCTTTTATTAAAAATATATTTTAAAAAAAAATATTATGGCTGACTTGAAAGAAAAGAAAGTAGAAGATGAATAATAAACCAAAAAAATTAGAATGATCGTTACATCTAGAAGCGCTTAAGATTTAGAAAATTTCACTACTTAAGTTATTGAAAAGGCTAGAGGAATTTAAGTAATGAATACATTTCAACATTAAGAGAGATTAAGGATAACAAGTTGTATTCAAAGGACCAGTCAGAATGCCAACAAAACACCTCAAAATGACTGTCAGAAAGAGTCCATGTGGTGAAGGTTCAAAGACTTGGGATAGATTTGAAATGAGAGTAATACAATTATATAAGGATTAGATTCACAAAAGAGTAATTGATTTCTAATGCACATTACCAACTTTCAAAGATATAACCAACTTCAAGATTGGCCCAGGAATTAATGTTGAATTAAACGTAGAATAATGATTCGTGACATTATAAGAAATAATACATTAAACATCAATACATTAATTTATATCTCATGACACTCAAAGAACTTTATTAATAATAATCAATAAATTGTAGTGATTATTTTTATGCAATTTTTTTGTTTAACGAAAGTAACGATCAAATCAGAGTGGATAAGAAACCAAGTAAAATTATCACTCTGATTGAAAAATGACTTCAAATGTTAATCAATTTATTTGAAAAATTCAAATGTTTTCTATTTCTGGTTTAAGATATATATACTTTTAATAATAATTAATTAATTTATATATTTTGTAAAAAGCATAAATGGATAATGAATTCTTGGTTTGAATTATTCTTAAAACTTTTATTTGTATAAGTTGAATCAAATATATTTGCAAAGTTGTGAAGCAGAAAGTAATAAATCTTATCAAGAAATTGCTAGGAATTTATAAGTTTATTAACTTGTATTCAACTGGCAAGTCAATAAACTATTATTTGCGGTGGCTTAATTATAAGCAAACCTTGTCAGTTTATATTAACTCTATTGTTTCGAGCTTATTATAATTATATTAATTATTTAATTGAAATATAGCTTGTATAAAATTTAAACCTGCGAGATATTTCAAAATAACAGATTAAAATAAATAAAAATGTGATGAAGTAATGATGCTGAAGAACATCCAGTATGATTATTATGCAATTCAACCTTTTTAACATCCTTTTAGAAACAATATAATCAGGTGTAAAAAGAGCTATTTAAACTTAGTTATCCTAAGTTCCCCTTAAATTTTATTATATTAGCTATAGGAATTTCAAATGAGAATGAAAATGTAAAATACTATGTATTTAATATAAATTAAACATAAAAATTTAAATAAAATTCATTGAATAAGCAATAAACACATTCTATATTATTAAAAATTCTCTATGAATTTCTTACAATTGGTAGGAAGGTAGAAAAATTACTGAAGGTTAAAAACATTTTTAAATGATATAGTATATACAATTTATTTAATTAATTCATTCATTATATACTACATTTAAATAGGAATATTCAATAGAACTCCAAGTTTATTATTTTTAATTTGAGTTTTGTTGACTATAATATAATAATTGAGTGGCTTTTCTGGTAACTATGAATGCTCTAAAATCTAGCTCTAACTTAACCATTATAAGTGTGATTGTAAAATGACACCTAATCTACGAGCATATTTATGGCAGAGATTGGTAAAGGTATCAGTCATAGACAACGTGGCCGAGTGGTTAAGGCGGCAGACTAGAAATCTGTTGGGGTTCCCCGCGTCAGTTCGAATCTGGCCGTTGTCGATTTTTTTTGTTAATTTAATATCATAAATTTTATATCTAATTTAATTAATATTAGGTTGAAGGAAAAGCATAAATTATATTAAATATAATATGTTAAGGTTTATTGGAAGGAATCTGAATCGCTATAATTTTTCAGAATTACAAAAATTTGGTAACTCTTTTCTTGCTGGTTCTAATGCAGAATATTTGGACAATTTATTAGATAAATGGTCTCAAGATCCAAATTCTGTTCCAGCTACTTGGGATGCATATTTTAGATAAGTGTGTGAATCTAATAAATTTGATTTTACACCTGAGCCATCTAAAGGATAGACGATTTCGTTTTAAGCAGATGTATTTTTGCATGTAAATTCTAAGCAAGTATCAGGAGTCAGAAAATTGTTATCAGATCATTTTAGAGTGAGATTATTAATCAACAAATACAGACACAGAGGTCATGAAAAATCAATGGTTGATCCACTAGATTTAGAACACATCTAGCAAATAGGAAAGGTTAAAGGTTATACAAAATTGGATTATCGTGAATATTTTACAGAAGAAGATTTAGACAGAGAATTTTATATTCATGATGAAGTAAGCTCAGGGATCTCCAAAGAAAAATAACGTAATTATTAGATTATTAATGTAGTTATGAAATTGAGAGATTTAATTAACTATTTAGAGAAGGCGTATTGTGGTAAAATATCTTATGAATATATGCATATTTAATCAACAGAAGAAAGGGATTGGATTAGGGAATAGATTGAGAAGTTTGAGGAGTTTCTACCGTCTAAGGAGTAAAAGCTGAAAACTTTTGAAAGGTAACACATCATATATTATATGGATTAGACTTGGATAAGAACATGCATTTAGTACCTTTTTACAGAAGAAATTTAATACTTCAAAGAGATTTGGTATTGAAGGATGTGATTCAATGATTTCAGGATTGTAAGCTCTGGTTGATAGTGCTGCTCAAGCAGGAGTGGAATATATAGTATTTGGAATGGCTCATAGAGGAAGATTGAATACTTTGTATAATGTTTTTTAAAAATCAGCTGAAGAGATTATGGTTGAATTTTAAGATTTAAAAGGAATATATAATGAAGACATATGGGGTAATTCTGGAGATGTAAAATATCATTTGGGAAGTGTACACAATGTTAAATTTGGAGAAAAAAAACTAAGATTAGAAATGCTACCAAATCCTTCTCATTTAGAAACTGTTGATCCCTGTGTATATGGCAAAGTCAGAGCTATTTAAGATTATCATAAGGATAGAAATGGAGACAAGGCATTTGGAGTATTGATTCATGGAGATGCTGCAGTTGCTGGTTAAGGCATTGTTTATGAGTCATTACAAATGGCAGATTTGGAAGGATATAAATCAGGTGGTATAATTCATATTGTGTCCAATAACCAAATTGGATTTACTACAGTGCCCAAAGATAGTAGATCAGGTTTATATTGCACAGATATTGCTCATGCTATTTAAGCGCCTGTTATCCATGTCAATGCTGATGAGCCAGAATTAGTAGATAAAGTATTTTAAGTTGCAACACTTTATAGAACTAAATTCAAAAGAGACATCTTCATCGACTTAGTTGGCTATAGAAGATATGGACATAATGAATAAGATTAACCTAAGTTTACTTAACCAATCATGTACGATAAGATTGAGAAAACTCCACCTGTTTTTGTCAAATTCGCAGAGAAATTGATTGCTTAAGAGATTGTAACAAAAGCTGAAGTAGATCAATTGATGAAAAAACATGAAGATAATCTAGAAGTAGCATATCAAAAATCAAGGAAAATGGATTATAATTTGAAAGATTGGCAACCTGTTCCTTGGGAAATGATTAAAGTTCCAACACTTTGGGGTAGAATAAAAGATACTGGAGTTCCAATTAATATTTTGAAATAAATTGGAGATAAAATAAATACAATTCCATCTGATTTTAATGCTCATCCATAAATACGTAAGTTTTATGAGGAGAGACTCAATTCAATATAGAAAGATCAAGGTGTTGATTTTGCTACTGCTGAGGCTCTGGCATTTGGAACATTACTTCATGAAGGATTTAATGTTAGATTATCTGGTGAGGATGTTCAAAGAGCTACCTTCTCTCATAGACATGCTGTTATTCACGATTAAAAAAATCCTAATGGTCCCTCTTTTGTACCTTTACATGCAGTCATACCAAAAGGTTAAGAAAATGATAGATTAAGCATTTATAATTCTCATTTATCAGAATATGGAGTGTTGGGATTTGAATATGGATATTCTATTACTAATCCAAATGCATTAGTACTTTGGGAAGGCTAGTTTGGGGATTTTGCAAATGGAGCATAAATTATTATTGATAATTACATTGCAAGTGCTGAATCTAAATGGGATGTCGATAGTGGATTAGTTATGTTATTACCAAATGGTATGGATGGATAAGGACCAGAACATAGTTCAGGAAGAGTGGAAAGATTTTTACAATTAAGTGATGATGATCCTGCTGTCTTTGAAAGAAATCTAGGAGGTAATTAAATATAAATATGCATTAAGTTCGACTTAAGAGACAGATGAGAAATTCAAATATGTAAATTGTTTAATGCACTACACCTGCTAATTATTTCCACTCCCTAAGAAGATAGTTGAGAAGAGATTTCAGAAAACCTCTTATTGCCATGACTTCCAAAAAACTGTTGAGACTCTAGGCTGCTAAATCTAAATTAAATGAATTCTCTGAATAAGCCAGATTCTCGTAAATCTATGATGATCCTTTCCCTGAATTAATCGATGAACCCAGTCAAATCCTAAGAGTGATATTGTGTTCAGGGTAAGTCTATTACGATATTCTTAAAAAAAGAGAGGATCTAAAAGTTAAAGTAAGCTATTCATCTTATTAAGAATACTGCTATAGTGAGAATTGAATAATTAGCACCTTTCCCCTACGAATTCTTATAAGCTGTTATCTAAAAATATAAGAAAGCTCATTTTATTTGGGTCTAAGAAGAACATCAAAATTATGGTCCTTGGTTTTTTGTTAGGCCAAGAATTTAAAGTGTTATCTCAAAAACTTAAGGCTTAATTCAATAGCAAATTTAATATATTGGCAGAAAACCAAGTGGATCACCAGCTACTGGATTCCATTAACTTCATGAAAAAGAAGTTCAAGCCTTCTTAACCAAGGCTTTTGAATTCTGATAAATTTTTAAATAACAATTCTAAATACAGTTATTTTTTGTAATTATTCATTTGCTAGGCTCTATTTCTGTTTGTTTGTATTTATTTTAAAAACTTCTACAATAAAGATTATTTGTGTTTTTAAAGCAGACTTTCTGTTCCAATAAATCTAATATAATGAAATTCACAATTAATAATAGACCTAATAACTTGAAAAATAAAAAAAATCAGCTTTCATAACTATATATTTGTAAGAACAAAAGCAGAATAATTCAAGATTAGATAATTAAGTATAATTAATACAATAAATAATTAATTAGTATATACACAAATCATAAATTTCTTAATTTTTCTACTCCATTAAAAAAATAATTTGTAATCTTTATGATAGCTTGTTCTTTTTTTTATTGTACATTTTTGAATGAATGATGAGCCTATTTTCCAAATGTCTTAATGATTTGATATCCTTATAGTAAGTTACATTCTCTGGGTTATTTGCGTTTTATTAGTTTTGGTTTATATCTATAATGGTAAACTGGTAAAGAAGTGACGTTTTCTTCTGCATAATTCTCAAAATTATTTTTTATTTAGGGATCTTATTAGCCTTATAATGATGAGACTTATTCTTTTAGAGGAGTAACTTCAACCAGATCTGAAATTACTTAAATTGGCTAAATATTGTCAGTATTAAATTCCTCTTCATCATCATCAGATGCCAAATTGAAGTCAACAATAGAGGTTTCTGAATTAGAATCATCCATTTCTTTGAGTAAATCGTCCATTTTTAAATTAAATTATGTTAGAACCATTTAATATTTGTTTGGCTTAAAAACTATTGAAGAGAAAAAACTGAAAAATAAAGTTTAATTTTTATTTATTATTTAGAAAAAACTCAACAGAAGAAACTTATTTTATCTTATATGAGATTTTTAAAAAGAAATGATTTCAACTTAAATTTTATAATTTGTCATTTTAACATTTGTTTTTGTTATTAATATATAATTGAATTTCAACCTCAATCATATTTTCAGAAATTATTTAATTTGATAGAAAAATATCTAAAAGATAGAACTTTAATAATCAAAGAGAACAAACTTAAAAAGTCTAAATGAATTACTTTTTATTCGATAAGTTAAAATTTAAATATCAAGGTAATTACTATTTCTTATTATCATAAAAGTATCATATTAAGAATATATGATTTCAAAAATACTTTAACCTGAATTATCGTTTTATTAATAATTTTTTTTGCTTAACATAACATACTCAATGCTGTGTTTAGGGTTATAATCAGGTAGAAATTGATTGCCTATTAAGATATTTTTACCATAAGGCCTTTAAATTTCAGTTAGATCTGAATTTAGAAAAACAAATGATCGATTAATATATGATTAAGTATTTGTTAAAATACAGAATGATAAGATTAAATTAAGTTTATGATTTTACAAATTAAAAAGTGAAGTCTCTCACTTTAAATAAAGAGATATGAATATAACTAAATAATTCATACTTTGCAGCAACAACATGTTTTCTCTCTAGCTTTCATGCTACGGGAAGTAATATGTTGGTTCAAGTGAGCATAACATTGGGATGACCATTGTTTCACATCCAATTGATATAACTTTTTTGATTGGTCAGGATTAAGATCAAGAGCTTCAAGCACAGTCTCCAAATATCGTAGTGAGGATTGGTATTGGAGTTCTAAATGAAGACCTTCAAGTGTCTTTAAATATATTTTTTAATACCTTGATATCCTTATAAAGAGTATTAGCAACATTTTCTGGAGTAGTATTATATATCGAGTAAAAATCTTATGAAGTAAAGTTGATTTAGATTAAGTTATTCAAAATAGTATTTAGGCATTACATCATTTCCTCAAACATACTTAAGAAGTTTTCAAGCAATTTGAGTTTCTCAGAGATCGGCATCAGACCTATCAAGTTATGATATTTAATAACCTGCCATGTTTTCCATAAATCTTTATTCAGTATATTAACCATAAAATTCTAAATATTGGATTTTGTTCTTCTCAATAATTTCATATGACGATTAACTAGGTTCGCTAGGAACAACAGAGAAATGTGCCTTAGACGTTTGAGATTAATGGAGTCTCTAAACAGTAGTTTGATCAGGATCAACTATTGAAATTCCATTTTAAGTGTTTGATGGAAATATTTTTTTCATATAAATTATTTTTATTAATATACTTGTTAAATAAAATGAGCATATCCAACCACCAAATCTTAAAACATTTAATCAGTTATGCTTTGTACTATGCTAATTAATGTCAACCCTTTTATTTCCAGTATTAAAGGTAATATTAAACTTTTTATTATTTAATTCGAATATACAACATTTAACCAATTCCAAGAATTTTTTATCACAATATAAATGGAATTAGTATTGATTTTATCAAATTTCTATAAATAGATTTAATTTATATGGTTGTAAACTTTATTTAATGTTAGAATAGAAGTCTTATAATAACTAATTTACGATCTTAGATATATCGTCCAAGCAATTTTACACTTGAATATGTAAAATATAATTCAATAAACTTAAGCTTAGAATTTAAATGTAAAAATTGATTTTAATTTAACATATACTAATTCATTGAGTTTAAGAAATTTTGTGGATTCTTAACTACAAGATGATTATTTAAGAATCTTCTTTATCTAGTCAATTATTATTGGTAATATTTATGAAATCATACTCTCATTAATTATGAATAATTCTTAGTTTCATTATAACTAAAATGATATATGTGTAAAATTAATCATAAATGAAGAGAATTACTTTCATATTATGTATTTTTATAAACGAGCATAAAATTCAGATATGTAATAAAATTTAATCCCTTAATCTTTGCCTGTATTTTAAGTAGAGTATGATTTCATAAGCCTTCTCATAATGTTCATTTGAGATATCATTAATAATTTATTTTGTCATTTTTTCAATCTCCTTACTATTCTTTTGATTAATTTATGCTATGTTTTCTCCTCTTTACACTTGGGATTATAATTCTAGGATTTCTTCCATAAATTCTAGGTCCAATAAAACACTACATTCTTTAATTTAAAAGCCCCTTAGAGATAACTAAATTACATAGATATATTACAATGTACTCAGCCCTCTCATGAATATTTTTCAAAACTGAGTAGGCTTCATTAATGAAAGCAGAATATTCTTGACTATAAGAAATATTAATTGGAGGCATAGTCACAAATCTGTCAGGATGAAATTTTAATTGCAATGATCTATATTTATTTTCCAAATATCTGGTCTCTACATTAATGTTAATTGGCAAATCAAAAAGCTCAAAGTAATTAACATCCTATAATTGGATAGATGGCTCTTTTAAATATTTGCACTAGCCACAAATAAATCTGTTTATAAACTCATTTGACTTGCAATTCCAACATGTGACTTTTGAGGGAACAAATTTATTAAAAGAAAAGCGAATTATAGATTATAGCATAAATAATAATTTATTTTATTAAAAAAGTATTAAAAAAAATAGATAAAATTAAGAAGGAAGAAAGTGGAAGAAAATGATACATACTTAACAAATAATTTTGGCAAATCTTTAATGCAATATATTATTGTGATGAAAAAAATAAATATATAAGATCATTCCATTTAAATAATATTATATTGCCTTCTAATGATTATCATTATGCTTTAGGATTCTTCATTGTAATACATGATTCAATAAAATTTGGATAAGTCAGTGCAAGTATCTTATAATTAACACATACATTTCCATTAGTAAAAATTTATCTAAAGCTGACACTCTCAATAAATTTTTAAATTAAAAAACTTACAATCAGATTACAAAAATCTTCAAGGGTTTTTGGAAAAGGAAAGAATCAAATATTTATAGATGATAATCAAATTCTTTCTATTGACAGGGCCATTTCTATTAAATATTTATCTATTCTTCAAATAAATAATTCTTCAAATGATAAAATAGAGCTTAGTTATGTGTTCTGCTTTATTTTATATAAGATTGTCCAATGATGAATAATGTATGTTTTATGTTATTAATTTTTTATTTATTGCCAAACCATTGCTTCATTCAATATGAGTAATTTAATATAGATTGACCAAGTATTTATTGAACAATTTGAAATCTTACAACAATGTAATCGAGTTTTTCGTTCAATTCTTATTCATTTTTCCAATATGCCCTAAAGTAAGGTTGGCCTTTATCGTAATAACCATCTCATCACTTGATGGATTATTATGGATAGAACACTCATATAGGAGAAATCATAGGCTCATGAAAAAAATAATAATTTCTGAAATTACTATGACACTTTTGATTCCCATAATTAATATTTATACGATTGATCAATAAATAAGGAAACGCTTGGTAAAGAGGGAATAATGATGATAATTTTATGAAAATCATGAATAACTGAATGGAATTCTGCTTCTCTGATATTTATTTTTTATATGGACAAATAACTGAAATATATTAAGGAATCTCCTATATCTTAAAAATAGTGCTTGAGGGTGCCAAAGTACAAATTTATCTGCTGCTTCATATTATGGATGTTGCTGCTCATATACCTAATTTAAGAATGGAATAATCAGTTACCCAAGATCATCATTTCAAGAATTTATCAAGCAGATCTCTTATCACAGAATAAGGGTATTTAATTGAAATTTCTGTCTCAAACTCTTTAATCCTTTGATAATGTATTAGTTGTAGTTCATAATACAAACGAAAGTGATTAATAATTAATCCAATCCAACAAAGAAGGATCATACAATATTCCCTTTGGATAATTTGAAATATAGATATGCAATGAATCAAATCACAATATTACTTGTGCAAATCAAAATTAAATTGCAGCCATTTTGGGTGATTCAATAGAAATAGAAATATTATTACAAATTACTCAATATAATTATGAGGAGTAGACATTTTTTTAAGTGCCCAAATCCTTAAAATACTACATTCATAAGAATACTCAACAACTCGGTCATATATAATACTAAATAGTATAGACTGAAATTAGGAGCAATGATCTTTTTACGCAAAGTTAAACTTATACTCAAATAGAAGACGCTGTACTGACTTTTTCATCTGTGAATTATGCATCATATACATTGAGTAAAATGAAGATTGGAGTGGATCCAATAATCACTAAGAAGGTAGTGGCTTATGAAAAATTTTATGTTTTCGCACTCCAACTAATCTCGATGAGTTCAATTATTTATTTCATAAACTTGATGTTGAAGAATCTTTAAAAAATCAAAAGGAAGAAGTTGAAACTATTGGACATCATATCAATTTACTTTCCTTAGGTCTAAGATTATAGAATTAAATTTAATTTCTTAGGGTAAATTAGTTCTGTAACCACTCTGGATGGTGAAATCAGAAACCTAAGGCAATGGAGATAGTTTTATTAGAAATATTCACAATCTGCTAAAGAAAAATTGAAATTAAAGAATATCATTTATTATATTTCAAGGTAAAAGTGATCGTTGATAATAGATTGCAATACATATGTATGTCCTTACAAGATAGAGATGCGATGATGAATGCTCACACTTTGGGAATCAAATTAAATTTGCAACAGGAAATTCAAAATGAAACCACTACGATAGAGTTAAATGAGATAGATGATCCAATTGTTCTAAGGGGATCAGACATGGATTTGTTGAGCCAGCCTACTGGACCTATATTTCTGGGAGAAAGCAAAATTGGATTTTATAAGAGAAATAGGGGATAGAATATGAATAAGAAGTTTTAGTTGATTTGATTTTAAAATTTAAGATTTTATTTCGCTTTAAAATGTCTTAAAAGAAGCCACAAATGCAAGTTGAGTAAGTTTTTGGATTAGATGGTGTAGATAAAAGGTTCCAGAAAACATAGTGAAGAAGAGTGCAAGAGACACCAAATTGAGAGAAGCTGTTGCTAAGAGAAGAACAGAGAGATTAGCTGCAAATAAAACAAGAAGAGCTTAATGGGAAAAGACAGCTTAAGCCTATGAAAACGAATACAAAGCTGCTGATAAGAACCTAGTTGATAGCTTACGTAAGGCAAAGACTGAAGGTGGATTCTATGTACCAGCAGAATCTAAATTGATCTTGGTGGTAAGAATCAGAGGGTATCGAATTATGATATATATAACAGTATCAACACCTTGAATCCACAAGTCAGATAAACTTTAAGACTTTTGAAATTGAGATAACTTCACAATGCAGCCTTTGTCAGAGTCAACAAGGCTACAATTGAAATGATCAGAAAGGTTGAGCCATATGTGACCTATGGATATCCATCAAGAGCTGTCATCAAGAATCTGATTTACAAGAGAGGATATGCCAAAATTAATGGTCAAAGAATTCCAATCACAAACAACAACATTATTGAATAATCATTAGGAAAAGTCGGAATTCACAGCATTGAAGATCTCGTCCATGAGATTGTTACAGTAGGAGCTCATTTCAAGGAAGCAAACAGATTTTTGTGGTAATAAATTCATTTATTAAATCTTAAAGGGCATTCAAATTGAGAGGACCAAGAGGTGGCTTTATTGCTAAGAGAAGATCATTCATCAACTAAGGTGATTGGGGAAACAGAGAAGATCTCATCAACGATCTTGTCAAGAGAATGATTTGATTGAACATTAATTATATATACATTAATAAAAAATATCAATTATTTAACAAAGTTTTCATATTATATCGGGAATTGGTGATCACTTCTATTATCTTATTTGTCATTAATAAATCTCTACGAAATGTATTCCATTAAGTTCTTTAATTCTTAAATGATAAACCATCTAATTCAATAATGAAAAGGGGTCATGATCAAATCAACTTTACTGTTTTTTATCTTCAATATTATTATTAATTAATTATTTTAGAGAAGAATGCTATAACCAAGACCCCCATTTCCATCAGGACAGATGGATTTGATTTTAGGAAAGACTGAAACCTACGGAGCATTATTTTTAAGTGGAATTGAGGCTGCTTTGAATCCATAATTATTGCAATAAAACTAGATCGGAGCAGTGCTAACAGTGGGTACGGAATTGGCTAACCTCAAATTCGATTGTGAATAAAAAGTAGTTATGCTGACCATCTTTAGTTGATTATGTTACATGATACTGCTTATGATCCTATCAGAAGACATTTCGAGGAGGCCATTCATTTTATTGATGAATAACGAAAAACTAAGAATGTTTTAGTCCACTGCTATGTCGGAGTTAGTAGAAGTGCTACCTTGGTGATAGCATATTTAATGCAAATATACAATTACTCACTTCAAGCTGCACTTACATTCCTCATTAGCAGGAGACCTCAAATCAACCCAAATCCAGGGTTTATGCAACAATTATAATAATTCGATTTCGAATTAAACAGAAGGAGACAACAAAGACCTGCTAGTACTTAGTATGGTAGAACCTACAATGACAGAGATAGAAGAGAATCTATGGAAGTAAGATCAACTAGATAATTTCCAAATTAAAGTCCATTAAAAAGAGTCAACCAAAAAGCTATGTCAACCAAATCATTATTTTTGACTCCCAAAAAAAGCGAAACTTAAAATTATTTTAATTTTACACCTGCCGTTAAACCAAATAATTCAATGGAAATTAAATAAATTATCAAAAGTGCATAAAATTTAGACAGTGCTGTCTTAAGATAATCAAACTACTTTGGAAACAATACCAAAAAATTAGCTGAAACTGCAATCAATGGATTCAAATCTGCATCCTCATTCTGTAAGACTTTCTCAAATCATTTTCCAATGGCCAAAACTCAAATGCTAGCATAAACCTAAACATTACTAAAGAGAACCCAAGGCTCTGGATTATGTCATAAGGGAAGGTAGCCAATAAGAGCGTAAACTAAGATTGAATATAATATATGATGTCATTTTAAATCATTATACTTCCAAAATGTTCCATCAAAAATTATGATTCTTCTTTGATCATAAGCACAATTGCCTTGATTATCCAACACCACATTCTGTAAAGCCAAAACCCTTCCTTGATGAATGATTGGCACATTATTCCAGAATCCTTCAGCTTAAGGAAGCTATTTGGTTTGAACTACTTTTGCTGTCCTGTCATTAATCTCTAAAACAGTGCATTCTTTTGAGCCTTTATTATTTTCTAAATATCCACCAAATATCATTAATTAATTTTATTCTATTTGAATTGAACACATCATTGAAGCCATAGAAGTCAATTATGATGTCACACTGCAAGATACCCAAGTGTCCTTCTGTAAAAATTCAATCTATTAATTAATCTACATGTTTTGCACTAATATAAATCTAACATAATACTTATTCCACCAACAACTGTAACTGTATCATTAAATATACTAACACTAGGAGACCCTAGAGCATAACTTAAATTTGGTAATTTTATTACTCTTTTGTTTAGACAATCAAAGGATTCGCATTAATTTGTTATTTACAAGTTATCTAAATATCCACCGATAATAAAAAGTTGATTTTCTTTCCAAATTAAACCATGTGAACTTCTACCACTATTCATTTATCCGATTTCTTATAATTGATAATTAGAAAAATTGAATTGATAAATTGTATTGCTCTTCTTCTTATTTGGCAAAGACCCTCCTGTTAAGTAAATCTGTCCATCGGGAGTTATTAATGATTTTGAAAATGGTAACACTTCAACATAATTTGATATTTAAACAGGCCTCCACACTTAATCAGGTAAGCTCAAATCAAATAACCAAAGCACTGATTTTCCAGTCTCAAAAAAGTGCAATAATTTATATTTATTTCTAAAGAATTCATTTTGTTAAAGATATGTTTCTTAAATAATTTATGATATCTAACTAGTATTCAATAACAAATTAGTTTACAATGGAATAAAGTCAATTTATACATAATTATACAAAGCTTATTAAATATGTTGTAAATTAGTTTAATTAACCTTGATCATAGATGGATTGGTTTTTATTGCAAATTTTATAAATTTTTCATAACCTTCTTAAATTTAAGCTAATTTTTTTTTATGTCCAAACTGCAAACATTCTTTATCGTATTTATTTGATTCGAACTTTCCAATCCAACGTATAAATTCTCTAATTCATTTATAAAATTCTAAACATTCTCCTATTGCTGAATGAAAATTTATTAGGAGTTAGTCTATGATTCTAAGTATTGCTTATATTGATCCTCCAATAATATAAAGTATTGATTAACTAAATTTATTACATTTTCTTTGGCCTTTTTTATATCTTTTATTGTCTAATCTTCGTATTCAGTTTGCCCATATTAGTTAACCATGGTTTAAATCTTTTACATTTCTACCAAGCCTGATTTTATTTTTTTTTAGCATTACTATTTCACATTTACAAAGCTTTCAATATCCGCATCAGTAGACAATTAATTATGATATTTTTTATGCGATTCAATACATTCTGCACACAATGCCTTTAAACAATCTGCTGTTTGACAAAAATTAGTCAGTTATTCGTTAGGGTGATTTAAGCAAAATTGTGTTACTAAGAAACTTTAAGCCATCGCTTCACTCATTAATATCAATTTATTAATTTATATAAAAATAAAAATAAATAAAATTTCTGAGTTGATATTTTAGGATTAATAATAATTTATTTAAAAATTTCTTTAGAGAATCGTTATTTCATATTCGTTAATCAAATTCTTAAATTGCTTAAAAATATCTGATATTTTAGATTGTCATTCTAGGAGGAAGACAATTAAATAAGTTTTAATAGAATAAATATTATTTGATATTATCACAATTATGTAATTTAGGCATAATTAATAGATAATAGAGAAATACAAAAAAGTTTGAATTTCATGTATATCTATAATTGCAATGGGTGATAATATTTTAGAAAATTTGAAATTATGACAAATTCATAGATGTATATCAGCTAAATTTACATCTATATTCTTTTAATCAATCATTTTTTAAAAATAGAAGGAAAGAAATTATAAAAAATAATTCCAAATATTTGTTTGGATTGATTAAAGATGAATTGGTTATTAAATAAAGAATTTTGACAATTTAAAATTAATAACAGATGGAAAGGTATGATAAAATTTATGGTCTAAATGATAGACCTAAAAAAATAAATAGACAATACAAGTTGCTTTTTAGATAAAAGATACAAACTCTATGTTTAAAGACCACAATTTATTGTAGAGTAAATAGATTCAGAATTGGAAAATCAGGAAATATTACTTTAAACAGTGTAGAATTATTAAAAATTATTATTCTAGAACATTTATTTAACGAAATAAATCCTAAAATTAAATGCATATAAATAAAATTATTCCAAATGTCATTCTACCCAGGATTCTACCCATAATACACACAACCCCTTGCAGCATCCTTTGCAGCCCCTCTTGCTTATCCTTAAGCCTCATATGTTAGACCTGTTGCAACCGCTCCTATTTATACAGCTCCCGCCCCTATTTACACCGCTCCTGCCCCAGTTGTCACTCAATCCGTAGTCCAACCAGTAGTTTAATCAGTTGTGCAACCAGTCGTTGCAGCTTAACCAGCAATCAAGGGAGAATCTAGAGTTGAGTATAGAGAGTATCAGAGACCAGTGGTTGAGTATGAGACTGAGACCATTGAGGTTAAAAAGCCAGTGACAAAATATGTTACAGATTATTACCCTGTGGAATATCAAACAGACTACATTCCAAGAACAGTCTACGAAACATAAACAGAATATGTACCTGTGTAAAAAACAGTTCCAAGAGTTGAATATGAAGCAGTCGAGAGAGAGGTCTAAAGAGTTGTAAGAAGTATTGGTGAAATATTTAGCCTGCTGCCCCTGTTCAATATGCTCCTGCTCCTTTGACTTATTCAGTTGTCTAGCCAGTTCAATCAGTCGTCACCTAACCTGTTGCTTAATATACAACTCCCTTGACATATTCCACAGTGAGACCAGCATATGGATATCCCTATTATTATTGATTGGCTAGAGTCTTATATAAAAATCCAAATTATAAATAAATTTTTCTTTATGAGCTAAAGTAGTTAGCAAAGAGTATTTATGAATAGATTTGTTGTTAAAAAGAAGATTTCATCCGGGGCGTTTGGAGTCGTCTATTTGGTGTTTGATAAATAAACAAATCAGGATGCAGCATTAAAATTGGAGAAAGAGGATAATGAGGAGATGAGATCTCTGGAAAGAGAAGTTGAAATCTTGAAATAATTAAATGATGCTGAAGGTACTCCTAAGTTGATTTGGTATGGAAATGAAAGTGAATTCAACATTATGGTTATACAATTGTTAGGAAGAGATTTAGCATATTATTTTAGATAGTAAAAGAAGTTCAGTTTAAAATGCACGATTCAAATTGCTCATGATTGCGTAGTCATCCTCAAAAATATCCACAATAAAAATGTAGTTCATAGAGATCTCAAACCAGAAAATATATTAATGTCAAAAGATAACGAGAACATATACATTGTTGATTTTGGCATTAGTAAAATTTATTGCATTTAAGGAGAACATATGTAATTTTCAATTCTATTTGCATTTCAGGCCTTTCAGAAATGACAAAACCTTTATGGGCACACCTAGATATGCATCTGTGGCTGCTCACTTGGGCCATGAAATCTCAAGGAAGGATGATTTGGAATCCCTTTTTTATGTAATTTTATATTTTCTTCGTGGCAGTCTACCATGGTAAAATTTACCAGTCTCAGAAAATGAAAGAACTAAAGCTGTTGGAGAAATCAAATCAAACATTGACTTAAAGGAATTATGCATTAATTAACCACATGAATTGGTCGAAATACTTTAATATTTGAAATCCTTGAAATTCTTAGATCAACCTAACTATTAATATATCCTATAACTTCTTAATTAAATTGCAGAAAATAACCAATTTCTATTAGATGGAATTTATGATTGGACTGAAGGATTAATAAAGTCAACCAAAAAGTTTAGCTCTTTAGAATCTAAAAAGTCATTTGAATTCAATAAAATTAAAGAGTTATCTCCTGGAAATCTAATGAAAAGCTCCTCAAAACTATCCCAATAGATCATTTGGACAGTCAATGATCAATTATAGCATCCACAAGTTGCGTATATTTTAATTAAATCTAGTCCGTCCTCTCAGCATCACCTTTTGTTACCTCCTGATCCAAATAGAAAGCCTGGTTAAAGAACTGATCTAAGGCATTTATCTAATTCATCCTCAAACTCAAATGTGGGAACCTTTAGTTCAATGATACTTAAATATTTGCCTTCCCAAATTGAAATAGAAAAACCCACCTTTTTTCCTAATTGGAATAAAACAGATAGACAATAAGAATCTTAATATTAAGATTTGATGGATGAAAACAATTTTGAGATTCCTTTGAATTAGAAATACGAAAGCATAATCTAAAGTTAAGCATTGGAGTACAATTACTCATATATATATTAGCTATCACAACAAATTTAATAAATTCCTAGAAACCTCTAATTGAAAATAATTATTAATATATGTTTTATAATTTTAATCTAAGTTGCTTAATAAGTTAAACAGAATAAAATCCCAAACATTTTTATTGAATAGAATAAATACTACGAATGAAAATACGGATAATTTACAATATTGGTTCAAAGATAAAATTATTATAATTTTAAATACTCTGTATTCTTCTTTCTATATAGATTATTACAACATAAGGTATGAGTATGGTATTACAATATTTATAGTTAAATTAAGTTATTCCAAAATAAAAGACTTAATATTCTATATGAAAAGTAAATGTAATTATTTATTAAATGAAATATTTTCTCTCATTATAAATTTAAGAAATGGTTTTCTTAATCCATTATTTAGTACTTTAATATAAATACTATAATTTATCTACAAATTCAAAATATATTTCATTTGATGACCACCCAATAATCCATAATTATTGGTTTTCCAAGTTATTTATTAACAAAATTAAATTAATGTAAAATAACGATCCAATCCCATTATATTTGCTAACAAAAAAAACTAATGTAGATCACTTAGTTGGGTCTAAAGCATCCAGAACACATACTAGTAAGATTAATGTAGAAATATTCAAGGAGTAGAGACAAAAGTGAGCACATCAATTTCAAATTCTCAGAATAGTCAACGCAAAACATCTTACTATAATAGAGCTCCATTATCAACAAAAAATTCATTCAGCGTTCATGTTGATACTGATGAAGGCGGAGGAGTTAAAAAAATTTAGAGTTATCAAAACATTAATAATAAGATGGAGAAATTTTCATAATAGAATAGACATCTAATTTGTAAATTTTATGAGGGCATTTATTTAATTGGAAATACAACTCTTGGCAAAACAGAGATACTCTATTAATATGGTGGATGTCATCTTGAATAATTGTTACCCGATCTTGTATTTCCCTATGGAGCAAAGGATGTCTAGAAAAAGTTATCAGATTCTCAAAGTGAAATCAACGAAATCCTTTATAAGAGACATGTCTCAGAAAACAATCCAAATTGCTTTATTCTGCCAATAAAAACTTCAGAGTCATTTGAAAAAGCATGTAATAACTTAATTTATTATAGAGTATAATAGTAATTAATTAGCTTATTGTATTTGTTTATCAATACAAGATATTTGTCCATCAAAGAATAGTTATTTGAAGTGCGAAAGAGTACTCTGCATAGTTTCATATTTGCCTTTGATAAAATATTTTATTGATTTCTTGATAGAAGTCATGAGTATGAATATTGAATTAATTAGATTGTGCCAAAGAGGAGAGATTTAATAATTTGACATTCACATAATACATTCAAAAATGCCCTCTTTTTGAAACTCTGCCTATTTAAATTCCAAGCCAATAAATACCATAATCTTATTATGAGTTCCATGATTACCATGTGAAATAGTTAAAAATACTAAACAATGCCCTTAGTCTAGGATTGGTTGCAATAAATATCATTTTAGAGAGATCAGTGATATTTGTAGCCCCAAATGTATAATAATTAGGAGCAATCCTTATGCTTTTCTTAAAACATGTGAAATGGATTCATTAGATGGTAGCTTCGATTCCTCCAAAAAATATCGAACTATTGAATGTGCCTGTTCCCTTGTTAGGAGGATTAGTCCTAGATGATTATCAGTGTGTTGAATAATTAATTGATGAATATCCAAATGTAGTTTTTGTGGACCTCTTTAAGTTAAATAATATTTAATTTTAGTTAGCATGTCCGAAATTCTCAAGATTTCACGAAAAGTCTTGTATATATATTTTTGGTCAGATAATTACAAGGGAAATCGTATTATGAGATGGGATAAATTTTAGGACAGTTTTAATAAAACTTAGTCTAAGAGACTACAAGAGACGAGTATATAATAAAAGAATTCAGACAAACTCAATACTTTCATGAGATGGATTAGATGAAATAGTCAATGAATGTAAGAAATATTCCTTCAATGTCCCAACATGTTAAAAGATAATAATAAACTTTTAGAAAGTTTTGAATTAATTTTATTTTTAGATAATTTTTAAATATTTTTAATTTTAATCTTAAAACCCAAATTTATTTTATATAATTGGTTCCACAAAGAATAATAATCTGTAAATGAAATTAACTTCTTTAAATTTGATTTTAATTATTAGAAATTGTATTTATCGCGTTCAAATCGAGATTTATGTTTAGATACTTTATTCATTAATATTCAAAATTTTGATGTAATAAAAGCTGTGGATACCCATTCCACACGATTTTAACATTTAAAATTAACGGGTTTACATCTAGGGAGAGTTTACAAAAGAAAATGGGAAGGTCAGAGTCCTCTATGGGTATGATTAATACATTCTCTCTTCCAAAGTAATTAATTAATGAGTTATATTAGAGAGCCTCCCAACCTAAAAAGTGCTTAAAACTTGAATTCGATGTCAAATTTGAAATATTGAGAAAGCCTATTCCAAAAAAAGACAAGGATGATGATAGTTTAGGTCCCATAATAGGATTGCAATTGTTAAGAGATAATAATGAGAACATGGTTAAATTGAGACTTAATGCCGACTCTTAGCAAATCTTAGCATGGAGATCCTATCTTGTACCAAGAATAAACTAATGGTAATTTCATAACATGTTCAGAGTTTATAAAAAAATAGGGAAAGGAAATTTTGCATCTGTAAAAACTTCTAACTTATTTGTAGGTTTATTAAGCAGAGAGGATAGAAGATAATTAATCGATGGCAATAAAAGCATTTGCCAAATAGGGAGCTTATAGAGAAGAAAATGGAAAAAATTCAATTATAAATGAATTGAAGATAATGAGGTAATTAAATAATACGCATCTAATGAAATTATATGAAGTCTATGAAACTAATAATTCATTATATGTAGCTATGGAACTATTAGAGGGAGGATCATTATATGATTTAATCAAAGATAAGGTTAAAATCAATCTGAAGTAAATATAACAGATAATTGTGGGCATTCTGCTCGGACTATAAGAGATGCACAACAAGGAGATTATGCATAGAGATTTGAAACTAGAGAATATTCTATTCAAAAAACCAAAGTATATGTTTAACTATTCTATTAAGTAAGATGGAATCAGTTGTAATAGCTGATTTTGGATTGGCAACCTATGTAAACGAGCCAGAGTATTTATATTGTCGATGTGGAACTCCAGGGTTTGTGGCCCCAGAAATAATCAATATTAAGGATATGAAATCTAAATATTCTTCTGTCTGTGACATTTATAGTCTGGGATTAGTATTTTATCTATTGCTTACTGGAAAATCTGCTTTTAATGGAAAAAGCTATTCTACAGTAGTAAAATAGAATAGAGAAGCTAATATCAATTTCGATATCAAATAGTTACAGAATTTACCTGGATATGTTGTAGATTTACTTAAATAAATGCTTGAGAAAGATCCAAAAAAGAGAGTCAATGTTGAAAGATGTCTGAATCATATTTTTTTATATGATACAGCTAGATAAATGATCGAAGATGAAAACCAGGATGACAGTTTGGATGAGATTGATGAAAATATTCAAATTTAATCAATGAATGATAAGTACCATTTATTATATCTTAGTTTTTCGTAGTTTGACTTAACAAAAAATGTTTACTCACCTTCCTAATCACCAGGATTGGTCTAATCTCCTGGATTAGTGTTGAGGAAGGAGATTAAACAATAAAAATAAATAGATTCGTAAAAGGCTGTAGTCGCCGATTCGCCATTAATAAAAGGGAAAATCGAGTCTGTTGACAGTGCAAAGACTATAGGAACTCCAACAAAAAAATGTAGTGTATTTTCACCATCACCTACATTAAAACCATCTAAATTTTCGAAGCAAACACAAAACAATCCATTATTAAAGTATGCTAAAAAAGACTGAATAAAATATCAATAAGAAATTAATATATACATTTCCTTTTTTGAGATTATTTCAATATTTCCATTTCTCTGAATGATTTATGAATTGATGTGCTCCTAATTATTATTAATATTGTCAAATGAAATTCAAAAAATTATTCATCCAATACAAATTCAGTTATAAAGAAATTCTATATAAATCTATAAATACTAGATAAGATTGAAATACAAGCTAGAGTGGATACAAATTTCTAGGAAAGATCAATAAGTCAGACAATAATTGACTGCAACTTGTCGTATTATATAAAGCATTTTGAGTTATTCTCTCATATTAATTTGTATTTAATAAATATACAAACTGATCTCAATATATATTTAATTATAATCAGTTTAAAATTTTAGATATGCAAAGTTTTGATTAACGTAGTTTAGTGTAATTTATATTCATCATTTTATCCAACAGAATAATAATATTAATTTATCTTTGCAATGAATCAATAAATAGTGAGCCACAGTATTTTAGAAATCAACCACTACAATCGAGTATTAGAGGGAAATAAAAGATATGTGGCAAAAAAGATGGCAGAAGACCCCTCATACTTTAAGACCTTATCGAAAGGGTAGAACCCAAAATATCTACTTATTGGCTGTTCTGATTCAAGAGCCCCTCCTAATGAATTGACAGAGACTGATCCTGGAGAAATTTTTATTCATAGAAATATTGCCAACTTAGTTATACCTACGGATTTAAATGTAAGAGTCTCTTTGATTCTTAAAGCTTAATTGTGTTATTCAATATGCAGTAGAGCATTTACATATTCATAATATTGTGGTGATGGGACATACTTGCTGTGGTGGTGTAAAGGCAGCTATGACTTAAGATTCCGTAGGGGGATTGCTAGACCTCTGGTTGAATCAGATAAAGTTGGTTTATGAGAAACATGCAGAATTGATAGAGTCCTTTGCCGATGAAAATGACAAAATTACTTGCCTAAGTTAATTGAATGTCAGAGCTCAAGTTATGAACATTTGGAAGAATCCAATAATCTAAAAGGCTTGGCAGAAGGGGAATCGTAAATTAATTAATTAACATTCATAGCTGTAATGGTCCATGGTTGGTTATTCAGGGTCGAAACAGGATATATAGAAGAACTCTTGATTGATCAACACACTCCTGAAGAGATGTGCAAAGTGTATGCTCTAAAGTTTAAATTGGAATCAGAGAAGCAATTATCTAAGCATGTTTCTCCAACAGGCTCTCCCAAAAACAACGCAAAAAAAAGATTCCAAAACATGCAACGAAAATTAATCGAACATATAAATTAACTTAAAGAGAATAAAATAGAGGATTTTGATTTGGAAACTAAGGAAATTGGAGGGTTCATAGAAAGTTCTAAAGATTTATGACAATTTATATTGCGTTTATAATCACAATATTAAAATTTGCCATTATAGAAATATTTAGTTTCTGTTTCTTAGATAATATATAAATATTAATTTCAAGCTGCTTCTCTTTTTCCTGATTATTGCTCAACAATTTACACATACTTTTTCTTGATGTCAATATCCTCTGGTTGTTTAACTATTTTCATTGATTGTTGAAGAGGATTCCATTTGTCCATTGAGATTAAGGAGTTTTCCGATGTAGAGTTCAAATAAAAAATCTTGTATGCTATTTTTATGTGATATTGATTCCTTCCAAATTCCAGTTTTATAGGTTATTTTTATATTCGTTTCGTTTTTTTCTGAATTTAGCCTTATTTCATATGATGATTATTCTTTTTATGATATTGCTTTTTTCCTTTGTGAAAACCTAATATAATGATTACTAACTTTTATTGATCTCTGTCACCAATTCGTGAAAAGTTCGCACAATTTCATAAAACTCTGAGTCATTTCGAAATTTTTGTTTTTCTACTTCAGTCATTTTAATTTATTTATAATGTGGAACCTCATTTATTCTAATCCTATATGTTTCAAGAAAAAAATAGCTCAGGTATCAGTTTTCCATCCATTATGTCAAGGAGCAACTTATGCATTTGAATAATATCTAGAATTCTAAACCTCTTGTAAATAACTCCTAACCATGGAGACCAGGGCATTCAATATCAAGATTAGTCAATAAATACACTAACAGTAAGTTCCAGAGCATATAACTTAGCCAACGATTAGGAAATCATGGACAAAAACAGCAAATTGCTTAGAAAAATGATGGAAATTCAATAGAGGAATAATACATTGAAGTAACTTCCAACACATGGGTCATTAGAAGCATTAAGAAGAAGAGAACAAGTCAAGATAAGTTCGGAGAATTAAACCATCCTAAAGCGGTTATAATCAGCAAGTTCTGCATACTCCAAGAAAACATGGGTCAATGACATTGAAAGAGTAAAAAAATATAGAGAAAATTTACAAAGAAGAACAAGTATTATCATCTATAATTCAGGAACAAACGATGATTTTAATTTATTGGCAGCTCAAGAACATGTAAAACGAAATCTTACCAGTCAATCTTCCTCTAGAAGTAAGGCTTTCTAATTTATTAGAACTTAAAACAAGTTAAGGGCCAAGAACTTAAACATATGAGTCATTAATTTGATATAAAGATATCTTCATGTTTCATTTATTAAACAAGAATATTAATTATTTATTCTTCACTCTAAAGTCTCTCAAGCTTTGTTATTGTTTTTGGAGAATTCTATTGAAAAGAACATAAAGAAAATGGGGGTTTGAATTAATCAAATCAAAAAGTTATTAAGGTAAAATAGACAGTGGATATAGTTAATCTTCCTCAGAGTTTTAAGATTAGCTTATTAAAACTTTTAAGATTAACTTATTAAAGCTTTTGATTTCAATAATGAAGTAATAAACTAAATTAATATTTATAAATTTGGATAGACTAACAATTTAAATTAGTTGAGTGAGTATTAATAATCTTAAATTTTATAAATATTAAAATGAATTCTGAAAAAGATGTCGGTGTTTTTTAATAATTATCATACTTTTTGAACCAAAATATTGTTATTTTATTAAAAATTCAAAACAGAATTAAAGAATTTTCAAAAATTTATGACAATTAATTATAAAGTATAAGGATTTTTTAATATATTTTTAATATTTAGATTATTAATTTAATGAGAATTTACAAATACCAATTTCGATTATATTAACTTCTTATAATCCCAATAATGATGAGTATTTCTAAAATCTATCAATTTTAATATTATTATTATATTTAGAAGAAAAACTACTCAATTTGTATATTCATTTCCTTTTCTTAAATAATAATATTCAAATATATTCCTAACTATTATAATAATAGATAATTTTATATTTCAATCTTAAATAATTTAATCATTATTGTCAATGTGTATTTTACTATCCTAGTTTCTTAATTCATCAACAACTTAATCTGCATTTTCCTATATTTAAGTGGGTTTAAGCTATTTTGGTATTTGTTCATTTTCATTTGATGGTATTTTATATAAACTACCATTCTTTTTCTTGGATTTCCAATAATAACTAAATAAAAATGGATCGAAATGGTTCTAATAAATAGTATCTGAATAATCCTCAAATGAAGACCATGCATTCTTAATACTAAACTGATTGGAATTTTCATCTTTTTAGATTTATAATTTGGATTCATTTGAATGAATATTCAACAGCAGATCTGATGGTGTAATCAATTATAATATCTTTTACATTTGATGTATTTCATATATTAGGTTTATGTAGTCAAATTTGAGATTTAACATTTCACTCACATCTTTATCAAATTTCTCAATGCTTGTTTTGTTTAGCTTCTTATCTTCTAACACACTTGAATTTATATTATTTTCTTTCACATTCTTAATTTCCTTCCATTCAGGATAATAATTAATCAAAATTGTAGATTTCATGAACGAGATCATTTATTTCCTATTCAAAGCATAAAAAGCGTATCTGATTAGCAATATTGTTTAAATTATTGAACCTATGCTAGCCAAAACCTCACTGATAGTAGGATATTGATTTCTCACATAAAATATTGAAGAGTTCATTTATATAGCGATAGTACCTATGACTTCCTTAATACCTAAATCTCTCTCATACAATTTTTTATGATATTCCTTAGTATATGTGTAAATCTAAGATGTGCATCCTTTGTTTACAATATATTCTTCGAAAGATTGAAATAGATATCCTTAATTTGCTTCAATAACTTCATAATTTGTTATTATCTGTACTTCACTACTTAATATCGTATCAAAGGGTAAGTCAATAAGTGTTTCATACTGTTAATAAGTTTTTGTTGAAATATCAAATTCTTCGTTATAAACCGTTATCAATGATATTAGACCTATTTAATCGAAGAATTCCTCACTGTAATCTTAGCTCGCACACTCTTAACCCTCAATTAAAAAATCCTCATTCCCTATGCATTTCACTAAAATTACATTGAAAGCATTATTAAGTTAATTATTCAAATCCACATATAAAATATTTTCGAAATCTTCTTCAACTATTACCATAGATAATTCTTCTTCTATCTCTTTATAAAGCAGTGGGATTATTATCATTTAATTACTCTCAAATGGATTTATTGAGCTCATGAATTCTAGGCTGAGCAACTAAATTGGATCGTTTTTTACAAAAAGTTATTCTAAATGGCTTCCCTCGGTAATGGTTTTTTATTAAGATGAAACTTTATATATCATATCACCTGATCCCCATAATATCAATTAATTTAGGGAGTACACCAACACAAATGTTAAAATTATTATTGTAGCCATGCCACCCCAAACAGTTTTATAAAATATTCTTTATTCTCTCAACCCAAATGAAGGAGTGAAAGAAACAAAGAATCCATCGAATTTTGAAATAGTATTCAAAAAGCTATTCATGAATTTTTATTGATTTTTAAATGAAATTTTTATTTTTAGAATATCAGCTATATTCCATTATATTTAATAATAAGCGAGTGGTAGAGCAGAATTCCGAAAAATTTAAAGTTTCGATAGCATTCTTTTAAGAAAAGATACTCATTTTAGTACTTAAAAATATCTTAAATTGTAAAATAAAATATATTTTATCAAAATACAAAAATATATTTTATCAAAATACATGAAAATCGTTGCAATCCTTTACAAGTTTTCGTATTTTGTTGAGAATAATATTTGCTAATACTTTTATTACTTTATATGTAATTCACTCCAATAAATATGTCATGGTTTGAGTCCAATCAATACCCTTAATGATAGAATAAATGGTAAAATATAGAATAATATTTTCGTTATCTAAGGAAAAGTAAAATTCAAATATATTTACTATCTTGTTTTGATTTTAATTCAATTTTGATCACCCTACTTCATATTTACTTAGTTTTATTAATAACTGAATTACTTTGTATAGATCAATGATGAATGTAAGAATTAGCATATTTTCATTTAATTTGTTTCATCTAAGAAATTAGATGAGATTATTTAAGTGAGTAAAATTAGATTATAAAATTAAATAATGGATAAATACTAAATATCCTCGACAGGAAGATTTATGTATGAAAAACATGAGCAAAATTTCAGACTGTCTAAATTCAGTGGTCTCTATTTATATCCGGCGATAATAATTATGATGATAATATTTTATTGTAATTATGTCACTATTGGCTGTGTTATTATAGCTACATATTTTTATTATAGAAACAAGCATAAATGGAGATTCTTAATCTAAGCAATATTATACCTAGCTTAGTTAGTTCAATTGAACAATAATTGCATTTATTAGCACATCTATACTTGTATCACTAATTTGGTTCTAGTGCCTTATTGGCCTATGCAAGTGCTATTTTAAATTGGAATCATTAGATAGTTGAATCAGATTTACATACTTTGCTTTTTTATCGCCCTTATGAGAGCAATAGAAATCTTAAAGAGATTTCTTTATTCTAAAATCTGTAATATCAACTCCCATTAATATGAATAGGATAGCATTCTGCTTAACTTGCCTCATCATATTCTGTACTTCGATGAGAATTTCAACGAATTATTTACAAATAAGTCAATAAAATTCACTCCAGAATCCTAAGAAATATTAAGCAATTATATGAAAAGGAAATTCTATGGTATAATTTAATTGGAGAATTAAGAGAAGGAATTGACAGATTACTACATTAAGCCTTGGTAAGGAAATTTTATTCTAATTTAATCGCACTTCTAAAGTGAAGAAAATGCTTTTTATGAATAAATGTACGAATAGATAAATAAGTTGTATGTGCAATTAAATTAAGATTATACAAAATGGAACAATCTGAGGGCCTTTAGAATGATTAAAGAGTCTGACTTAAGTGTTTTGGGATATTGCTTATCAGAATGTTTGCACTTAGAACATTAAGTCAGATCCACAATGAAAAACCTATAGCCTGAAATTTGTTAGTTTTACCTCAAGGTTTCCATATGCAATATAATAGAATCAATGGTGTTGAAATTGTATGAGCATTTTAATATTATCAATTTAAACTTTGAGAGTGGAATTCCAGAAATAGTGGCAGGAGATAAGAAACTATTATTATTCATAATATAGACACTTCTAACATCTACTTAATTTTGTGATAAATAGAAAGGTTAATTATCTATTAAATGTATCATTTAGTAAATCAATTCAGAAAAATCAGGATATGATCTTGAATTAACTTTTAATTTCACGTGTACACCCTCTGTAATTAAATTGTATTCATAAGTCTTTGGAGTTAATGAGAATAAATTGACTCCTAATGAAGAGTGGCTTATACATTGTTTAAAGAAATGCAAATAATTGATGAAGCAAAATTAGAATGAGTTTAATTTCTAAACTGATGGTGATAATGTGATAATAACATTTACCTTCTTGAGTTTGATATCCAGTAATAAACTAGAACAAATTTCCCAATTCACTGACCTCACATTTACTAGAAGTGTATTGGATGATTGTCATTATTAATGGAAGGAAAAAATACAAATTCTTCCCACAAAATTCATTTTAGATTCAAAATCTAGAAAGAGTCTACCTGCAACTAAAAAATAACAGACAACACCTTTTTCCAAAGTGTCCATAAATTTTCCAGAAATCAGGGATGAAGTAGTTTTTATTTTAGAAACTGCTCTACAAGATGCTAAAGAAAAAGGTCTCTTAGATTAATTTCATTTTGATTATTAAGATAATAATTTCAAATGCGCTGTCAGTGTAAATATTTGAATACATACATTTAGGAATATGCAGATAGCATAGCTAATTCACCTCCCTCTTTCATAACACCTCAAGTTCAGAGGAGGAAATTGTAAGATTTGGCAAAAGAGAAATTCAAAAATCTTTTGAAAGAAGCTCTAAAACCTAAAAAAAAGAAGAGACTCTCTAAAAGAGACTGCAAAGTAGTATTTCCAAGAAAAAATGATACAACTTGTGATCTTCAATGTGGACCGTGCAAAGTTAATTTCCATAACTCAATCTTGAACAACAGAAGCAATAGGGCTTTTATCAAATGGTCACATAGATGCAATATATCTTAACCTCCAAAGACAGTGCATGAAATCCTATGTTACATTCCAGAAATTAAATTATCAAAAGACTTAATCAAGAATTTTGGAAACTCATCATATGATAAAATCGAAATAAAAGAACCAATTATTGTATTGGATATAGCTGATCTAATAAGAATTTATAAATAGTATTTATAATAAGGTAAACAATTCTATTACATTATGTTGTTTGTCAAAAAGCCTTAAGAAATTGCTGACTTTGCTGATATTGTAAAAAAGAATGAACAGGATTTAGTTTAATAATATCCAAAATATTAATAGACTTATTTAATAGGAATTACTGAATAATCATTAAAACCATCTCTCTATGCGTACTTGAAATATATCATTCCATTTGGATAATGGAGCATCGATATCAAATAAATTAAATTATATATAGCCAAGTAAAGAGAAATTAATTGATTAAATTAATATCATTAAGAGATTTTCAATCAATCATATTTATATACTTGTTTGGCTAACATATAATAGATTAGCCTAATTAACTTAAATTAATATAAAAATCTTAATTTATGTTAAAGAGTAAATATACATATATATCTGAAATCTAATATAATATCATATTTTTCTATGTTATTTGATTAATGATTAAATATCTTCTAAGACTTTTAACTTTTATTAATTTTATTATTCTTCTTATTTTTATTATTAAACTTACACTTGCTATGTTTAAGTATCATAAATCTTAAATTTATCTTCTAACTTTAAAATTAAAATATGATTACATTTTTAATAGTTTATCTAAGTACATCTGTTTATTACTTATACTTCAAAGACTTCTACACCTAATTTTCAACCTCTAGCTCTGATTACTTTAATTTAGACTTTAAGTCCTATTCTTTTTACTTAGAATCTTTTAATTCATCCTTAGCGGATTGAAGTTATTCGAATAATATGTCAATTTTTTATTCGATTTCATCCATTTATTTTTCCTTTTATTACTTTTCCTCTTAAAACTCAAATTCTAAATTTTTAGAATAATTTTGAAGCTAATTCACAGAGTCAGAAAGGTTTTAGTTTTCTCCAGTTAGCTAAAATTTAATTAATTATTTATACCTAGTGAATAATGGTTCTCTGTTATGATACCTTCTATTCAAGATCCACAATTAACTCTTTTTAATTAAAATTAGTTTGCTTCTACTCTGATATTTCCAAGAGCAGTTAATTAATTTTCTATTCATTAAGATTTAATTTTTAATGACTCTAATCATTAATGGACTTTAATTCCTATGAAATTTAAGATAATTTCTTTAATTCATGTTCCTGAATTTAACATTTTTTATCTGAAATATCTAATTGTCTTTAAAGATCAGAATTCTTATTTTATAATTATTCTACTTTTTATCTTTATTCATTAATTTTTTATTTTTTTTTCTCAAAAAGATCTTTATTTTAATTATTAATTTTAATAATTTCTTATTCAAAATTGATAGCCAGATTTTATTGATTTTATTAGAGTTTACTTAAATAAGATTAAGACTCTTCAAATTTGCTTTAATATTGTTATGTTTAATCTTTTTAAGATTGTAATAATTTAGATAAGTACTCTATTTACTTTTAATTATCTTCATCCCTAAATCTAATATCTTATACTAGTTAATCAAAGTATCTGATTTATTCATCCTTTTATACTGACTCATTCTTTAACTCCCTAATTTCATCTTCCAGATCTCTGTTTTGTTCTGCTTAATTGTTGCTATTCAATAACACTCAAATGTACATTTCAGCTGAAAACTCTTCACACAATTTTTGTACTCGTTCTAATTCTTTACCAAAATTTAGACTCTATTCATCATATTATTTTTCCTACTATTTAATCTACTTTTTCAATAATTAAATTTTATCCTTTTTTGATTATAGTTATTAACGGGAAGCATGAAGCTATTATTTTATTTCTTCAATTATTTTGTCTTGACTTTCGCACTTTAATCGCATATCCTTATGATTGTTATCAGCCTTTGCTAAACTATCTTGAAGAGATTTTAATTCAAATTCTAATTATTTAATATGTCTCTCTCTCTAATTTAACTTTCCCTCTAATTCCTTATTTGCTTATATATAATCCTTTAAAGTCATCTAATTTTCAATTTAAAAAGAATACTTTCAATTCTTTATTAAGTATCAATAGTCTTTCTTATTTTTCTTTATCCTAATTCTCCTTTGCATTTAAGGTTTCTCTAAGTCTGCTAATTTGTTCAATTGAATGATTTTTTTTTTCTCTAGAAGAACTTTCTCTATTATCTTTTAGGAATGCAAGTATTACTCATCATTAATATTTGCCTTGCTTTATCTTGACCTAGTATGATAAACCATGATTGGAGGAGAATTTTGTGACTCTGGTTATATCATTTAATCAATTTAGAGACTAGTTTTCTTGTAGCGTTCAATCAATTTGTTAACATTTTTTTCCAAACGATTATCCATTAAAATTAAAATAAATATTTGAATAAAAATTAACTCTTATTGATATAGTATATACCAATAGAGAGCAGAATCTACAAGTTTGAAAGCATACTTTGTAAATCTGAATAACTTAAATTATGTATTTACTATTTATATGAATCCATATAACCTTGTAATTTTCCTCAAAGTCATAATTCACTTTAAAATTAAAAATTATTCATAAATATTATAAACGAATAAAATTTATATCAGACACTATGAAGAACTTACTTTTCACTCAAATTTGAGCTGCAGACTTATGGGTCTTCAAATAATTTGAGAGAATTTGATCGTGTAATAATTCAGAGAATAAAACCTTCAATTTTATATTATAGCTTAAATATTAAAAAACTTTTACTTTGAGATACAACATTAATATTAAAACAGAATCATGAATGAAACGCCGACTGAAAGTAAACCAACTTTGTGTTCTAAATGGAAGGAGTTTTAAAGTGTTTACCACTTTATTTAATAAAAAGATTTATTGTATAAAATTCTTTTACTCCCTTTAATTGTGTAAACTCAAGATTAAATATATTAAAAGAAAACTATAAAGATATATTTAATCAACAAAAGAATTGTTTAATCGAAAATACTTTCTAATAGGATTTTGAGTAAAAAGTTTGACAAATACAATAACTAATTATGAAGTAGAAAATGGCTTGCCTTATAAATATATTATTTCAGGATTTAAAATTTTTGTTATTATTATTTAATATTAAATGATGATGGAATAATATTCTCACTAGAACACTTTCGTTTGTGTTGAAAAGTAATGTCACTTATATCGATTCATCACAAACTGGGATTAATTGCAATAACATAATTAGTTCAATCACAAAGTTATCTCAAAATAAAAGTTTGATGGCAAAGTGGCTTTTAAATTAAATCAGTTTAATTAATAATATAGAATGTCAGTTTAAGAGGATATTTATCAATTAATTCATTATCAAGAAGAGAGAATTATATTTAAAATTTAAGAATTATTTGAATTTTTCAAGAAGTATAAATAGCAATTTAAATTTCTAGAATGTATCTAAATATTGTTTAAGAATAAATTTATTTTGATGATTATTCATAAATTCTATCAAATTCACTCTCTATAGAGGCTGATATCTAAAAGTATATTGAAATTTTTTATGGATAAATCTAATCCCCACATTAAATGTAAGTTGATCTCCTTCTAGATGAAATTTAGGCTAAATTAAATGTATTTGAAGGTGATTGCCTGAATTTATTAGAAAAGAATTTTGCAATGGGAAACCAATATTCCAATAATATTTACAACGAAGGAGCACCAGAATTTAATGATTAAATAGATCCTGAACCAAATTTGATGAAACCTATTGGAATATAGGAAAATCATTATCAGACTTAATTCATATCAGAGGAGCCAAAGTAAATGATCTATGAAATACAATAAATTTAACATAATCAAATTGAATATAGTTAAAGTATTTCACAATAGTAGCCTACTATAAATTCAAAACAATAAATCGAATAAGATGATTAGAATAATATTCCTTTGAAAGGATATAAGTAGCTGCAATAATAATAACAACAACAATAGTAATAATAACAATAACCATTATAATAATAATTATACCAATAACCACAATAATTATAATAATAGCAACAACAGCAATCATCGTAATTATAATAGCCATCGTTTAATTATTCTTATTATACTGAAAAGACTTCATCTATTGATGAAGACAGATTGCAATTTAAACTACCATCATAAACAGTAACCATTCCAAAAAATACAAATAAATAATCTAATAAAGAATATATCTACGTAGCAAAGGACAAATATGATGATTATGATGATTATGATGAAGTAGATGATACTAAATAATAGTAAAAAGACAGGTATTCAATCTTAATTGTATATAGAATAGAGATATCAAATAATCTAATTCTAAAAGTATCTTTATTGGAAAGAAGTTTGATCTAGACAATTCACCTAAGCGTCTTAAATTTTCATCGAATTGTCAATCATTTTCTTGTCAATAGTAAGGAATTGGCCTTGTTGAAGGAATAGTGACCTTAAAAATAGATGCTGAAATTAGATTCAAATTTTCAAAAACTCAAATAAAAGATTTTGTAAACTTTCATATTTATCAAAGCAAGCTGAAATAGGGATCTTAAATGTTGACAAGAAGGGGAGGATGAAAGGAAGTCAAATTTATTCTATGAATGAAATAGGAGGTATAATCTGATTATTAAAATTAGACCTTGTTCAAAATAAAAAGGTTTTTAGAGGAAAGTTAAAAATAGCTTTAAAATAAGAGTATCTCGTCTCTTATTCAGCAAAAGAAAGAATGCTATATTTCATTAATGGAAAGACAGAAGTATAAATTAAAAATTAATTAGGAATATCTGGATTTGGATAATGTCGAAGGATGTTTTAAATTTTTTGTCAAAGTATTTGGATTAAAAGTCAAAATTTTGAATTGATTTATAACATAATGTAATGAAATTATTCTTATTTGATCATATTTAGCAATTTAAATAGATAAAATAAACTGATATTTTTTCTACAATTATTCAATATTATAAAGTTTTATCATAAATATGAATATGAATATAAACATATATATCAAGAGTAGAACAAAGTCAAATTTTTAAGGATTTATTTCAATTATAATTATAAAATTCAATTAATAAAAACAGTTGATTTTAAATTTATTTAATTAATCTATTAGCGTTGAAACATTTGAGTATTTAGAGTGGTTTAAGATATTGAGAAAATTCAAGAAAAAAGTTATTCTCAATTTTATTTATTTAATTATAGTATTATGCATTTTAATTAATGAAATCGAATTTTGGAGGCTTTTAATTCTCTTAAAGTGCTTATATAAAAAACTTAAATTACTTTCAATATTAACTAATTCAAATTTTACTTTGATTGAATATCCATTTTACTTGTAAAATTCTTACGAAAGATTGAAATCTTTTAGTCAAATTTTTACTATATATATATAAATTAAATATTAAGATGGGAACTTGCTGTACAAATAATACACAAGATAAGGACGCTTTTACTGCAATAACAGCTCCGATATACATAAATAATGAAAATTTGGAGGTTGGAATGCAAACTAAAATTAAAGAATCAAATGAAACTCCAAGTTCACCCATCAGATCTGAGAAAATCGATGTATGGTTTAGCATTAAAATCTAGCACAGGATGAGAACTATGGAAGCATTAAGAGTTATAGAGGAGTGATGATTAATAATGCTAATGTATATATACATTCCTATAATAGGATAGGTTTTCGATGAATAAACTTCACTTGCTATAAAGATATTCAACTCCTTAGGTACTTATTCTGGCCAATTTAAGGTCCATTTCCATTTCTAGCTGTTAAAGATCAAACACTTACTTATGTTGGTCCAGTTTAAATCGAAGAAGGGTATATATAAAATAGTAACAAGAATGATTTACTAAGGGTAATGGTTGGATGGCAGGAGGCATGGATTCGGAAAGTTACTCTGTTCTTTTGGATCAATTTATGAGGGGGAATGGAATGATGATTAATAACATGGATTTGGAAGATTGGTTTTACCAAGTGGAGATTAGTATAATTTCAATACCAACTTAAGTTATGAAGGCCAATGGATAAGCGAAAAGGCTTGGGGAATAGGAAAGTATGTAAGTATTGATGGAACAACCTATAATGGCGATTGGGTTGAGGATAAATAACATGGAGTAATGAATTACATGATATTGAGAAAGGAATTGAATATTGGAATAATGGATAAAGGTATGAAGGCACTTACTAATATGGATAAAAGACAGGTTATGGTATTTTTGAATGGTCTGATGGTTCCAAATATGAAGGAGAATTACTGGATGGAATGCCACATGGAAATGGAGAGTATTGTTGGAAGGATGGTAAAAAGGTAAGTATAATGTTAATTTATAGTATAAAGGAGAATGGATGTTAAATCAAATGAATGGAGAGGGAGTTTATACATGGCCTGATGGAAAGACTTATAAAGGAAATGTAAGTAAATTATTTGATTTCTAGTTTGAAAAGGATCAAAGACATGGATACGGAGAATTAGATTGGTCAGATGGAAGGGTTTATAAAGGATATTGGAAAAATGGAAGATAACATGGAGAAGGAATGTTTACTTATAATAACAAAGTTCGAAAAGGAGTTTGGGAAAATGGATAGCCGATAAAATGGGGGCAGAGTGAAATATTATCATTATAATGAAATACTCAGTGTTTTTAATTGATTTATTCTCAATTTAATATTATTTTATCAATTATTTAAATTTAACTGGGTTTTTGAAATAAATTCAATTTGAATGAATTCAGTATCATTTTATCATCTTATTCATTATATAACATAAGTAAGATTAACATAATTTAAGTTAAAGTACCTTAAAAGTAGAGTTTATGAATAGAATAACTAATAAATTTAAAATTATAAATTAACAATTTTCATTATTTATCATTAATCATCATCCGTATATAGAGCTAATCTTGAGTTAGTAAATTTCATAGCATACAACCAATAAGATAAATGTTAAGTAACATAAACAGCATTTTTTAGTTTTTCATCTGGACTACCGAATATCCTGAATGTTTTTTCAATATTCCCCAATTTAGGAAAGTTCTAGGGTAAAAATGACAATATAAATTCATTTGTTATTAATAAGATGTGTTCACCATTTTATTCCTCGCAATATGCTGCATTCATATTTTAGTCTTGATACTAAATGTATCCATACCTTGTTTAACTAGTGATTAAGTTTTTTTATCAGTATCTCCCTGCTGATATTATTCCTACTCATAATTTTAGAGAGCCTGATAACCCGTTTCATTAAGTGCAATAGAGAATAAAACAATGAAGGTCGCGATCTTCATGATAATATATACTTACTTCCTTATAAGCATCTTCATTCAATAAAGGACCAATAGCCACAAGAAAATAGGCCAATATTTTACTGATTTACGTTTTCTTGATGTTTTTGTCTTTATCAATTTCCTCCTTCATGAGAGGATCCTGATCTGGATTTTTTACCTATTTAAATTTATACAGCGAATTTTACTCTTTCATTTGTAATGTCCTTGATATTATTATAGATGGATTAATAATCCTGATTACTAATAAAATAGTCTTTGGGAAAGCTATTCAATAAATAAAGTTATTTTTCTTCCTCTTTCTCATATTTGGTGCCCTTGAATTTTGGAATAAAGTCTTACAGATCTAAAATTGCCAATACTATCTAAAAAGAGGAGGACTTATTCAATAGTTTCATCTGGTTCATTAATGCTGATTGATCTTTCGTCGTCTGATTTTCCTTCCTTCAAGTCGTTTTCATCCAACTTGGATAAATACAATCAATTCATACTCTCTTAGGTCTGCCCCTATTTGCTTTAGGATTCATATTATTAGGTTAGGTTGTACCTTGAGGAGGACTTCCCTGATGTTTTTGTCTCCCCATATACAAGTTGCAATACTTCAAATGTGTATATAGTGCGGGATAACTCAAATAGCTCTTCCCACACCCGCATGTGTAATCCCTGCTACTTTGATCATTCCTTCTCCTCCTTGCCCTTGCTTATACTGATGCATCATCTTTATTAGTGGAATTAACTGGATCCATTTTAACTTATTCTTATTAATGCATTCATATTTATAAATAATTGCTTAATGAACATCAGATCTAAGTAATATTAATTCAGAGGACTAATTGATGCTTGAGTTTCCTCTCAATAAGTAAGTAATCAATCCCCTAATATCCCTAAGATGTTAGATTAAATAATTGTTGCAAACCAGCTCTCTCCATTATACAAAATGAATATACTAATTCACTAACTTTGATAGCTCTGTAAAAATATTCAAAGGAGATATAAGTATCAAAGTTCATATTAAGACTTAAAGGAATATTATCTCAACTTTTAATAGTGTTTTAGAAAAGTAAATTTAATTTCCAGCACTTCTTTGATAAATATAATTAGAGTATGAAATTCTGAAAATGTTATTCCAATAAAATTACAAAACGGCAATAGATAGTTAATAAAGAACTTGATAGATAATTAATGATCTTAATATTCAATAATACTCTAAAAATAATTTAAGTTTAAGAGTGAGAAGTATTGATTGATTGTCACTCATAAACCTTCTTGAGATACTGTAGATTTAGAGCATGCTTCCACTCTTCTAAACTCAAAATTACTATATCAAAACTACTAATTAACTTTTTTATTTAATAATAATTATAATAATAAACAGTTGATTCTCAATAAAATCCAAATAAAAACAGAACAATTTAAGATATGAAATAATTTTAATGAAAACTCAATATACCTTTAGTTTGAGCTCTTTATTTTCTATCTTCCACTTTAATTCATTAAATTTCACTTTTGCTAAATCATAAAATAGATTTACTCTACACTTTAGATGTAATATCATTTTAGTTCAATCATTAGACTAACAAACAATTAAAAAGGTTAGTCCTTATATTGATATCCACTAACTATCATTACATAAAACATATTAAAATATATTTATTCCTTATAAATGAAAGAATTCAATCTCTTTACTTATGAGAATATAATTAATTAAAATATGATTGTAATAATTGATGTGTATATTTTATTAATATCAAACCTTGATGTTTGAGAAATCAACACTTTAAACGAGTGATAAAGCTTATTCACTGACTCCCAATTCTCTGGTGAATTCATTCTTGGTATTGGTGTAAATATCAGTTTCTTCAGCATAGGTGTTGTTTTCCAATTCTAATTCAGCAGTGTATTGCTTTTAATCAGCAGCTCTTTAGTCTCTGAATTCAACCATAGAGTCAATCTTTTCTAAAAGCTATTTGATATTTAGTACCATTGGTAGCAGTCAAATCTACTGTAGCTCTGTCAATTTGTCTTCCGAAGTCAGAAAATTCATCATCCAATTATTCAAGGTAAGCCTCGTGGTCAATGACATCTTGAGCTTCTTAGGCTGTTAAATCATTGATTTAATCAACAACAGCGTTTCTGAACTCATTAAGAGCATCGACAATAGATTTCAAGACATCTTGATTTGAAAAGTTTTAATTTGATGCTAAGGTGATGAGAGCTTTGATCATTGGAGCCATTCTGGATCTTGATCTTAATTTATTTTCAATGTTTTTCAATGTATTTTAGAATCTCTTGATTTACAATAATGATGGATTGGTCAATGAGGAAAGAAGGGCAAGGGCATCGTCAACTGAGGCGGTGGCATCATTTAATTCAGCAACTTAGGCTTCGAATGCATCATGCTCTTATTCTCTGACAAGGACTGCTTCATCATAGTTCTTTCTGTTTTCCTCTTAGTATCCAATAACGGTATCAATTTTGCTTTAGATTTGATTTCTTCTTGGATAAAGTAAATTATCAAGTGTGTCTTATGTGTTGTTGACGTCTATACATAGATTTTTGAAATACCAATAACTGCATCTTGGATGTCTTACTCAAGAGAGACAACAAGTGAATTATGTTCGTTTGTTCTGACTTAGAAATTGAATTCTAATGTTTCCAATTCCTCCTCTAAGTCATTTATGAGTTCTTCGATAGCATCGATTAACTCTTAAACTGGTCCACCTGCCATTGAGTGTAACTCAACCAAATGAAGTAATGCCTTTCCGTATGTGCTTTTAGCTAAATCAGCCTAGACTTTAGCCATGTTTCTCTCCTAAACTCGGGCTGTAAAGGCTACAGCAATGAGGGCGATCAAGATTAAGGATTTCATGATTTTAATATTAATTAAATAAAAACGACTTTATATAATTATCAATCCCCAACAATCAATCACTGTAAATTTCAGGAGTTTCAGGAGCCAAACAATCGGAATTCCAACATGTAATCCTCCTCATTTGCACTTTCTCTAATTTTCGACAGACCTCTTCATGAAATTATCTGTGCTAATTGGTTTCACTCTACAAATATCTTTATTGTCTATTGTGCATTTTCACGCTTCACTCACATAAATAACACTCAATTACCTTATATTTATGATTTATCCCATCCTTTATGGTTCTCATTGTTAAGGAGGGTCGATTCATTCCAGTTGGTTTAATCATCTCTTTTGTTGGCTCCTAAAATTAAATCATTTAAGATTGTTAATCTAGTGATTTTCTAGGGAATATTGATGACTGTCTCCTTATGATTTAAGTCGGATTCTATGTTTAGATCAACATCTATTAAGAGACCTATTGTGACTCTTAGAGCGACTCCTTCTTTAATTGATCTTGCTCTTTAAATTTTTGAAACCCCTTGCGTTTCTCGGAGGAAACCTTGTTTGTTGATTTTATAGATTCCAAGTATCCAAAGCATTTTAGCATGTTCTTCTCTTTACAGAATTTAGACATATATGAAATGAACTGGTTGTTTTTACATTCACACTTCTCAATCAATTGAAGAAAGAAAATGTCTGCTTCAATTTTATACTCTTGTTTTTGGGTTTATAACAATAGAAACACTTTAAAAAGATCTGTCTCATATTTAGACTTGTAATCTATTTGTAACACTTCAAAATATTTTTTGCACTCAAAATATGCTAAAATACATAAAATGCGCAAAAATGTTTGTAGTTTATACATATCGATCTAATTAAATATTGACTAAGTACTAGGTCTAAATTAGCAAATGCCCAAGCTTAAAAATAAGAGGATTCATTTTTTCTCAAATTGCACGATTTGATTTCTTTAAATTCAATAATGTACTTTTCAGAAATTATTTCTGGAAAGTACATAAACCCTTCCTAGGTTTTTAACTTAGAGGCTAAACCAAAGGATAAAATCTTAAGTTCACTCAAATTGTCAATAATTTTGAAAATTCTCTATGATCTCTATTAAGATATCATATCTACTTATCCGTGTTTACATTCTCTTCAGCTACCTTATTTAGTTAATCATGAACATATTGAGGGAAGGTTTCCTATAAGTAATTTTTGTTACAAACACTCATTATTTAAAATATTAATCTAAACTTTTACAATACTACAAACACAAAAATTACTTAAATTCTGATAGCATAATTTATTTTAAGCTGATTATAATTATATAAACAAAACAATATAAGAATTATAAAATTTGAATCTTTGAAAAACACAATGATTTTCGTGAAATTGCCAATAAATTCAAATTTATATCTAGTATTTAATGAATTTTATATTTTAGTATAGCACATCCTAATCTAATATAGTGTAATTATCAATAAATTATTAAAATTGAAAATTAAATAATGCTACACGACTTATTATTTTCGTTGTTAGGTAAACCAGGTTCATTTGTCAAATAATTTGATAACTCACCCTTCTACATTGATGAATCTTTGAATCTTTTTTCAAAACCTGAAATAGTTTAATTGAATCAAATTGTGAATTTGGGATATCATTATTAGCAAATAGACAATTTCTTGTAAAATCAAGAAGAGAAAAGCAGCTACATTAAAGTAAAACCATAAATAAATATGCTAGGCTTTGGTGTTTGGAATTGACAACAGTTTGAATGATTATAGATAAACAATATTGACTTTGGAATAAGAGTATCTGAATGAAAAAATGTTCATAGTATCCTAACTAAATGTGAGACTATAAGCATATTATTAAATTCTATTGAATTTGCATACATCCATCAACATAATACAGTAACACAATATGCGCGGGGGATAAATACTAGATTACCTTTATGAAAGAACACTCACAGGAAATGACAAACTCTAACTAATTTATCAAAACATTCTGTCAGCCTGTTACGAAGTGTTATTTTAATAATTGTCCTCTTGGTTGTAGTATGGTTAAATTTTAGACACTTCAGATGAATTTTTTATTTAAAGAATTGACGAGAAAAAGAAAACTGATTAGCATGAATACAATTGGGATACTTCATTTACATTAAATATATAGATGTTACCATTACATTTTATCACTTTACAGATGGCCGATAAAATATTATTCATAGGAAAGGCGGTGAAAGTCTTGAAAGGACAATAAGAGTTATTCATTAATGAGCATTAACAATTGATAAGAGAAATTGAAGTTTATGATTCCTTTACCTTTAACCGAATCATTGACTAATTGCAAAAATAAGTGGGTGAATAATTGGTTTAAGTGATTGTCGATAAACAAGAATTGTTTATTCATTTGAAAAACTTTTATTTATTTATACTCCTTAATAATGGCAATTTTATTCAGCAATTCTTATCCGATTGCTAATCAATCCTCCAACTACCTTAGACATAACAAGCCTTATAAGAGCTAAACTTCAATCTTCACAAGATGGATTATGATTAGACAGAGAAAATGGATATGTTTATTTACAATAATGGATTCGAATACAAGACCTTCCAATCCTTAAATAATTTATAGATTAAAAATAATGTTATTTAGACAATCAATATATTGAGAATGGGACCTGCTCGAGGTCCTGAAGATTGGAGTGGAGTTTTTAGAGATGTCAAACAATCAATTGAAAATGGATTTACATTGCAAATTGTTTTTAAATTCAAATAATAATTATCAAAACCATTGGGAGGATATTCAATTTTATAGGTTCCATAGGATTTGAGTACAAGTTTAGTACTGTTATTTTGTCAAGATGAAGAAAATGGAGTGTTCATTAGATTGAAATTGGATCAATAGAAAGTTTCTTCTTTATCAGTTGAATCAAAAATTAAATTTAAAGAAGAAATTATTTACAAATGGAAATTGGACAAAATAGATTTTTCAGAAGGAGATTTGCATAGTTTAAAAATTAATTATTAAAATGATGAATTATCATTAATTATAGATGATACTTAGAGTGATACATAGTGTAAAACTGACATATTGCCTCCTTCTTAATGGAAAAAAGTGGCTTTTAAATTTTAAAAATATTTTCAATTGGAATTAGGACGATGTATGGTAGGAATTAAACAATATGGTTAAATAGTGGATTTATATACATGGAAGATGATAGGAAGCAACTTTTTGAATGATGCTTCTTGGAGTGGTCTTACGTTGAAGTATTAAGTAGACTATCCATTATCTCTGCTTATCACACCTTCATTATAAGAGAAATTCTAATTATTCTTTAGATATTTATTCCCTATTCGACATGCTTAATTTGAATTGCAATAGGTGTGGATTAAACTCACAAAAAAATTCAAAAAAAAGGATTGCAAATATATATTGGGAATGCATACCTAATTGATGCATGTTGTCAATGCTTTTTATCATTACTTTTAGATGGATATCATTGCTGTTTAGTGGTCTAAAATGATATCAAGGATGCAAAATGAAATTAACTTTGAATTGATGAGAAAAATAATGGATGAATTTGAGTAATCTGTTTCTAATTAATTATTTTTGAATTTGCAATAGATTGTCAAGAACATTTTTCAAATAATCAAATTTGTACACAAATACATTGAGTTAGTCAATAGAATTGAATTGTAGCATCACTCATTAATAAATAAAGAATGTTACAAACTAATGGTAGAATTTGATACTTAATTTATTGCTCTATTCAATCTGATCTAGTTGTTGACCAAAAGTACTAATTAAACTGCTCTATTTCAATTGCTAACAAGGCTTGATTATAATTCCTATTTTGATAATAAAACCAATGAAAAATTCTGAAGCTTCACATAATTTATATATATGTATATTAAAAATAATTAAAATGATTCGTCTCACACACAGTAAATCAGTGGCATGCTTTTCCGGAGCCTTGTGGGGACCTATACATGAAAGGCCTATCGTCGACAGAGTTATGTCAACATCTTAATGGCCAGTGCCATACTATCAAAGAATTTTCAAAGCCTATCCAGTTAGATGTACACATTAGATTAAATTAAGAAAATAAATAAACTTGGGCAATGAATTTAGCTGGAGCCGAGATTCACGATATTAATTGGTATTGTGCTAAGCAAGCTTTGAGTAGAACTCTTAAGGGAAGATAAGCTGTTGAATATGTCGAAAACAATATCCCAACATAAAGTAAAGTGATTAAAATTTAAAATAGGTTATATTGTCATTCAAAAAGATGTATCTAGAATGGCAAAAGCATATGTAAGTGATTTAAGTCTTTTCCTTAGTGTGGCTAATAAAGAAAGCAAAGTCATTTTGGACTCAGTCGAATTGATTTGAGGAATAGTCAAATAATCAAATATTTATAATTATGCATCAATTTGCAATGTTATCTCAGTAATTCAAAAATTTCTATGAGGAAATAATATTTCTCTTTACAATATTCCACTATTATCCGCTTTATTATTCCTCTCTTAACTAAAAAGGCCAAAATTCTCTGAGGATTCATCGTCAAACTCCTTTTTCAGTTAAGATCTTGATTTGCTCTGTCTCATCTATTTTACTTTTCTTCTAAGAATGTATTTGATTCTGTGACTCAGTTTTTATTCCACGAGATCGAAATCTATAAATTAAGAAACCTCAAAAATATCTCGTATTTCCTTCCCTAACTTTTCAATCAGTATTTCATTCATTCTCCCTAATTCCTTTTGAGGATCATTCACTTTATCATACGCCTAACTCAATAATATCTATTTACCTTGTAGAGCTTTTGATACGCTTTGATAGATATAGGAAGGTTTGCCTTTTTAGCCTCCGAGAATTGTTTCATAGCCAACTAAGCAACTTGGCCAACCGACATAGAGGAATTCGAATTTTCTGTCAATTTTTATCTAATAATTAAACGAATTAAGTTACGTATAGACTTCGACTCTACTAGGTAGCTTTTTCTGTTCGTTTAGAGCAATTGTCTGTTTGGGGGCAAAATTAAATAGAATTTACTAATTTTTATCTAATATTAAGTCTTTTAATAGATTGATTTCCTTAACCTTTTCCAAGATTACATAGATATCAATATCAGAATTAATCCTATCTCTATTAATTAAATAAGTTAATTTACACTGCCTTCATGAGAAGTATAGACGTTTTGTCTTTAAAACATCTCCCTCCTGTTATTTGATGGCACAGGAACTTGAAAGTAAATTGAATGGGTTGTGCTCTTGTAAGAACTTAAGATATTTGGGATGTCAAGTATTCTTTCCGACTCTTAAAACCAAGTTTTGATACAATTTCTTCTTATTACCTTTGAAATTCTGATTTGATTTCTGATGACGTATTTTTAATCATTTGCTTTTAATTTGTCGTATTATGGGGAGTCTCTTCATTCATGACTTGTATTCGAATCTCGTCATCTTGTAAAGGTTGAGTGAGAGATTTTTTATTAATGGGCAGATTTGAATCTTGTAGCTCCAACAGTTTAGGCGTTTGTGTCTTTTTCTTGATCTAGGTGATTTTCTTAACCAAGTCATCATTCCGAATCTTTTAAGAATTTTTACTATTATCAAAATTGAAGTCATAAACCTTGTTTGCTAGTTCTATTAGATCTGTTAAATATTGAGAAATAAATATTTACATTGTTATCTGTTGTAGAATGCAACAAAGAAGCCTAAAAATACGACAACTATATTCACAAATCCTCCTAAGTATGACAATAGGTCATCTACTTTTTAAAATTATCTTGTGATATATTTTGTGTAAGGACTTCTTCGAAAATACAAAGCTATATATTATTTATCTGTTGCTGATCCTAGAGTGGTTATATCTCTAAAATCTGCTGGTTCTTTCATAAATACATTTTCAACTTGTTCATCATCAAATACTGGAACTAAACTTTAATCAGTGTTTATTTGGTATTTTTTAAAAAATATATCTGATTAACGAGACAATTTAAAAGGAACAAATTAAAAATAGACTTCGTCATCCAGATAGCCTTAAATGTAATCGGTTGGTTTCGATGGATTCACTACTGTATTGGTCATGTATCTAGATGAAAAACAATCGAAATACATTCTTATTCTGTAAGAACCTTCACTTGATATCCATTTGTCCATTACATCTTTGGATGCACAATTTGGGTGCCAAGTAAGGTTGGCATTTTTCGAAGTATCGTTTTTACAATCGGATATTTCAATTTTGGCAAAATCCAAATACTCACTCGAATATCTTCCACCAACTGTTATCGAGTAATTAAGACTATATAATATATGGTGGAATTACTCTGGACAGAGCCAAGTGGACAATCCTAATTGATTGTATTGATCTGTGAAATTAAGATCATATTTATCGAATATTTTTTGAAATCTATCTAGGGTACATGGAATCAGGTTAGTAAGATTTTCGTATTTAATTGTTGTTCCATTACTCAATCTCACATATGTTCTTAATTTGTTAAATGAATTTACCTTGCTTTTATTGTAATGTTAAAAAATGGATTTGTATTGAAAGGTGTACTTTATTCGATTGCAACAGCAAACATAAAATTATCTGAGGTAAATTTGATCCTATCAGGATTTTCTTCGAATACTATTTAAGTATCTGCAGCGATATTAGTCTTTCCTAAGAAATCTATGATGTTTGATTAAAAAAATATCGCAACGATGGCCACAATCAAACAAGATAAAAAACCTCCTCCACCTGTTTTGTATTGATCTTCTCCATTTAAATTCAAGGAAATATTTTATCCGAACAGATCAATTTGTCTAAAAACTAATTATTCATCGGATAAATACATTATTGGGACTTTGCTAGCATTGTTGATTTTTAATAAATATTAATTACTACAGTAATTTCATATAATAATTCTCTAAATTTAAGGTATCATACATAATAATTTCATGTTTCTCACTTAAGTCAACCTATTTTCCAATAAGAATTTTAGAAAGAACAAATATCAATTATAAATAATGTGAGTTAAGTTAAAGTTTATTAAATGGAATAAATGTTAATAAATTTCCAATGTTTAAATCTCTATTTTCTTTGATAATATCAAAAATTAATTATATATATAATTAAAACCATCAAAATTCTGAGTTACTTAGTGACTTTCTTAACATCTATTGGAATCGTACACAATTCCTATAGATTTGTAACAATCACTCCCTTTGGCGAGATGCTGAGGATGAAATGGCTATTTGAACATTTATAATTTAATAAATAAGAAATAATTAGATTTAGAATAAGTTTGAGCGCCTTAATTTAAAAGCATATATATAAACTAATTATTCATTAATTCTAACTACAATGTAAGCAAGAAACAAAATCTCCATTATGTAGATATATTTTAATGCAACAAAATGAACAACAGTACTACCCACAATAATAACATGAATATATGCATCTCTGACATGCCAATCGAGAACATTCGACACATATTGTATTTGCATTCAATGGTTTAGTATCACAATTCTTGCAAACTAAATTGGTTTCTTCTTCAGTCTCCATAACCTATTCATTCTACTTCTGTTTTTTGTAAACTTGATCATTATTTATAAGAAATACAATAACTAATGAATTCTTGTTTCGAAACACTTTTTTTTGTTATTGGGACAGTCTAATCTAGTCGCTAGTCAGATATCTTCATTAATGATAGTTCCTTAGCCAAATCATTGTTTATTTCCTTAAAAACTTCTTGTCTCACTTCATAGTAGTATGGACTTTGGCGGAACATTTTTACTGCAATTTTTAATAATAAATAAAATTTATTGAATGAATAAGTCTCCTAACAATGGTTTTAAGACACCAGATAAATCAGGATCCAAACTATCCTAATACAATGGGAAATGTGTATGCTAGATTTGTACATGTGGAAAAGACAAATGTCCTCCCCAACAATTGCATGTGAATCCATCACATTTCGATACCACAAATCGGAAGTCCTATGTAAAGTGGGATGTTAAGAAAACTGCCCCCATCGTCCCTGAATAATATAGAATCAATTATGGAACCCAATCGTTTGTTTCATCCTATTAAAGAGATTATACTCCATAAAAGACTCCAGAAAGACAAACCAGAATAACCCAAGAAACAACAATACCCTATCACAGACCCTTCGTCTCCTCAACAGAATATAATCAAAGGTACTAACCATATCAAACATTACCAATATCACTTAAACCTAAGTATTATTATTAAGAAAACCCAAATAAAATTTAAGCTAGTACTACATATAGCGAAAATTTTAGAGCACAGCCAATATCAAATCAACATTAAATTAAATAACACGACACTTCCTTCACCCCTACTAAAATTTAATTTAATTCTAATTCGAAATATTAAGAAGATTATACAGCCTAAAAAGGAAACAGACCAGCTCCAATTAAACATAATAATTAATCTCCTTTTGGAGGAGTCAACATGGAAAAGCTATCTTCCTACCAAAAAGATTACTAGCGACTAGATGACAGTACTTATAAAAAGCCTGAATGTCCAATTAGAATGCTTCCAGTTCCAGATAGGTAAAATACATATTTACAATTCATAGAAATAAGAGTCCAAATAAACATTTAATGTTTAGTGCTTAGAAAAATGATTGGGAATGATCTAATTAATGATAATTATATCAAAGAACTTATTCATTTTGGTTCTGTTCAAATTGAGATCTCTTCTCAAGTAATCATTTTAAATATTGTCTTCATTATTATTATTATGTTTATTTCCAATAATTGCCAAAGAATTAAACAAATATTAATATTATTTAAATGTAAATTTCACTTTTAATCATTTATTGAAATTCTTAAACTATTCTAATTTTCTAACTTAATTTGTTACTACAAGAAATTAACTTTATTATATTAATTTATATATAAATCTAGATATTAAGAATAATTGTAAAAGAATAAATGGTTACTTGCTATTATTAAAAACAGAGGTGATTAAAAAGATTATATTATTCATAGTTTAATAAATAAAATAATTGAAATAATAACTTCTTCTTAATCAAAACTATTTTCTTATTTCTTATACTAAAAATTCTTAATTTGATAATTTTAAAGCAGAATTATTATAAAGAGTTGTATCTCTTAGCTATTTTTCTTTAAAATTGACATATTAAAAGCTTCTTTAGAATTCAATCTAAATATTTAAAATATTTCTAAGAATTTTTTCATTATTATGAGCATTTTAAATAATTTAATTAAATATGTTAAAGGATATCGATATTATAAAAAACTAATTAAAATCATAATGAAATTTGGACACCATATTTTTTAAGTTCATCCATTTTTTTCTTCGCTTTAGATGCTATTATAGAATTTTAGTTCATATAATATAATCTTAGTTATGTTTCAGGATGTTATTTCAAAAACACTAAAATGTGATCAAGTGATTTTTCTGTTAATAAATTTTACTGAAGATGCAAAGTATGAATTCTAGATTTTATGATAAATTTACTTAGATTCTGCTAAATTTAGGATTAATTTATGGAATAAATCATCAACTATTAAACATTTGCTTAATTTCAACACCTTTATATTTTGAGTTCCTTTTAAATATTCTCCTAGAATCTAAATAATTTAATCATTAAAATCTGAATTATAAAATATAATATACCTATTTAACTTAAATCTATTATTTCATTTTTGTCTTAATGAATTACAGTTAGTGTTTGAGATAGTTTTTCATTCATTTTTTAATTATTAGTAAATTTTTTAGGCTATTTTTAATTGCTATTTTAGATAGTATTGCTAAATTTGGATTACTTTTATACTAATATTTAGGAAGTCTCAAGGAGTTCACAATTTGACAAAGTGGCACTTCTCTCCTTTTATTTAGAGAATTAAGATTAGACAGAATTGAAGTTTATCTATTTCGCTACATCATATGCAGGTGATGTTGGTTAAGTAGGATATTAAGATGGTGAAAAAACTCCTGAATTCCTTTTAAGTTTACCAACATCTATTTTCAATGGTTTTTTTTCTATGACTTTAATTGCTTCTTCGGTAATTTATCTTTCTGGCACTAGGAAATCCGATTAATCATTTGATTAACTTTTATCAGAAAGATTAGATGGCAAAAGGAGCACAGTATCTTACTTGTTAGTTTCATATTTATTAGTATTGAGTCCCATTAATTGGGAAATATAATTTGAGATTACTTATATAGGAACTTAAATCTGATGAGATTTCTAAGTTGAATCAATTGATGTCGTAATCGATTCTTTGATTAAGTTAAATTGTTTCAATATAGTTTACCCAGAGTTTATTATAATTTAGTCGAATTTCCTAAATTTCAACTATTATGACTCCTCTACCAATTGACTTAACTGATAGCTAGCTTGATTAAGCCATTAGTCTGCTTCAATTTGTAGAAGTGAAAATTCATCATCTATTTTATTAAGGATAATCTCTTATGAATTCTCATATGCTTAATTTATTTTATAAAGAGTCTGCATCTTGATCTCATCTATTTATTTGTTTAAATCACTGAAGTATAAATCAATCTTTGACTTTATGCAACATAATTGTTAATGAAACCCTAATGATAACAATTATTCAAGTTATTCTTTATTATTTCTTTCATTTTGAATCTATTTATATAAACAGGATATCTCATTGACAGTCAGTTCTATTTATTTCAAGAACTAGTCGATAGGTAGATAATTATGGAATTTATGAGGACCAAATAAAGCACAATTAACACAAATGCATTAACCATCTTCCTGACATATAAGTTCCAATTCTTTCTAATGCAATTAGCATATTGATGTCTTTGGGGGAGCTTCTGTAGGTGTGAATTATGAGGTAGATTTTTCAGAAAAATGCTCTGCCATTTCTTTAGTAGAATTTTAAGAATGTTCATCATCAGGAGTTTGATATGTTGCTAAAGTCTTTGCTGACGATTAACGCTTTTTAAGCATGGTGAGAATACTTTAATTTTAGGGGAAGCATTTTTGATCTCTATGAACATTACATTCAATTCTTGAATAATTTGCATAGATACCCATCCTCTTTGCATTTTAATTATTGACCACCACATATATATTATTCAACACATTTATAGCAAACTGAATGACCACAGCTTGGCAAGACATATGGAGAATTATTTGCCGAATTGAATTCTGTCTAGCATTAGCAACACTAAAATTCCATTAATTATTTATATTATTTTTAATGTACTGTGATTAAATTTTCATCTATAACTCTTTTGTCTTCTGGCTCTGGCACCCTTACCACCATACTTTCTTGGTTCGCATCTTCTTGGATCAGCAACTAAGAGAGTTCTATCATATTGTAATAAAAGATCTTTGATTTCTCTCTTTTAGGTTTCATCTACATATTTTTAATAGTATGCCACGATGCCTTTGCTAATTGCCTATACAATATATAATTGCCATTCTACCTATCTGATAGCATAAATTTATGCAGTGCTTCCACCACCTCTGACAGTGACTCTGATGTCTAATCTGCCTGTTCTGACTTAACCAAGAAGCAAAAGTGGTTCAAGAGCCTTTTGTCTCAAGGGAGCTGGGTTCACTAATTCAATTGGAGCACCATTCACTCTAACCAAACCTTGGATTAAATGTATCGAGTACCCTTTCCTTCTCTCACACTTGCACTGGCAACAGCATTCTTCTTTCTACCAAAAGATTGAACCAATTTTGATTTTGTTTGAGGAGTTGACATATCCAATAATTAAATAATTTAATTTAATCAATTTTTTATATTAACTGCCAATGCAACACAAATTGGATAAGATCGATTACTATAATAAGCTAGCAGCCATAGCTATTGTCTAATGCAAAAAGAATGACAAGAAAACTCAATAGGCCGAATTAAAACTGTTAAAGAAATAATATTATCGAACTATCGAGAAAAGACTCTTAGAATAATATACTTGAATTGATTATAATATTTCAATAAGGTCTTTATTTTCTAAGTTCATCTAGCAATGCACGCCCTTTAGCTTTTTCCATTTCTATTTTTTTATCATATTCCTCCTTTTGTCTTCGAAGATCTTCCTCCTCTTGTTGTTTTTTATCCCTTAACAATTGCTGTCTTTGCTTCTTCTCATCCATTTGATTTAGCAAATTATGCTTTGTTTACATTATTTTCTTCAATTAATTTGATATAATACTTCTTATTCTATTCTTTACTTTTCCTCTAATTCTTTTTAATATAAATCCAACTATCGTAATAATTCCACCTTATCTTACTGCTTAATATTTTTTTCATCTTATATTATTTACTTCTTCAACTCTACATTTTCTGCTCGCTAAGCATAAACCTCATACATTAATTTAACTCTAGCATCCTAAAATTATTTGTAAGATTACATCTTCAGCCTTCCATTTAGCCTCTTTATTTTCCCATTAACGAGTATTCTCCTCATTGATCAATCTTTCCTTCAGTTAATCATTTACGCTATATTCATTTGTTCTGTTTTTAAAATTAAGTAAAAATTATCTAGTTTCTTCTTTTTATCTGAGTTTTTCAGCCTATTCCATTCTAGCAATAGCTTCCTCTCTCTCTAAGACTTGCTAGATCATTTCTTTATCTTGTTTCCTCTCTTCTTACTTTATTTATTTTTTATATTCTTTTTATTATTCATTATTTAACGCAATTTCTTAATTGATTTCCTTTTTATAATTCAAATATTAATGCTCTCTTTATTTATGTCTCTCCTCTTCTCTCTTCCATTCTTCCCTCTAAAATGTTAAAATCTAATTATCTTACAAGCATCTGTTTCTCTTGTTCAATTTCTTCCTTGATTCTTTAAAACTTATTAACATTCATTGAAGCCTGAATACCTAAAACTTTGTTTCTTTCATCCACTTTGGCCTTCTATTAAATCTCTTTTTCCTTTTCCAACCTTTCCTTCTTTATAATTTCCCTTCTGTATAATTCAGCATAAATCATTTCCTCTAGTTTCAGATAGTAAATGTATGATACCTTCATATTAATCTTCTAACATTTTCTATTTTTCCATCATTTACATGTTTCTGTAGGCAACAGCTTGTTATTCATTAAATTGCTAGTTTACCAATCTGAGTTCATCTGCATTATCTCTAAATCTTCGTTCATATGCTGCTTCTGCCTACTTAGATCTCTCAATTTCCTTTCTTTGTTTCAATTCAGCAACTTCTTTCATCATTCTCTCCTTAACCTATTCTGGAGTCTCAACCATGGCTTTGATTTCTTGTTGATATTAGTCATGTTCAGCATTTAACAAAGCAGCCAATTTTTCTTTCCTTTAATTTTTGTGTGCTTCAGCCTCAGCTCTAATCTATTGCAGTCTTTTTATAGAATATTTGCAAACCTATTCTTAGTGTATTACGTATTGGCAATATCCTTTCCCTTATTTTCCCAAGCCGCAAAGGTTTTCTCATGATGCTCCTATCTTAACTTAGTGCTCAACTTGCCCACTTATTATTCTTGTTGTCTGCGTTAATAGATTAGTTGCTCAGAACGGTTACGAGTGGAACTTTATATCATATTTAAATTAATAATAATTATAATGAAAATAACCTCTTCCCTCTTTTTGGAACTAATCCTCAAAAATATCAGCAACTCTCAATATACCATACCCCTTATATCTTGTACACTTACTTTCTTTATGTACTTTCAATCTTAAGGGAATAGAAACACACTATTTAATTATTTAATGTAAAAAAACAATAATTAAATTTAATTAAATAATTTATGTGTTTAAAAATTAAACTAAATAGATTAATCAATGTTATCTTCCAAATTCTCTTTCCTTTTTTAATACAGTTCTAAACCCAGATTCTCTATTAAAATATTAATCAGGAACCTTTGATAAATATCCAGCTTCTGGGTTTACTAATTCAATTCCTTAAGTGGGTGTAAAGGCAATGCTTGAAGTTAATCCACCAGTACCACCTCCAGATTGAGTCTTCGTTTGTGCAAGTCTCTATTATAATTTCTTACTGAGACCAATTGGCTTATCCTTCTTGATGTGTAACTTTACTTTGCCAATACCTTGACTTAACATTCCCAACCCAATTCCTGTGTCCTTGATTTCATCCTCAGCCTCCAATCCAAATTTCAATCTATTAGCATACTTCCTCACTTCTGTCATAGCCAATCTTTCTTTCTATTTTCTGAACCTCTTCCCTCCTCTTCTTCTCTTCTTGTTCTCATCTGGAATAGGTAATGGTTTTTCTAATTTAGCAGGAGGAGGTTCTTAAATCTTCTAATATCTCTTCATCATTTTTATTCTTAGATCCTCTCCTACATTTCCTTTGGGACATGTCTTCATATTATCAACTCTGGCTGCTTTGGCCACATTGGTTGCTAACATCCTTACTATTTGATTTTACAATTTCCCTGACGCTTTCTGTACAATCTCCAATGTTCCAAAATAACCAGTGTTTCTATTATGCATAGCTCTACTCATTCCCAACATATTTTTCTTAACACTTCCCATCACTTAAATGTTACCTGCTGGCATATTGGCAAGCTTTTCAATTCCTCCTGCAGCTGCCATCAACTTAGATGCCAATTGTGTACCTATTAAGGCTGAGACATTTGGAGCTATGTACTTCATTCTAGATTCAATATAGCAGATGACTAAAATTTTGATATAAGTTGTACTTTTCTAATTGTAGCTATCTAATGTCTCGATCTTATGACACAACTAATCAACCAAGGAGATGTCTTCCTCTGAAAGTTAACCAATTAAGGATTGTTTAGCAGCTATATTGACAGCAACTACTTGCTAACCACTCAAAAGTTATGAAAAATCTATGGCTTGAAGATCTATAGCATTTCGAATTAACCTGACTATCTTAACATACTCGATAGGGTTTATGATTATTTTTTCCAATTCTGGAAACTTCTTATGGTATACATCCTTCAATTATTTATGGATATTCAAAATCCTTATGTTATTCAAAATGAATACTCTTAATCAATGATTGTACTATATTCATTTGACCTTAAAATTAGATGATATTCTTCGTGACTTGCATTTATAGTTTCATCTTAGATTTGATAAGCAGATACTTCTAAAACTCTTTGATAATGCTAAAGAAATTTGTTATCTTTAAGTAAAGAACAAGTTGGTTCATCCTCAACCTATTATTTTGCCTCTGCAATTTGTTGCTCTTCCTCTTCCTCCAAATCTTGCATAAAATCTTTGTCAATCATGATATTTGTTTTGCTTCTATTTATTTATTAAAATATATATATTTCTTAGGAATTAGAAAAATAGAATAATCTCTCCTTTGAAGAATGAAATTAAATCAAAATTTGAAAAACTATGTATAGTTCAAAAATATCAGTAACCAATTGTGGCTAATGTAACCAAGAGAGTGGCACAGATCTCTGCCCTATTTTCATCTATTCTAAGATTATCCATAATAGCCATTTTGATATGTTATTTTCCCAAATCCTCTTAATGCGAACATAATTTAGCTAATCTAAATAATTATTCAAAATGTTGTCCCAATTCAACAACCAATTTATCTTTTAAACTTCTTTGATTGCTACTAATTTTTTTTCTTGGTTCTGGCTACGATTTGGAAATATTGACTGCCTCTGAATTACTTTACATCCAAGTATTAACTTATGTTTATGGTGGTAAGGTATCAGCATCATCTCTAAGATCGTCACTTGATTCTTCGGAATATATTCTAGAATCTTCAGAGTCAATTTCATTTTATAGATTCGGCTCTTCTAATTTTTTTTATTAATCCGACTAATTGATATATGTAATTTATTTACAAGAACATTTTTCAGTTCATTAATCATTTCTTTCATGTCTTCCTCACTATTACGTTTCTAAGCAGGTTTTTTTTAAAAAGGATCTTTATAAATGATTTTGTAAATCTTTTTCTTATTTTTCTCCTCATCAGTTTTAGATATTGACTCTTTAATTATTTTCACTGGTTTCTTTTAAATAATATCGAGTACTTGATATTATAATTCCTTATGAATTTCAAAAGCAGGTGTAAGAATACTTTATTTTTTGTTATTATCCTAGTTTTCTTCTGAATTTTGAAAATCACTAATGGTTGATTAGTTGAGTAATTTTTATTCTGGAGTTTCTGAGATTTTTTCCAAATGACTCTATTAATTTTATAGTTCCTCCTGTTTTTTATGACTAGAAACAATTTCCTCTGAAACCTTGCGTTCCTACTATTTCTTCTATTCAAACATTTTAGGCTATGCATGAACTCTATAAATAGGCTTCTTGCATTCATCCTCTGATTTCAATCCCAGTTTGATCTTCTGAATTTAATCCAATTTGGTTAGGCCCTTTAAATTTTTGATATGAGGTTTAATCTCAAGGTTTTTCTTAAAGAATTTAGGACTTTCTTGCTCACTGTATTTGGTTCCCTCCTCTATCACTTAATCCGAACCCTAATAAGAATCTGGACTTTCTTTAGTAATAAAGCGACCATTTTTTTGTTTACTGAGAATGCCTACTTCTGGAGTGGATGGCAAAGCTCTTTAATTTGGATTTTGATTTAGTTATTATCGACTGGTTTGTTATCTTGTAATTGGTGGTCTCTCAGGTTTGGATAATTTAATTTCAGGTAATTTCTTGAGATCACTATTCTTTCTTTGTTTCTATAAATTGATAGCAGGACTCCTAATTCCAGGCAATTACTTTATGTGATTCTCTTTCGAGGTTTGCTCTGTTACATCCCCTTTTGCATCCTGATCGTCAATCAAAGGAATAGTTGTATCAGACAAATGTATCTGTTGGTTGTGTAATATTGTGTGATCGAATTCGCTTCTCTTCATAGTCTCTGATAGGAAATTCTTTATTCGATTTGTGATAATAGGCATCTTGAGAATTTGATGAACTGCTGGTCGTTTCTCAGGATTTACTGTTAGAAGCTAATTCACAAGGCTATCTTTGTTTAATTATAAGATTAGTTTTACGTTCTCAATTGAGAGGAGTAAATGTTTGGAATGGCTTAAAATTGACCACGCACTATTTTTAGAGCTAATTAGGCTAGCGAATCAGCTGTAAAGGGCGGAGTCTTGGCACACATCTAATTTGTAATACTCATTCCATTACTTCATAGAGAATTACTCCAAGTGACCAAATATCGCCTTTAAAACTATATGGCTTGTTTTCCAACAATTCAGGAGCCAAGTAATAAGGGGTACCCACCATTGTTTTTGCTTTGTCTCTAGTGTTGTTCAATAATCGAGCTATTCCAAAATCTCCCAATCGTATTCTCATGTCTTTAGTCAGGAACATATTTTAAGTTTTGATGTCTCGATGAATTATTTTACGATCATGACAATGTTTTATTGCTAGACACATTTAAGTAAACCAGTCCAAAATCCTAGACTCTGCTATATAACCATCTGTATTCTTCAACACCTAAGCCAAATCACCACCTATTCTTAATTAGTAGATGATTACCTTCAGCATAATCCATCACTATACACAATTTCCCTTTTACTGTCTTATAAACCTCTCTAAAATTTATTATATTTGGATGCTTCAATTCAGACATTATTCTGAACTCTCTGTATGTTTCCTGTTTTATTTTAGCTAAATAAATTACTTTCTTTTCTTAATCGTTTAAGTATCTCATGTCCATTTGCTTAATCACGCACAAAGAGTGATCTTTCAAACATTCACAAAGATAAGCCTTCCCAAATGATCCTTATCCTAACAAACGAATCCTCTTATACACATCTGATTCTTTTGGTCTCATTTTATAAATTAATTATATTATAATCAAAACTAAAATCTAATCCATCTCTGGAAGTTACTAAAATTAAAAATTCATTTTCATAATTATTTACAACTCTGGATGCCTACAACTTCCATATTTTTCTTTTTTAAAAGTTCAAGAAAACATAATTATTAAGAAAAATATTGAATTTATGTAAAAGTTTGGAGCCAATCAAAATAGAAAATTACTCAAATAATTACATTAAAACATATTTCTGGAAATTGAATTTCTTATTGAAATGTGCATCATTAATATTTAAAAATTTGTTTTACAACATTAAATAATTAATTATTAAATCCTATATTGGACTAATATATATTATTAGCTTTACAAAATAGTAAATGTTGAGATGCAATTATATCAAAAATACTTTATAATTTAAACTATAATCATTATATTAGAATATTCATTATTTTAATTCAATTTTTTTATTATTATCTATAAAATATTATAATAGAGAAGGAAAATCGATTTCTTTAAGTACAAAAGCGAAATAAAAACTATTTCTAATTAATATTTCTATTTTCTTATTTTCCCCTTTATTTATTGATTATTCTTTTAGAAATTATAGTTTTCAAACATGTAAAATTTTTATATCGATATTCAACAATTCTGAAAATGAACTTTAGATGAGAGTAATAACTTGTAATAAGTGAAGATTTTATTTAATGTAACTCATTTTAAAAGAATAAAGCTGAAGTTTTTATATAATTATATAGATATTTTAGTAGATACCATCATATTCACAATATATACCTAAGTCTTTTGTCACTTTATTAGACAAGAATGAATTAAAAATTCATAGGTTTTTACTAAATTAATAATTTAACTTAATTTTAACAAATTTGTATAATATTTTCCTCGTCTAATTTGATTGTTAATTTTTGAGTCTGTAGTGTGCTGGAATATTAAAAAAATAGTTATAAATTTATAAATAATTGTGGCAATATCATAAAGGAGAATGGTATTTTATTAATTAGTCTACTTTTTATAAAAGAGGAGGGAGTGCATGCTAGGGTTTAGGGGTTGATATCTTAAGTTGATCTAAATGTAGTGATCATGGATTTGCGTATTTGGAGAAGAATAAAATTTAATAGCAAATATAAAAACGGTTTAAAGTATATATATATTTAACATAAATGAAGAAAACCTTAATAACATTCTTGTTGTTGATGGTTGTGGTTATCTCTACGAAAATAGAAGCATCAGAGCTTAGAACTCAAGGTATATTTATATAAAATATCAGGGATGACCTACACTGAAGCATAAAATCTAGATGTTTCTCGTTTAAATTGCCACATCGATTTTGAATACACGATTGGGGAGTTGGCAAGATGGGTTGATATTATAGATAATCGAGATCAATTGATCAAAGATCTTGCAATAATTAATTAAGTGATAAGCATCGTGGAAAAAGCAAAAGGATCAATATCTGTGATTCATTCCTCTATGCTTTTGCAAATATAAAGTAAAGTGAGTAAATCACTCCAAAGTGTATTTATATAAAACAAATGGGCAGCTTGTAAAGTAGAGGATGCCCTTGAATATGTGGCATAATTAAATGGCACTTAAAGTATTCATTTTGATTATCACTTAGCAATTGAGGAGAAGATTGCTTTAGCGAATAAAATCATAGCCCAATTGAGGCAGACCTAGGATTAGATTCACTAATACTTGGATTAATGCTCATATGCAAAACGTACTCAAGGATTGAGATAGAAGATAAGTTAGCTTCAAACATTAAAGAGAGTATGTGACCAAGAAATAAAGAAGCCAACAATAATTATAGATAACGATCCTGATGACGAGGTATTAAATTTTGATGAGGAGCCAGAAGAAACAATTTATTATTATTTTGAAGAGGAAGACGTTGAGACTCCTCCCGATTACATTTATCATGAACCTCAACATTACACCTATCCAACATATTAGGATGAGACCAAAAAACCATAAAAAAAATAAGTTAAGAAGATAGTGCCAAAAGAAGTAGTTGATGAAATCAAAGGAAATAAAAGATATGTAGCCTTGGGTCATGAGATTGAAGGAGAAGTGAAGGATAATGTGGATGAATAATAAAATTAATAAGAAGAGACATAATTTGTAGTTTCCCCAGCCAAGGTTAGTAAGATAGAGGGTCTGAATAATGAAGATGATGGTAGTGAGAAAACAGATGGTGATAAGGAGAAAACATAAGGAGAAGAAGAATAAAAAGAATAAACTAATGGAGAGGAAACTAACGAAAACACTGGATCTGAATAAGAGTAGATAATAGTTGAAACTCATGATAAACCCTTAACATAAGATGAATCTGAAATAAAAGAGAATGTAACTATTGATGAATCTAAAAATGTCACTGTCGATGAGACTAAAGCTGGAAATGCTGATGATGATGATACTACTACTGAAGTTAAGATCACAACAGTTCATAAGACTGAATAAACTGATAATGAAAGTGATGAAACAAAAGATACAGACAGTTAAGAATAAGAATCCACTGAGGAATCTACAGATGAATAAACATAGAAAGAAACTACTTAATAATCTTAAGGAACAGAAACAACTCATGAATCAGGATCAAGTACAGAAAATGAAGGAGATGTGGTTGTTGATAATTAATCTAAAAGTTAAGATGATGAACATGTTATTTCAATTGGATCATCAAGGGTTGAACATAAAAAGGATGTTTAAAAATAAGAAGGTGAAGTATAATAAGAGGGTGAAGTATAATAAGAAGAGGGTGAAGTATAATAAGAAGAAGCTGAAGTAAAATAAGAAGAAGGTGAATAAAAATAAGAAGAAGCTGAAGTATAATAATAAGAAGCTGAATAAAAATAAGAAGAAAGTGAGTAAAAGTAAGAAGAAAGTGAATAAAAGTAAGAAGAAGGCGAATAAAAGTAAGAAGAAAGTGAATAAAAGTAAGAAGAAGGACATACCCATGAATAAAGTGAAGATCACAAGGATTCTCAAAAGAACTAAAATGATGAGAAGAAAATAAAAAAACAAAAGATTAGTGATGATCGTTCATTAAAGATCTAATCATTAAGAGAAGAACCAAATCCAAATGAACCAACATAATTTTAACCACCAAAACATCGGGCTAATTCAGGTCGTGTTTAAGAAAGAAAAGTCGTAGCTGTAAATACAAAATATTAAAATTCTGACTTCGATGGTGAACCAACAGAATAATTCGAATTCACTGACCGATCCTTACTTCAAGACTCTTCTGAATATGGATATGGATATTGGGTCAGATACACAGAACATGGAGTTAAGGAACATAGTAGAGAGGATGGGGAATACTATTTCTTATCAAGAATGACAATAAATGAGGAGTATGAAGATTTTTCATTTTATGGAGACAGAGCCTTAGCAGTATTTATGTTCGATAATTCCTTTGTATTCAGCACATACGATACAAGCGAGAAATTGAAGACTAAAGATAAGGCAGTAGTATTAAATGAAAACATGGACAGTATGTGGTATTTCGTTATGTTCTCTTACAGTAATCCATTAAGAAAAGCTGTTGGTTATATTGCAAGTTATGGGGAAGGTAATGGAATATATAGAGTGGAAATAGATGGTACTCACATTCCACCTTCTTATATCAAACTCATATTTGGTGGTAAACATATGGATTATCATGGATTAAATGGACAATTTGCAAATATCTTCTTTGATATTGATGCTCCAGCATTTGTCGATGGAGATGAAGCCTTGGATGAAATCCTCAACACCTTGAGTAATCCTCCTTAGAGTGTTCCTGCTATGATAGATGAAACTGTAGTTTAGAAACCTAAACATTTGAATGGAAATGATAAAGGAGAGTAGTACCACTTTGATCCATAAGAATCTTAATTGATCATAGAAGAATATGCAGTTGGTTTATGGTTTAGATGGATCGATGACTTAAAAGTGGATGAACCAAATACATTTTAGTTGATTAATTTGAGATCGAACAAAGTCAAATCTGCAGGAAAAGGAGTCTTAGGAGATAGAGCATTAGAAGTACATTATACATATGGTGGTGGTGCAAAGAGTACAGTCTACTTCAACACTTATACAACTAAGGGTAATAGAGCTAAGGGATAACCATACTTATCAAAGACAGTAGAAAGTGTTGAGTTCATTTGGACTTATGTTTACTTTGGATATGATAATGATGGAGGACGTGCCTATGGTGCAGTGATTAAACCAGGACTAGTGGGAGAAGTTAAATTTGAAGGCATCTAACACAAATTGGTTAACAGTTTGAGTGTTACTTTAGGTGGTGATGATGTCATATCCCCATTCAATGGTATGATTGGATATGTTGGTATTTACCTTGGAACAGGAGCATACAGAGAATGTTTAGAATTTGAGATGACGTTCAATGATTGGGAAGGAGTCATGGGAGTGTATTAAGTCGGTAAGCCAATCACTTACATTGCTGGAGATGCTAATTAAGCTAGAGATGTAGCATATGATGCTTCAGAAAATGTTGTGGATAAAATTATAATTCATAATGAGGAGGGAATGAAAATTAATGGGTAAAGTGAATATGGTTTTGGATTATGGACTAGATGGTTGAGTACATTGCCTAAATATTTGAATAAGAGAGCACCAGTACATACTATTGCTAGAATGGGTACTTAAGGTTATGTTATTGAATCTATTGATGGTAAATTAGTTAGATCTAATGCTAACAGACCAAGTACTCCTAAGGATACTACTTTGTCAATTTCTTTGACTCCAGATTCTTATGAATTCTAAACTTTGGAATTGAAAGATGATATTGAGTTTTCTTAATTAGAAGGACATTGGAATTATGTCTACTTTGGATATATTAGACATGGTGATTAGGGATTGGCCAAAGGATACGTTCAATTTGGTGTTGATGGTGAAGTTGATGAAGTAATTTTCGACACTTTCCATGATTATTTACTTGAGTATGTTGAATTCATAGTTGGCAAAACCTCAGCTCCATTATTCAATGGTGAAATGGCAAGAATATCATTTTCATTTGGACCTGGATCATTCATACCCACAATGGATACATTAAAAATCTTTATTCAGAATACTCTACCAGAAAAGGCTCAGATTCATCCAGTGGCCAGACAAACTTTATAATTGGTGGGAGCACCTCAATAGCTTAAGGAAGAACCTATTCAATTCGAATTCGACAAGTATTAAGGAGCAGAAGAATATGCTATTTCAGGATGGGTCAGATGGAGTGGTCCACTTGTCACTGGTAAAGTGTCTCATCTCATAACGATGGCTTAGAAGAGATTGGAGGATTTGGATGGTAAGAATGAAGAGACCTTACAAATAGTCAGAGGAGATCAAGCCTTCACTTTCATTACCTATAGTCAACATGAAGGTGAATACAAATTGGCTACTTAAGATGAAGCCTATGGGGAATATGCTGATCAATGGACATACATTTATTATGGATTTTCTTAATCGAAACAATAGACTTATGGTTATTTGAAATTTACATTTACAGAGAGCGAATTTAGATAAGAAAAGGTTAATCACTTTTATTTGGCTGTGTTCTCTGTATTGATCTAAGAGAAATAACAATACACTTAATTTATTGGCCAAATTAAAACATGGGTTATTAATATTGGAGATGGAGCATTCAGAGAGGGAGGATTTGATGAAAATGAAAATATTAAAGTTCATTTCGGATTCGTCAGCGGAACCGATCATTATCAAATTACAATAGGCTGGATAAGAAGCACATCATGAAGAGACCATTCTAGAATGTTCATCATAAAGTGATGAGGTACCTTTACATATAGAATTCGAACAAAGTGATAAATTGCACTTGCATGGTGTTAGTGAATATGGTTATGGCTATTGGGTTAAATTCCAATATTTCGCAAGCAAGAATACCATATATAGCAGACCATAATTAATGGGATTGAGTAGACTCACCAGCAATAAAGATTACAAAGATTTTGATCATCCAGGAGACAGAGTACTCTTAGTTTTATTAGGAAAATAATCCTATCATTTTGGAACCTACGATGTAATTACTAAATCAAATAATGTCGCTGGAGATATTCCTTATCAAGTTGACTCTGAAAGCGAATGGACATACATTTATTTCAGTTTTAAGAGAATTTCATAAACCTAAGGACATGCCATGGCCTTCACTTATTACAAAGACACTACATCAGGCATTCAAATGGATGTGATGCACTCATTATTAAATGACTATTTGTAATTGACTGTTGGTAATGCAGGCAAATATTATACAAATTTCAATGGACAAATTACTACAATCAGATTCAATCTTGGTCCAGGTGCCTATATCGATACCAAATAGGGTTTACTCTAAAGAATCAAGAATAAGGATGTTATGCCTGATATATTGGGTCCCACCAAAAAGTATGAGGTTTTGATTGGAAAACACGATGTTACCAAGATAGAAGAGGATTAACATATTACACACATAAATGAAGAGGCCAGAGAATATGGAATCTAATTATGGTTCAGGTGGTTCAAATCACCAATTAAGACTCAATAGTTGATTTATAGATTCACTTCTTCAAATCCCGATTCTTTGGGTGATGCATAAAAAATAGGAGATAGAACCTTGGCTCTATTCCATACTGATGGCATAGAATTCAGTACTTATAACTTAAATCCTCTATCTTTGTAGAACACATATGAAGCTAAAATCCCATCATAATAATTGGAAGTTTGGACATTTGTATATTTTGGTTATTCCAAACATCATTAGAAAGTTAGTTACTATTTATTGGCTGATGATGATGAACACAAAGGATTAGAATAAGCTTTACATGTTGTCTCTAATAATTACTGGTTATTCTTAGTAAAGGATGCAATGACAAAACCATTCGATAGTAGATTGGCTCAAGTTATTTTGAATATTGGAGATGGCAGTTACAGAGAAGATAACTTCAACACTCTTTAAGTCTATTTGGCAGCTCCTAAATTGTTTAGTACTGATAGTAAATTTGATTGGGAAGCTGATGATACTATAACATTAGTTTCAGGTGATCCAGACAAATAAGGGTTGAAGATTACATTCTCTGAACCTGATAGAAATATAGAGAGTGTTTAGGAATATTCAGTTGGTCTATGGACTAGATTCTTGTAAGCATGGCCAGAGAGATAATGGCATACTCCATCTGAAATGTAGATCGTAAGATTAACTTACAATGATGAAGTGGATCATGGCAAAATTGCTATTGGAGATAGAGTATTAAATGCCATGGTTGTTTTAGAAAATTATTAATTTGGAACTTATGACTTGAACGATGATGCTCCTAATGAAATCAGCACTATTCCTTATACTCATTTGGAAGGAAGATGGCATTACATATATCTTGGATATAAGAGACAATTGTAACAAGCTAACTACTTTGTATTTGATGGAGATGAAATTAAACACGCCGCAAATGAGAAATTATTACATAAACCACTTGGTGATTTCATTCATTTGATTTTGGGAGGAGAAAAGGATGTTGCTCCATTCTAAGGTTTATTTACTGAAGTAGCTGCTCATTTTGGAGTTGGATCATTCATAGCATCAGGTGAAGATTTGATGAAATCAATTGACACTAGTTTTGCTTTACCTTAAGAATTAACCGTTGATTATATTCATAAACAAAAACATGGTTAACAATAGTTAATTGGTGAAAGTGATAATAATGAAGGTAGTGAAAGTACTGGTGATACTTGGAGTGGAGTAGGAGAATATGCTATTTCTGGTTGGTTTAAGATTGCAGAAACTTAAGTGAAGAAAGAAGGAGAGATAAATTCACCTTGTTAAATATTATTCAGGATCACTAACAATGATAAAGAACATTTAAGTGATCGTAAATCATAAGGAGATAGAGCATTACATGCTTAAATATGTACTAGTGACACTGTTAAATTGAGTACTTATACATTGAAAGGATTAAAGGATTGGAATGAAGCTAAATTCTTAGAAGAAAAAGTGGAACTTGGTTACTCAAAGAAGGCATGGGCATATTTATATATGGCTTATAATGAAAATGTTGGTGAAGTTCACACTTTATTACACCTATTTGAGGAGGATAAACCAGTTATTTTCAAAGGAGTTCAACACTTTGTTCCACATTTCATAGGAATCTATGTGGGCAAGGATCCTCATAGTAGAAGATTCTAAGGAGAGTTGTAGAAATGGGTTGCTTAATACGGATAAGGAGCATTTGTTGATGTAATGAAGAAAGGCTATGAAGATACACTACCTAACTTTAGACATATTCAAATTAATTAAAAATATCTCTGGTTTGAAAAAGAAGATAGAATTATTTAAACACCAGAAAAGGTTGAATAGACATTCACATCTGAAACTGAATCAGTCGATGAATATGCAGTTGGTGTTTGGACTAGATGGTTAATAGCATTCCCTACTACTCTGACTGATAGAGCAGATGTCCACACTATTTTCAGATTCTCAAGCACACATCAATATTAAGACAAGAGTGAATTGGGTAATAGGGTATTGTCAGCCTTCCTTACAAAAGGAAATTACGAATTCAGTACATATGATGCATCTAAACCTGCCAATGCAGTTGATGCTTAATTGCCTTATGAAAATATTGAAGGTGAATGGACTTATGTTTATGCTGCCTATAAGAATAAGAATTTCTATGGCATGGTCTTATTTAAGGATCAATAAAAGGCAGCCCATCTAAACATGGAAGTGACTCATCAAGTGTTAACTGGTTATGCTCATTTTGTCTTAGGAGCTAATGAATTCGGATATAAAGCATTCCATGGCTGGTTCTATGACCCAAGAATATTCTTAGGTGCTGGAAGTTACATCAGTGAATCCCAAAAGGTTGTAGAGATGATCCATAAATTACACAGAAAATTGCCAGTAACACCTTAATAGGCTGAAGATTTCAAATGGCCAGTCTCTTTGTTGGATACAACCAATCAGGATGACCTTGATTCTAAAAAGGATTAATTGAACTTTGAATTCACAGACAAGGCAGAAATGTAATCCTATAGTATTGGATTCTGGTTCCAAAATGCTATGTTACTTCCTGAAATGGAAAATGATTTCACTTCTTTAGTTCGCTTAACCACCAATGGACCTGATCTTGCAGCAGACGATAAGTTTATTGGAGATAGAACCTTAGCATTCTTTACAAAGACCGATAAGTTGATGGCTAGTACTTATACAATTAAGGATCCATCATTTGAACCATTGTCCCATACTTTCGACATTAAAGAGCACCAGTGGACATTCGTGTACTTTGGATACGAGAAACCTCACGCCAGAGCCTATGTACTCAATCCTAATGGACCAACTGAGAAGATTTTCATTGCTTAACACATAGTCCCTAATGCTTTTTACTTAAGAGTTGTAAATGATCTTGGCCATCCATCTTTTTGGGTATATTATTATTTTAATAATTACAGGGTAAAATCTATGGATTAAAGGTCAATTTCGGTGAAGGTAGCTATTTTGAGAATCCATTGGAATTAATTGACAAATGGCCTTATGATCCAAAAAAACATTCTGACATTGATAAATAAGGAGATAAAGTCTTATGTATTTCTATATTTCTAATTACAATAGCTATTAATTCTGCCAAGGTCACAAAACAAAAGAGTGATGATGCCAATGAATGAGCTATAAACTAATAGATCAGTATTTATTTTATATCTTTCAATACAAGCATATATAAATTTAATCTTTCTGAGTACAATAAAATAAACTATCAATTTTTTAATGCATCCTTCAATCTACTCTTTCTTTGATTTCCATTCATCTACGCTAAAATACGTTACATCAAAGCAGCCTTATAAGGATTGTGTTGATCAATGTCTCTAGACAACTGTTTCGGATCGAGGTACTTTTTCCTTATATAATCAAGATCATTTCTAAGAATACAGTTTAAATTTACAGTCTCTAGAGATATACCTTATGAACATTATTTATTTAAGTGTTGTCATTAGCAGTCTATACTTATACTCTCTATTTCTTAGGAGCATAATCATCTAGAATGTCCTAATCCTAGAACACATTATAAGTCTATTGCTACTATTTCCTCTCCTATAGAGGTTGATCCTGATGTTGCATTTATTGAGGTTAATTTAATTGATACCCTCGATCTGTCTACCACTATTCTGAGCTTGGTTATTTGAATATATTGTCTTGCATAACTTATTTCCGTATTCGTTCTTCATTAAAATTCTTTCGACTTAATGTTGTTCTCTCTTGGGATGAAGCTTAAAAAGATTAAACCTAAGGTTGTTTGTATTACGATTGAAGTTGCCCAATTTTAAAAGGAGATTCCTACTTTATTGGAGATTGTTGCAGTTAAAATTTAGGTTGCTGCTAAGAGAATTTAAACTAAGGAATTTATTATTATTGAGGTGCCATTTGCATATCATATCCAAGTTTCACTTAATCAAACATTTCATCTTCGAATAAATGCCTGTATTTGCTATAAAATTATTATGACATTATTTATAATTATATATGTATAATCATAAATTAGTAACAATCATCCGCATCAATACTTTTAACAAACCTTCTCTTACAGTAGTTGTCCAATTTAATCAATTTTTACATTTTCCTTTAATGTTCCCTTACCCATTTTTTATTGAAATACCTAACAAACCTTTTGTAAAGATTTAGACTCTTTAATTTCAGTGCAAATTAAAATATCTATTTTCTATCTGAGTTCTTAATTGACTTATGCAAACAAATCCATCGACACATTTGGATAATCAGCATCCCCATCAGTGTAAAATACAACGGTTTAACTAATTTAGATATTTCATAATAATTTACAAATCGAATTGTGAAATACATCTTTAAATAGCATAGAATACTAAAAGAAATGCATTCTCAAAATTTGTCCCTCCAGACATCATTTAAAATTACTTAACTTGCTCCTATTAAGGGATTTCTTCAGGTTGATTACTCCCAACAACAAATCTAGCATCATCACTAAATTGAATAAGCGAAATTCTATTGTTTGGATACTTCCGCAACTCTATAAAACATTACTAAATTGCTTCCATCAAGATCTTCCACTTTTACCCTGCCATAGACCCAGATTCATCAATTACTAATATAAAATGATGGCTTTGATTCCATTATTCTAATTCCTTTTAAAAAAATCTGCAATTCAAATAATTGCAAATGACTTTACCAACCTTATAATTCCAGTAAGTTTGATAGTTCAATTAATGCTATTTTAATTCTTCATTATTTTTGAAATTGCAAAAATTCCAAATTTTATATCTTAATTTCAAATCTACCCATTTTCTTAGATCTTGCACTTGCTAATCATAAACATAATAATCATCCTGCAATTCTTCACAAGTCAACAATGATAATTTTTGATCAATCAAAATACCCTTCATGCCTCTAATAATTAATATTTATTACTTCTAATTTAATGTCCAGTAGAACATTTATGTTTATGTTTCTTTAAAACATCTTGATCACATTTTCTTCCACAAAATGGACAGGATTCAGAACACCCTATTTATATCTTCTTAAATTCGCTTATTTGATCATCAAGATCTCTTATTATCAAATCTTATTAGTATTATTTTAATTCGAGTATATAAGTATTCATCTCAACTTCCAGTTAATCTAAAAACATTTTTAAAATTGGTATTCTTCCATCCTCTCCAATTTACAAATAATATTAAATTATATCCTATTCTGATTTGTTTTTATTTTATTACTCTACCTATGCACCATTCGATCTTTTATTATCTTCATTTTAATTTCGAGGGATTGCGAAGCCAGCTTAAGAATCAGATTCAATTAACCTTGATCCTTAAATGCTTCTTTAAACCAAAATAAGTTCAAATATAAATTTGTAGACTAGAGAACCAGGCTCAATTAAATGATGATATTCTGATTTAATGTAGTATTTAGATCTTTATGGGAACTTAAATTTTTTATTCATTTAATTGACAATCTACCGAGTATTCTGGTATTTCTCTATCAAAACCTCTATTTTCCTTAGTTTTTATTATATCCTTTGTTTCACTTATGATATTTTTTTATCTACATGATTTTCTATAAATTTTTTATGATTTAGAACATATTCAAGAATATCCTGATCTGATATATCTCTAATCTAATGGCCAAAGATATTCTAATCTAATTCCTTAATTACTGATTTACAAGAGCCTCTCAAGGGATTTAGATATTTTTGAATCTCGTTGATCACATCCTCCTTCTTAGGTAAATTTAACTACTCTACAATTTTTAGATGAAATAATTTAGCTTAGGTTTCGCTCAATTCTCTTTCAGCGGTAAAATGTAAATCAAACCCAGGAGTATCTTCAGGAGGGATGTATTTTGAATAAAATTGCTAATCAGATGAATATAATTAGTAACATAATTATGTCAAAGTTTCATTGTCATCCTAATTTTACTTTATCTTAATGTATTAAATAAGACTCTTAGATTATTGATTTATGTTGCCAATAAGAAAATCTATTTTGAAAATGTTTGGAAATGGATATATTACTTGAAATCCCTTCAAAATGTAAACCTTTTCTTGCTGATTTTCTAAATTTAGCACTCTCTCAAGAAAATCTAAGATTTCTTAATAAAAATTGTTAGAATATTTTGGTGGTTCTGTAACAGAAATTAAGTTTAGAAAATATGAAAAATCTTTTTCATTAGATATCACATATTCGAAAAAATGTAAAAGAATATCATTTGCTTTGCTTAATGTTATAATTTAAAATAGATTCTTCAAAATTCTCTACCAGGTATTTAAAAATATTTATTGCTCAAAACAACATTGCACTATAAGATAGAAGATGTCAATCAAAGTTTGTTAGAATACAATTGCTTTCAGCATAAGCCAATCATCTTAATCAATTTATGAGAGCCAATCTCGATGCTTTAAACAATTATGGGTTGTTTGAATACTCTTCAGTTTCATAGCTGCCTCCATTACTATAAAATGATCTGGTAATTGTAATTGTAAACACCTGTAAATAGTATTTACTTATTATTTAGTAAATTATAATCTAAGGCTTAGCAATCTAATGATTTCAATCTATTCTATTTGACTTTTAGGCTTTATAAAATCATAAAATTTATAAAATTGGCTTGTTACACTTGGGAATTGATAATACTAGAATATCTTAACTTACTCATCTACATATTATATGTGTTATTTAAAATTTTGAGTACTGTCAATTACTAAACTATAGGATCTCAAGCTAAAGTATTTATCAAAATGGGTTTCTATAAGTTTTTCGATGTTAATATTTTCTAATACAGATTTAAGAATTTAAGTGCTCTATTATGTCAACTCTTTTAAATCATTCCAGTCTCCTATTTCATATATTGATAAACTTTCTGCAAGACTTTAATAATGTTCATTATATGCATCAAATTACATGAATAAATCAGAATCTTGGAGTGATTCTTCTAAGTTTATGACATTTTCTTATAAATACTAAATAATTGAGTTGGATGCTTTTCTGTAGCGTATTGAACTATTAGATAATTTAGATTAGATTTTGGATCCATATATACTAGATTAAAAGATGCCAGATTAAAATTAATTTATAGATATTCTTGATGATGCATATTGAGATTAAGTAGGCCTAAATTAAATGACAGATTAAGAAAGGGCTGATTATTTTTGTTTTTGAGGTTCCTTCTACAATTAATGTTATTTACTGATTAGCCAATAGTAAAACAATAGTTTATGGTAGATTATTCTTTTCTTTACTGAGATTGCTGGAGATTGTTTCATATAATTTAGGATATCTTCATAATTTAATTCATCTTTCTTTAATAAAGTCTAAATAAACTCATCAGCGTTCTATGATAGCTGATCATTATTCAAATTATAAGTCAATGAATTATTGATAATAAGTTTAAAGTATTTTGAATGTTTTGAAAATTCTAATAAATTGATTTACTCATCTATTCCTTTTTATTAGTTTTAAATCATTTTTACTAACTATGAATATTGATTGCTGTATAATCGCTAAACCAATTATTTCAAAAATTCATAATGCCACCAAATAGATGCTATTATATCCCCGATCACTTAATGCAAAATATATAGATTTTATTGATTTAATCTAGCAATTTATTTATACTTAAATAAAACAAGATTTTAATAAAAATTAATGTAAGATCCTTTGTTGAAATACATGTATCCGATCAGTTCAAAAAAATTGATTCTCTCTTCATCCATATGTGAAATTAAATCTATATTGTGTTTGATTGACAAAGGTATATCGAAATATAAATAAAATTCTTGCATTCTCAATAGAGCCATAACATATCCATTTAACTTATAGTCCAAAATCAAATCACTAACTTCTTGAAATTCTTGCTTTGAAATTGTCAGGGGAGATTTCGAGAGTATAGAATTTACTATTTCTTTTGCCCGATTTTCCATTTATAATTAATAGTAACTATATTAAATTAACTATTAAAATTGATGAATAAAAAATTATTATCAGCTTTGAATCATAGCAAATATTATTCTACTCCATTAAACTCAAAAGAACAAGAACTTATTTTGGACATTCTTTAAGAGCTTTATATAATTAATCTAAATTTATAAAGCCCATTTTTCATATAAATTTGGATGAACCTTTATTCTAATATATAATTAAAATAAATACCTTGTTACAAAACTAACTAATACTAATGTAATTAAGCTACATCTTTTATAATCTCGATCTAAGATTTGACAATTTACAAAATAATTAAACAAACATCAATATATTTCTAAAACTGAAAATTTTTAATGCTTATTGATTTAATATTTCCAATATTAAATTCATTTACAAAATTAGTTGAATTTATTGAACTATTTTAGATAAAGATAATAAATTTCAGAAGTCTAATTGTGTACTAGATACACTGTCTTAAATTTTTGTTTTGTTAAATAAATATGATATTTTTTTTATTTTTCATGTTCTTTCAATTATAAATTTAATTTGTATTTATAATTATACAAATATGAATTTAATATATCTGATCAATCTTATTAATTTTCTAAAACAGAATATCAATTCATAATATTTTATAAGGTGGGTCAATAAACAATTTATATTAAAACACTCAAGTATGGAGAATAAAAAGGGTTACCTAAGATTAGATAATATACTCAAAGTTTTGATAATCACAAATCAAAATACTGATTATCTAAATCAATAGAATTTAAATTATAATAATCAATAAAAAATGAGTATATAAAGTTAATCACATCAACGTATACTGATATTCTGTGGAACCAATTAGCATTTATTATTTTATGATTCACCAAAACTTTAAGGATAGATATTCCAAAATCTCAATGTCTCATCTCCTGCTCCAGTTACAATGGTATATCCATCAGGAGACATAGCTAAATAGAGAACACTTAAAATTAATAAATGATATCTTACCGACTAGTGTGACCAACCAAAGTTGCAATTCTTTTCATTCCATTACATTTCCACAAAATAATCTAATGCTGACTGTAACCATGAGTAGAAATGAGTTCATTTTCCATCTTACTGAACATTAAATTGCAAACTTAACTTCCAGTATCTTCCTTTGATAATAGTTTTCCTTCTAAAGCATTCCAAAATCTGATAGTTTTATCTGCAGTTCCTCCACCACTTGCTAATAATCCATGTTAATGAGGACTCCAAGCTATAGCTTTAACAGCTGCTTAATGTTCTGTGAATTTGAATATTGGCTTATCATGTTAAGCTGCACTCCAAATGTATAATTTGTTATCATTTCCTCCTGATGCTAGTAATTGACTGTCTGGTGACCATTTCAATCCACATACCTCTTATTTATGAGCAGTCTATTTAAAGAAGTAGTCTTCCTTTTATCTTAAATCTCTTTAAAGTATTGATTTATCTCTTGAACCACTACTTAACATGCTCTCAGCAAAACATAGGGTTCCTACTCTGGCAACATGACTTTTATAAGTCCTTACTTTTTATAATTTACAAGCATCCCATATTTAAACTTCACCATTGTTTGTTCCCACACCCAAAAATGGTCCTCTCAATGACCATCCAACACTTGTTACTATATCATTACTTAGATCAAGTAGCTTTGTTACTTTTGATGATTGGGCATTCCTACTTTTAAATTAGAATTGTACCACAAATACACACAGTTACTAAGTGCTACAGAAAGGGTATTTTGATTGCTCCAATCTATTAAATTTAGATAGAAATCATCTTATAATTATGGGGCATCCAAAACTTTAAAAGGCACTTTTGGAATTTTTCTTATGTATTTCCCATAATAGCTGGACATAGTTTCTGGCAATGCGAAGTATTTATGATCCACCAAAGGACTTTTATTATTTTCATATTGTTTACCTATTGTAATTTTTTGGATCTATAGAATCTATATAATGAAGATGTTCATTCTTGTATTAGAAATTATTTTGGTTCACAAATTTCAATGAACCATTTTCTGGCTCCATTACAGGCTCCTAATCAAGAATTTATTATTTATATAGCATTTCCAATGCAGCCTAAGATGATGCAATGTCTTGGGCCGGAGCCTTAGTTTCAGATAGTATATTGAATTTCTTCTTGATCATTGGGATGAAACGATCTCCAGCACAACTGTTTCTTCTCTTCTAATCTGAATTTCCTAAATTGATTAAATTTTCCTATTGCTGAGCACTAATAGGATCTGGTTGCTTCCCATGGATCATAGTCTGAATCTTGGACAATGAAGTCTGAGCGCATGAACTAGAACAATCCTAAAATATGATATCCCTATTACTTGAAGTTTTAGCTATGACATTTACAAACAAAAATAAAATTTATGTTTGACATAAATTTTACTTGAAACCTTTATACAACTACTAAATTAATTTATTGCTGTTTTATTTATAGAAAGCCACTCCTCTTCACTCTCTTATATATCCAACACAAAGGTAGTATTTTTATGGCTTTTGGCTCTCAGCTCCATTAATCATAATTAGAAATAATCAAAATAGATTATAAGTCAATATAAAACTAAAACTTCTTGTCTTATCTGGTCGACTGATTGGACCTGTTTAGTAAAACATAGTATGATAATTGTTTGATAATTAATTCTTTTTGGTATTTCTCCTTGTTCTGGTATATTAAGAAATATAAGACAGAAGAATTTTATATTGGCAAAAATTAGAGGTTTCAAGTTAATATTCTAATATTTGCTGATATTATAGCAATTTTTAAGATAAATAAAATTTATTATATCAATATAACTAATTTTTTTCAACCTATTCTTTGCAACCTAAAGACAAACACTCGAATTTATTTAGAGATCAATTTACATATTAAGACTAGCTTTCTGATTTATTTGACAAAATATTTGAGTTTTGATTTTTCATAAAGTTGTTTTAGAAGAAATCATTATAAATAAACGATATAAAATATCAACTATTTCAGTAGTGAATTCCATAATATTTAACAAATCATTAATACAGAATGTTTATAAGGTATTTCAATATTGATAAAATGAATATCATCCAAAAAAATACTTAAAACTGCTTTAGATTAAATAAACTATTAAATATATTAATATTGTTTTATTATTCTTCTATAATTTAAATTCAAATACATATAAAATAATATATATATGGATATTTATACTCCATTTTTTTCATCCTGACTTGAAAAGGAGAACTGATTTTCCATTCGATAAAAAATCAAAAAATGTTAAAAGTTCTAAATCATAACTTAAGGAACATCCAAAGTTAGATCCAATAATGCATTGCCATTCACCTTCGCCCTCTATTAAAATAAATGACAGCTTATACTTTTCTTATATTCTTGATTAGTTTTTATATGTTTGATCAATTCCACACACACATCTTTGTCTAAAGTATATTTTTTGAATAACTCATCTAATTCTAAAAGAATATGGTAAATGTTTGTCTTACTTAATAAGATGTCTTTCATAAACTTTTGATTTAATTCTGAACTTCTAACACGAATAGGTGGAAGATCAACCTGCTTTTCTTCATCTGAATCCATCAGTTTTATATAATTAATTAAATTAATATAATATAATTAACTCAACCAATTAATACTTTTATTCCTAGATTTGATAATTATGCTTTCTCCTTGCTAATTTAGATTTCTTTGACTAGATTACTGTGAAAATGTAATTCTTTTACAGGATATTCTTTTAGACCCTACTTTAAACTAATTAGATGATGCAAGCCTTTTTCTTATAACAGATTGTATTATAAATGCAAGCTCTCGATTCTAATTTAGAATAAATGTTTACTAGGTTTTCGTAATGGAATCCAAGATTTTAATGAGTATTTAATCACTAAGATCGCATTTGACAAATTTCAAAGTCTTAAGCGAATTGTTTTTTTCCAAAGCATCTGCAATTTTTTATATAAAGAGTTCATTCATTGTAATTTAACTGAAATCCGCAGTATCAATTTGATTAGACTTAATTTCCTCAACAATTTGTTCAATCTTAAGTTTTTTGTATGTAATTATTTGTAAATCAGAGCCTTGAAGCATTTAATTTGTAGCCCGAGAATCAATATTAGAAAATTCATTTTAAAAGGGAACATTCATAAATCGTCTGTTGGTAGGAACAGAATCAAGGTTAGGAGTAGTTTGTGATTACCCTTCATCATCATAGCTATTGCCCTTTCCTTCACTAGTTCCACAATCAGACTACTCTTCATTTCCTTAATAATAGTCTTCTCTATCAAGTTTTTCCTCATGATCTCCAACGAATTGAATATCTTGGAATTTATTTGCTTAGCTTTCTAATTTCTTTTTGATCAAATAAGCAATTTTTTCAGAGAGACGTGGAGCAACCTTAGTAAATTAGGCTTAAATCAGTTCTCTAATAACTTTTTATTTTTTTTGTATGGCAACCTCATCTTCCACATTTTCGTCTTATTTTTTAGGTTGCTTTGCATCAACATTGATGGGTAAATTTTATTTATTAAAGAAGGTTGGAGGCATCGGTTTAATGGGTCTTATTATAGCTTAATGGTTCTTATCGACAATCACTTAAGGTTATTTCTTAGGCTGCCACATGATTTCATTTGGGTTCTATCCAACAAATTCCCTACTAAAAGTGATTTGTAATTGAGGTGGCTAGTATACTTGTAAATTTGATTCTTCAGAATCGCTAATATAAAAATCTACAAAAATATGTAGTTCACTCAATAACTCAATGGACTCAACAGATTGTTCAATGTAAAATATTTTCATAGCAGAATAACTCTATAATTTTTTAATTGTCATCAAGTAGCGTTAAACCTATGGATCAACGTTCATAGGCATAACTTGCTGATGGAAGAATTCCTTAAAGATTTAGTCTAATTCATCATCTTATCTCCACAAAAATTGCAGTTAAATTTGATATGCTTTATTTTAATCAGTTACTTAATCTAAGTTACAATTGATTTTCAAAGAGGGTTTTTTGTCGCCTGAATATTTTGCTATTAATTCTAAAATGCTCATAAATATCAAAGAGAAATTAGTAGAGTTTCCCTTCATTTTATCTTAAATACTATTGTCAAAGTATAGATTAATGCTAGTAAATTTTTATAAGTATCTGCCAGCAAATACTTCAATTAAATAAGTTACCAATCCTTTAACTACAATATATATAATGATGTCTACATTAAAAGTTTATGAGGTTCGATTATGGAAAGAAGCTTGTTGAAACCTCGTAAGTTTCAAATTCAAAAATTATCTTATATAAGTCTACAATTGATTAGGAAATCACCTTCAAATCTGATTCTCTTATGATTTCTAAACTTCTCATATTATCCCATTTCTAAAAATCTTGCTATAAACTAACGAGCATCTATTGACCACTAGAATGTTAAAATAAAAGGATTTACTTCTATTTAATTTATTGGATTAGGTGATTTTAAAGGACTTTATTTTATTAGAATGTTTTGTTTGCATTTATACATATCATAAACAACCTCATTTAATTGATTTTGAATGGTTTAATTAGGACTGTTAAAATCTAAAGGTAAGTGAAAGTATTACTTCTTTTTAAATTTATTCAGTTATTTTGAGAGAATTCAATGTTAAACATGCTACATTTAGATATTTATGAATTGACTTTTATAGATTGTCTTCTTTCTGACTCTAGAACTTCGCCAATTTATTTTCAGTGATAACTTGAGCCGTTTGTTATTGCTATTATTATTGCGACTAATTTTTATTTTATTGCATGATTAAGCTTTATTCAAGAGATTACTATATTAAGACAGTATTCATTTGAACAATCAATTATTTGGAATCTTAATTTAGGTATTGTAAGAATAAGTCTTAATCCTAAAATATCTCTTTCAATGATCCTCCTAATTTAACTCCGCAATTTGCAGTCAGTTCTCGAGCCATTTTGTTTGACCAGTGTATTTGAGATTTGATGTTTACTATAAACAATGGAAATGGTAATTCCTATAAGAATTTCTCATCCTAATCCACTTTTTGTTTTTTCTACTTATGTTTAAAATAGTTACTTTTGTTAATATTTCTTCAACATGTTGTTTGGCATAAATGTATATTGCCAAAGCAATTATTAGAATAACGAATAATATTTGTTAATTGTAATTGTAAGGCCCCGATATCAGGAAAGCTCCGATTTAATTCAATATTATAAAAAGGTTAGATTTCTCAATTAAGGCTATGGGAATCAATACAGTTGCTGCTTAGACATAATAGGGATTGTATTTGCTTAAGTAAAAGTACATGTAACTTTGAAGTAAAAAGACTAGAATCAAAGTAAGTTTTTTAGTTATAATATAGATGGAAGCAAAGAATATGTTGAATAGCATCCACATCTAATAAATGTCTTTGGGATTCTAAAATATAGATTTTCATTTACGAATTCTTATTGTTTTAAGTCAATATGCACGGAGACAACGTAGAAAACAATATGAATCACTATAAATTCATATATTTATCTCATTTAATATATAATTTTTATATCAATATTTTCGTTCTGTTCGTAATGATAAATCGTCAAGTTTGGCATCGTTATATTGAAATTCACATTCATCTGCTGACTTTTTATCTTTGAAAAAGGCTTTCAAAACTACCTTTAATGTAGTAAATATTTACTTTTGTTTCCGCCTCGTTTTCTTGTATATTATTGGCAATAATATGAAGTTTAACCAAATTCCCGCATCTAGATCTTATATCACTCTAACTTAAGGCAATCTAAATACCATAAGGTCAGATATTTAATTCTTGGCTAGAAAATTGTAAATATCAATTTCATATAAATCCCTTGGATTGGCTCCATTTTATTATCTCCAATCATTTCTTCTTTATTTATCCCTATTTCGATTCTACGAATTGTCTCTTGGCCTATTAAAGTTATTCTTTGTCTTTCTAATGCGCCTAGATTAATTTTGCTGCTTTTAATGTCTGGGCTTTTTGATATTTGATTCCAAATTAATTTCTTCTACTTCTGACATTAAATTAAAATTAATAATTAAAATGGCAAATTTACATGGCTATGGAGAATATCCACCAGATTAATAGTAAAGAAGACAGCCAAGGACACTACGCGATTATTTCGGAGACAGTATAAAACGATTCCCATTTATAGGTTATTTCAATATTCAATAAATTAGGAGCTTAAGTTCTAAAAACGAATCCCAGATAAATGCATTACTTTGAAATGTTATAGAATAATTATTTTCCAGGATACAAAATACAATCTGTTACAACATTAGCAATTTTTGTTTATACTTTAATATTTACTCTATGTATCTTTGGAGGAATTGAAAAATAAGGATAATTTTTAGAAATCAGTGATGCAACACTTTAAAGTCATGGGGGTTTAGTTACAAATCAAATCAAAAATGAGTTCATGTTCTAATAACTATTTACAAGCATCTTTTTGAGTAGAGATTTTTATCACTATTTTTGCATTGTTTTCTTGTTACTCCTATTATTATCCAGTTTTGAATATGCATCAGGTCCTCTTGTAGCCATTTCTTTATATATTTTTAGTGGAGCTTTGGGAGCATTATTTGGAAGTTCTATTAATTGTTGTACAGATCTGATTTATTTACATGCAAATACTGCTATTTACGGATTGATAGGGGCATTCTTAGGGGTATTATTCTATTTAAATTTAGTGTATAATTTTAAATTGGTGCACGCTTGAGATTTTGAATGAAATGAGAGCATTTCTATGTTGTTTTATGTGGATTCTATTGACATTTGTCTTAGTCATCACGTTATCAGCTATTAACACAAATCACAATGATAAATATGGCTAGATTGGAGGATTGATTACTGGGTTTTTCCTTTCATTAGCAATTGTTCCACCAATGAATTAGGATAGTTATGAAGACAAAGCAAAAATATTTGGTTGGACATTTTTAGGAATATTTGCTTTCATTAGCACTTTGATGATTATTGTAATGTGATATTATATTATTATCTTAATTAATATATCATATTTATCATTAAGGATAAACAGAAGAATTTTAAGAAAAATGAGTAAAACATTCTATAAAGGGGTAAAAATAAGTTGCTCCAAAATTTTAATTGATTTATTTTATTGTTTTAATAAATTAAATTAACTTATATTTAATTCAGTTCATATCTGCATGCATATTAAGCATACACATTTTTAAGTGGAAAATCACTTAAAACTGTCTATACTCTCTTATCTATATGTATAAAAATGAGTGCAATATCTTAAGTTACAATTGTTGTGACTCTTAGTATCATTTAAATTCTAAGTAGTCTTGCGAATGGCTTAAAGTTAAAGTATTAGGCTTTCCAGCACATTTTTGATTGCCATTTCAAAAGAAAATTTGTTACATTCTTTATTATTTTTAAATTTGAGATTTTAATTCATATTTATAAACTGCTTATTTTCATCCTCAATCGTTGACATCTCAATCAAAATCAATAAAAATTCTTTAATTTTCTCAAAAAATAACAATACAAATTTGAGAATTCAGTTTTAATTTTGATTAATTTTATAGAAGCAAAATATATTATGAGATTATATTGGGATTAAAGATTAAGGATTCCATTGTAAAGCATGATCTAATGGGAATAGATTATAATTAAAAATAAAAATTAAACTTGAAAATATCAATATTGTGAGATTAAGTGCAAGTTGTTATTTTTAGTTTAATGGGAAGTATCCTTTTTTAATTTAAAAGCAATTAACTAATTCATCTCTTAATTAATTATTATTATATCATAATCTTATTTCAGATTATAAATGTCTTTGAGCATAACGAAACACCCCGAATCTTTTACAATAAATTCAGAACCTAACCCTAGGGAATGCTCAAACATGTATAACTTAATCACTAGTTTTGAATACTCATAATAGTGTAGAGCTTTTGGTTTCAATGCATCCGATAACATTTGGGTGTTGGGTTATGGATTTGAAATTTTGGTTTGCTAAAAAGAGAATGAGACCTTGCGAGTCGATTAGATTCTATAAGGACACACGTCTTGTGTTACTAATATTCTTTATAGTAACAAAGAAGATATGTTTTTTTCGACCGGGAGTTGGAATGATAATGTCATAGTTTGGACCAGAGACTTGGATGGAATTTGGAATAAGCAATATCTCATCTACAAGGAAGGGCAGACTAGAGAATTTGAAGTCGTTTAGTTGATCCTCAACGAAAATGAGGATGAACTAATAGGGGTAATGGATTACAATTTTATAATTGTATGGAAGAAAACACCTGAAAAAAAATGGATAAATAGCTAGATTATTCCCATAAGTCAAAATGAACTTGCTCAAATCCATTAGGTGAGCTATGATATACAGTTTTATAAAATAATAATCATAACATAAAACGGTTAGGTTTAAATTCTTGCAAAGAATTAATTGGATTTATGGAAGAAGAGGCAGTCAATCAATCTCAAAGCGATAAAAGGCAAGAAATAATACAATATTGACAATGATTCATTGGTCATCTAGGGGTTGAAAGGAGAATAATTATTATTTAATTTTAATAGAGAAAATGAATTGTATGAAGAGAGCTAGAGAGAAGTATCCTAGACTCTCAATTAGATATTTGAGATGAATACTTAAATGTCATAAAGTCAGGAAATATGTGCATTGAGGAAAAACAAACTTCTGTAGATATTAAAAAAGGATACAAAAAATTTATATTAATAAATTTAGACTATCCAATTTGAACAAAACTTCTTCTATTAGTTTTCAAAGAATGGGTAGTATTTAATAACATGGGATTATTCAAAATAGATTTAAATATGGAAATATAAAAGTGATTGAACTTAATTTTATCTAAATAAATTATTTTATATTATATTTTATATTACTTATTAAATTATTAGTTAATATCGAATTACAAATTAAAAGACAGAAATAATATTGAGATGAGAAAAGCAATTGTGAGATAGAATTGATTGACAATTTTAAGTCCAGTATTAGGAAATTGTAAATCTACAATCTGATTGGAAGGAGTGAGTATTAAAGAGATACGTAATTTGTGATTAATTAAAAAGGGAATAAAATATATCTAATATAATTTTTATTAGGATTTAATTTTATTAATTAAAAATAATGGGTGATATTATCCCTAATTAACTATTTGTTGCTGGGTACAGCCGTAGCAAGGTATAGGATGAGAAGGACGTGAGAGATATCTTCAAAAAGTACGGAGCTATCAAAGAAGTTGCGTACAAGGGATCTTATTCATTTGTTGTATGAACTAATTTCGAAATTAAGACCTTCAGTAATGAGTAGGAAGCACAAGAGGCTTTGAAGAGTACCAACGGGTAAACTTACAATGGCCAAAAATTGAAAGTGGATGTGGTTGACAATCGTAAAGGAAGGAAGACAGGTCCAAATGAGGAAGATAAATGTTTCAAATGCAATAAAGGTGGTCATTGGTAAATGTTTAATTAAATTTCTAGGGCTCGTAATTGTCCCAATATCAAATCACCTAGACGTAGTAGGAGAAGATCCGATTCGAGATCAAAGTATAAAGATATTTAAATTTAGGCGCCGTCACAGAAGATCTGAATCAAGATCATATTCTTCTTATTCATCATCCAGATCTAGAAGAAGAAGATATCAAAACAAAAGAAAGAGACACAGCAGAAGCCCTAGAAGAGATCAAAGGATCAGAAAAAGAAGTGTTAGTCCAAAGAGATCACCTTCTGATTCAGCCTCATCCAAAAGACCGAATTCAAACTCAAAATCTTGATAAAGAATGGGAAAAAAAACTCATTTTATTACAAAAGAAATATAAACAATTAATTGAATATAATTTATTCAATTCTTCTCATAACATTATCATTATGAAAAAAAGAACACTTCAGGATCTGTCTGAAGAACAAGCCCAGATTAATTAATCTTACATCGAAATCAATTCGGTTTAGAAGGAACTCTATTTAGAAAACCAAAAAAGGCTGAAAGAAAAGCAAAAAGAGAGCAACCCCATTGTAGTCATCGAAGACGATGAAATCAAATAGCCGGTTGAAGAAGGTGAACTTTAATTATCTTTTCCTATTGGAACATTTTGTTTGAATTGTCTGACACAGTATCCTACAGATGATAGACAGCCACATCACTTACCATTTATTAACATCCTTTACGAAAATGCACATATAGATGTCAAAACTTAAAAGCCAAAAAAAACATTGGAAAGTGCTCTAATGACTTGCTTTAAATTTGAAGATGAATTATTAGAACCTTTAGTAAAATCAGGTGTTCAACTCTACATTGTGAATGACAATGACAATTTAAACAAGAAGCTTGAAATTATTGAAAGATATAACAATTATCCAAATTGGACGGTAATTAAGCCATCAAAATTGAGTACCAATATGTTTGGAGGTGCATTCCACCCTAAAATATGGATTCTAAAATTTCCTAAATTTATTCGGATTGTCATCGGAAGTTAAAATTTACATGTTGGAGATTGGACAATATGGTCTTAAGGAATGTGGATTTAAGACTTCAAAATAGGGAAAAGTGAGTTAGACCAAACCTCTTAAGAGTTCAAAAGCATGCTCAGAGAATTCTTATACGAAATATTGCCTACCTCTCATAAATTTGAAGATCTCCTCAAAATTAAATATGATGATTATGATTTCAAAGATGTTAATATCAGACTCATCACATCCATCCCAGGCAGATTCGTAGGCAATTAATTATTTAAATATGGTATGATGAGACTGCAGTCAGTCATATATTAAGAACTTTGCAATAACAAAATGGAAATCCCTAAATAAGTTTGTGTCACTTATTAAACCACTAGTATAGGATAGATGGATAATAATTACGTTGATTTTGTATTGTAGTGTTGCACAGGAAGGGTTTATAAATAACAATTACCAAACGAGTAGAGTACCAAAAAAATAAACTAGATGATTCTAAATCAATAAGAGGAAGAATAATCAAAATTGAAATTAATATATCCGACAGCAGATTATATTGAAAATTAGACTCATGGAGGAGTTGACTTTGCTAATCCATTGCACTTAAAATAGTAATCATATGAAAGTCCTAAATTTCCTAAGCATCTATTTTATAAATACTAAGGGTCAGATCACTACTATTGGCATACTGGTAACATTCCTCATTTAAAGGTTATGATAATTACAGGTTTAGATGAAGATATAAATGATTAGACATCTATATATATTGGAAGTCATAATTTTAGTTAAGGTGCTTGGGGAAAAATGGAAAAAAATGCAACGCAATTGTTCATCTCTAATACAGAATTAGGTGTCTTATATCCTCCAAAAAAAAATTCAGCTCAAATTAAATAATAAATTATAGAATAACTTTCATTCAAATTTCCTCCATTAAAGTATGATAAGGATGATCAACCTTGGATTGTTGAGGCATATTATGAAAGATTGTCAAAAGAATACTAGTAATAAAATAAATGATATTTTCTTTTTTGTTAATATTAATATTAAAGATATTCCTTATTAATTTAATAATTAATTATGGACTCAGAAGTACCAAAAAAAGGGTGTAAATGCAAAAATGGAGCCTGTTGCAAGTGTGCCCCAGTAAGAAGAATCATGAATTAATGCATTTAAAATAATGGAGAAGAGAAATGCCAAACTTTTAGAGACTCATGGAAGGAGTGTATTGCATATTACAAAAGTTTAGGTTGATTATAAAATCATAATTTTCACTAAAAAATAATTTACAAATATGAGATCTTGAAAGATGTCTATATATCATAAATTTTTATAATCTTCTGAATGCCTTAAAATATCAGAAAATAGAAATTGTGTTATAATATTCCTTTTTTATTTGATTTAATCTTAGCTCTTTTCAATAACATAAATCAAGTAGTTCAATTTTTACAAGTGATGCCAATTGAGATTTTTGCTGGGATAATTCTTTTATTCTTATTATTTGCTTAAGGTATATTCAACTTTCAAATTAATGAAATAATATTATTTAATATTAACTAAATAAATTAGAACATATATCTATTACTTTATATCTGATACGACAGTTATAGATTTGGAATTTTATATAATTTATATGTTAATATAATATCAAAATGTCAAAAATAAAGTAAGAGGATAATTTTTCCAATTCAGTATTCTACAAAAAATAAAAACTAAGAACTATAAAAAATAAATGCATCCAATCATTAGCAAAAATTCTAAATTTATCAGTTTACTCTGTTCTTACATTGTTGAATAAAGGTAAAATGGAGCTGAGATGTTATATGCAGAGAATAATAATCTAGTTATTAATGAATGGCATTTTAAGACTTTTTCCAAAAAAATGATTATCAGTGCTTAAAATACATTATAATAAAATCCTCCAATACAAGCCTACAATAAATATATCTCCAAAATATTGTTTAAATTTATTTCTTCATATAATGATAAATTGGAATTGATTTTGTGTATAATTGATTGTACAAAAAATATACACGAAAATAAGAGGAAATGATTTTATAGTTGAATATATTATGAGTATTCTGTGTCTTTGTATTATTAAATTTTTAATCTTTATTCCTCTTATTACTTTTTTTCCATTATCTTTTCTTAGTTCTCATCTTCCTTTAGTTCTGAAGGTAGGCTCATGTTCCTTTTTCTTTCTATAGTAATAATATCATCAGATTATTCAACAGAATTGTCTGCTTTACATTACTAAAATACAATTTTGCTATTGTTATTACTTAACATTAAACTAATTTTGATCCTGCAAAACTAGGGTTCTCTTTTTTTAGCTAATTTATGATTGATTTATTTTGATCGGATGATGGTTTTACAGCTGGTTATATAAGATTCTGACTGCAACTACTAGACTTGCTAGTGATTTGCTATTTTTAAGTTTAAAGGATAGGCACTAAACTTGATCTATGAGTTTATCTATTTGTATCTGACATAAGTTTGTCGTTTTCTAATGATTACTTTTATCAATACCCAAGATTTTGTTACTAGGAGACAGTAATAAGCCTGAAGATTAAGGATAATTATCGACTTAATTTTTTTTAGAATTATTTTGATCTATTTCATTAGGTTTTGAAGACCTTAAAGCACTAACATTTTTTTTTACTATTATAGGGTGTAAACTTACTTGAGGATGTTTAGTTTTAGATAGTCAACTTTGTTTAAAATACTTCCTCGCTTTGTTTTTTCGTATTTTGCTTAAATAGAATAAGTATATACTTTTAAAATAATTTTTTGAGATTTCTGTGAAATCTTCTAATTGTATTTTGATCTGATTAAATATGATAGAGAAACCAAGAAATTTAAGGATATTTAGCCAATAGCAATATCTAGCCCTGTTATATCAAAAATCATTTTGAAAATAAAATTTAATTTTAATAAGCATAATTATATAATTAATAATTGCATATAATTTCTCAATACTTTTTGTAAATTTATAGAATTCTTTTTTCAAGTTCTCCATCATCCTTCATTAAATAATCGAACCTTTCTTTCTCTTATCTCCAAATGTCTTTGAGCTCTTGAATTTATTTTATTTTTTCATCCTTCAATTCTTTTTCCAATTTTGAGAGGATCTTAAAATCATTAATGAATTTACTGATTTTTATGCAACTCCTGCAACATGTCTTTCCTTTCTTTCATTTTATAGTTTGTCTTTCAACATGGAAATCTTATCGTTGTATGCATTTTCAACGGATGCAAGTGCATTCCTAGTAATTATATTTTATTATCTTCTCATTTGAAGATGATCCTTTTTCTCATCAATAATCTTCCTTTTCTCTAATTCAAAGATTATTCGATGACTATGAGAATTTAATTAAATATTTACATTTTCCTTAAATAATTTAGTTTTTCATCTCTCAATTTATAGTACATTGACAAATGCTCGTTTTCAAACTCTTTTTTTAAATCATCCTTCTTCTTTTGATTCATTTTATTTTATTGCTTTTAAGATTGTATTGATTTATTTTATTAGGATTCTTGCTTCTTTTATTTTTATTGATAAGTCTTAAGATAGTCTTTTAGAAATTCTTTATATTAATTCCTCTTTTTGATGATTTATTCCATCGTCTCTTTTTCATCACTTGGAGGTTAAATTTTCATTTTACCTAAAGATATTTTAATGACTTTAATTTGTTCATCTATAAAATCGTCAATCTCTGATCTATCCTCTAGGTCTTCCCCACCTTTCATCTTTTCTTAAAGTAATTTTCTTATGTTATCCTTTTATAGTTCTCTAATGTATTTAACCTTAGTTGGATCATCATCTTCTAATTAATTAATTTCCTCTTCGTCATGTTAGTCCAAAAAATCATAATCTATTTCACTAATACCTGAAAAATCGAAATCAAATTAATCTTCTTATTTTTCTTTTTCTCTAGGTTATTTCTTTTTTTTTTATTTATTTTTCTACTTTGTAACTATATTTGGATCTTGTGTTATAATTCGTTATTGTTGTTAGGTTACAGGTAATAAATTATTGCCAATAGCTATTAACTGATTTTCCTTTGAATTTAGTACTTTTTTGCCCTCCTCCTTTCTATCTGAAGCTTCCTTTTGATTGTTCTAAGGCTGCTTTTTAGAAGTGCCTGTTTTATCTTAGGGTGCATTTATTTTCTGACCCTGCCCGTATTTGTCTCTTGGTAACTATTTGGTATCTACCTTTGCACTACCTTCTTAAGATAATTAATCATAATCAGCACCCTTAGAAGAATCGTTCCCTGATATCTATTCAGGAGGAGTTGAAATTTATTAGCTTGAAGAAGTAGATCTAACTTAGTCTTTATAAAGTTTCGATAATTCAAGTAAAATTTATAGAAAGTTGTAAAGATGCCTCAAATCTCCTTAAGCAATAGAATGACCACTTATATGCGATAAATCCATCGTTAAAACTGGGTAAGACTATTTATATATTTAAATGTTTTACTAAAAATTCAATAAGACCTTATAATTTTTCGCCTGTTGGATTTCTTTCCTTTTGAATATTATCAATCTCCTTCTCTAAAAATGGAAACATGATTCTAAATATAGTACAATAATTTCTTTCATTTTTTAGTTATTCTCTATTATAGAATCAAATTATTAAATACATCGTGACATCGTGTTATGGATCCAAATCTAAATTGGAAACTATCTATAAATATAAATCTATAATGTCTTAGACCTCGGAATTCATTTTTCAAATAATGTAATGAATATCAGTTAGATTTATTAATTTATTAAGTGGGAAAAACTAAAAAACTCTATAATCTAAAATCAAAATCAGTATCAAAACTGCTTCTCTCTACCTCCACAACCAAAAAGTGATATAAATTTTTACAGCATACTCGAATCATTCTTATGCAATTATTATTAGATTTCGATTTGCTGCTATTTTTAAACACTTGGCTGAGTAGACCTATCATAAATTTCTTTCTCTATTGTATTTATGCTTAATGTCCATTTGTGATTTAGCACGCCTTGTAATGAAATTCTCTAATCCGGATCTGGAACTAGCATCTGATTTAATAAGTCTTGAATAAATGGATTTGATATTAATGTAAACTAAGGTTTCTTAAAATCAAGAATTTACTGCATCTTCTCAATCTAATTGCCTAAATTTGTTTATTATTAAACCTTATACTAATGGTTTGCCTTCAAGCAACCAGTATAATATAGCAGCTAAAGACCATACATCAATTTTTTGAGTTTAAGGTAAATTTTTAATAACCTCAGGGGCCATGAATTCAAAAGTTCCAGAAAAACTACTTATTACACTTTCATATGTGGCCAATCCAAAATCACAAATTTTAGGATTCCAAAAACTGTCCAATACAATATTGTCAGGTTTTAAATCTCTGTGAATTATACCTTTTTCATGAAGATACAAAGTAGCCTCGCATAATTGTATGAATATGTTTTAAATATCACAATTTTCCCTATTCTACGTTAATGTTCCCTAAGCTAAGAATTAACAATGCCTTACTTGCATATTCCATAATTATATAGACGTATTCATCATCCTCAATAAAGTAATGAAACTAAATTATGTTCTTATGATTTAAATGCTTATGAATTCTGACTTCCTTTGAACATTAATGTTTATTCATCTTCTTTAGAGCGTATAATTGACCTTATATTAATATTTTATGCACTGTTCCAAAACTCCCTTAACCTATTTATTCTAATAATTGCATTTCTTTGAAAATATTTTGTCTGTCAACAAGAACTGTTTGTTGTATCCCTCTGCATTTGGATTGGTGCTTGCTTAAAGGCTTAATTACTTCAATTACCTATCTGACAATCGGCAATCATCGCAACAATAAAAGGCGTTCGGACACCATAGACATTATATTGTAACTCCTTTGATTAAAGAATCCAAACTGATAGATGAATTGCATAAATCGAAAGAACAAATCATAAAATTATTATTAAATACTTTTTCTTAGAATTATTAGTTTAATAAAAGTTAATTTTAATGTACACATTACTTTTCAGTTATTTCAACGTAAATAACTTACTAGATTATTGCAAATTTGAGTTCTAGATTTCAACAGTTTTAATTACTCTGTATATGAATTATAATTTCTTTTATGAAGAAAATTCGTTTTATAACTCAAATACTATAAAAATCTGATACATTGCATTTAAAAGTTACCCAAAATACTCTATTTACCTGTTAGTTTATTACCAGTTAAAAGGCTTTGTTAAAATCTTACTGCAAATTAACTCCATTTTCTAATATTTATTAAGAAAATGCGATGCTATTAAAACCAGGATATTAAAATAAATTAATATTGGACATTCATGATTAAATTTATACATTTGATCATTAAAATCATAACTTTGGTTTTTCATTATTGTGCTAGCCAACTTTTGGTATATCTTTAATTTAATATTAATAATCTGAGAATATGGGTTATCCATTAACCTCAATTTTCCCATTCCTTTTAATAAAAACATTTTCTCCTAAATAATTCTTAGTTTCATATTCCTCCAATTCTACCACAGGCGATACACAAGCATCATATTAATCAAAAATATTCTCCCACTCATCCCTCGTTTTACTTTCAAATAATTTCGATATTTCTGATTTCAAATTCTCCCATTCAGTTTAATTCAATTGATTTTCCAATACAAATTAACCTCTTAATTATTCTATGAATTGTACCTTTATTAACTGAGTCCACCTGCAATTAAGCCTCTCACAAATTCTTAATAAAACTTTTCCTCCAAACATCCCACACTCATAAATTTTCCATCCTTACATTAATAAATGTTATAGAAATGAGTTCCTCCATCAAGTAAATTATTCCCAATTCCATTAGACCATAATTTTTCATTTTTTTAATGTAAAATAAATTGACTTAAATAAGCAGATCCTTAAGCCATGCCCAAATCAATTTATTAACCATCCCCACCCTTTTAAACATTAATTAAAGCTGCTAAAATACTGGCTACTCCTAACATCCCTCCTGCTGCGAAATCCCCTACAACATTTCCAGGAATAGCTGGTCTTTTTTAAGTTCCTGTACTAGAACAATATCCAAGAACTCCCCCGTAAGAAATAAAATTGATATCATGACCAGCCTTTTCTTTTAAAGGACTGTTCTAACCAAAACCTGTAACTCTGCAATAAATTAATTTAGGATTGATCTTTGAACAAACCTAATAAGATAACCCTAGTCTTTCCAACACTCCTGGACGATAAGGATCAATAAGAACATTGCTATCTTTAATCATATGTTTAACAATATCAATGTCTTGTTTGCATTTGAGATCGAATGTCATACTCTTTTTACCTCGATTCATGGGACTGTTTTAAGGTTAAGAATCTAATCTTGATAACAAGGTAACTTGAGCTCCATAATCGGCTAGCACCATGCCTATGAATACAGTTGGAGCTAATCCAGCAAACTCTAAGACCTTAATTTAGGAAAGCATTTTATGTTTTTTAAATTTAATTAATAAAATGTGGAATAATACTTCTTTTGGAATACTACTTTTGGAGTTGTTTGCTCTATCTTTATTCTTGATGGGTTATTTTTAAGTCAAGACAACTTTTGAAGATATTAATGAAGTAGAATCATCGAATGACAAACCAATGAAAATAATACTACTTTTGGTGGATGCTTTGAGAATTGATTTGTTTGCAAATAAAAACTTCACCTTCTATTAGAATATGAAAGAAAACCAAGAGGAGTATTAAATTCTGTATTATGGAATCTCATCTACGCCAACTGCAACTTAATTAAATTTGCAATCGATCACTACAGGCAATTTTCCAGCATTCATTGATTTCGGTTCAAATATGGCTGCATAAGAGTTAAAAGAAGATAATGTAATCTATTCGATGAAGAGAAATAACAAAAAATTGGCATTATTAGGAGATGACACTTGGTTTCACATGTTTCCAAAATCATTCGATTATAAATTTGTTTCGGAATCATTTGATGTAAGAGATTTAGATTCTGATGATAATATTATCATTAACAATATTGAGGATTTGATTAAAGAGAATAAATACGATTTTATTGTTGGTCATCTTCTTGGAATTGATCACTCTGGACATAGTTATAACGATAGTAATTAAGCACTATGGAATAAATAGCAATAATATTCAGATCTGTTATATAAAATATACAACTAAATGGATAATTAAACAATTTTGTTTGTAGTAGGTGATCACGGAATGTCTTAGGATGGTAATCATGGAGGTGATAGTCCTTATGAAGTCAGCTCTACAATCTATGCTATCAATAAATAGTACAAATTCAATAAGAAACTTTTCGATTAAGCCATCAATAGTCAACAGTATATCAATTAGTAACTAATAGATCGAAATTTATATATTAGATAAATATATAGCATTAATTTGGCTCCCACTATTTCATATCTAATGGGATCCTCTCTCCCTTATAGTAATATGGGAGCCATTTTAACTGAGATGGTCAATACAAAGGAATAGTAAGAAAACAGTTGTAAAGAGAACTTAATTTAAATCATCAATTACTTAAGTAAATTGGCGAAGGTTTAGGGCTCAATAAACATAAATTTATAATAATATGAATAAAACTTATAAAGTAAATAATTCAAATGCCAATAAATTTAAGAGATAATAAAAGAATTGCAGTTTGAACTGAAAGAAAATGTCAAAACCTATGATTACACATTATTATTCCTAGGTTTGAGTATGATGGTCATCTTGTTTGCTTTTCATATCTTAAAATAATCTGAATACTTGTTTAATAAACAGTTCTCAAATTAACAACAATATATTTTCTATAGGCTAGAATTTTTCGTTCTGATAATTCCTGCTGCTATATTGATTGATCTCATATTTTCACATTCTAGTTCAATCAAGTTTATTTCATTCTATTTGATATTGGCAATATTAAAATAAATACTTTAACCATTGACATAGATGTAAAATATAAGAGTTATTTTAACCAAAGTTATAAGCCCATTACCTCATTATAGATAATACTTTATGATATTTGCAAATATAATAACTCAAATTGGAATACAAGTGTTATCTGTCAATAGATAAATAGTGTCTTCATCTAATATCTTTGGTACTTTATTAAACATTTTTATAATCCTCTTCATCACTCAATTTAAATTGATTAAACAAATTCATTATGTTTTATTAGCTTTAGGATTGCTAATTTTGGCTGAATAGTATAATCTTCCCTAAGAATCAAAAAAACCTTTTTCACCCTTAACAATTGTTTCGATAAATTTCATATTTGAATCATTTTGGATTAAATTTGTTTTGCCTATTATATTCCTCTAAAAAATACTCTACAAATTAAATTTTAAGTAAGATTATATAAATATTTTAGGATATATTTTTATATTTTCTTGGGTTTGGCTTAGTTCATTCATTTTTATAACAATTGCCCAATATTTAATAACATATTAAACCAAATATTTGAGGGTCACCTAAGAATAATAACTATCTATCTTCCTATGTTATTATACATAAGCTCTTTAGCCATGATTTTCATTTTTCGCGATTTTAGTTACTGTAATTATTTAAAATAAAATAGTTTTCTTAATCATATTAACAGTTTCAGGAAAGTAAGGAATGATGATATACTGCTGTTTATTTTATTCAGTTCATTATTTGACGAAGTTCTACATGTGCATTGATAGAGCCTGGTTGCCTCCAGTAGCTGGAGCAACGATATAATTGATGTTGAATTATAGTTGGTTTTGTCTGGGACATAGGATGTCATTCAGTAACGTGAAATTTTAAGATGCTCTTATTGGCTCAGAAAGTTTTAACGTAGTATTTAATACCACCTTATTAATAATAAGCATAGTAATTATCAATACAATAATTCTAGTTTGGAGTATTTGCAACAATAAACATAATAAAAAATATTACATTGTAAATTCTAGTAGATGAGTAAAGTCTGCAATAAAAATTTCCAATACAATAATTTAATAATAGAATAATCGATTTTTTGATAATCGTTCAGTTTTCTTAAGTTACTTTTGCTGCTCTTCATAATATGTTAAATTTATATCATTAAAATATAATTGAATTATTTGCCTAAAGAATTATTTATGAATCCATAATTTTTACTATTGTTATTTTAGTTAGATTGTTCAACACAATATTTGAGAAGACCATTTGTTAAAAACAATATGAATTTTATTTTTAACCTTATTAAAAACTATCAAATGAAATCAAAGATAAAAACAAAGAATGAATCTGATTGAAACTTTTTGTGAATAAACAAATATTTTATTAATATCAATTGATTTCTAAAAATATATTTCTTAAATAATATTATGTAATCGGATATCATTCGAATAAGCCTACTTCTATTTTAAATCTTCTATGAAATGGAATGAAAATGTGGATAATAGCAACATCTTCAACATATTGTTTGATATTTTTCATATATTAAAATTTATTGTAAAGGCCCATTCTCAGCCTATTGAGGCTAACAAGAATAGAAATTATGTTTTTGATCAGCAATTGATATTTTTAATATATTGAAATGAATGCATATCTTTGTATCAATATTAATAATTTTAATTACATACTCTCCAAAGTTTTATTCAACAATTACTTGTCATGAGTTCAAAAGTGCATTCATTAAATTCTTTAATGACTAGATCAATAATTCCGTCTGGATAAGCAAATGAAAGAGTTGATACAAATCAACAAGATGCTAATGTTATTATAGTGTGTAAACCACTGAATTTAGCTTTGAAAAGTTCTCTTAAAGGAGATAAGAAAGGAAACTAATAAAAATTAAAGGTTCTTCGATTTGCTTAACCTGTAAAATAAACATATATTGTTGAAAATTGGAAAAAATACAACCATAGTTTTGAGGAGGAAAAAGAAACCTGCTGCAAATTATTTTGATTGATTAAATATCCTTAATCCTTTTTATGGCAATTAATTATACATTAATATTCAATATCCAAATAACCATTCTTTATTACTGATATTTTTTATTCTAAAGTTAGAGTATAGAGTTTTATATAAATTTAGTTGGTTTTTCATAAATATTCATTACATACTACTATTTGTGATAATTATAATAAACTAATTTATTCATTTTTTAAATAATAACAATGGTATGATTAGTTTCTTGAGTTTTGAACCTTAAGCCAGATTTTTGTATCTAGTAAATCATATACAATATTTACTTTAAGGAAACGATAAAATAGGCGATGATCAATATTAATAGAATGCATTTCACTTTATTATTTGATTTTCTCTTCAAAGGCTGTACATTGATTACAGTGGGAACATTGCCAAGGATTTTTGCATTATCCAAACGCCTTTGTAACCAATCTAAGGTAATAGTCATTAATTCATCGCATTCTTCATCGTGCTATAATTCATGATACCCATTTTCAAACAATTTTAAAGCTTTTTCTTAACTTTTACAATTTTCAAAGAAATGCACAGAATCATGATAATTGGTTACAGCATCTTATTTTCCATGTAGAATCAACAATGGTTTATTAAATAAATGAGAATGACCCTTCATCATTTTCACTTAGGACAATATTGAGGCTGCCATATTCAAACCACAAAATGGAATCATCAATCTATCTCCAAATGAATGCTTCAATTGACTATTATTTTTTGTTAAAGCAGTAGGATTGACCATACTATTCACAACCATGTCTTCCAACTTTTTACCAGCAGTTGTAACAAAATTGAGTTTCAACCAATCCAATTTACGATCAGAAGGAAATCCTAACAATGGACTTGTTGCTATAACACCAGCAATTTAAATTGCAGGGTTCAACAATGTAAAAGCTAAGACCACCAATCCTCCCATTGAATGACCATATAAAAACAATGGTAATGAGGGATTTACTTATTGAATTAGAACCTTGACATCTTAAAGCAATTATTATTGTGTTGCACATCCTCTGGCACCACCAGAATAACCAAATCCTCTTAAATCTATCATATATACTTCAAATCCAGCCTTGGCATAAAAATCAGCTAACTATTTTGCTTAGGATATAATATACATGCAGAAATCTTCCTGAATGCTCACCAAATCCATGAATGATTGCTAAGGATGCTTTGATTTAAACCTTTTATGGGAGTAATTTTTGTAAAGTATAATCTTAATTGTGTTCCTATTAAATTGATTCTGATAAGTACCTTCTCCCACTAGATATTATCTTGTAAGCATATGTGAATTAAATTGAAATTCTCCCAAAAATTTATCAGGATCATGATCAAACCCTTAGATAATTTTTTCATGCTATACAGCCTATATCTACATGTGTGTTTTGGGATGGAGCACTTCAGCTTAAGATCCTTCAAAATTTTGATTCATTATTTATTTAATTAGTCATCTCGATTGATCTGACGCTTAATAATTTTTTATTTATGTCAATTGTATTAGAAACCTCATTGGGAGATATAATTATTGATCTGCACACTCAAGTAAGTTTAGCAGCCAAAAACTTCATAAAACTGTGCAAATCCAAATTTTATAATGGGGCGCTTATTTACAATGTTTAAAAAGACTACTTAGCATCTATAAAATCTGTAAACCCGGCCACTACAGTTTACAACCAACCCTATTTCGAAGATTAGATCAATCCTTTGTTAAGAGTATCTCCTAATAAGTATATTTTAGCATAACCAATATGGAGTTGTAGCCACATCTAATTCCAAACCACATGCAAATAATTCAGATTTTTATATTTTATTGACACAGAATGCTCCCTAGTTGGATGGCAAACATACGATATTTGGATAAGTTTAGGAAGGCTTTGAAGTCCTCTAACAAATAAATAGAACTCACATAGACGATGATGGCAGACCACTTTTAAATATCAGAATTAAGCACACCTATATCCTTGATGATCCTTTTGAAGACATACCCAATATGTTATACCCTTCAAGATCTCCATCTCCTAATTATAAGGCTGAAGGCAGAATTGAATATGACGAGAAAGTCTTAATTGAAGAGGATGAAGAATAATTACTATAAAAGACTAAATAGCATCAAGCTAAGAAAAGAGCTGTTACATTGGAAATGCTAGGAGATCTACCTGATGCAGATATGAAACCTCCAGAAAATGTATTATATGTGTGCAAATTAAATCCAATAACCGAAGAAAAGGATTTGGAGGTTATTTTTTCAAAGTTTGGACTTATTAAGAACTGTGAGGTCGTTAGGGATTGGAAAACTGGATCATCACTTTAATATGCTTTTATAGAATTTGAAACTATTGCAGCTTGCGAAGAGGCATACATGAAAATGGAAAATGTGATTATAGATGAAAGAAGAATTCATGTTGATTTCTGTTAAAGTGCTCATTAATAATGGTCATTATTAAAAAAAGCTTAGAGAAAAAAGAAAGAGTTGAATTTATAAAGGGAATTAGCCTAAAGAAGTAAAAACAAAGATCACAGCTTTATTGAATCACTTGAATTAAAAAAGGATTATTTTCACACTAAAGCTAATAATGATTTTGTTATTGATTAATAAGAATTACAAAAATTATAAGATTAACAATTACTATAATTGTAGATGTAATTAGATAGTTAATAAAAAATATAATAACAAACGTAATTAAAGTAGGAGAAATAAAAAAAGGAGAAAAAAAATAAGAAAAAGAGTGCTGAAAAGAAAAATAAAAGACATAGAAGTTCTAGTTAGGGAGAAAGCGATAGTGATAGCTAATCATTAAAAAATAAAAAATAAAAAGATAAACATAAAAATAAAAATAAACATAAATCATATGATAGAGATGATAAGGATTAGCAAAAGAGAAAAGAAAAAGAAAAACTGAAAGAATAAGAAAAGCAATAGGATTTGGAAAAATAAAAAGAAATTTAAAAATAAAAAGAACTTGAAAAATAATAGGAAAAAGAAAGAGAAAAAGAAAAAGAAAGAGAGAGAGAAAAAGAGAAAGAAAGAGAAAGAGAGAAAGAAAGAGAGAAAGAAAGAGAGAAAGAAAGAGAAAGAGAAAGAGAGAAGGAAAAAGAAAGAGAAAGAAAAAGAGATAGAGAAAGAGAAAAAGAAAAAGAAAGACTGAGGGAAAAAGAAAAGTAAAGAGAAAAAGATCGAGAAAGAGAAAGAGAGAAAGAAAGAAAAAGGAAAAGAGAAAAAGAGAAAGAGAAAGAAAAGGAAAAAGAGAAGGAGAAAGAAAAGGAAAAAGGAAAATAAGAAGAATAAAAATTAAAAGAAAGATAATAATCAAAGGATGGTGGAAAAAATAAATAATCGGAATCTAATCAGGACAATGAAGGTAATCAAAAAGATAATTCAAAATTAAAATAAGAATAAGAAAAATAAAATCAAACACAACAAAACAAACCACCTATGAAATCAACTTAAGTAATTATATATTTATATTAAATTTAGAAAAAGAGATAAACCAAGTCAAGTTAATCATCGAATGACTCATCATCCTCTTCTTCGTCCTCATCATCATCAGATTCCGATTCTTCATCTGAAAGTAGTTCATCATCATCCTCAGATAAATGAGACATTAAGATTTGATTCTAGATATTTAAAGCTAATATTAATTTATTTTTCTTTCCTATTAATGGGGACCTGTGGGGGAAAACATAACAATAATAAACAAATTCAAGATAATCTAATCTATGAGCCTTCATTACCTGCTGATAAATAGACTCCAATAGAAAAGCTGAATTACATTCTAAGTAATCCAATTATACAGTATCTTTAAACTAAAAGGTATATTAAGATTTTATATAGATAAAACTATGATACTCTTATAAATAAATTAGTTTTACAGATGAATATTTAAAAAAGTGAATATTTATCTTACATTGAACTATTGATTGGTCATTTTAAAAAAATTCAAGCTTAATCAGATCCAGTCAAAGAGCTGATTTAGTCAGCTATAACTTTTATGAATTAAGATTTCGTATAATTCATTAAATTAGAATCATTATTTTGCGAATCCGATTTGCAACTCCAACTGAAAACTTTTAAATTTTTCATTGACTTATACTTAATTTTAAATATAATTAAGCCAGAATAAGAAAATGACTCTTGGTTTGATGATTATATAAAAATTTATGAAGAACAATGTCATCAATTTTCCTCATACAATGATCAAACTAGTGTTTAAATTAGATTGCTAAAACATATTTAAAAATAATTCATTGAAAATCTTCAAAAAGCAACCATTAAAATAAGTTAGTCGTAAAAATAATAGTATATTAATGCGATTATTATTTAAGGCACCTAGTAAAATTAAGTAGTTTAAAAGATGAAGTGATATCTAAGAGTACCATATAGAGTGAAATAAATGCTACTCATCAGGCAAGGCAATAAAATTAGAAATACAAAACTCCAATTTGAAAAATTATTGCATATTAATATCTAGTTCCATATAAATAATTTATCACCAATTTATCTTTAACAAATGTTTAATTTTAATCCAAAAATATTAACTTAGTTTAAATATCTACTATTATTTGTAAGAACTCTATTTATTAATTGGTAATCTTATATTATATAACTAAAATTATAGTTATATTTTTTTATATTTTCTGATTTCTAATGTCATTGTTACTAATTCAAAAGCTTATTAGATAATAGAGTGAAATTATTGTTAATGTTAATGTTCAAATATTATATCTAATAATATTTAATATTCATATATAAATTAATTCATTTATTAATAATAGTCATTTTAATTTGTAAAATAATGAAAATTACTAATATATTATTTTATTTGCATTAGACTTGAGATATCATATAAAAATAAGCATATGATGATTAATAAAAACCTAATTATACATTAAAGAAATTAATAAAATTATAGGTTGGCAATCAATATATAGAAGGATGAATGATGTGGTTAGGATGGAAATGCTAAATATGATTGATTAATAGCAAAGGATGTATTAATTAATAAAAATGTTTGATTATTTGATTGAAAATATTTATAATAATGAAGAATTTTTCGATTTCTATGATAACAATTGTAAAATATTAACCTAGATTTAATTTTGCTGGTTTACTTAAGCAAAAGGATTTAGGGGATGAGAAGCTGTATTTCACAAAGGAAGATGGTAACTTTTTTGATTTCAAGTGATCTAGAAAAAATAATGTCGAAATTGATGAAAAAAATATAGGAAAGCAATGAGAATTAAATAGATGGAGATGAAAATGAATAAAAAATACCAAAAGAAGAACTTTAAGTAAAAATAAGTGTAATTATATAAGAAAATTTTCAGCAAATATAGAGTTACCTATAATGAAGCATTATTGAAGGAAATATTAATGTGGAGAAAAAATAATTGAATAATCAATATAATTATAAAATTAATAAATATTATGAACCAACCACCTATTTCTGTAGATTCAAGTTAAATAAACCTATTAAAAAATTTGGATGACATTGATGATATCTTCAATGGATTGGCATAGGATGATGGAGCTTAATTAGATTAAGATTTTGAAGATTTTTTAGAATGTTTTAGTGATGATGAAGATTCAGAAGAGGAATCGAATTTCAGACCATTTCCAAGTTTCAGAAATGTAACTCCATCAGTTTAATTCTCAACTTTTGCTGAATCGGATTAAGTTATCAAAAAATAAACAGAGGAAAGACTGTTATTAGCCCCTCCTGGAGATCATCAATTTCCAGTTTATGATGATTAATAATAGGAGGACTCAGTTGATGAAGACGATGATCTATCTGATTTTTTTGATAGCTTTGGTAATATGAGATGCTAAATATAGATATAAATAACACTCATTAAAATAAGGAAGATGAGGTCAATTATATTGAAATAAAATATTTTGATGAGACTTACAAAATTCCAATCTTTACAGCTAAACTATTTGAACCAGAATAGCCTCTTGAGGATAGATTGCTATTTGAGAATACTGAATTAGTTTTATCTAAAACAGAAATGCATGATTTTCATAAACACTTAGAAAACATTCTGACAAAAGTATTAAAAATAATATAATGAAAGGATCAGAAAAACTTCAATGATTTCACATTCTCGGTCATGATTTTAAAAATTTAATCTGCCCTACTGGCTGATCTTCTAAAATCTTTTTTAAAAGTAAGGATAGATTATAATAAATAGATGAAAGATTTTTAATAAGTATGGTTGGATATCTCTCCATCATTTATCTGTTAAGAGAAAGTAACATAATTTGGAAGACAATTAAAACAGTTTCAAGAATCAGTCAATTATGTCATTGACAGCAATTCCAACAAGATTACCAGTAGAAGATTTTTTGATAAATAAAAGCCAGCTTACTTTCAAGATAAAAAAAAAGATAACAAAAAGAAAGAATTGACAGAAGAAGAAAAGTATTCATCTTATTTATCAATAGAATATTGGAACTACAATAAATACCTTATAATTAGAACTTTAATCCACAGTCTAGTTTAGTTTGCATTCTATTCTTTAAAGCTCAAGCTTTATTTGAGTCATGGTAACAATTCTTGCATTACAAAAAGAATTCTGAAAAATATAAAGAAGTATCAACATTACATAATGCTTATAGATTTCTAATAGATTTGCTAGACTCTATGGACACTGGAAAACAGTAAAACTATTAAAAAAATTTGCTAAATTTACTCCAAGAACAAAATAAATATATATTAAACCATTAAAGGGAGATGAAGCATAAGATTTGAAAGAAGAAATAAAATTTTACCAAAATTTTTTATAAATGAAGACTTTAGGGATAATTAATAATTTGGCTAACTCACCAACCTTGAATATAAATGGTGGTTAATTGAAAATAAAATAATTAAATCAGATAAGAGTACCTTAAAAATAGAAATATATTTCTTAATAATATCTCAAATATACTTAGGAACTATTTTGAGTTGCTTAATATATTAATTATTTACAATTATTTATATGATTAAGCATCATTTAAAATTCAAAATTCCAAAATAAGAAGTGATTTAAGTTAAAAATCAAACAAAATCCTCTTTCTACATAACTAGGAGGATAATTTAAACGAATAGTGATAATGCAATTCATGTTATGAATAATAAAGTAGTAGATTAAGTAATTAATCATAAAAAAAAAAATCCTGTTTCTTCAAGAGCCTATACTATATCTCATTATAGATCTTATTCAACAACTCCCACCAATATAAAAGGATAGTAACAGTCATAAAATTTGGATGAACAAGTGCAATTCTTTAATTCAGAAAGATAATAATCGATTAGCGTATTATCGTCTTAATTTAAAATCGCTACTTCACCTAAGCCTATTCGAGTTGTGTCACTCTATTAAATATCCCCTTTATAAGAACCTAAAAGTAATCCACTTGTTTATTAGGATAAACAGTATTTTTATTCTCAATTTCATTCGGCCAAGATAGTTAATTTTAATCAACAAGATTAAAAGTTTAATTAAAATGATGATGATTTTATATGTCAGAATTCCTTTATTATGAATAAAAGAGCTAAAAATAAATCATAAATATTCGTCAATGTAACTTATAAGGATTTTGAAAAGAAATCAAAATATGTATATCAGCAAAATCAATAAGGGACATAAAAACAATAAATTTTTTTGTAAAAGGTTTTGAAGATTATAAAAGATTCATAAAATGATAAATCAGATCCTAAATTATTAGTTAGTAAATTTTCAAAAATTTGGAAAGAGAATTTTTCACCTAAATAGTTTTAGGAGTAATAAAAGTATTCATAATCTACAATGCAATTTAAATGGTATTTTAATTAGTTCATCGAAAAAATTCTCAATCAGTATCGATTATATTAATATATAAATAAAAATTTAGAATTTATTGAAACAAAAAAAAATAATTAATTACAAGTATCTGTTCATGAATTAAGAAGATTTTATATTAAAAATCACAATAATAAAATTACTCACACATAAATAGAAGACCAATAATTTAGATACAAAAAAGAAATTATTTCATTTGGAATGTATAAAATAATAAGTAATATAGGTTAGGATAGATATTTTGATTGAAATAAAAGATGAGGAGTTTTAATCAGAATATTTTTAGTAAAATTCATAGAGAGAAATTGCTGGAAAAAAATTAGAATATTTTTACTGTGAAAAAATATAAGACACTTAATAATATTAGATATCTCCAATAATTAGCAAATTGGATAATTAATCAAAAAATGAATTATTGTCTGTGGATTATACTGAGATGGATAAAATAATGAATTAAAGTAAAAAAGATTAATTTGTTCCAAAAATTTAATTAGATAATGTTGAAATAAGGAGGTTTAATTCTAAAATTACATATATAAAATATTCTGATATTATAATGGGAAATTATAAAAATAATAATGAGATTGTTGACCTTGAACACGATAATTATCAAGAATACTAACAATAATAAGCCACCCTGAATATGGATAAAAAAGCTATGATGATGAATCTTAGAAAATAAACCCGAAGAACAAAAGTATCTGTATCAAGTTTACAAAAAGAGAATGAAATAATTCAAAAATAATTTATGGCGCCTGGTTATCGTAATAATTTACTTGCTTCTGAATAATAACCTAAAATGAACATGAAACGAAGTCAAACCAAGTCTATCCACAGTATTGCAGAAAGAGAAATAGATCAAAGTAATGAAATTATTTATACAAATGAGACTAACAAAGGAAATGCAATATTTAAATGCTATAGAGAAAATGTATTATGTGTAATTTAAGTTTTAGCCAGTGAAATATTAATAATAATTAAAATTGTAAAATCTATAGATGTTTGAGAATACGATGAGGCATGAAAGTTCAAGTATCGCCTTAGTGTAAATGATGATAGAGCACAATTTTATTGAAGAATTGATAGATTATAACAAGAAAAATCCAAATTTTTCTCTTAATTCTAGGAATGCTTATGGAACACCATTGATTATGGTTGCTGCTCAATCAGGAAATAAAGAATTAGTTTAGTATATGATCAATTAAAATGTTTTATTAAATGTCAAAGATGTAATTTTTTGGTTTAAATATAGTTAGAGGGGAACACAGCACTTCATTATGCAATTAGGTGTGGATATTATGAAATTGCTGATCTCTTACTATTAAATGGAGCAAATTAAGAGCTAAACATTTGAAATGACCATTATTCATGGAACTAGAATTATAAATTACTAAAAATTAAATGAAAATAAATTATTTATTCACTTTTTATTTACTACTTTTATCATTAAAATCTACAATTAGGGCAATAGTTAACATAAGTGAGCCTATATGTTTTCAAAGGAGAATGAGAATTAGAATGTGGTTGACTTCTTTTTTTTTCAGGAATTTTGCAAACCCAAAAAAAGTCACATTCTTTATTAGCACATTATTTTATATTTGGTAAATGAAATTTCATGAAATATAGTTAGTTATCCATCAATTTGTTAATATATACTTCCAAATCAAGTGCTCTTTGTTTCAGTATTTACCCATTTTTAATTTAGCTTTTACATAAACAAGTAAATTAAATGCATTATTATTGTAGTTAATGCTTCATAATTGTTGCCAAACAACTTGAATGGAAACTGTGATGAAATTTATTATGACAAAATAGTTCAACTTTCTTTTCGAATATATATTTATCACAACTCAAACATATATTTTATTGATCTGCAATAATCAAACTGCTATACTACTTAGATACAGTTTATTCCGTTGATAGTTGCTATTAAGTCGATTAGGATTTAATAGAACTATTGATAATTTGATCTAATCTCTTTTGTTATTGATGACGGATTTGCTTTAATTGGAAATTTATATCAAAGAGCTTTAATCTTTATACTCTTTATGGTAAAACCTCCCGAGTAGAATAGATATCCTTTAATTAGAGCAATTGCTAAAATTTCTATTGAAATTCATCACTCATGCAATTCATTATTTTAAATAATTGCTAATAATATTTTATTCTTTGGAATTCATAAGATTTTCCAATAAATTTAAGTTTACACATAAGTTTTAGAAATCACAAGATTAAATTCATTGATGAACCCAATGTCTTGATTTTGCTATATTACGAAATTATAGAGAAATAAAATAAGTAGTTTAAATATTTCGAAGCGACCAAAAACAGCATAAGACCTGCAAAAATCAATAATCAAGTTAAGCAAACCCAATTTCTAAAAATTTGAATAGTAAAACTAATTTTTATCTGATGATTAATGTTTCTTTTGTTAATCACTATTTATATATATTTATTGGTTTGTAATCTATTTTTAATATTTTTAAGTATTAATTTATCTTACAAAATTTCGTTCAAAATTTCTATTAGAGCATTTATTTAAGTTATTAAAAAGCATCTTAGCTAAACATAAAAAACATAAAGGGACTTGACTCCAAAAGAAAATATTACAATTAAGTAATATTTTCTTATTAGTTATTAAATCCAGTTTAAAATTCTTACTAATAGAATTCAATATGTAGGAATTAGTGAAAAATTGGCATTTTTATTGAAAATATTGTTGCTATTCCATAGATTCTACAAGTATAAGCAAATCTATTGTAAATAAAGCTCTTAAAAATATAAAATTCTAATTAAAAATTTGACTACCTCTTTTAAGGAGATTTAAAGTTTACATGTTATAAATTAGCTATAACCAGAATTAATATATTCTTGGATGTTCATCTGTGTATAAAATCAAGTTGTTGTTTATTTACTTTTTTTTAAGGAGTAATTGATTATTAAATTCACTTATTGTTAATTATTATGCGATAAGTTAGGAATATTAATTTTAAAGTAATTGATATAATTAATGTATTTAAGTGTAGTATTTAATGCTTTCATTTATTTTTGAATAATATAGTTGATTATTTGAATCATTCTAATTTGTAAAAATTATTTCTTTGAATGAAAAAAACAATTAAAAATGAAGAACCTTTAAGAGAAAAATTATCCTAAACAATGTTTAAAGGAAGCAGTGATAACAATCAACCTATCTTAATAAAAGGATTGGGTTAAGAATTCTCAACAAACATTCTTGAAAACATTTAAAGAACTCATTCTTTCTCCAAACCATTTCAACAAGCACCAAAAGAGGATAGTTAAAATTAGCCAAAGACACCAACAATGAAAAATGACATAGGAATGATTTAATCAATACATATTAAGAAACCACCAAAGTCTGTCTTGAAAATTTCAAGGTTTGTTGGAGATGCGAAATGGCCATTTTTTAGAGTTAAGAAAGATGAAACTGTAAAGCAATTTTGGAATAGAAGGACTTAACAAGATCATCATAGAAATTGGAATAGTGAAGGGTATTTGTTTGAAGGCATAATGCTTAGGATTGGGAGAAAGAAAAAAAGCGTAAAAGGATATTATTTTAAACTGACTTATTCTGGGATGCTGATGTATTTCAAAAAAGTACATTTAAATTAATGTATAATAGGAGTCAGACAAAGAGCCGAAAGGTTTCGTGTAATTGAGTATGGAAAGCAGAGTTATAATCTCGTATCAAAAAACTAAGAAAGGATTGAATGTGCCAGTCTTATACATAGAGAGAGTAGAGGGAATTGGAATAACCATATTTGATCATTAAATCGAATAGACTCTAAAATTGTGTGAAGCACTCTAAGAATTTTGTTTGATGAGAGGATATGATAGTGTGTACACCTAAATAGATACACTGGGAAATGGGGCATTTGCTACTGTGTTCAAGGTATAACGAAAGAGAGACGAATAGCAGTTTGCTGCCAAAGTCATTTATAGAAATATGTTCGATGAAAATAAACACAAAGATAAATTTATAGTATAAAATTATTAAACATATTAGTGCAGTAAATGGTATACAACGAAGTTATAGCTTTGAAAACATTAAGTCATCCAGGAATCGAGTAGATCTACGAAGTTTATTAGGAAAAAGATAAATTAGTTATCATCATTGAATATTGTTAAGGAGGAACTCTTTATCAATTTTATAAATCCAAAGGGAAATTATCAGAAAAACAAATTGCTTAGTTGATTAAAGGGATTTTGGATGCTCTTTTTGAAATGCATTCGAATGGATTTGTCCATCGAGATCTGAAGTTGGAGAATATCATGTTGGAATCCAAGGAGCATATGCAAATTAAATTGGTTGATTTTGGGTTTGCTGAAGAAATTAATGAAAAAGAGTTGATAAGCAAAGCAGGCACACCTGGGTTCTTAGCACCAGAAATCTTCCGTGGGTATCCTTATACATAGAAAGGAGATGTGTTTAGTGCAGGTTGTGTTTTATACATAGTAATTATCCATCATTATAATAGTTGACAGCAGGATATGCTCCTTTCAGAGGTAAACCAAGTTAAATTCAATTGTTGAATTCCAAGGGATAAGTTAATTATGAGAAATCTCCTTGGCCTGATGTTAGCGTTGAGTTAAAGAGTCTTGTTAAGAAGATGTTAGAACCAAAATAAGAGGATAGATTCACTACTTTAGAGGCATTGGAATCCTCGTTTATTTCTCATTATACAAAAATAACCTCGGAAACCAATTATAAATCATTCTAGATGGTTTCGGGGTTGGACTTTCACAACAAATAATCTGTCAAGAGTATCAAGAATTCTGAATCTAATGGTTCTAAATAAAGTAAAGAATTTCAGTTAGATTTCTCCATACATACCAATGACATTAAGTCACTTTATTAAAAAAACTCTATTAAGACTCTTTAATCCTAAAGGTCAGGCAGAGGAACTATAAAACAAAGTATGATCCTTAAACAATCCATATCTGTTCCAAAGGATGCCATTATTGAGCAATATCAATAAAAGAGGAAGCAAAGCCATCCAGATAGAGCAAGTTGCAAAGATTCCGATAATGATATTGATTCTTTTGGAGAACTGCTTAAATGTAATATCAATTAGATTCTATTCTAGTACAATCGATGAAATTCACCACATTCGAGGATTTTGATGCTCTAAATTTTTCATAAATCAACTTCTTAACAGAAACAGGCTAGGTATTCAATAAGATTAAAAGACCATGGTGATTACTTTATTAACACTTAAAATATTCACAAATCTATTTTTAAAATTAATTAAATTTACGAATGTCAAAGAGAGGAAGAGGAGGACAAGTCGGTATTAAATTGAGAATCACACTCGCTTGCAACGTTGGTGCAGTACTCAACTGTGCTGATAACTCAGGAGCCAAGAATATCTATGTCATTTCAACTTTTGGAATTAAGGGACATTTGAGCAGATTACCCTCTGCCTCCATTGGTGATATGGTCTTATGCTCAGTCAAATAGGGTAAGCCAGCACTCAGAAAGAAGGGTAATATAAATTCACTATCATAGTCATGTAAGCAGTCGTCGTCAGATAAAGAAAGCCATACAGACGCCGAGAAGGATATTACATTTATTTCGAAGGTTTGAATTTTGTTCTATATCATAGACAACGCTGGTGTCATCATCAATCCAAAGGGTGAAATGAAAGGATCTGCCATTACAGGTCCAGTTGGAAAAGAAGCTGCCGATTTATGGCCAAAGATTGCATCAGCCGCTGGTTCAGTTCTTTGATAAACTTGCAATATATTCAAGTATATTAATAAACAAACATTTTCTCATTTGTTAATCATCCCTTCATCTTTTATTTACTTTTGAATTTATGGATATAATAATGACCAAAACTTTCTAAATCAATAAAATTTAATTATTTTACATGCAATCTGCAATATTATTTGATAAATAATGAGAATAAAGTCAATTTAAAAAATTAATAAAATGATATTGAACAATGCTCATTCATATTAAAACATTATTTTACATCTTCTCTAAGAAAATGAATCAATTAATTCCTAATTGCTATTTAATATTTTATTTAATTATAAAATTTCATGTTTTACTAATTATGATTCTAATCTTCAAGATTGCATTAAAATTGTCATAGTTTAGTGTCTTTTGTTAAGAGAATTTAACTTATTATTAAATAGCTTTTGATTTGATATACTAAAAATTAGTCAGAAATTATAGCAATAAGTATAAAAGTGTGATATAATTATAAACAAACATAATTAGTCAAATTTTCTCCTATGATCTAGAGGAGAATATTCTATTTAAGACTCCAACTTACGCTTTTCTTTATAAAAATGTTCTTCCTTATGATTTTGAAGGCCTTAAACTTTGTGAAGAGCTTCTATTTTATTACTTTTCTTATGACTTTCTTTCAAAATTAAAAGGATTGAGCAAAACTCTTATGTTTCTTCTATATTTTTCAGGGGTAGATTATTTACTTTATTCGTTAACTGCGAGATGAGTAGATTAATATTTTGGCAATAATAATCTTTCTTATACTTCTAGAAGGGATTTTAAAGGAGTCTAACTTCTCTTTGATTGTTATGAAGACTTTAAAATGTGGAGATTGTTAAAATTTTGATTAATTTGCAAAATATTCGTTTGGCTATTATATATTTGGAGCTGTTGTTATACTATTTGATCAAAGTCAATTATCTCTTTCTAACTTAGTTTTTTACTAAATGTAGGAACAGAAAATTCTTTAACAGTTTACTCATCAACGATTGGTTACAATTTTCTTAAGGTTTACTATTTGAGAATGGTTTTTCTGGGGTTAAAAAACTAGGCTGTTTTTTCCATTTTCAATTATGGTAAAGAATCATTCAGAATCATTTTTAGAGAATCTATTAACTATTTAATTATTATCAAAATAATGCTAAAAATAACAAAACTAGTCTTACTTATTGATTATAATGTGATTTAATTTTCAGATTGGAGAATATTCTTATGGAAAAGCATTAAAATCTTTAACAGGATTGCTTGTCTTCTCAAAATTATAAACTACATAATTATAATAAGATATTTAACAAAAATAAAAAAGAAGGTTCAATTAAGTGAACTATGTTTTATAATGAGAATTTTGATAAAATAATTAAAATTTATGTTAAGAAAATTTTTTAATAGGTTTTCTGTCTACTCTAATTAACATTAAAGAGCGAAAATAGAAGTTGGAAATAGATCAATTATGCAAGATTAAGATTTGGAGCGATATCCTAAATCTATTTATGTACTTTGTTTATTAATTGAGGGCTTTCTTACAAAAAAGATGGACTTAGAAGCACGAAATTCCTGGAAGAATGTACGTCATTTAATAAATTGAAGACATCAAAGATTAATTGTAGACGCAGCAATTATAGCCATTAAAAATTTTATTAAGTGAAAACAGATTAAAAGCCATGTATGATAATGATTAGTTGGATTCCTAATACATTATTTCTATAATTAGTGAAGAGCACTTCAAGCCAATGATGGATGAATACACAAATAAAGTATTAATTAATGGAGCTATGCCTCCACTAATTAAATTTGACTAATATAATTAAATTAGAAATTAAATAATAGAACTCTATAAAGTGTTTTTTTTTGGAGATCCTTTAAGTTAATTAGAAAGAGAGATTGAATTCAGATATCTAGCACTTAAATAAAGTAAATTCTTTAAGTACCAGATGTAATAAAGATCAAAAGACAAATGTTTATGGACTCATAGTTAATAAAGAAGAGTTGAATTGATGAAAAATTGGATGGCAAGAGATATTAATTTGTTTGATGATTTGAGACCCATCTATGAGCCATTGTTATTAAATCAAAAGATAAAAATATATTAGCAATTATTGAAAATTGATGATGCATCTATCAAAGAAAAATTGCAATTTCATTTAATTGAAAAGCATACATTATAAAAATCAAAAAGAAGACTAGTAACAATAGCCCAAACACTATTTACTAGAACTATGCTATACACTAATTGCATAGAATTCCTAAGAGTCTTAGATGTCCCTCCTGATTTCCATATTGAATTATCTATAATTAATATTCATATTTGGTTGATTTGCAATAGACTGTAATAGATTAACACAAGAGAATCAAATAATTTAGCCACTTTACTATTTAAAGCCTGTGATAGGCATATAGCTAATGAAGTAGATAAAATTCATCTTAGAAAAAAACACGATTTAGTTAGGGATATTGAAGCCTATATGTAGACAGGTCGAAAGTATTTGGAGTACCATTTTAATCGCAATGTTAAAACTGTTAAGAATAATTACTTTAAATTGGATGCATTGATATGGAGTATTATATTCTTTGAAAAGATCCCTAGATATAGTGATAAAGTATTCTTAGTAGCTGAATACATCAAATCAAATTATGATTTCTTAAACACTTTACCATATGAATCATTTGAGGATTGTATTGTAGAATTTGATACTTTCAAAATGAGAATAGACTACAAGACTTAGTTGCTCTAAGTAAACCCTCCTCTCTCAGAGGTAGAATTTGAATAAGAATTCTTATCAGACAATAAAGTTAAGAAATATTATTACTCATTCGAAGATTAGGAAAATAAAGTTATAGAGCTTCCAAAATTTGAGGTAAACATACTATTTATTTAAAAAGTCTGAAATCAAATCTCTGTTAGAAAGAAGATTAGATGTCTTGGGAGAAAATATTAGATATATCATAAAGAAATACTAAAATTTAGAGACATTTGATCACTTTTCAACTCATGAAGAATAGATAAAATAAGAATAAAAGAAGCAAAAATACATTTGGAATACATAAGTAGAAAGAGATCCAGAGGACTTGAGAAAACTAATAAAGCAAAGAAGAATTTAATAAAACAATATGTGATATATAATATTTCATAGATTTTATAAAGGAGTTTTAATTATCTTTGTTCAAAAAGAACAAGCTTCACTAAAATTAATAGATTTAACATTAAATTTCTCAGTTAAATTATTCCTCTGTTTATTTATAAATACTATATTATATCGTAAACTCATTAAAGCCGTTCTTTTCTTGTTTAGGGATGTTCTAGATATTTAACAATTAAATATTTTTTTTATCTTAGAAGATTCAAATGTCAAACGGATTGATTTATTAAAGAGAATTTCAATTCAAAATTTATAGATAAACTTACTTATAAGTTTATAATAATAATATTATTAAAGAATCCTTTTTAATAAAGATTTTAGGTATTTGATTGTTATAAATAAAATAATCATTGATTATTTAAATGGGTTTTAACTCTTTTTGTAGCTTTCAACTCTTTTTCTATAAAATCATAATATAATCCAAATGGTTTTTAGAGGCTCTTACCAAAAATAATCAATTCTTGCATAGCTTCCTCAAAACTTTCAGTATACATATACACTGGTTAGACAGTCTGAATAGGATAAGGTCTGTCAGCATGAATAAATGGATCAAATTTTTCATAATTTGCTTTTGGGAAATTCTAGAATAAATATTGGATATTTGATACATCACATTCTCCAATAGAGCTAGCAATTCCTGCTCCAAATCCTTTAATTTAACCATTCTCCTTACAAGCTCCAAATTCAAGTGTGAACCAATACAAAGTTCCCAGTCTTGATAGATCTTTTTATTCAGTTCCACATGATAAAATTCCTATTTCCTAAGATAAATCTGCAACCTCTTTGTCAGCAAATAACGGTACATGTCCCTAATGTTTATAATGAATATTATACCACAAGTTCATGAACTATATCAGGCTCAGGAGTGTATTCTGGGGTTGAATGATGTCTAATGTATTGTGTACAACAGAACACTCTATGGCCGAGTGCATTGAGGAATTCTCTTTAACTTAAAATACCATGAGTGGCTTTGATTCTAAAACCTGTTTCAGCCTTTAGATAAGCATCTATGTCTCTAAGCTAGGGTATTTTATATTTGAATCCTAAAGCATTCTCTATTTTGACTAAGTTCCTGAGGTATCTTTAAGACATGACTTTTTCAACGCGTTCTCTTAAAATTGAATATATCTTTTTCCACGTTACTTCTTCTTATTCTGTATAATTAATATATGGAACTGGCTCTCCAATAAGATGTTATTAAGAAAGTTTGGCTATTTCTTCTCTTCTTTTTCTGTACTCATGATCCTTAAATTGAGGATGGTCTTAATTGTTTTCTTCCTTGACTTCCATAATTAGGCCAACTTAAGGATAAATGATTGTAATACTTGTCTTCAGATCTTCATCATTTCTTGGATACCATGGAACAAGGGGGATTTGAGAATCATTGTCAATTAATACTTCATCATACCTTTGTTAGAGATCAAAGAGCAATTCATTAAATTTGTAATCATCTATCTTCTCAAATGTTAACTTCACTACAATATTCTGTCCCCTCTAATAGTTATTATAGATATACTTTGCTGTACGATTCAATTTCAGTGTTTCAATATCAGAGAGGTTGATTTTATGATTTGAGAATGATTTAAGAATATTTCTTAGACTTCCGTAGTAATCTCTAGTTATAATTTCAACATCTTGGAGATAATCTATGGCAAAGTTTCTTTTTGGGAATATTGTAGAGAAACAAGGAAATGAACGAAAGATTTTATTTAACATTAATTAATGACGCATTTTTAACTAATTTTATTCCTTTAATACTATATTCAAATTACTTTTGCTAAAATTTATATATATAATTTTATTATTGAGATTCGAGACAAATAAATGACACATTACTTTAATTGCAAATTATTCACATTATATTTTAATATAGCTTCCTTTGGATAATAATCAAAATTTATTTAAAGTTCTATTCATAATACATAGAATAAATTAAATGGTATAAATTAAGAGAATAAAATTATAAATCTAATATTACGTTAATCCCTATAGTTTTTAAGGGTTGTGTTGTTGTTTCACTTTTAAATCTCTTATATGATTTGATTATAGATCCTAATTTAAGACTAAAAAAGAAATGATGAGGGGATGAATCTAATATACAAAACTTAAACTAAATTGTATTTCTTATGTATATAATAAGGAATAATACTAATAAACCAAAATGAGGATGTGGATAGAATATAAATAGAGAATAAAATATTTTTATGACTAATTGGATTGTGTAATATCTTTTATATTAAAATTAAGGGTTTGAATAGGAATTTAAATTTGTTTTCATCTGATTCTCAACTTAAATAATTTAGCATGAAACAAATTATTTTACATGATAAGATTGTTAAATATATTATATAATTACAATTTAATATATATAAATATATATGTTTATTTTATTATTATTAAACATAAGTTTTGCTCTGCCAGATTTTTATCATCAATTTGATTCTATCAATTTGAACTAATATTCTAATTGTGCAAAAATAGAAACATTAATAGAAGATCCAAAAGTTGATGTAATCACAATAAATGAAAATGCTAAGTTTAAAGCATTCTTATTGTTTGGAGAACATGCAAGGGAATTAATAAGTCCTGAAACAGGTATTTAAATGTGTCATAAATTCAGGTCTACATTTATTGGATTCAATCTGCAATAATAAATATGATGTGAGCAAGTATTAAATCAAAATGGTTTTAAATCTTAATCCATTATCAAGGATGAGAGTAGAAAATGGAGAATATTGTTTAAGACTTAATGAAAACAATGTTGATTTAAACAGAAACTATGATGCTCATTTCAAGTAATACACTGATATGGAACAGCAAACAAATTCAGGACCAGAGCCGTTTTCAGAACCAGAAACTAGAGCTGTCAGAGATCTTTTGAAATCTTATAAACCTAACATGTTCTTGTCTATTCACTCTGGAAGTGCAGGGTTATTTACACCTCATGCATATTCAATGGAGGAGCGTATTTCATCAAAAGTAATTTGTAGCCTAAAATTACGAAGAATTAATGAAGGTCTTGAATGTAATCAGAGAAGACCATTGTCCAATGTGTGAGACAGGTTTATCCAGTAAAAATGTAGGATATTTGGCATTTGGTAGTGCAATGGATTATGCATATGATGAGATTGGAATAAAAAATTCATATTTGTTCGAAATATATCATAAAGATGTTAACATGATTAATGATCTAAGAGTTGAATCTATTAAAAAGCAGAAGAGAAGTTTTCTTGAATTAAAAGATGACTCATCTAATTAAGAATGCTTTGATTATTTTAATCCTAAGGAAAAGGAATAATATGATTGGTATACTCAAAATTGGAGTGATGCTATTATCAAAACCTTAGGTTTAGTTGAGTAACAATCAAATGAGGATATTATATTAGCTCATAATTGACAAATGCTATAAATAATTATAAAGCTTTAATATATTAGTATTCTTTCAATAATTTGAATCTTCTTAGTGTTTTATCATCTATTTTGATTGTTTAGTGGACATTTATTTATAAATTTAGATATATTTTCATTAAATTTAGAGATATAAAAGACAAATAAAAATAATTTAATTTACTTATTATTTATGAATTCTTATTATAGCCTATAAATTTCAAATCTTCGAAATATATATGATCATTAATGTTATTTAAATTATTACGATTACAGTTGAGACTAAGATCCATTTTAGATATGTTATTCTTGAATTTGGATATCCATAAAATTATTCCTTTAATGTTTAATTATAGATTGTATATTTAATTTTATTGTTTCCATTCGATCTATTTTTAATCATTTCCTTAACCTTGGTAGAGAAGTGTAAGCCTTCGTTTTCCTTGAGCTCCATATTGAAGATAACATAATTCTTTTTCATCATTTCACAAAGGTCTTAATTTTCAATCATATTTGCAAAGGGATCCATGACCTGTCCTAGTCATTGGTTTATAATTATTACCTATATTCTATTGAAATATTGCATAATTCTATGTTAGTTTAATCCAAGCCACTAAAAGCAAGATGTAAAATAATAGATTGATAAAAGGAAGTAGAATCAGAATTAATAAAAAGACAGCTATTCCCAAATAATTCCTTAAATAGTTATGAATGAATTAAACCACTTTACTTGATATCATGTAATTTAAAGTTATTCCATTAACTTTATTATCATCTAAGTTATATACTTTGATAAACTAGACTAATGATTTAAAGTTTACTTTATTATACAATGTAATCGGGTCTTGGTTACTTATTAGTATGTTGGAATCATCTCCTTATTCAGTTAACTCCGAATAAAATTATTCAGACCCCTCAATTTTTGTGCTCATTAATATAATAATTTATTTCCATCCTAATATATATAATATGTAATAAATTGAGAAACATGTTCAATGTGTAATATGAAATATAGAATAAGTAATGTATCTAAAAGCATTTACAAAGTAAAGGATAATTAAATGCTATATAAGATAAATAGATAGTTATAATTTATGAAGATAATTTATATCATTTTTTTGGCAAATTCTTATTAAAACTATGTCTAAAAGAGCTTCTGTCTATGATGCTAAAAAATTATTCTGATTAAGTAATTTTGTTTGGATTATCAATAATTGAATAAAATTAATCTTATGTTATTTGTTCTTGAGAGTGTTGATTGTTTTATTGATTTTAGATATGCTATTAATGATTTTCAGGGTTTTAATTAATTTCTTCACATTCTAAATTTTCTAGATTATTAAATACTTTATGTTCTTCTATTATTGGCTGTAATTTATTTCTATTATTATGATTATCTAATTAATTTAGATTTTGATGAGGATCTTGTCTATCCTCAAATAAATTTAGTAATGATATGTCTCTTGAGTAGCTATCAACTTTATTGATGGTGTCACCTAGACTTAACTAATGTAATAAAGTACTTTGGTATATTACACTTTCTAAATTCTTTTTCAGATTCTGCCCTTCTATAGATAGATTCATTTTTTGTAAAAACAGGAGTAGATGATGAGGAATGCAAGGTTAAGGGCTATTTTATTGACTGATCAATAGGCTGTAGTTCTAGAGTCGGAATTACAGGTTCTCTAATTTCAGGCCTGATAATATCTCCTATGTAAAGGATTTCTATCATTTTTTGGAAGATAGCTTCACATGCCAGATTCAATAATACTAAAAGCTTATTAAGGCATTATTTCATTAATTAATAAAATTAACTGCAATTTTATATTAACTGCTAAATGTCTGATACTGAAAGTGAATTATTGGAATGTTGCAAATGTGGAGCATAAGTAGATTAAATTCTATCACTTTAATGCGACCACAATTTGTGTTTGAATTGTGCAGCAAAGGCTGTAGCAAAGTGGGGCACATTTACTATGTACCCTCCATTGGTTTGTTAAATATGTTCATCAAAAACTCAATTGGATCCATCTGCCGTGTAAGTGTTATTAGAGATGAATCCGTAATCCTCCTGTTGTTCTGAGGATTTTGAATAGAGAAGTGAAATATTAGAAACAAAACAATCTCAACAAATCTAACAGGCTGATTATCATAATTAGTCATAATAATAATCACTAACTAATATCACTTGTTAGTAACACCTTACTGAGAGTTGTGTGTTGTATTGTTTTACTTGTGATGCTTAATGTTTCTGTATGGAATGCTACTTATAAGGATTACACAAAAATCATGAAGTCAGAAACATCTCAAAATCTTTTGATTTAATTAGAGAAAATGGAAATTAACTCCAGGTCTCATTGTAAAGTTGTTGTGAGTATTTGCTGCATGAACAATGCAAAGTGGTGAACAAAAAATAAGATTTAGTAGACCTAGTAGGATAAGCTAAAATGTAGATTACTACTAATTTTGAAGACATTTATAGAACATTAAAACTAAAAGAGTAAGAGATGTTATAGGCTGCTGATGAACTAGTGGCTGATAAACTCATTGAGATAGAGGGATTGATGGCTAAAATTAAACTATAAACAGATAGAGTGAACTAATATAATGAACAACTCGTTTAATATTTTGGATCTAGTAGTCCTAACGTTTCATTATGTGTAGAGGCATGTAATTTTGTAGTGAAAGAGAAAAAAAAGATTCAAAACTTAATTGAATAAGTTAGATAAGAGAAAATAAGTCCAACTATATAAGGTAAATTTTGTTTGGATTCTGGTTCCATACAATAAATGATCAGCGATGTAAGAGGAGTCAAACTACAACTAGTTTCTTTAAGAGGAATCGAATCGATCAATCCTACTTAAAGAGAATAATATATCTATTAAAAAGCTGTTGAAGATAAAACTAGAGATTCTATGATTGGAAATAATTAAGTGTTAAGAGAAGAAAAGGAGAATAACAATTCAATAAGTTTTATTGAGCGATCTAGTTAGAAAAAATCTTTAAAAACAAATGATAATCGAGACTTTTATACTAAATTTCATGAAGCTAAGAGAACCATTATGAACTAAAAGTCGTTCATATGATTAACTTAATATTACTTATTATATATCATATTAAATATTCTTACAATTCAATTCTAAATCAATATCATAGTTTGAGATCATCAAGTAAGATTATATATATATTTTATGTTTAATTATTTTCAAGATACTTGATTTTGTATATTTTTTATTGTATAATATAATTATTTTAATTTCTTATGGCTAAATAATAATTAATTCATTCGAAACCACCAGCAATTACTACAAAACTGCAGATTCCACATAGGACTACTGTTGAATAGGTTTATCTCAAAAGATTAAAGGAAACTGAAGCCTTCATTCCAAAGGAGGAATACTTGAAAAAGTAAGAGAACATCAATAAAGTTATGGATACATAGTCAGTGCAATAACTTAAATATTATTCGCACATAAATGAAATCAGATCAGTCAAAGAATTCTTATATATATCTGAGAAACTCAAACAAAAGAATATTGAGAAAAAAATGAATGAGAGATTGGAATTAAGGGGGAAACTTAACAAAATTAAAGAAATTGAAGTACTAAAAAAATTGCATTATTATTTGGAGAAAAAAATAAGACTTTTTATTAAAGATAGATAACATGAAGAAAGTATTAATATTGATATTTTAGATCCAAAATTAAAGACTTTTGAAGCATTTAGAAATGCACATTAAGATGATAAAAAAGTTATGCAATTTCCAATTGAATTACAGAAAGAATTATTCATCAAATTGAATGCCTAAAGTGATATAATGCCTTCCAAATAGGAAATTGTGTCACCAGTTTCCCCAAAGAAACATTAAAAACGAAATACTTAGTTTGAGTATGCTTTAGTGTTATAGTAGTTTTTTTAATGCAGATGTTTCTGATAGTGTAGTGCACAATGAAGAGAAAGAGTAAGGAACAAGCAAGTTTTTGACAATGAAAGTAGCTAATAAATTGTTGGGAATGATGATCATAGAATCTAGCAAAGGGAAAAGATAACCTATTATTTGGGCGTAGGATAAAAAGAAGGAACTGGAGGATATATTGAATAAGCCTTATGGAGGGAAGATGAATTTTAATCTTCATTCCTTTAATTGGTTAATAGACAATGCGTTAGATAGAACTCAATCCTTAATGAATTTCAAAAAGGAGTCAATCAATAGGATTACAACGATGGATGAAAGAGTGGAATTTGGGGGCATGCCTAATAATTATTTATCAATTTAAAACAAAATCAATAAGGGAATTGATTCTATTACGAAGACTTTTAACATTAGACCAAAATCGAGTCAGGTATTAAGACAGAGAAAAGAGTTGAAAAATAGAAGGCAAATCACTACAGAGTACAATATTACTGATAGAATTAAAGAGAATGTCTTGTCTTAGGCTATGAGAAATCAAAATGTGTAATCTTAATGCAAGACAGAAGGTATGTTCTTCTAAAATGATTCTTATGTTAGTCATTATATTTGATTAAAATAATTAAATTAATTTTTTATTTATGGAATCACGAGAATAGATTATTTAAAAAGAAGCACAGATTTAATTATTGACAAAAGTATTTAAGCAGGATCAAATTTGTTTCAAGAAATGCATCAAAGCAGTGGAGAAAAGATTGACTGAAGATCAAGAAAAATGCTTAAGTAAATGCTCAATTAATTTACAAAAGAAATTTGCAACAATAAAGTTTAAGTAGCTTATGATTTTTTACATAAATTAAACGATAAAACATTAGAATGAGCGATATATTAGTGTCACAGATCAGTATTTTACCAATCTCATAATAACTATATAAAATATTAATATAAACTAAATCAAAAATCAAAATGTTTTTTGGCTTGTCCTCTTTCAGTGAGAGGTTGATCAGCAGTAAAATTTAATTTTTTATTGAATCTAGGAGTTGAAACTAAATGATATTTCTTTTAAGATTTCAATTCAACTTATGGTTCGGAATCAAGCAGTTTCTTTTTCGTTGGAGTAATCTGTTAGCTCATAGAAGTTGTTGGTTTGGAATTAGTTTAGTCTTGTATTGTTTATTACGAATTCTAAGATTTATATGTGTATCCATTGAAGGCTTCTTGGATCGAATCCCTTCTCAACAGTTCAGCATTCTATTTAGCCTAAGCTTCGTCTTCTGGCTCTTTAATATTGGCAAATTTGTAATCAAAATTATCGGAATTTGACTGAATTATATCTAATCAGTACATTAATTTTATAAGGAGCTTATTTTGATTGTGTTAAATAGGCATCCCAATCAACATTCTTAAACCAAGGATGAGCGAAAACTTCATCAGGTCCATAGAATCCCAATCTATTTACTGGTTTTCTTTGAATCATTTGATTAATAAAGTCCGCAGCGTCTTCAGACCAATCCTCTGGTATTTAATTGGTTTTAATTGTAACTTGTTTAGACAAAATTTAATCTCTGATCTCTTTTCTAGTTTTACCCAGATATGGCCTCTATTTTAAGTTCATACTTTACTTTTCCCATCATACATTCATAAGCTATTACTCCAACTGCAAAATAATCGGATGCTACTCCATGAACTTATCTACACATAACTTCAGGAGCCATATAGCCAGGTGTTCCACTTGTATCTCCATCATTCCCTGGCTTCCAAATTCTTGCAATGCCAAGATCAGTCAGTCTCAAATATCCTTTTGGGTAATTTTATATATTTACCATTTCTATCGAATACTAAATTTTCAGGTTTGATGTCTCTATGTATAACTGTATTGTGATGGAGATACTCCAGGGCTAGAAGCAGACAGATGATGAAAAATTCTAGTGGTATTGAATAGTTTGTTTACTTGTCTATTCTTCATTAAACTTCCTATTTTTACAGATGTGAAATCTAAGGTCACCTCCAGTCATGAGATCCATTACCAAGTAGAGACTTTCTCGATCTTGAAATGCTGTATGCATATTTACTAAAAATCTAGTTAAACAAATTTCATTACGGATGTCTGAGATTGCTTAATAAGTATCTCTCATTCATCACAGAACCAATACTTTTTTTATTAATAATTCTATTATAAGCATTGCAAATATCAATACTTGCATTTCTACATTTCTTTGATAGCAAATTGATGTTTGGTTTTCTTATGTTCAGCTCTCCAGACTCTTCCAAATCCACCTCTTCCTATAACATACAAAAAAGTATAATCGCATTTATTAGGCACTAGAGTAAAGAGTGCATTTACATTTAATTTCGCCTGCATTTAGATCACGAGTATTATTGCAATTGCCCATTAAATAAAAAAAATATAGATAAATTTTAATCGAGTTCATAATTCATATTTCGTATAACCTTTCTAGTTGATATCCTCTTCTTTGACTATAATCTATTGTTGCTGTATTTGTTGAATGTCAAGAATATTTTTGACGTATTTTTGAGGTCCCAAAAGCTAGACCATTTAATGTTTGAGTTTTTCAAGTTTTTCTGCCTCTCTCTTTATGTATTCGTAAGACTTGGCCATATCAAAGGCAGCTCTAATTTAAGAATAAATATTACAGTTCAAATTTTTTATAACTTTAGGTGAACTATTGTTAGAATTCGATCAATTGTTTGATTTCCTATTGTTCTCCGACTTTGAAGATGCCAAGATCTAAAATGATTGTGTGATTAATTACTATTAATTGCTGTTTCAATTGTTTTTTTCAAATCGAAAGGCAAGATGTGATCGACCAGAGTATTAAAGATGATATTACATAGATAATCTCTTTTCTCGGAATTGACTCCAAATTCATCATCCAAAATTTACAATTGCTTTTTGGTGATGTTCTAAGTGAGAACTTAGAATTAGTTTTAATAACTTAAATTAAAATCGGATATCTAATTATAGTGAATTAAGAGTATTACAAGAGAGGGTATCTTGACACAGTGATTTATGAATATATTCTGTTAGTCAAGGTTTTTTTGGAGAACTTCGATTTGTTTGCCTAATTCGGCTACCTTTAATTCAAGAAGTTCCACATATATTTTCTTACGTTTTCTAGAGTCTCTTGCAGACTGTCTGTTCTTGGCTAGCTTTATTTTGTTGCTGTCATCGAAACCTTGTTCCTCGTGATAGTATCCATTATCTTTGTCAAATTGTTTCTTTGTTTTAAGATAAGTCTTTTATCTATATTGTATATTATTTTATATTACTCTTTTTTAATTGCCAAAGAAGATTCTTGGCAAGTGGGGGCAATTTCAATCAAAGAGTTTATTTTATTAACATATACACTTTTAGAATAGTTTACATTAAATAAGTCTTTGTTATTATTTATGATTGATTCATTATGTTTGTCGAGTTGTCTGTACTTCCTTATTTGATCATGATGAGGAGGGGAAACTTGCTGATGATCTTCCTCTCCAAACATCCATTTGTTTGTCATTTGATCAAGTTCATAAGAGGAATTAATTAATTAGACCAAGGAATCTGAAGGGATGATGTCGTAGGTAGCTTTCATTTAAAAATTTAATTGAAATAATATTATTATACACCTATGAAGATTGATTTAATGTATTTAATAATGATAATAACGATGATGCAAAATTCTTAAAAAATGATAAATTTTATCATTTCGCAGCATCACAATTATATTACGCAATATAATTAAAAAATTAATGAATAAACCAACATTATTCTATATTAATGCAAATACGAGGAAGTTGTAAAATTTAAAAAGCTGTCCTATAAACTCAAATGCACGTGTAACTGTAAATTCAAATTACTATAACTTTATATGTATTCAATATTTTGTAAATCAAATTTATTTATAATGCTCAAAATCATTGTTCCGATAAGTAGCTGACTATCGAACTTAATGCAATTGTTAAAGTTGTAATGAAAATAAAAAATACTGAATAAATAAAGAAATAATAATATGCTAAATTTTTAGTCAGTTTGAACCTCAGAATAAACAATAAATAAATACTTCTTAGTGATTACAACAATGCATGTCATTATGATATTCATTAACGAAAAGATGATCACACAATAAGCAATAGAATTATTCATCCTAGTTATAATCTACATTTAATGTCCAATATATTTACAATGTCTGTTTATGAGCCACTCTTTGCATCTCTAAAAAGATCAAATGAGACTATTCCTGGATATTTCTCAATTGCAGTCAACCTAACCAAAGCACCTCCAAATCCACATAACATATTAAAGACAGTTCCCGAAAAGCATCCTGTCATAGCCATCAATCCATATCCAATTGATGCTAATTTGGTATTCACTAAGAAATCGCAAGTAGAGTTTCCAAATGCCAAAAATGTCATGCCCAAATATGAGTAACTCACTCCTGTAATTGTTTATATTAGCTAAATTATAATTAAGTAATTCTTACCAAAATGAAATCAATCAAAACCTAAATAACTTATTTACACCAAATAATTGAACACACAACACATTCAATTGACAAGATAATAATAGGAATTTCAAATATTAATTAATAGATAAACAATAACAAACCGAAAACTTCCAAAATTATCCATACTTTGATATCATAGATTTCCATTGAAAATGCTATAAAATAAGTATTGTCTATATAAAATACATCCCAATAAAGCTATCATTGCAATTGGACATAAAAGTTGATGAATAGCTGCATATTTTTTATCATACTTTTCTTGATTGCTTGCAGGAATTGTGACTTTTCTAACGAATTCTAATGAGGTTATATAAACATATTTAAGCTTTGAGATAAAAGTCATTTCTCCAAAGGGTTTCTTGAAAGACTCAGGAATTGATTCTGCCAATTCCTTTTTTATTTCTTCATCAGCATTTTCAATGGCTTGGTTTCCTTCCTCTGCCTGAGCCAACAATTTTTTTTCCTCTTACTCTTTTCTTTCTTCTATTGAATCTATCTCATCCTATCTCTATTCTATAAGTTAATCACTTCATCTTACATTTTTTTATACTATTTTCATTCACCAATACTACGATGATGTAAATCACGTATAATGAACAAAATCCAATAGCCATGTAATGATTAATTTGTCCAATAAATGCAAATATCATCAACAATATTATGGCAACTCCATTAAATAGAATGTCTCTCATAAATGGCACTTTCTCTGCCTTAAAATTGTTATCAATATCAATACTTTCACTACTCCTGACAATAAAATAACGGCACCTACTATTATTGTTGTCATAAATAGACCACTGCCAAATATACTCCCAACGGCTATCAATATACCATCATCGTCCTATGAAGCTAATACTGCACATAAAAAGTCGGGCACACCATTTGCAAATGCTATCAAAGTTACACTTCATATTTATTTTGTATTTACCCTGCAAAAGTTTATGACATTTTGAAATACTCCGCAATAAAAGTCACTGCAGGTGATAAATAGTCATCTACAGTCCTTGCTAAAAAGTTGAACAGTATGAAAAACAAGAATGGCTATTAATAATTAATTCAATTCTTATACAGCAATGAGTATTAATATCACCCAATTTTCATCAAGTTGACAGAAATAATAATGTGTAAATGGAAATATAGTTTAGTCGTTGCAATTATCTTTTGTATATTGACAACTATCATCTGCTGCTTTTATTAATGAATAAAGGCAAGTGTTAGCCATTCTGAAAAACGAATATATAAATTATTATATAATTTTATTCCTCAATTCAAATAAAATCAAAACTTTTCTTTCTCTTTCCTTTAACCTTTAACCTTGTGTATTATCTAATTTAAATCCTTCAACTATTGGGGATCCTAATCTCAAATACTCCACTTCACTATTTTCTATGTGTTTATAAATTTGTTTAAAGAAATTACAATACAATTACCTACAAATATGTAAAATAACTAAAGATAATGAAAATAATTTGCCAAAATGATGTACTTTTGAAAATTAAGTATGTTATATAAATATATTATTAAATAAATATATACTCCTTTTAATTTCTAAATATATATTAAACCATTTATTATTTTAATATATTCTTATTTCGTCATCAAAATAATTTTTCTTCTTTTGAATATGTTACTCCATAATTTTTAGGCTCATTCGTTCTTCATAATTTGCATAATGCATCCAGATTATAGAATTAGATATGATCTCTAATTTAAATAGTTTCATTTTTATTTGAATGATTTGGAAGCAAGCCTAATTTAAAAGGAGTTATCATCATTAATCTGAGCAATTCACTGGCATTTAATTAATTTTAATGAATATCAGGATATCTAGACAAATATTAATTGATTTAATAGATAGACTAATTGTTAAACAATTATATTATTTAATTACAAATTTGCACAAACCATGTTACTAGAAAAAGCAGTAAGATGTGATACAATATTAGTTAAAAGAAGAAGACGAGTATAAAAGATTGCAAAAACTGTCTTTAGGAATTAGAGACCTGACTCTTAGAATTTCTACTCTACAAAGCTTTAATGACATTTTATCATTAAAATTATGTATTAACTGATAGTTCTATTAAAGTGATTTGCGCTTATCCATTTCAATAACGAAGCGTCGAGCTACTAGTTTCAATATTATTTGACCGATTTAAGGATCAATAATTTGTGAACACATTTTATTAGGCCGCATAAGAAGTTGCACAATTACAAGAGTAAAGGATGGTACTAAGTTAGAAATCCTTATCTAAAATTTCATATGTGTAAGTATTATATAATATTCAAGTTACAATTCAATGACAGAATTGAGAAAAAACTCTCAAAATGCATCGTTTTCAAAGCCAGTAACTCGAAAACTCTTAGAAGCCAAAAAGTTTTGCGTCTAATATTTGAAGTAGATTTTTTAAATGGCAAACGATTTGAAAATGGATATAGAAAAATTAGCGAGAATTTTTTAAATATTTATAAAAAGTACTTAAGACCAAGAATTTCGACTAACAATAATATCAATCTTTAATGAATGCAAACACGAGATCTTTGGAAACAGAGAATGGGTAACTACTTATTACGAAGAAATCGATTAATGTATAACCAATATTTACATCTAATAGACTTCTTATAAAATCACATTCGTATACCAAAACATAGCATTAATGATAACATTTCAGATAAACTAAGCAGAGTTAGCTTCAAAATTATTGATGACCAAGTTAGTTTTGATAGTGATGAAAGTGTAGAAGAGAAAATAGAATTGTAGATTTAAAAATGGTTATGTGATACAGACACATATGATATTCAAGAACTAAATGATATTTTGAATGGTTCTGAATATTTTAGTGATCTTATTAAATATGTCACTCAACCACAAAAGTGTGAGCTAATCAAATGTTGGGTATGTGCATATTGCAATATATTATAGGATAAACATGAATTGCAAAATACAGAAATTAGAGATAACACCTATCATAAATATAGCTAAAAAAGTCTAAGCTTTTAATAGACCATTAGATCTTATAAGGCTCTTTAAGTTTTAATAAAGGAGGAGAATGTTGCCTTTTTTAATTAACACATTCCTCAAAATGTAATTTAAATATGTAATTTCAAATGTTATTATTTAGTTAATGGAATTTATGATTTAATTAATGATTACAGTATTAATGCTAATCTCTATCATATAGCTTAATTAATTGATAATACTTTGTTGAGGGAACCTAAATTGGGGGTAGTTTAAATTATTGATTTGAATCTCTTTTTTTCTTTAACCTAATATATTTATAATCCAATGATATCATCGATTTTAGAGAGTAAAATTTTAACTAAATATTTAGATATAATAAATATTAATATTGATAAATATTAATTGGGATCCTTTTTTTAAGAATAACTATGGAAATATTTATCTAAAACTAATTGGTTCAAATTTATTGGTTAATTGATTTCAAAGGAGCGTTCTTAATCAGGAATTGATTAAGGATCAAAAGGTGAAGTGACCTTAACCATTTTATCAACTCTTAAGGCACTATCTCAATATGACTCAAAGTAACATTAAAATTTAGGTGTGCATTCTGAAGAAAAAGTTAAGTTAACTAATTTTTTGGGATCTCTACAAGCCGGCAAGACCCCGGAAATGTTTTATACAATAAATCAATAAAATTGGCAATTAAATTTAGATGTTCATGAGAATATCAACATAAAATAAATACATGTGTAAGACATTGACAATTTAAAATAATTTAATTAAGAAAGGAATAACAACCAATTTGTTAAATAATATTATTAGGATTTACGAAATTAGAGATCAAGAAAATCATTGATTAGTTTGAATGATTCTAATATGAATTCTTTTGTGGGTAATAGCTTTTTGGAGGATAGGAATGTTGTATTTAAATAATCAATAGATTCAAATACTTCAATCAATAATTATAATCCAAAACATAACATATTGATTAATATAAAAAAGAATTAAGCCAAATTTCAGGAGAAATTCGCATAATCAAATTCATTTTAATCAACTCCATCTCAATAAGTAGAATCTCCTGGATTGTAGATATTAACACAAATTTAAAGATTCGATGTAAATGAGGATTCAAAACCAAAGGCTTTAAGTAATCAAAAAAAATCTCCCTTTTTATACAATTAAAGTAAGTTAAGGCTTAAAACTGAAGGAAACAGCACATTCGAAGGGTTTTCTAGTTCTAAACTCAAAACCATTTACCCAAGTTATAAAACCTAGATAAAAAATACAGAATATTAAAAATAATTGGAAAATCTAGATTTCAATTTTCATTACTTTTTGGATGGTTTAAGATTATTATAGCAATCCACGAAAATAATGATAGATTTCTTAAAATTTAATAAAGAAAAAGTTAAATAGACATTAAACAGATTAGATATCGCTTCTATTTGCAAATCTTTTTTAAACGAGGAATTGTTTAATAAATATTTCTAATTTTATTTGTTAAATATATTAGATATCAAAAAAAATGAGTATAACATATCTGATGAATGTGGAGTCTTTATTAATTTCATTTTCGAAAATATCATCGAAATAAAATAATTATGTGAGTGTTCATAAAATATATGCAATAGTTTTATGAAATCAATCGAATATCTTTGTAAAATAATATTTGATATTCATAAAAACCCTAATGGCTTAGATGGTTCAACTCTTAAATTTAAGAAAACTCTATTAATAACTACACTTAATTATGGATTCTAATTAATCCATCAAACTAATTAAGAGTTGACGGAGAGATACATCTTAAAATACCTCAATGAAAGTGTTCTTCATATTCTAATAATTTGGTTCTTTGATAGCCATGCAAATAATGTATTCTAGAGAAATTTCTACATGTAATTACATCATTTATATTCAGTTTTCTAAATCATATCCTTGAGTAGGCTCCCTCCTCATTGATTTCAACTATAATTTTTAAGATAGGACTGGTTTCATCCTTGTAGAATGCATATTCAAAGTTTTATGTAAATGGAATTAAAAATAACGCTAACTTTGAAGATTTGTGTTACTACATCAAATTTATAACATAACTGATTATGAGCGTAAAGAAATAATTGATTTATGTAGGTCATAAGAAGAAGAAACTTGATTAGCATAGAAAGGAATCTGGAGACAATGGAATCATGGAATATTTTAACCAATGGAAAGTCCTATTTGCAACCATTACTATTATCAAAGAATAAGTCATAATTCTCTTTTTTAGAAAACTAAATATCACTAGAAAAATGTTCAAATGGATAAAATATCTAGAAATAAATAGACAATAAATTGAAAGAAAAGAGAGTTAGTGATGTTGTTGGATTAAGGTAATAGAATTAAATAATTAATAGAAAATCAATAAATTTGACAAAGCTATTACCATTAAGTCCTGGCATGCCTAATAAAATACAATAATAAAGTGTAAAAACCTGACTTGTTCTGCTCTTTGTAATTAATTCTGATTAAATATTAATTCAGTTAAATTATCATTGATTAACATCTTATGAGTATTAATCCAGAAAGTACGATGTCTTCGAGAAATAAATAAAGAATTCTAGTTTTTAAATTTAATATTATAATTAAGAAAATGGATTCTTAAGCTAAAGTTTCACCTGATAAACGTGACACTCTTTAATTGTTCTAAAAAGTTAGTTAAAGTGATTAAAAATCAAGTTACTAGATTAATAAGGAAAATATGGATCCTCAAATATCATGTCAGATTTAAGAGGTACCCAAAGAAAAACGTAGAAGATTTAGGATGCCGCAGGAAATATTTAGTAGCAAGAAAAAATATGATATTTTAAAACTTACTAAGCAGAATAGCGATAAAAATTATGAATTTATTGTTATTGACGAGGAATAACTTGGAATTCGTAAGGAATTTTCTGAGAAAATAAGAGATGTTTATGATTAAGATGATGATGTGGATACTACTGATAGTGTACTATAATAATTGAAAGAAGTGTGTTTAAATGATCTAATCGATGGAGTTAGACAAAATTAACCTGAGTCGGTACCAAATATCATTAATTTATGGAGAGTGAAGAGACATTATGAAATATTGGATAGGGATGAAAATGAAGATATAAAAAATTGATAAGCTAGTTTATGATATAAAATTTATAATATGTAATATAAACAGGAATTTAGTATATCCATTGGACAACTTGAAGAGGACTTAAACTGTGATGAAACATCGCCTTCTCGATAATTTGATTCGTTTAAATTAATCAATCAAATGCCTATAAAAACTAAGGATTCTGTAGAGCAGAAATTTAAGTAAATCAAAAGAAGAATGAATCATCACAAATCTGATATTCATAGACCTGCTTAACTTCAATGTGTTGATTAAAAAAATAATTAGACTGAGAAAAGAGGAGCTACTTATGAAAGATTGCCTAGTGACTTACAAATAGATTCATAAATTAGATAAGCGAAAAAAAAGAACATCAAAGTTTCAGAGTAATGTCTTAGTAGAAATAATGTATTAGAATCAAATTCATCATCCTATAGTTCAAAATTGGGTTCAAAACAAAATTGTGTTAAGGGGATTTTGAAGAAGTAAACCCTTGATTCTTCATTTTCCGATAATAACTCAAGGAGTAGTAGTATAAGTAGTAAGAAAAGTGTTAAGTTTAACTTATCGAAACCAGAAGTCAGAATGACATTGAATTAATGGAAATGATTACTTTTGATGGAATTCATCTTTTAATTCTAAATGAACAATAATTTTTATTACTCAATAATTATTTATTTGTTTATACAATGGCTTGCTCATATGTATTTTCTGATGACAAATCTTTCCTCTAAGATTTGGATTACATGTTAGAATAGTCAGATTAGTGTCCTTCCTTGCTAAAATGTTAATCATGCTCCATTTAATTATAAAAATAATAATCAGATGCTAAATCTAATGTATCCTGTGCAGATTTGGTTGATTTGGAGAGAGGAGGTAAAACTACATAATTATACAAGGTTGCATTCTCCAAACCAAGTTGGGTCCAATTTAATATGGTATGCCTCCAGAAACAATAAAGGACTGTTTAAATCTAGGAATGGAAGTTCCAACATTTTATATAATACCATCAAAAAGGTATGAAATTTAGAGATGATTAGATTCGATAAAAGACTCGGAATCAGCACTGCTGAATTTGAATTTCCAGCTTATTTTAATTTCTTCTGTAAAAAGAAGTAAATAACATTAATTTGTACTGCCGATACAGAAAAAGCAATCCGAACTGTGTTTTAAGAAACTTTGTTAGGTCCAGTGGATCATCCTGATTTAGCACTTGATTTCTACCATAAATTTCCGAAGAGTGCCTACCCAGATTTTCATAAAGAAAGAAGTGTGTTCTCAAGAAATCCATCAAATTTGGATGAAAAATTAACAATTGACCATTTATTAAAATTCTGTTTATTCGATGAAAACAATACAGCAACCATAACCGAAGGAGAGATTATAATTAAAATAATAAAGGATAGCAATTCATTTAAAATCTTAGAAAATGGGATATATCTGAAAAGTATTTAAGATACGTTTACATTCCCCTCATAATATTATGAATACATTGTCACAAAACCAGACGACTATAGAGCTGAGAGCATGAAGAACATTAAATCTAAAAGGGATGCTGCAAAAGAGTCATGTCCTACTCCTTTATTAGTTAGACAATTACCTGAGATGACGGTTGAATAAAAGGTGGAAAATTGGGTTATTGGTAATAAATACTAAAGGGGTGGTGAAAAGAAATTATCAGTTGTTTTATGGGATCAAATGGGAGGACATGTTGAAAGTGGTTCAGCTATATTGTAATTAGATATCGATGAAAATAAATCATTTACACCTCCAGATTTTGGGGTTACTATTCTAGGATGTGTAATTATAATATCTTATATTTCTTTAGTCACATGGATTTGATCCAAAAGGATCAACTTCAGGTTATATTTTTTGGGTTAATGGAAGAGGAATCATGGTAGATCCACCTCCATTTGCTTCTTATCATATGAAATAGATGGGAATCCCTTCAATATTAATATGTGCAGTGATTATTAGTCACTGTCATGCTGATCATGATGCTGGTACATTCCATAAAATATTGGATGATACTAGAGTAGAAATCATAACAACCAGAACTATTATGAATTCTTTTTTAAGAAAATATTCTGCAATGTCAAATATTGATATAGATTCCTTAAGAAAATTATTTATATTTAGGTATTTCTTAGAATTATCCCTAGGCCTGCTATCATTGGAATTCCTTTGAATATTTACGGAGCCTATTTTAATTTCTTCTATGCCATGCACACCATCCCAAGTCTGGGATTCAGTGTCAAATTAGAGAATAAATCAATTTATTTCTCAGCTGATACGTTCTTTGATCCAGATTAATTGTTAGTCTATAAAAATTAAGGAATTCTCTCACAAAAAAGATATGAACACTTGGCTTTCGTAGAATTCAAGGAGGATTTAATTCTTCATGAAGCAGGAGTACCTCCTATTCATACTGCACAATCTGTTCTTGGCAAATTACCAAATAGTATTAAAAATAGACTTTATCTTGTTCACACAGCTTAAAAGGACCTCAAAAAAGAATTAGGGTTAAAGATTGCCAAAACTGGTATAGAAAATACAATGATTTTAATACCAAGTAATACCAATAAGCATTTGACAACCATTAGAAGACTTGATCTACTTTCAACCATTGATATTTTTGAGCATTTGACCTTAAAAAATGTAAGATGGCTTTTAGATTCAGTTACTTCTGAAGAGTTCTTTCCAGGATAAGATGTTATTAAAGAGGGTATGGCTGGGGATAGATTCTATATTATTGAATCAGGACTAGCAAGAGTTTATTCAACATAGAAAGGCTAAGAATTCGAAAGATACTATTAGGTTGGTGACTATTTTGGAGAATCTGCTGTGTTATCAAATGAAGGAAGAAGAGGAGCTTCGTAATTATAATTAATAATTTTATTAGTGTAGAAGCTGTTACACATCTTAAGGTTCTTATTTTGGAAAAACATGATTTCTGGTTTATTTTTGGGGATGGACTGGGTGGACAAGGTCCTATCATTCAAAAAATGAAATAATTGACTGCTGCTAGACGATCTAAAGCTGTTCATTGTCTATTTAAGAATTCGATCTTATCTGAATTAACTCCTTCATAAAAAACACAATTAGAAATGATAATGAGAGAATAAGAAATTGAAAAAGGGACTGTGCTTTGGAAAGTTGGAGATAAACCAGAATTCGCTTTTATTATTAAAAGAGGAACATTTGCATTTTACGATTCTCCTGAGTAAGATCTGGAAGAATTAGATTCAGGAGCCTACGTTGGAGAATTAAAGGCTATGATTGAAAACACTGCTATTTCAACATCTATTAGAGCAACTAGAAAAGCTACAATCTTTAAGATATCCAGAAAGGATTTAATTAGTTTTGCCAATAAACATCCTGGAATCTATATGATTTTAATTGATACCAAATATTTAGAATGAATAATATTAATTACAAAAATATATTGATCTGTTTAGAAAGATATTTAATATTTTAATTTTTCTAGTGAATGATTCACAGTTTAAAATTTACTTGTAATAAAATACAGAATTGATATTTGAATCAAAGGAGGAAGAATGGATCTGAAGAAAATCTATTTCATTTTAAGTAATCATCTATTATATTTAATTTAATTTTATCCAAGATATAATTATTTAAGTTTTGATTACAATGATTCGGAATGAGTATTTATAATGAATACCTAAAAAGGTCATCCAGATGGTGGAGATGATTTCTGAAAATATTTGTTAATTCTAATCTAATTCTGATTTTTGCTTATAATTTTATGAGAAATTTATAAGAAATGTTTCGAAATTCTTTTATGGGATTAGTTTCTATCCGAATTTATTTTATCAATATTGTAATTGTAAACATTAATTATACATATTAGTAAATAGATTGAATTTAAAAATAATAATATAAATGATAATATATCAGTATGATTAAATATTCTGCAAATTTAATTTCATAAAAAGAATTGAATGATATGATTGACTGATTTTGAATTGGGTTGTTTATTGTTTACAACTTAATATTTAAATACTTTTCTTTGCAATACTTAATTGGCTTATATAACAACAAGTTAAGCATGAGAATTCTTTTATTTAAAGATATTATGTATAGTAATAATAAAAATATTGTTGTTTATGAGAAATATTGTTTAAAATTATAATATTATTAAGTTTTAGATGTAATTAATGATTAATAAAATTACTCGAATTAAAAATAATATTTGATCCGAACATAAATGTGAATAATATATAACATCAATTTAAATTTCATCATTAATCAATATCGAAATGAATTATTGCAAAGAATAACATAAATTTAATGAATTGGCTAATCATGTGATAATTTCTGTTTTACAATAAGGTTTGTTTTTTTACCAGTTTAATTATATAAATTAATTAAGAAACAATATTGATTATAAATGAATCACTATGATTACTTTAATCCTTTGGAATCTGATTCCAACTCAAGTGATATCCAATATGATAAAGAAGATGAGGATGAAAAGAAATTTGATGCATAAATGAAAAAGCAAAAGGGAAATACCAAAAACACATACATCAATAAAATCTCATCTTTGATTAAAATAGCGAATTCTGAATAGGTGGAAGAGAAGTATTTTAATAAAATGACAATAGAGGTGGAAAAAAATAAGTTTAAGCTAAGTCGTCAAATTAACTCTTTGGAGGGGCATCAATGGTTGATAAAGAAGATAAACTAAAAAAAAATAGAGAATCTGCAAGAAATAGTCGGAAGAGAAAGAAGATTTACTTAGAATTATTAGAAAATAAAGTTACAATATTGTCAGAACAATTGGAAAGTTTTTAAAAAGTTAATGACTCTACTGCTGATTTGGCTATGAAATTACAACATAAAATAAGCTAAGTTAGTTTATATTATAATTTAGAAATAAGAGTAAGATCAGAATAAAATGGTCTTATTCTCCAATTTATAAAATACTGTTTAGAATAATGTTAGTGAAATGAACATTGATACTATAATAGAATCATTAAATGTATAAATAATAATTTAAATAAGAAAAAATTTGGGGCTGGATCATTTGAAAGGCAACAATAGTTGGATCATTATTTTAACCAAATATATGAAAACTGTCTATCTCCTTATCTAAATTATATCATTGGGGCCGCGAAAACAGAATAAGATATTTTCAATGGGTAAAATGGAAATAGTGACTCTGGTGTTTTAAGGAATTTGAAATTGACAGAAAAATAAAAGTAGATTCTTTTAAAGAAGCATAAAAAGTTACTCAGATTTTAGAATGATCTTACAAAGTAGTGTTAAAATTTATTTTTAGCACTTTATCATCTTTCTAAGAAATTAAAAACCAAATATAGATTGAGTTGAGTTCGTATGGGTAAACTTTAGAATAACTAAGAAAGGAGTTAAAGCCAAATTAGGTAGGGAAATTCCTTATTGAAATTGAGAAAAAAGATATGCAACATCATTTTAGAGAATAATTCGAAAAATACTTTGGAGCAGAGATGGATGAAGATGATTCATTAGACTTATATCAATTTATGGCAGAACATAATTATTGCAATACTCTAGGCATCGATATTCAAAATACTTATCATATTTATAAATAATCAAAACAATTTTTAAGTAGAAAGTATGACGTAGATGAATAGAAATAGCAATAAAATAAAGATGAATGATTATTTAATTATTGATAAGAAAATATTTAAATTATTTCATTGTTTTTCAAATTTTGAGTTTCAATTAATCATTAACAAGAACAATTTTATTAAATTATCCTCAGAACTAGAATAAGAGTTTAATTAGTTATAGAGAAGTAATTTAATAATCTAAATTGATGTAGAAACGAATTATTGTGTATTAATAATAAGTAAATAATTATAATTAAATGAATAACAATAACATCATTCCAATTTAACTTCTTCAACAGCTACGATTACCAATAAGAAATAAAGATTATAGCACTTCTTTGTAGTCATTTAATTAATTTCTTGGTCAAGCAGAACAATATATAAAATTGTTCAATCAACAAAATTTAGATCAAATAAAGATTGTTTTTGGAATGATTTTGGAAGTATAATGTTTCTATAATAAAATAGGATTTGGATTTCTTACAATTGAAACCAGTCATTTAAATTTGGAGAGTCAACTTTACTGATTTATTTTTGAACACATTCAACTTATCATTTGCCAAAGCACTTTGTCAATATTATGTATCATTAAGTGAATGTAGTCAAATATTTAAAACTCCATTATTTAATGAAATCTCTAAATAGATTTGCTAGATTTTCTGTATTCTTTGTTGGGATAAAGACATATCAGATGAAATCAGACATTCAAAATGTTTAAGATCATTTATTCGCATGCTCAGAGTCAATTGCACTGATGATTTACTGGCTTGTCTGGTTATTGTAACAAAAAATAGCAAGAATTCTGAATATATGACTATAAAAAAGAGTTAAGATTAATTACTTTAGCTCTTTAGAAATAACATCAATAGAGAACTAGTTTAATTGATTATAGCCAATATGTGTTTTAATAATGATTAAAGGTTACTTTTTTGGTGTTAAGGAATCTTATAAGTGCTAAAACTAACTTTAGATGCTTCATCACTAACATTAATATGGAAATTATTATATGATTGTCCTGAAGTCATTGATGAACTCTTAAAATACGCAGAATTCTTCAATCATCTATATAAATAAATAAACACCATCAATGAAGAATGTGCATTGATGATTGGTATAATTAGAAAGATATGTGAGAATAATGAACAATACAAATTATAACATATTGAAAACATAGTCAACATCTTTAGCAATTTCATAGAAAATAATTAAATGTTATCGCAAAAGTATGAATAATAGCATCCCTCAATCAGGTAATTTATTTTCAAAGAAATATTCTCTTTTTTTGGAATTGTTGGTAATTAATATATTTAACCTTAAATAATTCCTCATATTATTAGTTTAATCTATTAAAATAGCAGTGATAATAGATTGCTTACTGTTGGCATAGGCATGTTGACCAATCTTAGTACATATTCATAGATTCTTAATATCATATAAAATGACAAATTGTTTTATCAGATTATTTTACAGATTTTAGAACAATTTCATGATAAACAACAATTAATAGAATACACCTTAAAACTGATGATTAACACATTAACTAACTAAATCATTTCAATTTAATATGCCTAACCTAGATTTATCATGAAATTGTTCTTCATTTGGCATGTGAGTCCTGAGAATGTTTCAGTCAATAATTTAATCATCAGAGTTTTGAGAGGTTTATATGTTATTACAAATGCCAATGCGTAAATCCTAAGCTAATGCATTAATGAGTTATAGCAGAGAAATAACACATTTGATTTTGTGGATCTTTGTTCCCTAACTATCAATACAAACCTATAATAAAATAGACTAGAGAATGTTGTAGAAGTATTTTGATATTATAATCTAGATCTATATGCTTATATCAATAATTCCTAATCTTAAATTAAACAGCATTAAGTTTTAGAACACAATTAAGTAGTATGTTGAAATCATGAGAGCAAAAGGAGAATTAAAAAAGGCTTTATAAGCAGTATCTCACTTACCAATAGAAGATATTGGATTACAATTCTGAGTTTATCAGATATTAATATTAAACATACTAATTATCAATATTGTTCTTATTTAATAAATATTTTATATCTTAAAACATAGATTTCCATCTTAATTATATCATTAATTAATAGATGATATCAAAAACATTATAATAAATTGCATATTAAAAGGAAAATAGATCCAATATTAAATTTTAACAAATATTTCATTTATTAAGAGAGAATGTAAAGAAATTAATTTTAATTTCCATTTTTATAATATGATTCAACATAATATATAAGTAAAATTATTGTTTTAAGAATTGAATAGTGAAAATCAATATAAAGTACATAATATAGTTTCTTAAAAAAAGCTTATGTAATCTAATTAAGGAGATCCTAGATATTTCAATTAGGCAAAATCATATGATTTAACTATTCAATTTCTTTAATGAAGTTCTAAAAAATCACTTTTAAATCATATTAAAAATTGAAATTATTATGATCCTTGTCCTCAGGGTAAAAAAATGTTTTTCTTTTAGAAGCCAAGTTTTTGTAAAGGTCCTCTGCCATTTAAATTGGAATAAATTTATCTAGTTTACCATGAATGATGATGCAAGGACATGAAATCTTATTGGCCCTTTGTACATTATTAAATTAATCCTATAAAGGATGATGAATTTCTACATACTTTTAATAAATTTGCAGCAAAGTAAACATGTTTTTTAGCAACAGCTTTTATAGAAGTGAATGGACTCAATAAAATTAATGCTTTTGGTTAATAGATTGATGCTAAGAAGCAAGCTGGGCCAGTTCCAATGGACCTTCCAAAAATAGTCAGTTTAGAATCAGGAACTCTTAATTCCAAATTAATATAAATAAAGACATCTTCTGCATCCTTCTCAATTTATTGCTAAGAAGGTTCAGCTTATGTGTAAATCCCATATCCTGGATATTCCATACAAATGACATTTACATTAAGTCCTTAACTCAAACCAGATGTAAACTCATAACATGTGCCTCTTTTAAATTAAAAATAAAACTTACATATCCTCGGCATTACTATGAAAATACAAGAGATATTCATCTGAGTTGGCTTTGATGAATAAACAAGGAATTTAATGTTTATTTTGCTTTGTTCTGATAAATAATAGTTTAAGTTTTTAATGACCATCAAAAGTCTTGTAATTGTAAGAAGGTTATGGATTCAAGTAAATTAATTTATTGAGACTCAGCATGATAATATAAATAATATTAATTGTCAATAAACCTAAATATAAACCTGAAATAACAAATAAATTAAAGAATTTTTAACACCATAATAATAATTTTCTAAATTCTTCCAATCACTATCAACAAATTTTAAAAGTTTTAATAAAGCTTTCATTTGAAATAGTGCTATTAAAGAAACCTTTATGTAAAATATCTAAAACTAATAAGAGCTATTGTTGTTATTAAAAATAATTTTTTATAGTAGTGTTGAATCTCTTTAATAATAGGATTTAAATTGCAAAGTTTCCAAAACTGATACATTATTTATGATTTTATGTTACTTACTCAGGTATATAAATTAAATGATAGGATTATTATTTACAATTAATAGAAGTTACTAATATCATTTATTAATTAACATTATTAACCACTTGTATTATAAGATGTTTCCATCTTATTTTCAAGTAATTAATATAATATTTGGCTTAACCTTATTTGAGTTGCTTTATTAGATAGAGATTAGAAAACTATTTAATAAAATTAAGGATTAACTCTTTCATTTATTTGAGTATTAAATAGTATTTCTTTAATTTATTTTATTTTTCTAGATATTACTAATAAAAAATTTTTCTTTATTTATTTATATGTACTAAGTAAGTATAGATAAATCTTTAGAAACACCAAGTTTACAAGAACCTAATAAGTTAAAAGTAATAAAGAATTATTCTGAACTATAAGATTCCAATGCAGTTATTACAATTAAAACAAAAGGGAATAAATTTATCTTGTCCAAACTATACCCATATTACTACATAAAGCATAATTCATTATTGCTTGAATACATTAGTGAGCATGAGATAAAATCATTTTTAGATGATTTGAACAGAATAATAGCAAACAATTGGCCACCAAAAAAATTAATACTTTTATCATACTTACTCATCCCTTTATCCTGCGGATTTTCTTTATTGTGCCCATATTATTGCTTCAATAATGCTGAAAGATTTGTGGCTTGGAAAATTGAGGAATACAACATAAAATGGGAAGATAAAGGTTTAAAATTGAAATGGCAAGATGAAATGATATAAATTCATTTATACAATAAAAGAGGAAGACCAGATTACGATGATTATCATGATATAGATGTTATAATATCATGAATTAGCGACTTCAATTATATATATATATAAATATAAAGAGATTCTTAAGGTCGCCCCATTTATAAATGTTGTTGCATTCAATAATAAAGAATTTACAATCTTGAAATTATTTTTAATTTAAAGACTCAGATTAGAATTTATTCTTGAATATCATAATTGTAACTTAGAAGTTCTGCTTTGATTGAATATAATATAATAAATGCCAATAATTATGTACTATTTAGAGAATGATAGTTGTAATTTATTAATATTATAAACAGATTATTTGGCCAAATTAGTTAATAACCATAAATATGTATTATTTGAGTGATATTTTGTAAATTAGATTAAGAATTTTGTAAACAATGAAAAACATCGAACTTACATAATATCTATTAATATATGTATTATTAAATTATCACTCTTGTTGTATTTAAGAATTAGGATTAAATCCTTCTAATTTAGCAATATAATCTTTTAATTCTTAGGCATTTAAATGTGTAAATTTAAGATTCTTACCCAATATTCCAACTTCTACGTTTTTCTCATTTAATCTATGATATTTATAAAATCTTAAAATACTCTTCATCTTCCATAATAGCCTTCTTGATAGCACTTAATCCATGTAAAACGAGTTATTCTAAAGTGCTTTTTTCAAAAAGATGGAACCAACTTTCGAAGTAAGTTCTAGCAGCTTAAGATCTTGAACCTATAGCTTAGCATTTATATTCATAATAATTGCCAGATGGACAAGTTTCAAATAAATGAACACCGTTTGGATCAATACCAGCAACTAGTAGTCCTACTCCATAAGGTCTCTTAGCCCCACTTTAAGTTTTGTGTTGAGACTCTTTAACATTCGATATATTTCATACTTTCTGCAACTTTGAAAACTAATCTTCCTACTGGATGATGAGATTCATAAGTATATTTATATTCTAAGCATTCTGTTCTCATATATTTGCATAAAACACCTGTTTTGATATATATCAGTAAATACGTGCATCTGCTGTTAATCCAGCAATAGCAATAGCCATATGATCATCTATTTTAAATTATTTCTCTTAGTAGCCTGCTAATTCAGATGGTTGTCTTTTGAGACTGCATAATACAACATTTTCGCTTGATTTGAGTCCCAAGCATATGCTTCCTTATTTGACAGCTTCCATAGCATATTCTACTTAGAATAATTTGCCTTATGGTGACCAAGTGACACAGTCTGTATCGTACAGATGCTTTAGCATTAATATTTAAATATAAATTTATCACATTGGGATTTTCACAAAATATATTAGTTAATTTCAATAATCTTCAAAAGAAATTTAGTAAGCTCAATGATGAAAAATGGATTTAAATTCTTAGGTTTAATATTGTTCATTGAAACTCTACTATAAGATTTCCTTTAGTTAATTAATATTAATACACTTAATTATAATTGGTTATTAAGCCATGCATAGAAAAATATGAAATTCTGTTAAAATTATATTAATCATTTATTGGTGAATAATAAATAGATTTGCATAATTATTTTTGGATTGGCTATTTGTCTTTTATTAATTAAATTTATTGCAAATGCTTCAAAATATAGCTCAAAAAAGAGAGAAGTTTATTATTGGACTTAAGAAAAAAGCAAGGGAGGAAACATTCAGAAAAAACAGATTCCCATAATCGAAAAACGTAATTCCATTTTCTTCTAGCAATGATATATTTTAATCATCATATTACGAGGCATTCGAAAAAGGCAATCAATAGGTAATTTAATCAATATTATAGAAGAAATTTAACTTTATGAATGATGATCTAGAAATAGGAGAAACAATGACAGACTGCATTTTCAAGGTTTAGTAATTAAACAATTATTACAACGAATATGATTGCGAACCTGACTATGATACTACAAAAGATGTTGAACGAATATTCAAGATATTCAATATGGGCTATCCTTAAATAGATGTAGATATAAATATTATTTTTCAGAAATCTTGCTTGCATATATTGTTGGCCATCTCAGCAGGAAATCATCAGCAAGTTCAACCTATTCATGAATACATACAATAGCTGACAGACTATTACAATTCCACCTACTATACAGAATTACAATAGTACATTTTGGATATTTTCGCAAATTTAGCCTGCGATTGCTATCAATGTCGAGACTTGATTTTAGTACTAGAAGTTCCAAAACATTTATGGTACAATTTATAATAAATTAAGGAAATACACACTCTAATGCAAACAGAAATGTCTTTTTGATGACTTTTATTCTATGATTATAAATTTGGATAGAATGAAACCAGAAATTAATAAATTTAAATTAATCTAGTTACATTAAATATTATAAGATCTCTACATCTAGCTATATAATGCTGAGGAAAAGAAGTAGATTCTAAAAATTATGAACAGAATTTATTCTTATGATAAATCCAAATTAGATTTGAGTTTTTTGAATTATCTATTAAAAGGGGATCATGAGAACATGTAATTATCTGGAGAAATATTTAAATATTTTTAATATGTATCTTTATTAGGTAATCTATTTTTTTTAATATATTAGATAATGAAATTACTTTAAACTTTCAATCTCAGATGGCTCATACTATAATAAAAACAATAAACAAATACATGGAATAAGATAATATTTCAAGAGCAGAATTAAAATCTTTAGTCAAAAAAGGATTTGTGACACTGAGTAACTTTATTACAGATGATCCACAAAATGTCAATGAGTTCTGGGAAGACATACTCCCTTATGCATAAAACATCCCTTCGATATTTTTAGAGGTGGATGACTTTTTTTTGTTTCTCCACAATCTCATCAAATTTTCAAAGGACGAAGATGTAATTAAATTGAATAGAGACTATAAATTAATTAAGTAAATAGCTTAAGAAATAAATGACTATTGCGAAGAAAAAGATAGTCAATTTTTATTCAATATTCTTTCCATTTTATACAGACTTTTAAATATAGATGATGCTAATGTGAAAATATTTAATGAAGAAGATTGCGAATCCAGAATTTTATATATTTAACAAATGAACATTTCAGATGAAAATTACGAATTAACAAATATGATTTTAGATAGGCTTGATTAATGATTAGATTTTTTCATATTCTTTCATTAACCTATGAAATTTTTCAATAAAATTAATAATATTCTTAAAATTACACTTTAGAGAAGATATAAGTTAAGGTGATTTTATTTCTGCTATTATATAATCTTCAGAAAAATTGGTAGAAGACCTTAAGGAATTGCAGGGAAATATCCCTTTGCAAAAGTAAAATTACAAGAACAACCTCAGAAGATTAAAGAATTTAAAAGTACTTCTTATAGTTTGGAAAACAAAGTAAATAGTATTATACTATTTATAATTATACATATTTAATATAATTTTTCATAAGCCATATAAGCAATAATAATATTAAAAAATACAATTTAAGGGAAGGAATGAATCTTTTCAAGTAGAAAGTGACTTATTATTATGATGAAGAGTTTGGCACCTTTAATTATTCAACAACTCACCCTATGAAACCTTTAAGAGTAGCTATCACAGATGATTTAGTTGGTCATTATGGATTAAAATAATATATGAATTGTATTGTAAGATGTATTAATTTAGGTTTAGGATCAATCTTTTGTTTAAACCTATATCAAAAGAGTCGATGAGGATGTATTGACTTAATTTCATTCAGAGGAATATATAAATTTAATCAAGATAATTACTCCTGAAAATAAATGCTAACATGAAGATCAACTTTATAGATGTAAATGAATGACAATTTAAAAATATAGTCAATTTTATGGAAGATTGCCCAGTTTTGGATAGGTTATTTGATTTTTGTTTGTGTCAGACTTCTGGCTCTGTTGGAGCTGCTTGTGTAATCGCAGATTAAAAGAGTAATATCGCTATAAATTGGAGTGGTGGATTACATCATGCAAAATAAAGTGAAGCAAGTGGATTTTGCTATGTTAATGATTGTGTATTAGGAATATTAGAGTTATTGAAAACATATTAAAGAGTACTTTACATTGATATTGATATTCATCATGGAGATGGAGTAGAGGAAGCATTTTATTTAACAGACAGAGTTATGACTTGTTCATTTCATAAATTTAAGGAATACTTTCCTGGAACTGGGCATATTGATGATATTGGCCATGACAAAGGAAAGTATTATGCAGTTAATTTCCCCTTAAATGAAGGCTTAAATGATGATTCCATTTAATTAATATTCAAACCTGTTATTGATAGCATTATGGAAAATTTTAGACCAGATGTTGTAATGTTGCAAGGAGGAACTGATAGTCTCAGTGGAGATCGGTTGGGTTGTTTTAATTTAAGCATCAAAGGTTTTTACATAATAATATTGCTTAGGCCATGGTTCTTGCACTGAATATCTGAAAAAATTTAATGTCCCCATCATAATGGTAGGTGGTGGAGGATATACACTGAGAAATGTTCCACGTTGTTGGACCTATGAAACTTCCTTAGCCTTAAATGTACCCATTCCTGACAATATTCCAGATGAATCTGATTATAAGATCTACTTTGGTCCAGAATATAAATTGCATCTGCCTATATCTAATATGGAAGAGCAGAATTCAAAGGAATATTTAGAGAAAAATATGTAATTCTTCTATGCAATATAATAGAGTTTAGATCTTAGAGAATTTAAAATAAATTCGAGCCAGGTTGTGCATAAATTGATCATTATGCTATTGGTAAGGAGAGTAGATAAAAGATTGACTATTAAGAATTATTCTCATCATATAACGATAAGAGAGAAGAAATGTAATTAGAATAAAACTAAGACTAATAAGAATGAAACAATAACATCGAGTAGATATTTATAAAATAAATATTTTGTTTTTGTTTTAATAATTAAATTATCATTTCTTTTTGTTAAAAGGTCCTTTTCTTTTATTATTATTATTATTACTATTATTATTATTATTATTATTACCTATTATTATTATTATTATTATTACTATTATTAATTATTATTATTATTACTATTATTATTATTATTATTATTACTATTATTATTATTATTATTATTATTATTATTATTATTATGGCTTCTATTATTATTATTATTATTATTATTATGGCTTCTATTATTATTATTATTATTCAACTTTTGGAGATGCTTATTTTTCTGCTTATTTAGGTGGTTCATTTAATTATGGTTTTTCTTATGCTTATGCAATTTTTTATCTTGCAATTTATTCAGTTTTATCTAAACCAAGTTTGACCAACTCTTATTCTTCTGCAGGAAGTACCTATAAATATAATATTCTATTTATACGTTTTATAAACCAGCATAATTAGCCAATTTTTAAGCTTTTGGTACAATATTAGATGAGAAGTCTTAGAAATCCAAAACATAATTTTAAATTAATCCAAGACTGTCATTCCAAGCTCTTTTAGCGGAATTTCTAGAATCCTTCTTATTAGACTAATCTTGCGGAATGATTAACAAAGATTTTGCTGAAAGCCAAAGGTGATGCCTTGTATAATTCTTCAACTAATTCGATTTCAGCTGATGAATCTCCTTCAAAGTAATCCTTGTATTAAAGGACTAAATAATAATATATTAATATTACATCCTTCCTTAGCTGCAAGATTGTAATAGTCCTTTTCAGCCGATAAGAGTGCAAATTCATTTTCAGATTTAACTGCACTTTATAGATTCTTGAAGACAGCGACATATTCTGGGTCTTTGGTCATTCTTGCCAAATGTCTTTCAATCAATCTTCTTTCTCTAGCTTAATAATCTTTGGTGCAATCAAATGCTAATCTATATTTGAATCTCCACAATTTCTTTTCAAGAAGTGAAGTTTAATCTTCTTCAGGATTATGAGTATAGGCTTCTTAGAAGTCAAATCTGAGAGGACTATATTTAGGATCAACTTAAGCAACAGCCTCATCAATTCTCTATTCAACTTATTCGTCATCCTTGTATAATTCTTGATCTGTTTCAAAGTAATCATTGTATAATTGTTCTTCTTCAGTAAGACCTCCATAGAAGTAAGTGTAATTATTCTCCCATCTTTCCTTTTATCTTAATCTCATTCTTCTTTCTCTTCTGGCATGATTAGCAAAATCAAGATATTCTCTAACATGGAATCTGTTCACTTTTCTTTCTAATCTCTCTTAGATAGCCAACACTTTCTCTGCTTCAATGACAGCAGCATATGTAGCCTTTTACATAGGTAATTTGTATTTTGGATTTCTGTAGATTCTTTCTTCATTGTAGCCTGCTTATTTCAATTATTAATCGATGTATTTTAATTTATCTTCACCGTGCTAAAATCTCCACATTCTATAGGCTGGATCAACTAGTAATCTATCGTGTACATCGTTATCCATTGTTACCATGATGTTTTATTCATACAATGCACTTTCAAACAGGGAAGCACTCTCTGTGAGTCCACATTTTGAACATATTAATGGATTAAATATTTTCATTCTAAAATAATTGATTTATTTTACATCCAATTCAAAGATATCAATAGGATGGAATGAATCTCTATAGTAGGACATTTCCTCATCTTCTTATTATCTGAGTCTGACTAGTTTGAAAACTTGACCGCACATTGGGCATCTCTATAATGGACCTTCTCTAAGCATAAAGAGATGGATTTCGTGTTGTTCATAATCATCTTCATTCTGCAAACCAGTGCATCCAACATATCTGAAGGGAGTATCAGCGGTGAAAATCACGCAGGGGTTGTCTACTGTACCAAAGTTGACTGTTTAGATATTATCTAAGTTATTGTAAACTTGTAAATGGAAAGGATTTCCAGAATAGGCAGCATAATATTCATGAAGCACTTCATCAAATGCCTGATAAGTCAAATTTGGTGTCATTGAACTGTGCACACCATCTTATCGTACATATGACTTTATATGCCTGATTGGGGCTGTAATCTTTCCATAGATGTTAGTATATTACCACACTTTTTAGAGTCTTGAATGTATCCAACACATTAAATGTAGAGGAGAATGACTTCTTACTCACTAACCTCAGCATATTTAAATCTTTATTTTATTAATAATTATATCCGAATATCATGCTTTAAATAGGTATTACATAAATAAAGTGCATCTCACTCTTTCAGTTTGACTAATTTCTTAATCGTGAAAGGCAATTTAAATTTGTTGTGAATTCATTTTAAACTATATATATATACACTAGAATATAGAAAGAGAATTATTAAACCAAGGTCGTAATTTTAAACTGACTATTATTAAGTAATTGTTTTATAGAAAAGTTGTATAACTCATAATTTCAGTATGTTTATCAGCTCTTTTGTCTTTCCAAGTTGTACCCATCATATCCTTTTATTGATAGATGTATTTAATTTAATTATTATATCAATTAAAATGGGAAGTTGTTCTGGGTTATGTTCAAAATTTACTGTTGAAAAACCAATAATAGTTAATGTTTCAGAGATTGAAGTAGTAGAAGGGGCTCTCAGTGATGAGTATTATCATCTATCAGCCCAAATGTCATAGTAGGTGGAGGAGAAACAGATTTTGAGATTGGAGACAGGTGCAATATATGAGGGAGAATTATTGAATGGAGTCAGACATGGAAGAGGAAAGCAAATTTGGCCAGATGGTAATTAATTAAATGAAAAAAGGATCTTATTATATAGGAGATTTTTTTAATGATAAGGCTTAAGGTCATGGCAAATTAGTGAATATAAGTGGTAACATATACGAGGGATCATGGATGGATGATAAGGCAAATGGAGTTGGAAAATTTATGAGTACGGATGGATCATATTATGAGGGTGAATGGTTGAATGACAAATAGCATGGATATGGGAAAGAATAATGTTCAAGTAAAATTAGAAAGCCATAATTATTTAGATGGCTCTTTTTATGATGGCGAATTTTATAAAGGGGCAAGACATGGAAAGGGAAAACTAGTTACTAAAGATGGATGCCAGTATGTTGGAACTTTTGAAAATGGAGTAATCAGTGGAAAAGGTATGTATGTATATCCAACTGAGATAAGGTACATATAAATGGGCGGATGGGAAAACCTATGAAGGAGATTTCAAACATGGACAATTATGGGGAAAAGGTGTTATGAGATGGGAGGATGATAGAGAGTATGTGGGAGAGTTTAAAGAAGATAAAAGACATGGCTTTGGAACTTATAAGTGGAATGGGAGAAAATACATGGGAGAATGGTTAAATGGACAATAGCATGGAAAAGGTGTCTATATAAGAGAGGATGGACAGTAAAGAGAGGGAATCTGGCAGTATGGAATTAGAGTAAGGTGGAATGATAAGTTATAAACCTAATAAGAATAGGAAACTACTCAAAACTGAAGTACTTATTTTGTTTCTATAAATTAATCTCAAAGCTGTTAGCTGTCACTTAAATTTAAAATAATATTTCATTATATAATAATCATTTGTTTGCTGGTGTGACAAAAGTCTTAGAAATACGTAATAAGTCACACTCCTTCCTTGTGGTTTCTTAGATTATGTTAAAGAATGTATTTTCCATTATTAAATCAGTTAATTCAATGAATTCATCCTCTAAAAACATTGTCTTATAATCTTTATAGTCTCTTGGTATAGTTCTAGATAAATAATATATAATAATATTTACAAATCTTCTACTTGTCTATCCTCTCCTTCCTTAGGTTGCTATTCTGGTTGATAGAGAATTATTGGTTGTTGATCTAATGCTCTGAGAATCTGGTCGGTGTGAGAGTCAGTCAAAACTTCAGTAATAATCTAACCTAGCAATTATTAGAAAGGATGGGCCATAGCATTGTGAATAGGAGGAGGAGGCTGTTTGAATGAGTTTACTAATTCTACATTTAAACTTGATTTCTTCTTTATTCTTAAGAACAAGGTTTCTTTATCCACTGTTATCGCTTGAGAGTTTTAACTTAGCTGAGAAGTATTCACTTGCTAATTCTTATTTTCCCAACTTATAGTACATTCACATTCTCCTTCATACACTGAAGGAGTTGAGGCCGCAGTCAATGTCAGTTTCAATTCTATAAATGACTAAGGCTCGAGTTCTCCCTATATAGGTTCAATCAAAAATTCATCCCCACAACATAGTCCTGGTCTATTATTTGAAAGGGTAAATTGAGAGACACCAAAATCAAATACAAATTTGCGATCTGATGATTGATTGTACAAAATGATCATTCTATGTGCAGATTTTAATGGGAGCAATTCTCCAAAATCTATCTCTTCCAAAGAAAAGAATACTTTTGAACCTATAGGAGATTGATGTGATCTCTATCTAGGAATCTCAATCGCTTATTTTTAAATCTAATTCTTAGGCTGATTAGCATATCCTCTTCCTTGGATTGCAAGCTTCACTGGTTGAATCACTTTAACCATATCTGAAACCTCAACCAATAATTCAAAATAGTAGACTTTCTACTCTAAAGGTTTAAAAAGGCAATACAAATATTATTTCTCATTTGGCAAGAGTGATCCTTAAGGATTCTGAATATCAAACACATTAAATTAAGAATCAATGATCGCTCCATCAATATCCAATTCCTGCACAAGTGTTTTATAAGATACTTTTGAACTTCCAACATTTTGAATTTCTATTGGATACTTGACAGGTTATAATAATCCTACGGGAGTTTCTGGCAACTCAAATGAATTTTTCTTTACAGCCAATCTGCCTTCCAATGGAGCAAGTGTTGTTCCTTTCAAATTTAAAACTAATGGTTTTCCATTCAAAATTTACAATACAACCCTTAGGAAATGACTCTCATTCGAAATTCCTTTTGATTTGAGTTGCTCATCTAAATTACAAGGAGTGTAGATTAGCTCTATATCTTTGAAACATTTTGGTGCTATAACACCACCTTTAGGTCTAATTTGAAATATGTTCTTTTCTAAAATGGCTTTTTCAAATGTATCCTCTTCAGTAGGTTCACCAGGATCAGCCCAAGGCTCTAATTCTATTTGATGATCAGATGGTAATTTAAATTGCCACTCTAAATCAGTTCCTCCAATATTTTAAATTGTTATGACAATTTTTCTTGACTTTACTTATGGTTTAGATGGCAAATACCCAAAATTCCAATCGTAACTTCTCAATCTCTTTTATAATTATTAAGCTTGATCAAATGTCAATTATTCGATTTTCAAAAATTTCTATTCATCTTCATTTAAATCCTTGCCTAATTCAGTATTAATTTGATTGATTTAAAAGTTCTCCCATAATGTAGCAACACTAATTGAATCATTTCTTACATCAGCAATCTTCAACAAAGGATAATTTCCTTTAGCTTTGATCTCTAATTTGCATTTCTATGACACTATTTTCTTATTTAAATAATTAGGACCTTTGGGTGCTTTAGGATTCTTTTCTGTTGCAATAACATCCAAAACCAAATCAAATTCACAGACCTCAATTGGATTAAACATTATTCCGATATCCAACTTGGAATTAGCAGCAATAATTCCATTCTATAAATCCAAAGTAAAGGACCTATTAATAAGACTAATCATTTAATGATCAATTTTATCTCTATCCTTACTTTTTGGTCTAAGAACTAATTCAATATAAAATGTGCAGTCTGAATTGTTAATTAAGGTAGCATATTTTTTTGTATTGAAATTAACTTTAATAATATTGAAGTCGATTTGTTTAACATTAAGTTCTAACTCTCCATCTGTGCCTTAGCCAAATATCTCAAATTGATAAGATAATTCTATTGGTTTTCTTTATTCAAGTGGAAAGTCTTGATTTCCTGATCCTGGAATATGATACCCAATCAGATTTTAGTTGTCTGCAAGAATTTCAGTAGCAGTCATAGGTACTTTGATTCTATATTCTTTCTTCTTTTTGTAAGGAATGAATTGACAGTCTAGATGTAGTACTTCATTGGGTTTGATCTAGCCAGATGGAGGTTCAATATATAATTCATTTTAGTATTTCTCAGGAACATCGATTGAGTAACTCATAGGCACTCTTGATTCATTGTGAACTGTTATTTTTTATCTAGAGTAAACTCCAACAAAGGAGGGAGGAAAGAAGACTTTGCCTCCATTTTACAATTTCAGAGAAGGAGTAGAACAATATCCTATAGCTTAAAGAGTTATTTAATTGGAAGATTAATGATTCATATGACAAACCAGAGTTTGATTGTAGGCCTTGTTTTCAACAGGTACAAATTCAACAACAATCATTTATGATGATTTACCAAAAATTAACCCCTGATTGGGATATACTCTAAAGGTTCTTGTTGGGTCAGGGCTGAAATTAAAATAAATTGGAGTGTCTGATTTATTAATGAACTCTACTGTTTGATATACAGATTCTTCTATTGTACAAGGAGGGAAGTACAATTTGTTAGATGGTCTAAGTTCTACAATTGGAATGTAGGGTTAAGAATTAATCCCGAAAGAATGTCCAACACATCCAATTTATCCACTGAATGTAGGAATCATTTCTTTGGATGTAAAATCTATAGTGTTTTTTTGACTAGTGATTCCAGTTTAAGATAATTTTAAATTTGCACCATTTCCAAATGAGTCATTCAAAATAGAGCCTTTGTTATTTTTAACTGAATCTAATATCTTCTTTGTAAGTTTTGGATTATATTTGATTGCAAAGAATTGAATATATTAAAAATAATAGTAAGATGATTTTGTTGGTCTAAAACTAATTGAAAATTTGCATTTAGAATTTGCTTGTGCTGATTGAGTCTCTGGAGAAACTGTGAAAACTGGCACTTTTTCTCCATTAACAGTAGGATGAGTTTGGATTGTCCAAAATACAGTCAATTTACAGTTTAGTCTATTGTGTAATTCTAACTCCCTTGCTCCACTTTGTGTTTAGCATTCAACATAACCAAAATCAATAAAATCTTCAGAGAATTTAATTAATCTGTAATCAGAAGATGGAGGAAGCATCAACTCTTTATATTAAACAGTTTGATTAGCATTTTCTTGCCATTCTCCTTGAAGATTACTTTGATTTTACTAATTAACTTTCATCAAATAAGAATTTTCCATATATTTGAAATCCACTTCACTTAATTTTCCTTGAATAACTCTTCTTCTAAAATTATCAATATGCTATTGAAGCAATGGTATAGGTTTGATCAAAAGGTCATAACATGTCCCAATTAAATCGACAAACTTAATTTGATTACTTGCAACGCAATAAACTCTTTCATAGTAATTAATTGTATGTCTGGGTGTAAAGGTGACAATGATACGATCAAAGCTCTTTCCTTAGATCAGACCCCTTACTTTATTGAAACTAAAAATGTTATTCATATCGGTGTATAATTAGTATGAAGCTGCTAGATCAGAATCATTATGAATTGTCAATAATTTAGTGGCCTGATTACCAATTTTGATCTCTCCAAAGTTAATTGACTTTTCACTTAAATACACTGCATGTTCCACTGCTGATCCGACACACTCAAAAGTTAATTCATTTCCTCCTTGACAAACCACTTTAAATCTAATAACTGAAACATTAAGGATTTAAGGTTAATATGTAACTTTGATTAAAAATGTGCTTTTTTGGGGAATGACTCCTGAGTAGTAGTCTAAAGAGAATGCATTATCTTTGAACTCATCATCTATCATTTTAGTGATTTAAAATTGAGCTGTAACTTCTGATGAATTCTTAATTGTGATTTCCTTTGTTACTGTTTTACCTATCAATAAAGTTTCGAAATTGAGTTTTTTAGTGTTCAATTATAAGAAAGGGTATTTGCCTATTCCTGATACTTTGATCACTCTAGGTTCTTCGTATTGAACATGCATGATAATTGATGCAACTATTACTTCTGCTTATTGAGGGGAATAAGTCAAAGTAAAATTGATTTTTGATCCAGGAGCTAACTATCCTCTAAATTATTATCACTAGATAATACCTCTCTGGAGTAATCTTGAATTTCTAAAATTCGAAATGAAACTACACAGGATAGTCGTTTGGATTTTCAAGCATGAATACCAAATTAGATACAGATGTTACAGCAGTAAATCCAATATCAAGTGCAGGAGGAATGGTTGTCAATATCATTCGATGTTCCACTTATTTTTTTTTCATTATATTAAATTTATTGTTTATTAATAATAACTCATCCTAACTTTTTATATTCTTATCCTTTTGGTGGTGATGGTCTGTCCTTCCTTTCATAATCTTTAACTTTCACTTCATCCCAATTAGTTGACCTAAACAAAAATCAATTCAATTTATTACAATACTGTTCCTCCTGAAGTTTGCATTGACTTTATCATAGCTCTTCTGGTATTCTCATCCCCATTTTAATAAATTTATTTAAACAAACTATTCAAAGGATCTTCACCATACTCTTCCTTATGTTTATTGATATCCTCTTCAATCTCCTTGTCAATTTTACTCCAATCCTTCTTTTTTTTGGATGATGTGGGGTATGCTGCCTATTCCATGATTGGGATTTATTATTGCTCTTCAGCCTTCCTCTGCAATGATCCCCAATTCAAAGTTTTATCTTTTTTGTCCATAATGATTTCTATTGAATTCAATCCCACCTTGGCCTTGCTGGTTTCTGGAATAATTTCAGCAAATAAATCCAGATCAAGTTCAAAGTTGTTTCCTTTTTCAATAGGAAATGATAATTGCAATCTAGAAATTTCTAATTTGAATACCTTTATTTTTCAAACTAATATTTTAAGTCTGCACTATTTGGTAATGCGTGATGTATTTCTATACCAACTTTAAGATCTGTTTGATACCATTTATACATCAATTTGCCTGATGTTGAATAAATATCTGTCCTCTGTGCTTCAGAATTTTAAGGGACTTCTTTAAATTACTAGATTATTCTAGAAATTATATATTTCTTTACTTTTCTTAGGCTGTTTAGACAAGTTTAATATTCTTGAGTTCTAGTTCGCATTTCAAAAGTTGTTATTACGTTTCCTTATGTTTTGGATTGAATTAAAGACTTTTTTATAAATCTAACTATGCCTACTAGATCTTTCCACATATGAAGTTGATCAATCCTGAATATATTTCTATAGAATACCTTTTCTATAATAGGCTTCAAATCTGTCTGAACTTAGTTAGATCGCTTTGTCTAATGTGGACAATGCATCATCATATTTGCCAAGATGATATAAGGCTATCGATTTGGTGACAAGTGTCTCATAATCATCACTAACCAACAATTAGAGAGCCTGATCATATTGATGATGAAGAATCAAAAAATAAGGATTTGAACTCATAATTATTTATTAATATTTTTCAATACTAAGAAATCTCTGCGCGTTGGACCATACAAATTTGACAATCCTAATTAAATCTTACCATTATTTAATTCTAGATTAAAATTCATAATCAGAAAAATAAGCAAAGTCTTCAGCTCCAAAGTTGCTAAGTGTTATCCAATACAATTTCTAGGGCCAGCGGAAAATGGAGTAAATGAATATGGATCTAATACTGGGGAGTTCCATCTGTCAATATCAAACTTAAGTGGGTTCTCAAAAATAGATGGATCAAAATGACTCATCATCATATTTAAATCCATGCTCTATCCTTTTAAGATTGTGAACTCTCCTAATTAAATGTCTTTAAGGGCAATTCTATTGAACAATGAAGGCGCTGCTGTATACTGTCGATAGGCCTCATTAATAAAGTTATCTAATAACTTAAATTCACTTAGTTGTTGTGGTCTCAGATCATCAAATTATTGAATATGGCTGTTTATTTCCTTTCTGAGTCTCTCTTGTACTTCTGGATGGAGCCCTAAAGCATAGCAGAAGTTTTTAACAATATGACTAGTTGTGTCTATGCCAGCAATTAGAAGGGTGAAATATTAATGAACAGCTTCTTCTTTTGTGATATTATTATTTATAATTTCTTTACACATTGTAGTTAATATATTGTCTTATAATGTTTAATTCTCTTTGATTTTTTTTATTCCCTATTCTATTTCAGATATGATTCTTTATTTTTAAGCTTACAGTTCTCTAAGAAATGCCTTTTCTCCAGATGATAATAAAAATGAAGGAGTTGTGCTCTTATTCAGTTTCAAAGCAAAACATCTCAATACAATTAAAGGATTTAACAAGAACAACATAATTTTTTCCATGTTCTTGTTAACTTAAACACCCAAATCTGCGATTTCATTATTTTCACTTCCAAAAAATGTTTTTGTAATAGTTGTGCTCGTCAACTATTTCAATACAGTTAAAATATCAATTGGACCATCCTTTAATTGAAGTTTCTTGCATTCTTACTTTAATGTCTCGACCATTACTAATAGATCTTAATTTGTGAAATGTTTAGTTAACATCTATCTTGATTTATGCCAACTCTTGCCGTTTTAGAAAAGCAATCCTTAATCTGCAAATGTGTCCGCAAATGGCATGCCTTCCATTTTCTTATAAGATTCTTGATCAAAAAATACTAACTTCTTAAGTTTTGGATCAATCAAGGTGAAGTGAACTCCGCCTTTCAAATCATTAGAGATATGTAATTTAACCTTGTTGTTCTTTAGCACTAATCTTTTTTAGGAATAGAACACATCTGATCTAAATACCAAATCTATTAGGATTTGGCCTATTAACCCAATAAATGGGAAATAGTATATCTCAACAGCGGAGCCATACTTAATCTTGTAGTACAAGAGCTTTGGAATTGGGGCAATCACGAGATAGGCTATCAAGGCCAAGATCAGGTAACCTAAATATGATAATATGAGCAAATTCATAAATTCTTAATTATTTATAAATTAACAACTTTATTTTTGTTTTTAATGTATGAATTTTATGGAAAAATATATATTATATATTAGAATTTTGCAGTATTAATATAAATATAATGTATTAATTAATTGTCTTAGTTTATTATTTAAATTGGCTATTTTCATTAATGAAATCTTAGATAAAATGGACTTTTAAATATAGAAATTCAATATTTTCTAGATTTCTTCCTACCTTCAAATATTTTCAATTGAAACATGTCTCTCTATTAGCATATAAATTCTTATTATAATTTGGATGAAAAATATAAATATATTTATTTATTAGTAATACTTGAAAAAATTTAATGAGTGAATGCCTTCTGACCCTAAAATTAAATAAGAGCTACCCTAAATTATAAGTTTAAAGACTTTTTCTTTCCAAAAGATGTATGAATTTTAAAGAGCCTTAATCTTGTATAAATAGGAGACAAAAAGTTTCGGCAATTACTTATAAAAAGTATTATAAGGTGTATTTGAAATTATAAATATAAAATGAATGATCTAGAAAGAATACTAAATTGATCTAAAAATAGTACTTAAGTCTCTTTGGCTGAAATTTTCAAACCTAGAATTGCTGCCATATTCAATTGCATGATACATATATTAAAATTATAATTAACCTTCTAAAACAACCTAAACCTAGTTATTCGACCCCAACCAAAATTATTTATAGATAAACAATTCAAAGTTTATTTAAAAATATCAAGATATAAACTAATTAAAAGAAAAAATATATATATATCTTTTCTTTTGTAATATATTGAAAAGATTATGAATTTTTTTTATGTAAACTAAAAATTCATTTAGACAGTTCAACTGTTTTTGACAGGTGATTATATTAATTAAATTATTTTATTAATTGAGAAATCATTTATTGTAAATGTTTGGTTGGAATAGATATCTAATTAGTTAATTAGATTTTGGTACACTCACATAATAATTCAATTTTTGTTGATTAATCCATTTATTTTGAGTATTAATATTTTTCGATTTACCTGCAAATAATTCCTTTTTATTATTAATTTTTAGTTAAGATATCACTGAAATTTATTATTTAAAGTTCTAAGTTATTGAAAACACTATTGCCCTTCTTTTTCTTATTCATTAACTTGAAGATTTCCTTATCCAAATTATTCCCCATTTTTTTAATATATATTTTGGCAGTAGTCATTACTCTGAGAATAGGGCGAAAAATGAATATAACAATAATCATCGAAATGAAAATTAAGGAGCAAGATATAATTATTTAGATATAAAAAGCTCTTTCATTTGCCTATTAAACCAAAAGTTCGAGCTCTAAGAAGTTTTCTTGTAATACGTGCTCAAAGCTCGCATTAGTAAACCTAGACTTTAAACTTAAAGTTACATCATTAATGTAAAATTTCCAGGGATTTAATTAGCCACTATCTTAATGGGTTTTTTGTAAATGGAATTGTATCTACATAAAATTTATTTTTCATCCAGCTAACAATTTGAAATGCTAGGATTTTTATTAGCAAAATTGAAAATTTCATTCCAATCGGTTTAATTGAATCCTGTTTTATTTTCTTCGTATATAAAATTTAATTCTGTGACTGGAAGATTTAAATTGACCTTTCTATATATTATTTGACCATCTTAATTTAACAAATAAGTGTTAGCTTAAATTAACTACATATCAGGGTCTTCAGCATCAAAGTCAGTACCTGCTATAGCATCTAGAGCTTTTGTATATTAATTTTCTAAAGAATAAGAAATAGTTTATTTATAGATAAATTGAGTGCCTGAAAAGTATAGTTTTGAGAAAAAGTATTTTTAATCTTTCTCCTATTAATATTTATCCAAATGGTTTACAAACCAATTTTTTGATTAAGGGGAGAATGACCAATCGTAAATTACTTAAGGATAAATAAACCCAACTTAAATGTCTCCAGTTGCCACATAGAAGATTCTATTATGTTGGGTAGTATCAAATAAGAGAATATATTCTGATAGTAATCTGGAGAATTTTTATAGGTCTTGATATTTTTACATTTGTGGCAATTAATTTCCATCCTTACAAAGGTAACAAGTTAAGCAAAGTTGTGGGATTGAAAATAAAAAGTCCTTCTCTTTTTCAGTCTCACATTTAAGTGAATCTTTAGATTATTCTGATATATGAAAATGATCCAATAACGAATAAAGAGAACCTAAACTTGTTAAGAGCTATATCCCTTTGAAAATAAAATAATAAATACTGTGATATTATTTTGAAATGAGATAATAATTTAGTTAGGGGAGAAGGAGGTTAAGTGCTTTTTTATCTTAACGTTACAAAACTATAGTAGATGAATTTTCATAGATTCCAATTATTACATTTTTTTAAACAATGTAAAATGAGAGAATCAATATGAAACTGATTAAAAAAGCACAAATTTTCACCAAAAAAATCTAGTCTCTCATTCTAAGATTGTGAAACTGTTTCCTTATAGCTTGCCAAATGATCATATTAATCTTTATTTAATATTATTTAAATTTACAATTTAATATGTATTTGAAAAGAAATGACAAATATCCATAAAGTATAACATAATAAGCATTGAATACAAAAATCTCTAATTCATCAATCAATTTATAATGGATAAATTGCCTCTTTAAATAAATATAAGAAATAATAATGATTTATAATTTATATTATATAATATTAAATGAGTGATAAATCGAAATCACCTCCAACAAAGAAATTAATCAAAAACAAAATGAAGAAGCAATTCTCCAATGAGAAATTCTCAACTAAAAACTACCAACCTTCAAGATTTGTTGTTGCAGAGCGATTATAACCAATAACGTATATGAATTAGTTTCATTATTGATTAGATATAAGGCCCAAGAAATTCTGAGTGAATTTCAAACAAAAATTGAAGATGCCTTCTTTTCTTAGCCAAATCAATTGAAAAGTGTACAACCTAGTTAATAGAGAGTGCTATAGGTATGAAATTGTTAGAGTGCTAAATAGCCAAAAGAATATAAAAAGAAACCGCTAAGAAGATAAGAGAACGATATGCAAATGTATAAGGACATCTTTGTGTAACCTAAGGCGGATGCGTTGTAAGAGCTCAAAGAAAAAGAGAAAGATTTTGAAGCACTCTTTCATAAAGGATAAGCAAAACAATATGACAAAATTCTGAATATTAAGGAAGATGAGGATAAACCAGTCAAAAACTTATTGGGATCATTACTAAACGAATAACTAATGAAATCTACGGCTCCCATTGATAATATTGATTTGAAAAAAGAAATTGACAAAGTGGCCTAAATGGATTTGCCTGTTCAACCAGAAACTAACTTCTAGTTCTTCGATCAATAGATTTCTGTCCAACCACCAGATCTACCAAATGCTAGTATTGCATCGCCATTGACACCTGGAAATGGTTATGCCCCATCCATACCTTATACTCATAATGTTAAGGAAAACAACAGAACTAGCATTAAGGATTTACTTGTAAGAGCCAAGGCTGGTATGTAAGCTGGTGATATTTAAAAGGAAGCGCATTTATCATTTTATTTAGGAATGGTCTATGAGAGTAGCAAAAATCATAATGAAGCTGTGAGATTCTATAAGAAATTTGTGGCATGTGCCAAACTAATGGAAGACAAAATAGGAATGGCATTGGGAACTAACAGAGTGGCATTCAATTATTACAATGCTGGTAACTTTACAAAATCAATTGAATTTCATAAACAAAATTTATAGTATTCAGATTAGGAGAATATGTTTACAGGATTTTATAATATGGGGTTAGCCCAGAGAAGGCTTAAGAATTATGAGGAATCCATTGATTATTTTTCGAATGCTTTGGAATGGGCTCAGAAAAGAGATGAAGCAGAATCATCATGCATATCATATGGCTAATTGGGTATAGTATTTTTAGAAATTAAACAATATGATTAAGCATTTGAAAATTTTTAAGTAATAGTTTTATGCAATTTAATAGAACTGTTATGAATTGGCTAGGAGATTGAAAAATCATAAATTACAATTAGATTGCTTGTTGAATCTAATTAAAATATCAGGATATCTTTAAACCTCAACGGAAGTGTAAACATAAATTTTGAAAAATGCGATCTTAGTAATTTTAGCTTATATTATTTAAGTGTGCAAACCATTTAAATGAAAAATCAATCGCAACTTTATGCTTATGTAACTTAGGTGTTCTTGAATCAAAACCTCCATAACCAAATTAAAATTACGATGATTTAGAATATGAATAATTTTGATAAATAACATTATTTTTATTATATAATAAAATGAATTCGTCTCATTGAAAATATATTAAAGCACACTCAGAGATAGACACTAAATTATCTTATTCAAACTGGCTGAGAACTAAAATTGATGTACAAGACTGGAACATTTAAGTAAGGCATTTAAAAAATGATTATACTAAATTAAGAACAATAATGAAATTTTGCAATGGTCACTAGAATATTAAAAGTTTAATTTTAATATCCTCAATTCTTAGAAATTTGAAAGATATTACAATAAAAAGAACAACTGAATAATGAACATTATTGTTTTATTTTTAATATCTTCTCTTCACTATTAAGGAAATCTAAGTTTGAATAAACTCATGGCAACATTAGAAATCTCTTTTGCTCTGTCGTTTAACCAATCCATTTAATCTTAAGTTTATGCTACTTCTGCAAACTTTCTTGTAAATCTAATTTTTGTGAATGATTCAATTTCATTAAATTTAGCCTACTTTACAATTTCAATTACCAAATCCTCATAATAATTATAGACATCTTGAGCTGTGTAATGGTTTGGAAGCACATGATCAAATCTCTTGATTGGACTCACATACTTTTTAATTATTTCGTCAAACTTCATTAAATTTATTAAAATATAATAATATTGATAATATACATTATTAGGAAAGCAGAGACTCATATATCAAAAAATACTTGATTTCTAATTAATTTGCGCTAAATAATTAAATAATATATTACATAAATTAATTCATATGAGTTAAGAACAAGCAACATAAGTGAGTGCCTATTCAGCTTATTAAAATAAATAACATTAATTATGCTATAGTTTAGAAACAAGTAACAGTATGAGGATTTTAAGAAGCATTAAAAAAGGAATATCGGTATCAAAAGTCTGTGAAGAAAATTTATTAAATTTGAATTCTAATATTGATAGATTAGAAATATCGAAAGATGATTATTATGAAACAACAACATAAATTTAAAGGGGAAAAATGCCGACTATTTAATAAATAATAGGTCAATTGCAAAGAAGAGTAACTCAAATGTAAAATCTTGCTTAGATGAGATTGGAATAAAATTCAAGTGATAGTAGTGAGGATTGGGTACCTGATTTTAGAGAGGAGGAAGAAGAGAGTGATTATTTTGAATAACAGTGATAATTAATTAAATCAATTTAATACATTTTTAGGGTACTTTCTTTTCATTTACTTTATACATTATACTATATTTTCTTTTGGCTTAACATTCTTTTTTAACATTGCATCATAGATTTTCAGTTCTTAATCCTTCAAATCATCGTACCATGATTTAATTAGTAATCCATTTTCTAAGGATAAATGACATCACTTACATGGATTTAAAGACATTCCAGATAAAGAATTGTCAATAATAAAGGTTTTCTCCAAATTTGAATTCACTTTAGTTAAATCTTTATAAAACACCCCATCCTTCTTGGTACAACTCTAAACATTATATCATAAATGTTGTTACATCTCTGTAGAATCTTCTCTTGATGAATCCACTTGGATCTAGATAATCAATAACTTTGTCAGCATATTCCTTTAGAGCAGCTGTAAAAATAACCAGTTCAAAATATTTTGATAAGGCTTTCAAGAAATCTCTTGCAAATGGCCTAATTTTGACATAATACTTTTCAATTGTGTTCCCTATTTTCACAATGATTTCTTCATCCAGAAATGAAGTTCTTTCCATTTCTGAGCGTATTAAGGTTTCATCGAGGTCTAACACAAGAGTAAACTCTTTTTCTGTCTCTTTTGCAGTTATTTTATCTTTGCAATCATCATCTGAATCTAAACCCTTCACTGAGAGAGGAGATCCCATCATTATTAAGATCGAACCTAACATTTCCCAACTCCAAGAGATGATTTTCTTGCATCTGTCAGTCGTTGAAGCATTTACTAAAGTATTTCCTACTATTTTAGCAATATTTGATTTAGAAATGTATTCCATTATTATATTAATTAAAACGGGGAAGTCTGTATTAATATTTATAAATGTAAAATAATATTATTGATTAAAATAAAATAGTTGTCACAGTAAAGGATCCTACTATTAATTAAAATCAAGAGGAATTTGTATTGTATAATATAGAGGGATAAGATAACGCAGGCGATTTTTAGATTTAACATCGTTTTAGTGAATTTTTCTAATTAAGATCCTTGCTTGCCTAAAAATGGTAATACTGTTATATACCGGCATTGCCTCCAAAAGTTGTTTAAGTAATGTAAATGCAATTCAAATTTAGGGAAATTTGAGTTTGAAAGTGATTTATTAAAGATTAATGATGCTAGATCATTTCATGAAATAATTATCTAATTTTTCATTTTTGTGGTATTCTCATGAAGTTTAAGCATTTTTACGATAACAATAACTAAGGAAAAGTAATTCTAATGAATAGTAAGAGAACTATGCCAATTTATTGATTTCAATTTTCCCACATTTTGCTGAAAATGTAATAGATTAGGAAGTAGAAACTAAAATAGACTAATTTCTCCTTTTTATTCAAAATGCTACTCCAATTCTTCAGAATTATAAAGTAATCATGAAAAGTAAATTAACCATTAGGTAAAATTATCAATATAATTAGTAAATAACATTTCGAATAAATAAATATTTTTCAAACTTTTTTCATACCTGAATATGAGAAGATATTAGAGACAAATGTTGAATAAATCAGGTCTCGCTAAACAAGTAAGATATTTTAAGAGGATCAGAGTAATTGTGTTTTAAGTGACACTGATAAGTAATTCTATATCATGTATATTTAGATTAAAATTGAATTGAATGAATTTTAAGTAAATTTATAATTAAATTTCTTAGGTTTTAATTGAATTGATTCAAAAAAGAGAACAATTGAAATTATAGATTCAAACTTTAAATGAATAACTCTAAAGAAAAGTAAAATATGTATCTGAGATCTAAAATAATGGTTTGAATATAATTAAGCAATTAGTAACAACTAAAGAGGATGAAATAGAAAAAGCATTCTTAAATTTGAAACAAGTTATTTATATTAATCCTATTGTAGCTTGAAAAAGAATTGACAATCTAGGTTTCCTTCTTTTCGCTTATCACTAACAAATTAGCTTCAGATATACAGTTATTGAAAAAGGTCTTTTCATAAAATTATTACTAAGTGGTTAGAGAAATGAGTAAACTTTTTAAACAAAATGCTCAAAAAGTATAAATACAATTTAGGATTAGAATATTTCATTTTACTAGAACCTATTATTAGAAATAGAGAAGTCAGAACTTTGAAATTAACTGATAATTATATTTTTCTAAGCATATTTATTTATATATCTCTAATGTAAAATTATGTATTTGATGCTCTTTTTAATAACTGATGTTAAAAATTTTAGATATTTTATTGTATTGATGATGTTTTTGTTTCATTTTGATAATTTGTTGAGGAACTTTAAAAATAGATATAGAATAAATAATATTATTAGTATATCAGATGATTATATAATAATTTGACGGATTACATATAACAAAATAATTATTATTTATAATAGATGAAATCATCATTTTAAGCTTGCAGAAGCACATACAACAAGTCCCATCGAAACTATTCTGTTAGACCTACTTCTTCTTTGGCAGAAGAGAATTAAGTAAGGAATTTCAGACTGTTTTCTTAAACTTAAGGATGTTCCATTACAACTAACTAACCCCAAAGAATAGAACTACCCTGTTTTTTTAATACTCCAGCTAGATTTAAGAACATGAATGTACTATTTAATATTAGCTAAAGAGAAAAATAAAATTCAATTGTCCGAAAAATAAAATGATCCAAAAAGCCTTTAGACTCCTGAATTGTGTATTTATCTACAAGCTCAAAGACGATTGAAAGATTATGAGATGCTGGCATTTGCATGTAAAAGAGCTGGCAAAATCAAAGATGAAGGAAGAGCCTACTATAGTATGGGTGTGTTATTGGACAATATGGGTAAATGGAGTTAAGCTATATAATAATATGAGAGATTTCTAAAAATATGCTCTAAAATAGATGACTAACATGGATGTGGTTTAGCTTATAATTGTATAGGAGTAGACTATTAGTTCATGGCTGAAACGAATCCAAAGTTTATTGAAAAAGCAATTGATTTTCATAAAAAACACGAAGAAGTTTCAGATAGCAATGGTAAATTTTTGGCATCAATAAACCTGGGTTTGTGTTACGATGTCAATTCTTAGTTATCTATGTTTTACTTTTAGTAGGCTCTCAAGCATGCAATAAATATGTCAAGCAAATTAGGATAAACAATAGCTATTGCCAATATTGGAAGAATAGGACAAAAAGGTTTATATGATAATGCTGAAAAAATGAAAGTAAATATAAACTCAAAAGTTTTAGTTATTCATAGAAAAGTTTTTATAATTAGCAAATGAGTTAAAAGACACAGAAAGTATAATAAAAGGACATATGAAACTAGGAGCAGTGTCTGCTTAAATGGGATCATATACTGAAGGAAAGAATAGTTTTTTAAAGGCCTTAGAAATGGTTGAGAATGATCGATACTTATATTAAGAGGCTAAATGCGGATTTGCAATTTCGAATGCTGAAATGAATATGGATTAATATTTGAGAGAATAAGCATAATTATTAAAATAATGATACTGATTCTATAATACAATTTAAATATTATCTAATGATATCTTTCATATTAAATTATATTTAAACAAAAAAAGAGAAAAAAGTTGATTAAAATATAATAATTTATTTAATTATTTTTATGTGTAATATGATTGCTTTATTATATCATATTCTCCAAAAGTTAATAATACCATTAACATCACTTGTAGATATCAAGCTATCATTAACTTTGTTTATGCAAGCGATGGCAGTCTAATGTCCGAATTTATCATCTTCTGTCTTCTATCCTGCAATAATATTTAATATTTTGTACCTTTTCCAGAAAACATTTGTTTTGCAGCAGCAATACTTCCAGATTTCTACACTTCTCCTTCTGCAGCCAAGCATTTCTCAATAATGGATGTAAACTTCAAAGTAGGTTCACAATTCAACAGAACTGGCTTTCTATCATATCCAACTCCCACCATTGTGGAATCATTCAAATATAATATTTTATTAAATGGTTTAGTCTCCTTGATATAAGTAGCCTTTAATATGGATATTCATAATATACATTTGTATCTTCATTTTCAACGATCAGGCTTCCATCATCATTAAATGAATATTGTTTAATTAATCCTGTGTGTGCAGCAACAGCAAATTTTTTGCCTGATTGAGTAAAATCAATTGAATTAACCCAACCATTTAAATTTATTGTAACAAGGATTTCTCCAAATGTTTTAATGTCTTTGAAAAGACCATTGTATGACTAATCCTCTGAATTAATATTATCTTAGATAACACATGAAACTAATTTAAATGTCTGATCAGTTGATCCTAATCCTAATACTCTTCCACTTGGATGGAATCTACAAGCGGTTACACTTGAATAGAAACAATTGATCTATTGATTATGCCACCAATTGTTTTTTTCTTCAAAAAATAAAACAAATGCTTTATGACATGCAGTCCCAACTACACATTTTTATCCATTTGGAGCCCATTCTCCTGACAAAATTGCTTTCTCGTTTGTGATAATGACTAAATCTTTGCTCCAAGTATTATTGACATTTCTATATACATAAACCTATCATCATCTTAAAATTTACGCTTCTATCATCACTTCCAATTAAAATTTTGTTATCTACTGACCAAGACAACACATTAATTTATTAGGATGCATCCTTCAAAGTGGATACCTTTTACCATGTTCCAATCTTCTCCAATTAACCAACCTTATAAATATCTGCATTGCTGGTATTTTTAATAGATAGGGCAACATATTAGCCATCTGGTGACCAAGTATGTGTTACCAACTTTTGTTATCTCAGATAGGATTCAGTCATTTTTATTAAAGATAATATTTATATTCTAAAATATAATTGAAATCCATAATTTAATAGGAAAATGAATTAGGCTCAAAAGTTTTAATAAAAAAATTAATGACATTATATATTTATAAATTTTATATTATACTATATAATAACACTCTTAATTAATTGTTATTTTAACTAAAAGTTCACTTCACTATATATATTGGTAATCCATAAGTTAATATAAAATAATGATATCAAAGGACTTTAATTAAAGCTCCGTAATCTCCTAAAATAATAAATCATTTTAAATACAATCTAAGTAAAATGATATTGTCAGTTAATGTAGAAAAATCAAGAGACTCTCTTATTGTAGAATAAGATGAATAAGCGACTGTGATACATAAAAAAACAGTTAAGGAGACTTTTTGTAATTCGATATTCAAGATTTAACAAGAATGCCCTTTTAAATGTTTTGTATACAAATTATGACAATAATTCAATATAATAGAAAGTGTCTCTTAATGAAAAAAAATATAATAAATAATAATGTTGAACCAAGTTAATTATAAATCCGAAACTGTATTGAAATGCTATGATATCAATTTTCGCCAAAATATCGTTGCTTTTGTGGAAATGTATAAAATGCATTTCCTATATTTTAATGTTCTCAAGCTCACCAGGTATGTGCTGACGAATTCCTTTATTAAGGTCCATATTTAGAGCGTATTCTATGCAAGAATTGTAATCAATATAGACATTTTAATGGGATTATTAATTTTTATTTTCGTTCATGGAAACAAAGCAAAAACTCTTTAATTTTAGTTCTAGCCTTGGTTATCTTTGTTGTTTTAACATTCTTTTCGTTTTTTGAATTGGATGATGAGATGGCAAAAGATGGGTTATTAATATATTGCTTAGTATTTTCATATACTATAGGTTTATTTTACTTATATGTTTGATATCAAAGACGCTCACTCATTTAAAAGAGGGTAAGACTACTTATTAAAAGACTTGACTTAGAAATGTATAATACAATAAGAATAATACGAATTTAATGATGAAATTATAAACTCTATGTATGTATGACATCACTATTAATCAAATCAATCAATTTTCATTAAAATATTATATTTAATAATGATTTTTGAGATTTCAAATTACTGTAAGGATATCAGTAATTGTTTCATATCCTCGAATATAAATCAATCTTAGAATGAAACACTTTTGCTTGAAAAAATTCAATCTTTGCAAGTATTGAGACTAATTTTATCATTTGATAGGAAAGTTTGAAAGAGTTCGATTTTTGGTTTAAAACGCAATTCAATAATGAAGAACTTTTGGTCAATTACATCTATACAGAGTTACTTGAAGTCAGAAAAATTAATAAAGTTGTTTAATTTAAAAAAATTGATGAGAAATCATCAGAAATCAAAGGCTTAAGTATTGATTCACAGAAGAGTGCAGAAACTTAATCCAGCATTTGTAGTGCAATGTAGTAAAATTAAACATAGCTTTAGAACTAATTATAGAACATACTCTAAAAAGTTATAGAAGAAAGGATCATTATTGATGGAACTTCTCAATAATAATAAAGAGGAACAAATAAATTAATCCAATCTCTAAACTCCTCCTAAATCTTATTCGCTTGATAAGATCTATTACGTAATTAATTTTGAAATTAATTGTTTGAAACAATATGAAATCACTGGAGATGAGGAACTCCAATTGTAAAAGATATAGGACAAAGAAGTGTTAAGATGGATTCTTGAAACTGTGTAAGCGAAAAATCATTACAAATAAATTTTATAATGTTTGATAAACTCTGCTTAGGACTTGGCAAATTATTAGACGGAAGACTTTACTCAAGCATTTGAAAAAATGAATTGCTAAGATTCTTCATTTACAAATGATGAATATAAAAGATCCATAAGCAACTAATCATTTTACATGAATTAAGATGCATTCAAATAATTGATAGTGGATAAAATAAAATAAAATATGTCTTAATAAAATGAAAAAAACAAAAAGTAAAAATAAAAGAAGACCATAATATCAAATTAATATGACACTACAGATTCAAAAGTCTGTATGTGTTCAATATTTTGATAAAAGTTGATTTTTAATTTTTTTATTGTTACGTAACAAAAGATTTAATTTATATTGATTTTTATATTCATCGAATATATTACTTCTGATTTATTGAAAGTATTAAACTAAAATAATAAAGATTGTTTCAGTTAATCTATTAAAGGTTGATGATGTTTAGCATATATTAAATATCTATAGATAAGATTTACAACCTTAAAAACAAGATTTAATAAACAGAATCAAAATTTATAAATTTTAATTCTAATAGCTTTAATCATTCCCTAAGTATTTATCTTGTTTTCTTTGTTCTAGCAAATATTAGCTCCCAACTTTCTATAAATATCTCAATCTACCATATCATTTTTAATATCTAAATCAAAAAAACTCATCTTTTTATATTAATAAAATATATATTTTATCCTTTATCATTAATTAAGAATGTTTTGTTAAAACTCTATCTTATTTATAATCTGGATTAAGTCATATACAATAGAAATGTCTGCATTATAAGAAAAAAGGAATGATTTTATTGGTAAACTGTAACTTAAAATCTATTAAAAAAGGTCAAACTATTAAAATAAATTAAATTTGATGAGGATTTTAGGTTATGAGGAAAATTGAAAACAAGGAGAATGAAATTTTAATAAAATATATTTTTTGAGGTATATAAAAAACTCAATTGTAAATGATATTTTCAGTTTTCAGAAAGGTAGATTTACTTATTAAATAGAGCAATTATTCATTTTAGTTAATTCTATTGTTAACTTCTTATAGTAAAATAAGGCTAAGAAATGTGTTTTTCAAGAATATAAGGGAATCCTGAGTGGGTAAATAAGATTTTTAAATTTTAATAATTAAGAATATCGGATTTAGAGCAAAAATTTAATCAGTATTTGAATATTTAAATAAAAAAGAGATCAAAATAATCGATAATGGAATGTTGAAAATTAATAAGGGTTATATTAATTTAGTTCATTTATGCTCAAAGATTTTTCAGTAAATTATTGTTATCGTAAATCAAAATAATAATTATTTTATTCATTTCATTGAAAATACGCCTTTTAAATGGGGAATGTTTGTTGTAGAGACGATTCGAGACAATAAAGAGGTTATCTGCTCAATATTATTGTAGACGAGATAGATACTTCGCCTAATCCTGAAGCTTCAAAGCCTCCAGAATCAAAAGTCTTACTTTCTGAATAAGTTAGCAATAAAGCGGGCATTGAAGAAAATTCAGCATAAATTGAAAACAATAAATGCGCATATAGTGAAGTTCACTAAGAACCTGAACAATAATAATAATAAGCTGTTGTTTTGAAAGAAGAACAATATAAGAATTCTAATATTTTGCAGTCATAAAAAATAACAACTGAAAAAAGTAGTTTTGGATTACTATTGTTTAGTAAAGGCGGAAATAATGAAGAGTAGTTAGGAAGTAGATTCGAAATCTAAAAAAAGAATAAAGTTGGGGTTTGACATATTTGTGAAATAGAAGGAAGGTTCAATAGGATAACATTATAATTTTGGTAAGGTGTTGGGTTAGGGCGCTTTTGGTAAGGTTTGGAAGGTGACTCATAAAACTACTGGATTGATCAGAGCAATAAAGTAAATAAAGAAAAGTTCCATAATTAAAGAAGAGGAAGAAAGATTATTTTCTGAGATGAATATTTTAAAAAATTTAGATCATCCCCACATTGTGAAATTGTTTGAACTCTATTAGGATGAGAATAATTATTATTTAGTAACTGAGTAATTATGTTAGAATATATAGATATCTATCAGGAGGCGAGCTATTCGATCGAATAAAGAAGATGTCCTCATTTAGCGAGAGTATAGCTGCGGATTATATTCGATAAATTTTATTGGCCACTTTGCATTGTCATGAGTAAAATATAGTACATAGAGATTTGAAGCCTGAAAACATTATTTTTATCAGTGAAGATCCATAATCTTAATTGAAAGTAATAGATTTTGGTACCTCTCGTAAATTTGACCATCAAAAAGCGATGAGTAAAAGACTAGGAACAGTATTTCAACAAATAATCCTATTAATAGCCATATTACATAGCACCTGAAGTTCTTGGGCATTCCTATACTGAAAAATGTGACATCTGGTCTTGCGGAGTGATTTTATACATTTTGCTATGTGGATATCCACCATTTGTTGGGAAAACAGAGAATCAAATATTAGAAAAAGTTAAATTAGGCAAATTTACTTTTGATCGTAATTGAATTAGATAATTCAAATAGCCGATGATTGGGATACTGTTTCTAAAGAAGCCAAAGACTTTATCACCAAATTGCTGAGAATGGATGCGAATCAAAGGTTGTCTGCCAAGTAGGCTCTTGAGGATCCATGGTTAGTAAAGTACACTCCATCTACTTAAATCAACAAAAAGGTCTTAAATAATCTCAGATAATTTTAAGTATTTTCACCAAATATTTTGATAGGCCGAGACTATCTTAAAGTAAGCTTTAATGTCTTATATGGTTACATAAATGTCAACTCAAAAGGAGATATAGGATTTGCAAAAGGAATTTCAGAGATTAGATGTAAACAATGATGGTTTTTTATCCAAAGATGAATTGTTGAAAGGGTATCTTCAAATCCAAACAGATAATAAATTGGTAGAGGATGAAGTGGAAAGAATATTGGAGATGATTGACATAAACAGATCAGGTTAGATTGATTTTTCAGAATTTTGTATGGCTGCTATGAATTAGGAGAAGTTGTTGTCAGTCTAAAGAGTTGAATAGGCATTTAAGATCTTTGATTAAGTTTATTATTGTCATTATATAGAATGGGGATGGTTTCATTTCAAAGAAGGAATTGGAAGCAATTATGGGGGATTTGGGTGATGATGTTTGGAATCAAATACTAACTGATTGTGACAACAATGGCGATGGATAAATATCCTATGAGGAATTTGTAAAAATGCTAAAGAATAAAAAACTTTGATTTTGATATATATATATATATTATATTAATCTATAATTTATAGATGCAATAAACAGTAGTCGCAATAGATCCATCTGTAATTCTTGAATTAATATTAAGGTCTGCCATGCAAAATTATAGAGTGAGAAAACATTGTGTGGTTTGGCTTACTTTGATGATTAAAAATCTTAAAGAGGAATAGTTTTGGAATCCTTAGAATATTTCAGGTTGATGACATTCTTCAAAAATTACAATTATGAAGGTTTTAAAGTGATATAATTTGTAGGACCTTCTGATATTTTATTAATTTACTTATGGGTTGTCTCTGCACATATGATAAAAACAATAGAGAATGACCAAGATTAATAGGCTGCTGCTAAAAAGCTTGATGAAATTGCCAGAGAAGCCATCCCAACCAGGAGTGGAGACAAAAAAAACTTTCTTGGAGGTCTTCTCAAAGAGACACCAGGAGAAACAGATAAAATATAAGCATATTTGAAGGGACTCAAAGATATTCTTGCAAAAGAAATAATAGCTAAGTAAGTATTGTTCTAAGGCCATTTAAGGTTCTTCAAAGACGGGAAGAGAACATTTGATGCTAGGTTTTGGAGTGGTATTGCAAAAAGAAAGTTTATGGGATTGAGTTATACAGGATTATGAATTGAATTTACATTAATATATATATAGAATTGATTAATTATTAAATGCTTAATAGCATTATCATTCCGCTCAAAATTATTAATTAATTATTTAATTAACAATGAAGAAATATTTAGGTTTGTTCACACTCGAATACCCAATTAATCATTGCGACGTAGCTTTATAAAAAGGTAGATCAATCGTTAAACTTTTAAGATTAAAAACTGCTTCTGCATAGTGAATCTTTAGTTTTTGATGAAAGACTCTCCTAAGGTGGTTAACCAAATATCAAGCTTGTGCCCACTAACATAATCTCTAATTTATACACAGAAGATGGAGAGTTTGTAAAAAAATATAAATATTGTCAAGTGCACTAAATTATATCATTTCTATTAAGAAATTTGGTCTTTTTTACTAAATTATGATTACGTTTCTTTGAGCATATCTGTTACAGACATTACTCAGTATAATTACATTGTTCAATTTAAAGTTTATTTACTTGAGAAATCATTTAAAGAATAGGAACGATTAATTAATTAAATCAAAAAGGTTGATTAGAATGAAAAAGACTTAAAGAGAGAGAAATTGAAGTAGAAACTGGTTCATCAATATGCAAAAGAATCGTTTATTATTTTATTTGAAATTCTCAACCTCAAAGTTCCAATTAGAGCATCTCTCAAACCTAATTAAGACACTCAGGCTTTGGATTAATTTTTAGTGTAAAAGTTTCGTAACCTTGAGTTTTATGAGTACACATACCTCTCTAAAAATCTCCTTATTCCAAATAATCTCAATAACAATTAGGGAAATGTCACTAGAGATAAGATCAATCAGATTAAGAAATAAGTAAAACCAGATGATGAAGATAGTTAGATTCAAATTGAATAAGAAGAAAATAACGGCAATTTATTTAGTGTCAATGAATAACAATCATATCTATTTACATAATGTTAATAACCAGAGGATTTAAGAAACAATTTATTCGATTATTAATCTTAAGCAGTTCAATGGATGTTATATCGTGAACAAAGAATTAGTGCTTAGACATTAAATCTTTAGGGTTAGAAATAATCTCTGAATAAAATGTGGAGTTAAATATAGCTTGATGACGATATCTATATATATTTCAACGAATTAACGGGTCAATTTTCAGAGAAAGCTGTACCTTCCAAAGATGTAAAGGGAGGAATTTTGGCTGATGCAATGGGTCTCGGAAAAACTATTTGTTCCATTGCCTTAATTTTATTGGGGAGAGAAATGAAATAGTAATAATTGAATGATATTAATTCAGAACCTTTAGGGAAAAAAGTAAAATTAGATAAAGAAGCTGGTAATACTCTTTTGGTTGTTGAACTAAGTGTATTTGAACATTGGATAGAAGAGATTGAGAGACACACTAAATTAAACAAATTGGAAGTTTATCAATATTATAAGCCATAATCTAGAGTAAAGGAGATTAAATTAGAAGTCTATGACATTGTGATTACAACTTATGGGGTGCTTAAAAAGGATTTTACTAAAAATGGATTATTATACATGTACGAATGGGAAAGAATCATTTTGGATGAAGCTCATGTGATTAAAAGTAAAAGTACAGCTTGTGCTAAGGCTGCATCTTCTATCCAAGCTAAAAGTAGATGGTGTCTAACAGGAACTCCAATTTAGAATCATTTAGAAGATTTATTTAGTCTCTTTCATTTTCTGTAAGTGGAAACTTTCTCAGATTATTATTGGTTCAACCATTATATTAATAAATAATAAGATAAAGCGGCTAAATTCAATTTGTTACATGAGATTCTAAGACCTCTTTTATTGAGAAGAACCAAACAATCAGAATCAATTTAAAGTTCATTAAATTTACCAAGCAAGCAGCATTTCATTGTTCGAGTGAAGATGTCCAACCAGGAAAAAAAATGTATATTTTTATTATGAATAATTAAGTTTACAATACTTTGTATTTTAATACTTAGAAGTATTTAAAGGAGTTTTTTGGAATTGGATAGCAATAGAAAACAAAGAAGATAGGATACATGCACGTATTTTAATTGCTTTCTTCTCTCAGATAATGTTGTGATCATGTAGGACTCATAGCAAACAAATTGAAAAATAAGGCTTTACAATAATAACAATAATAATAATCAACTAACAAATAAAAATCAGAGTTAGTGATAAAATAGTTTATTGAAAATGCTTAATATAATTTAGAAAGGAGTTTAAAGGCGTAAATCTAATCATTACAATAGAAGCAAGAATAAGCTGAAGCTCAACAGCAAGAATTGGAAGACGATGATGATTTTTCTGTTCAGGATGAGTTTTCAGAAAATTCATCAACTGCAGATGAAGTAAAACCGTAATTGGATTTAAAAGAAATTGAAAATGATTTAAAATTGAAAATTTAATAGTTAGACAAAATATAAATCGAATCTTAAGACTTCGAAAATACCTAGAGAAAATATGAAAGTATATTTGAGAAGGTGAAGAATTACGACTGTGCTATTTGTCTAGAGCCTTTAAAGGAAAAAAGTATAATCTATTATCTAAGTTGTGAACATATATTTTGTTCATGTCTTGAATCCTTACCAAAACAAAATGAAACTATTGTTTGTCCAATATGTAGATAAGAAATTGAAAACAAGGACAAAATTAAACTAATTTAAACTAAACCTGCCCCATCTCCATAAGATGACTGGTATAAAGAAAGCACAAAGATAAATGAAGTTCTCAAATATATAGAATATGTTTGGAAAAAAAATGAAAAAGTAGTTATTTTTACTTAATGGATAAGTATAATGAATTTCATTGAAGGTAAATTAAGAGTTAAAGGAATAGAATTTAGGAAAATTTAAGGAAAAATGGATAAAAACTAAAGAAAAGCATCAATTAAAGATTTCTTTGAAAAATAGATTACTGTTATGCTTATATCATTGAAGGCAGGAGCTTATGGGATTAATCTTTCTTGTGCAAATCATGTTTTGCTAGTTGATCCTTGGTGGAATCCAGCCGTAGAGTATTAATTTTAAATAATTCTAGGGATTAAGCTGTAGAGAGAGTTCATAGATTAGGACAACAAAAATAGGTTTAGATAGTTAGTTTCATTTGTGATAATACAATAGAAGAGAGAGTCTTACAGATGCATAAGATGAAGAGACAGCTATTTAAGGATGCACTGCAATTGAAATTACCAAATCAAGAGTTTAGTTTTTAGGATTAGATTGAATTTGTTATGAATTAATAAATGGAGTCTTGAAAAAATGAAATATAATTTATTCTTTATTACAATATATTTAATCACTATAGATTAAGTAGATCTTGAATTAAAACTTTATTAAGTTTGCGTCTAAAAATATGTTTATATTCTTTACCTCTTTGTGGTACCAAAGTTCACAAAATCAAATTTGACAATGTTCTCACTTATTTTGATTTCCATTTAATCTTCGATGAGTTAAAGTCTGCTTTATTAACATTTTTTTTCATGATTTTTATGAATAAAGTTTTGAAGTGATTGCCAAGTTCCGTTGGCTGACTCTCTCAATCCTTCTCCATCATGAATGAGCCATCTTAAATAGTGATTAAAAAGTACTCATTATTTTTATAAATAATTTATGCTTGTCTTCTTGAGACAGTGTTGATATTAACTAAAACATCACATTCTTGGGATCTTCCAATCTTATACACAGATTCTTAATTGTAGTTAGCAACAAAAATATGAGTTTATATTTAATGAATTGCTTAATTTTCGAATGTAATTTTTAAATAGGGTCTATCGTATTCGCTTAGTTTATGTGAAGTTCTTTGTTTTTATTTGGTCGTCTTCATGTCATTCATGGCGACATTCAACATTTCAGTTTCCTCCAATGTAAGTCCATGAATCTTAGCTCCTTTTCTTGTTTGTTCCTTTGCAAGAGCATTATAGAAATAACTTTGTTCTTTCACCTTCTTAGCTTTGTTTTGTTTAGGTTTTGATTTCAACTCCAAAACGTGGAAAAAAGTGTCTGCACCTATCAAATAAGTATTGTCTTATTCGATGCTTCTAAGTTTGTCCTTCTTTATTTTCATAAAAGTACCACTTCTGGTACTGTTGTCACTGATATAAAATTAAGGTTTATTTCTAGGGATTAGTATAGGAATTACTTGATAAAAGAATAAATATGCTTAATAACTTAAAAAGGTAGTTTTGATGCATGTGGATTATTCCTAAAAAGAGAAAAGAATAGTATGAGAGGTTGAGTGAGAGTGTTTGAGAAGGTGAAGCCTTTATCAGTTAAAATTTTGCAGTGAACTTTTTCAACATTCTTGTCACCATGTGGTAAATCTTAAATGAGTTATAAAAGTCAATACAGATATCACAAGTGTCTTGTTTGTCTTCTTACTGCCTTTTTCTACCAATAATTATTTCTTTTTTGTATTGGGATCCCAAAATCCTAAGTGTTAATCTCATTTAATACCTATCATTTTAAAGTATAAATTCTGAGTCAGTTTAACTTGAATGTTATTTATAGACAGTAATTCGGATGTGAGGATCATTCTCATTCAAATTGTTGGTTTGAGGAGTTATTTTTTCTACTGGTTGTTCCTGTTGCATCGCCTAATCTTGGAGAACGATCGATTCTCTATTGGTATATGTTTGTATCATCATAGAGTGAATTTAGTTCAGTGGGGGCTACATCTACAAGCAAATTATAAATAATAAATATACATTATCATCTTCGATTACAATACAATTATCTTAGGAAGTTCCTGGAACTGCTGGGTAATAAATTGAACTCATTTATTAAGGAAAATTGCAGATTGGGTATTGAGGGACCATCGGTATAGCTAGTTGATGAATGTAAGGCAAATAATAATCTATAAATTAATCGCATATTATTACATAATTGGAGAGGCTTTGGTTGAAGTTGGTAACTCATACTCAGCTATATTTTTTGAATAAAAATAATTATTTTTTATAATTCCTAGCTTTAATTAGCTTTATATATGAATGAAAAATTGGAAACTTATTAGTATTATTATACGTTTTATTACTATCATTCTAATTATTATCCTATACTCATTGGCCTCAATTCCCATCACATATTTAAAAGTAATTTAAAATCAAAGAAGATATCAAAAATATTAATACATATTATAATCAGAATTATATATTTTCAATTAACAACCACAATAATTATAAAATTCACTGTTTGCATATCATCACAGAGATATTAAAGAATTACCAAATACATAATTCGATCAATAATTCAATTATTAGTCAATAATAATCTATTCATATCAAACCACACATTTTAATATATTACAATAATATGGTGATTATAATATATAACAATGTTTTCCTTAAAAATACTTGTGAATTTTGAGATTCCTTTCCTTAATTTACATTTTTAGTTAAATCGTTTAAATCCTAACTTTTAATCTTGATGAAATTATATAATATTAAAAATAAATTATATTATATTAGGAATTATTTTCTTAGAAAATATTTCCTTCTGGAATATTAACCCCATTAGGATTTAGACAAACCAAGATTAAATTAATTATTAACTAATTAGAACACAATGCTTATTGAACATGCTCATATTTTGTATAAATGGATATTTTAATCCCAACTGCAAGTAGCAATCATCTTTCCTGTTCCATGAAATTCGATTGCAGTAATTCTCTGTTTATGTCCGATCAAATTGTACAAGGGATTGTAAACAGCTCCCTTCCTTTCCGTTTGCCAGACCCTTGCAGCTCCATCTCTAGCTCCTGTTGCAAATCTTCTTTTATCCTTATCAAAATTTAAACAATGAACCTATTTTATAATATTCACTTTTATACACTATCACAATGAACAGCAGATTAGTTAGCCTTCGTTAATTCTTTCTTCTTACCATCAAAATTATACTCGCTAATACTTTAATTCTTTGAAAATATAAAATATATTTACTTTTGATGCCACAAACAATTTATAGTTATCCTCTGATATTTTTAATGACTAAATCGCATAACATTTATTCTTTTATGTAGGCTTTGTACTCGAAATCTCTTCGATTTTTTGACTGTCATAAGCTTTAATAACTCCCATTGAGTCTCCAGTAAAGAAGTATTTGCTTTATTGGCTGAAATTGATGTTGTAAACAATATCCATGGATACTATTAATCTAAATAGAGTAGATTACTTTAAAGATCTTTTATAAGTTTCAATTTTCTTAGATCCCAAAGTATAAGATGTCCATCTTATCCTCCACTTGCTAGATATAGTCCATTGTCGCTCACCTCTGTCCAGTATATCTATTTAATTTATCGATATTATACTCTGTTTTTATGTTCCTTTAAAGCTGAAACATTCTTTCCGCTTTTAGCATCCCAAACTAAAATTGATTTATCGGGAGATCCGCTAAAAATTTATTTTCCATCAAGTGAATAGCTTATCGACCAAACCCCTTCTCTATTATGAAATAGATAAATAATACTTGTGTCCTGTAAATTTAGACGATTCTTTTTACTTTGTAACATCCCAAAGTTTTATTAATTTATCATGCGAACCTGTTGCCAACTCAGATTGATTCGAAGGATTAAATTACAGACATTCAATAGAATTGGAATGAGCCTATACATTAACCTATATTTTACTTATTCGAACTTTTGAAATGGTTCTATAGAGTTGTCCAACCAATTTTCTTAAGTTTACATATTATTAATATTGATTTTTATAATAAGTTCTGATTTCTCATTTGTCGATATTTTGGCTGCCCTTTTACAATATGATCAGAAGTTATCAATTTAAGACTTTGAATGATCTTCCGTTTGATAATATATTTGTATTTTCTAAGCAATAAATTAGAAATTATTTTTTAAAAGGAAGAATAATTACAAACACATCAAAAGCAATATTAGAATATTTCCTTTAGAATTATAATTTTAATTTAATAATTTTATAATAAAATTACTTCAAACGAAATGGAAATAGAGTCCCATAGACACCAAAAATAATCCACTTTCCAATGCTCTAAAGATAGATTAAAATAAATTAATAAAGTCTCTCAGTAAGAGGCCTCAAACACACTTTATAAAAAAAGTTGCTTGTTTGCTTTTAAAGACCAGAAAATTAAATTTAGATTTCCTTTAGCTGATGAACACAATTTAGATAATAATTCAACATAGTAAGAAATAATCGAATAATCTTCTTAAATCAAAGTAACTGGAAAGCATAATTTAAAGACTTAGGATTTTGCAACCAAGTCTATCGAGATTGAGGAAGAAAATAAGGAGAACATAAATGAAATTCTAATTGAGCCACCTTCATATCAAGTAAGTAAAATTACAATACCTACTTAAACTGGTTTTTTCAAGTAATTTACTCAGCAAATCTATGGTAAACTGTATGAACAACAATTTTGACTAATAAATTTGTTTGATCATTATATTCAAGCACTTATATAATATAAGTTCAAATAAGTGGTACATGTAAATAGTAAGCAAATCTTTAATCAGAAATCCGTTGCTCCTATCTTTTTCTATATTAATTAAGCTAATTGTTTTAAGAGCTACTTATATTCAATTGGCAATTCTCTAATATCTTCATCCTCAATCTGTTAAAGTGTGAAGCAAAAATTGTTTAATTGTGTATAACTGAGTATTCTATCGGTTATATTCAATATTTTGTTATTTGATTACTTCTTAGATTTAAGAGATGACATATTTTACTATTAAGAATTTAGTTTATCATGTGTAATGCATTAAAATTATAGATTTTAAGTCTATGAAAAATAGTTATGATTTTATGTAGATGCCATTGTATTACATCTCTCTTGTAGTTGGTTTTTGTGTTTGGAGAAATTGATTTTCTATTTGAAGCCTGAATTTGACTTTTAGGGTGAAGACTGAGTTTTAGTGTAATTTTTTTGTGGACTTTTCGAAAATTCAGTTTTTTAAATATCGGCTTTTAGTTTTCTCCGAAAATCAGTAAATTCTTGCAAAAGATCATTAGGTTTCATGTGGCAGTTAATAATTAATATAATTTGTTAATATAATATATTTTAATATAAATTATATTGATTTCGATGACTGACACAGCATAATAAATAAATGTAAAATTATGTGACATGTCGAGTGAATTATTAAAGGATGCCCAATATATAATCCTGGAAAATCTTAAGAAGCATAGCAATGAAAGAGATGTGGCATATTACATAAAGAGAGAGTAATTTTTTGAACAAATGATAGATTGGATAAGCGTCATACAGGTCCTTGGCATTGTGTGGTGGGGAAGAACTTTGGGATTTTTGTTACACATGAGGAAGGATATTATTTGTAAGCAATCAAGGGATAAATCACTATCGTGGTATGGAAATGAATAATATGAAACTTCTTTATTTTATAGTTTAAATTATAGATGTGTAAATATATATCTTCAAATTAATTTACGACAAACTGGGCATTACTATTTAATAATCACCCATTATTAAAGACAATGATCATGAAAATGATGCCTAGATTATTAGATAGTCAATTTACCTAGTGCTGCATGGCAATTATACAATTAAATCATTATCTTCATAATCACACATACAAATATTGCATTATTGGATGGAGGAGAGCTCAGGACAGCATCTGTATTAAAACTTATTCATTTTCTTAAATTTACTCTAAAATAGAGAGATGAACAATTACTTTAGTTTAAAGTCTCATGATGATCTTACACACCGACTTAAATATAAATAGAAAGAGGATAATAGGCATGTATAATGCCATAGATATAATGGCTAATCCAAATCCAATAATTAGAAATGCAGAAAACAAATACCCAATCAATAGTAATACAAAAGTCACATTATTTAAACCTAGTATAAAATTATTAGAAAATATTACTATCATCACAGTCATTAGAATCAGACTAAAAGTAAGCGATGTTACCTCCTGTAAAAATAAGGTAGAAAATAAATTAATTGTAGACTTTCATAAGGCGAGTGTACTTATTCAAAGCCTCAGCCTGATGTATAATTTCACATTGAGTAAATGGTGGTTCAGCTATTAATTCTTCTTATCTTATGTCTCTTGTGGACAATTTCATTTTGATCAGAGTTTTAATTTGGTTCCGTCTGATGAATAATTTTAGAATTATTTTTTTACTTGTTTCTTTCTTCCATTCCTTGGAGGTTCATCTACTCATTTGAGTCTTTGGTCAGCATTTCTGCCATCACCAACAAGAAGATATCTTTGGAATTCATTTGTAGAGAATAAAGCACAGCTAAATACCTAGAACATTTATGGAATATGATACCTTATTGAATTGAAGAATTCATACATTCCAACAATTGTCAGCCATACAAATAATGGGTTCACTTCACATTGTTAATCACGTTGTTGTAAACTGTAGAAGCAGACTAGATATTTTCCAAAACTGAAAAGTAAATTAAAACCTAATACTCTTGAGGATACTGTTTACCAATATATTTGTAGGATTCTTTGAATTAACCTCTGAAATGCTGCTTCAGTAATTTGAACTTCTTTTCTTCTTCCTCTTTCGAAATCTTGTTTTCTTGGTTTTAAGAAGTTTCTTCAAGTTCTCTATTCATAAATATAATAATAGTGATTATAATAATAAGCAAAATTTGAATAATGAAATAGTTTGTGATTGTTATAAGTCACAATATAAATTATTAAATAATTGTTATGTATGGTTTGAATTATAGAATCCCTCATTCTAGATAGGATTCAGGTCAAGGAAAAAGAGAAGAGAAATCTGCACTCAAATAAGGGAATCAGGGAACATTGATGATTCAAAATAATCGGTATTATCAAACAGTTTAATTGGAGTAGCATTGAATAAAACGATCATTCTCCTTCACCATTATTTCATGGAATACAGAAATTTTCAGTTTAATCAAGTTAATCCACATCAGCGAATCACTCAAAATAATCTTCAATATCTAAGCCAAAATAAACACAATAGATGTCATTTCTGAATTATTTGATGCTTAAAAAAGAAGATGAAGAATAAGATAAGCAAGTCACTTAGCATTAATAGAAGCAACAGTCTTTTTAATAAAATAATTATTTTACAAATGATCTTTAGATTCAAAGAAACATGTTTAATTTTCTCTATGTAATTGGTGTGGGTGGCTTTGGTAAAGTGTGGAAAGTAGAATACAAGAAGACTGGCCAAACCTATGCTCTTAAAGAGATGTCAAAAGCATTGTAATATAGATTTTATTGTTATAAGAATTATTGCAAAAAAAAGTGTTAATTCGGTTATGAATGAAAAGAACATACTGAGTAATCTCAAACATCCGTACTCTATTATATATAACAATAGCTATTTGGTTAATATCTATTATGCATTTCAAGAAAGAGAAAATCTGTTTTTGGCATTAGATTACATGTAGGGAGGAGACCTAAGATATCACGTAGGAAGAATGCGTAGATTTAGTGAAGATCAAACAAGTAAATCATTTGGTATAATAAAGAGGATTCTTTATGGCTTGCATATTTTTGGGTCTAGAATATATGCACTCCTAAAATATTATCCATAGGGACATCAAACCTGAAAATTTGGTACTTGACAAAAATGGTATACTGTTAAAAACAAAATAGGTTATGTTAGAATCACAGATTTGGGAATAGCTAGACTTCTAAGGCCTGATAACGCTCAAGATACAAGTGGCACACCTGGATATATGGCACCTGAAGTGATGTGTCGATAAAATCATTCATTCTCTGTTGATTACTTTGCTCTGGGAGTTATTGGCTACGAATTTATGTTAGGGAGAGTAAATACAAAAATTTAATGCTTTCTAGAGACCATACACAGGAAGGTCCAGGAAAGAAATCAGAGATTAGATTTTAGCTAAATAAGTGCAAATCAAAAGATCAGAAATACCTGATAATTGGTCTTTGGAATCAGCTGATTTCATCAATAGAGTACCAATTCTAAATTATTTAGCTTATACAAAGGAAACCCTCCAATCGTTTAGGTTTTAATGGAGCTTAAGAATTGAGGCAGCACACTTGGTTCAAGAATTTCCCTTGGTAAAAGCTATATAACAAGGAATTAAAGGCTCCTTTTATTCCTCATGTAAAAGAGATTTCATATTTAATTATAGCAATCTGAAGATAACTTTGATGCTAGACAAATTTCAATTGAAAATGAAGAAAATACAGAGTTGATTTAATAGAAAGCCATGATGCTCAGAAGAAACTCAATCTAAAGTATTCGTTTATTAATATACAGCTTAATTTGATGGATATGATCTTAATAACTTTACTTAGACAAGTGAGCCAATCAAATAACAACTTAATAATATTAATTATTGAATAATCTAATTTATTTTATTAATTTTTTTATTCTAATGGATGAAGAACTTTTAGATAATTTATAAGCAGAAGAAGAAGATGATAATGAAATTTCAAATTTTCCATTATTTTAATAAAAACAAATTGGTGAGTTCGTCAAAAAGATACTTGGTGACAATATAAATACATAAAAAGCATTTCGAGATAAATTTAATAGATGTTTAAGTCTTTTCGTCTTTTATATGAGTCATATGTATTAAATTCAATCATTAAAGGGTAACAGTGATGAAAGAGGACAATAGGAAGAAAAAACACGAAAAAAAAAAAGTACAAGTAACAAAAGAGGATATCATAATGACTTTAAAATTAATTGATTTTTAAGAAATAGCAGAGACTCTCGAAAGTATAAGATTAACTTATGATAATTAGATCTTTAATTATTGCAGTTTTAAGAAAAACCGATTTAATAAGAGAACTAATTAGAATAAGAATTAGAAGGAAATGAAATGCGCGAAATATAAAACGTTGAAAATATAGAGGATGAATTAAAGGAAGAAGAGAATAATGACAATAATGAGTAGGTTTAGGATAATCAGGATTAACTCATTGAAGAAATCGATGATGATGATGTTGAGAATGGATAAAATAATGAAAATGAATAATGAAATTTTGAATTCTTGATGATAAATACTTTTTTGTGTTTTATTAACAATTTAATTTTAAAAAATGAAAAAGAAAAATTTATTTCTAGCCAAGAAAGCAGAGGATAGTACTTTGAACTAGTATTGGTTTTCGGAATAAACAATTGAATTCTTGGTTGATCATATTGAGTCAATTTATTAGAATGGATAGAAGATAGCCTTCCTATCAACTCCATCAATTTATTGTAGTTTAAAGAATTAGGAAGTTAAATAGAATTCAGCACTGTTTGAATTTGATCTTAAACTGAATAAAGAGAAAGGGTTTGTTTTTTATGATTTCAATAAGCCTTTAGAAGGCTTAGAACAATTCAAAAACTATTTTGATATTATTTTGATTGATCCTCCATTTATAACTGAGGAAGTGTGGGGTAAATATGCTCAAACTATAAATTACATTAAGAAGGAGGATGCTAAGATTTTATGTTGTTCGATAAAGGAGAATGCCAAGATGTTATATGAGTTGGTAAAGGTTGTACCACAGTAATATAAACCATCGATACCTCATTTAATCTATCAATATGACTTTTATTGTAACTATGAACACGAGATCTTAAAAAAAGTAAACGATGAAATAGGATTTTGAATAATATATTCGAATTAAATTATGAGATAATATAATACTAATATACCTATATTACTATTGATATATATATCATCAAGCTTTTTGTTTTTACTCTAAATGTCTTTTTTTTTGGGAATCCTTGTCCATAGGTAACTAGAATTTTAGAATAACATATTATACCTTTAATAATTCTTTAAGTGCTGCATCATTAAGATCATGAGCAGGTTTGAATTTGGTTTCATCTAATTTGAGTCCAGAAACTTAAAGAGTGCTGTTGGCTAAGACAGCAACAGTTATTGTGAATTATGCTACAATGCCATTTTGACTGGTTAAAACTGGATATGGGTTTAATAATTCATGTTTAGCACATTCTTAGATAGCCATCTTAGCTGTGATTTCATCTTCAAATGCTCTCAATGAGAAGCACAAAGATGGGTATTTGTCATATACTTCTTACATGAATGCTCTTCCATGTTTAGTCTTTAATTGATATTGTCTATCCAAAGCTCTTTTGTAAACTGTGGTTCTTAATTCAGACTAAAAATAATGAAATGATTAAATACTTCTTTGGTCTTTCCATCTCCTGTTGTGATATATACATCTAACACAAAAACATCGTTGACTTGAATTTCTTCCTCATCGACTCTTTATTCTTGTGTTTCTCTATTGATTATGACTTTGTTTCCATCAATGAAGTGTCTCTTAACCTCATGACTCAAAACACCTTCTAATGGTGTGCATTTGTGATCATCTGCTACTTATTAGATAATTTTAGTCAAAGCTGTATTAGTGACTCCTGGTTTTATTGATCTGAATAAAGCTTAGACTGATTAATAAGCTGCCAATATGACATCTGCCTTTTAGCCTTCAACTTGATCTTCACCTACGACAACTGTGTGTGCTGCAATGGCAATATACCCATCAATATGAACTCCCAATTCACTATGATATTATTATTAATATTTACATTTTGGCTACATCACCCTTGACAAGCTTACTGGATTCACTCTTTAATGGAGAATAATGACCGCAAACTTAATTTACAGAAATTGTTGTTGGGAATGCTAAGCCTTTTTCAATTCCTTTCTTGTTATACACTTTTTGTAATTCTCCATTGATTTCTTAGTCACCAAAGGCACAAATTGAAGCAATATCAGCATCTGGTTATAATTTAGCAATCACTTTTTCAAGAACAACTATTTAATAATCAATATAAAATTTTACTATTTGTAATCTTGCCTGCATTTTAATATTTATCTAATACTCCTGGAGTAGCTATCGATTCAAGTTTGTCTTACTCTGTTTATTAATCCATAATTAATTTAAATATTTATTTAAATCTTTATACATTTTATAATCACATATATAAATCCATTTTAGTTAATTTATTCATCCTTGCATTCCCAATAGATCCCACATATATTATTCAACCTCAGACCTATTAACTTTAACTTTTATTTTTCCATCCTAAAATATACTACTGAAGTGAAAACTATTTATACAATTTCTTAGTATAGTATGTCCCAAACCATAGTCGAAAATTCTAGGAATCAACATTTTCATTAGATTCAATCTTTCCTCTATAGAAGGATTAGTATTAACCTCAATTAGCCAGAACCTTAGATTTTCATCAATCATGTCCCAATATTTTAAAGCAAACCTTACAGCTTCTTTTATCTAGGACAATCATTCTTTCTTATATACTTTTGTTTTTATTTCTTTATTAATTGCCGACTACATATCATACAATAATAGTTTCTGTATTCGATTTAACCATATTTAATTCTAATCTTAAAATTTACTAAATTCTAAGCATTTATTTAAACAGAATTATTCATCCCATTAATGTACCTTTCTTTTTGATTAAATTATAAATTTTCTATAGAAGTGTTGTTTTACTTATTAGAGCCTCCTTGAAAAAGGTAGCGCATCTCAACAAACACATCTTTATATAAAACCTTTTCACAATTCAACAAAGGCATGTCAGTAAATTTCCAAATCATTATTTCTTCAGTAAATCATAATAAATCTTCATCCGATCTAATCTCCGAAATATTTAAACTACAATTTCAGTAAAATTGAACTTTTTCTCTGTCATATTATAGGAAAGAATTTGATAAATCTATCATTTTTAATATACTTAAGTGCTTTAATATGCTGTGATATATTATGGAACTCAAAAAGTTATACATCATTAACTCAAAGTGAAATGGTATTTTTTTTCACAATTTTGGCAATACTTTTTCACTTTATATTTTAAAGGAGATTAAAGAATATTAAATTTCCATTGATTTGCTATTGTTAAAATAAACTAACTATTTACAATGTGGAATAGAGGGCAAAAAGGTTTTTAAACCTGATTTTAAGTAAAATGAATAAAAGGAGATTATTTTTTCTGTTCGTAGCGTATTCATATTAAAAAGCATCATATTCCATCTGCTTAAATATTTTAGCATTTTTTAATACCAAGTTTTAATTTGATTATTTTTACTAAATCTTTTCATCTTATGCCTAATTTACTTCATAATCCTTAAGTGTTAAATTGCCCCTTTTTTAAAATTTGCTTTAAATAAAGTTGATGACATATTCGATTAGTATGTTAATCAATAGTATTATTCAAGTTTCTTCTCTTATTTACAAGTTCTTGATATTTTTATTTGGTCTTATGAAGTGTTTTTTAGAATAATTTTGGTATATATTTATAATTATATTTGTAATATTAGATAATTAAATAAATTATATTAAATATATAAATGTACGATTTCACAAGAATGCAAAAATTAGTTGATAGAATGTAAAAACTCTAACCTCCTAATCCACCTCCTGATAATAGGTTTTTACCTGAAGAGTTAAAGAAAGATAAAATTGTGGAAGATCCTCAAAAAAATGTAAAATAGGCAAAAAGATAACTCCTAATCAAGAACTATAAGGGTTCTAATGGGTTAAAGCCTATCGAAGATGAAAGGCTCCTTCTTATTTAAAAAGAGAATTACCTAAAGAAAAAGTAAAGAGAATTGGAGATGGAGCAAGTCAAATAAGAATTGGCTGAATAAAAAAAATAAGAAAAATTAAAATTAGAATAAGAAACATAAAGGGCTCTATTAGTTGTCAAAGAAAAAAAAGAGTAAAAATTTAATTCATTGTCTTAGGATAACATAAGTCTAAAAAGAAGAAAAAATTAAAAAGCGAAACGATAATGAATTTTATAAGAGAAAGTAAAAGGCAAATAATTCAATTTAAATGTCATCAATAGATGCATCTTATGTATCACAAAACTTAAATTCCTCATTAATTAAGAAATAAATTTTAGATTATCATACTCTACCAAAAGAACAATACAATCGTATTTATCGTCAACCAGTTAGCCCACCAAAATGAATTATAAAATATATTATTCATTAAAATACATGGTAAAACATTATCATCTTTAATTAATTTAATTGATTTCTAAGTGTAAGCGATTTTGCTATTAGCAATTATATCTTATCAATCAAATCTCTAAAAATGTTCTAAACTTTCTAGACAAGTTGGTATTGAGTGAAAATAAATCATATCGAGTTTAAGAAAATGCTGTTTTATTTTATAATTGGATGATCTAGTTTAAATAGATTTTATTTAAAAATATTATATAATTTGGTCAGAGATAATTAAAAGCGTTAAAAATTATACAAACTTGCAGAATGATTGTACATATACATTAGATATATGTATAATTTCATGGGGTCGATATTCATAAAAAGATAAGTAAATAGCAATTAGTTCGAATATATTATGTATATTATAGTTTGAATATCAATCAACTTTAAATTTTATATCTAATAGTGTTTCTGTAGATTTGATCTAATTAAATAGGGTTTATGTAATTGTTATCCTGTCGAGTGAAATGTATAAATTTAATTCTTTATAAGAAGACTCAATCAATTAAAATTTTGGAAAATAAGTAACAGCATCAATTTATCCATGACAATAATGTGAGAATAAATAATATTTTTGATTGGTTGAGCAACTCTAACATTTCAGAAATTGACTAACAATTGTCTTTGTTTTGATGCATTTCATATAAATTTTGAAACTTAAAAGGTTTACTGTTTTCTAAAGAAATAAATATTACGATGATTAAAGTGATTAATTTAATTCACTGATATCAACATATATTTAAGGTTTTTATGATACCTCCATGTCAAGAGATTAAGATATTCTTAAAGTAAGGCACAAAAAGGCTTTAAATTCATTTGTAAATTGATAAGCTAGCCAAACCCTTTGGTGATAATTTGCAATGAATGTTCCTCCCCCTTATTAGATATTATAATGTACATGTCTCAAGTAGGTAGGATTTGGAAACTTATGTACGCGTAAATCTTTGTCTAAAGTATGAACTAACTTCCAGTCCATTGTAAGTTATAAATAACCATCTATTTGGTTTCTAAGTAAGGGTTCCACTATCATAAGTAGTTGTACGGTGGATTTCTTACAAACCAGAGAATGCTTCTTCAACTCCCAAAATAACTTAATATCCGATTTAGTGTAAATTTACAAACTTTTGATCTACTTTTGTGATGCCAACTGTGACTTTAGTAGTTGTAATTTCAGTTATCTATATAATTAGATTATTGCTACTGATAATTTGAAATCAATTTCTGCAACGAACCCTATGCTGACGAAAGATATTATGGCAGAATTTGCATTTGGATTCAAGTGATCGAATTGTTTATTATCTATATTCACCATGTTAAAGTTATTTATGACTTCGATTCGACTATCATCGATTGCATACCACTAGTATTTAAGCTTCCATATGTAAACACTTGATATACATACAATATGTAAATCAAAACCTAAGGTATATACAATTTTTACTATTCAGGTTAATATTTTGTGTCTCAACTCTAAAATCTCCTCCTTAACCCATATCAAGATATTCAAGACTAATTATAACTTAAGGTATGTTTGCAAATGTTCCAACAAATGAAATAGTTTTAGTTACTATGTTTCCATTTTAACAATAAGCACTATCTCCAGTATATAATCCAGCATCATAGGTGATCTGTCCGAATAATAAATGAAATAGAGAGAGCGAAATTAAAAATATCATATTTTAAGTTTAATAATAGCCTTCTAAGAAGTTAATTTCGTAATATATTCATAGAGCACACTGTCATTTAGCCTTGGATCCACTCAGTTCACTTGTTCATGTGTTGCTATTGACTTTCATTTAATTTTATGCTTTTTTAAATTTTATTATATTTTAGAATTTCGTCATGTTTCATTCGAAGGTTAGTATATTGAATGGATCTTGAGCAATTTTAATTTTAATTTTATTCAAAAAAAAAAATGTTTTGGAACCCTTGTAATTTGCCAAAAAATATTTAATACATTTTCTTTAACCAAGTTGGACTATGCAGAAGAAAATTTATTAAGCTGATTTAAAAAAGATGAGAAATTTAGTTGGGAAAGTTTAGATCTTTTCAAACTTCATAAAGAAAAGAAACTTGCTCAATTAATATTTAAAATAATTAAGATTTCAATATGCATTTGTTTGGCATTTTTAATTAATTTATACCTAAAATCCATAATTGGAGCCTAAAAGTGAATAAAACCAAATATGGAATTATTAAGTTCAAAAAAGAAAAATACGAAGTGCATCTATTGATGGAAGTTATTTCAATTTTAGAAAGCTTTACTTACTTAGAAATTATGATTAATATTTGAAACTTTAGAGAGAATATATTTATGGATTGCCTCAAATAAATCTCATTTTCAATACTTAGTGGCTGCCACCTATTTTAATAAACTTCATTTCTTTCAATAAGAAATGGATAAGGTGTATAAAGGACCTTTAAAAGACATTAATGAGCACCCCCCCACCATAATATTCATAATAATTAATACAAAAGATATTGAATAAATCTATTAATTAAAATAAAATTATAAAGTTTAGATATCTTTTAATTTAAATTCATAAGTATAATTAGATATAAATAACATTCATTTAGCAATTAATGCATCTAATAAATTAGTATGTATTTCAGAAAGAGTCTTTTACATATCATCTTGAAAATGGGGTCTTTTTTAAAAAAACCCTTGGAATTGATATTCGTCATATATTCCCAATATGTACCTCTCATCTTCAAGATTTGAAACTTTTTGCAATTTCACTGTTAATTTTCCATTCACATATTCTATTACATTTAATTAGATTAATCTATAATTTGGATTTTGGTTTACAATTTTAAGATCAAAATATTTCATAAAATGCATTTAGACTAGTGATACCATGCACTTAATAAGAAAATAAGAGCCTGAAATTTCCATTAAAGCAGGTAGAATTTGTACGAGGATAACTAAATCACCTACAATCATCTATTATTGAGTTTTATTCATTTCTAATTAATTTTCCTTCCAAAATAATACTCTCCTTGACATAAATAAGCCTCTGTCAATACTGGATTAATCGAAAAACTATAAATATGATAGAAATTTGAGTTCCGGGATCATAAAATCACTTGTGCAATAGGTTAGTAGACTTGACATTAAATATTTAGTTGAAATAGTAAGTTACATATATGATTAATCAATTTCTTTTTCTGTTAATGGTTTTTCTGGATTCTATGATAAAGATTATTAATTACAATGAAATCAATTTCCTTAATTTTGCTTAAATAGTTATCGACTTTAGCCAAGACCATTTTACACCAATCCTTGATTCTTTTTAATGCTACTGGATATGATGTTTTTTAGATTATGGCTTTACATTATGCTTAATGTTTATGTAGTTTTCTCCAATAGATTTTATTGGGTTAACAGTAGATTTTCCACCTCATAGCCAACCTCACAAAATTGAAAACATTTCTTAATTTAGACTTTTCTTCTTTTTTTAATAATTGAAAGTCAATATTATTCTACAAATTAATTTAATTTAGAGAATACTTCAATGAAAAAGCTTTATTTAGTTTTTTGATTCGATCCTTTTGAAACTAATGGGATTGAATGCCGACTACTTCTCTTAGAATTAGAAACTTGAGAGGCTGAATTTTAAGTTTTGATTTTAGTTTTTACTTTTGCTTTCCCTATAGAGTTTGAGTAGGATCGTTTTTCTTCCGAGTTTTAACCGTCTCTTTGAGAATCAGGGTTATAGGGATGCTTATAGGGATTCATTAAATATTGGTATGGATGATATTTTTGTTGGGATCCAGAGTGCAGGTATTGTTGATTATAAGGGGAGTAGGCTTATAAAAAGGATTGTTGTGAAATAGGTTGAGGCAATTGCTAATAGATGATTTATGGGGGTTATATAATGGGTTGTTGGGACTAGTGGGCTTGTTGGAAGAATGAATATCTTAATGAGGTGATTTCATGCTTTATTTCGTATAATTGCTCTTATTGGGGAAGCTTTGGCAATTTTAGATGAAGAGTATGGACTTGAGTTTTGAGATGATCAAGTTCTCGCTTTAAAACTTGAGTTCTATCAATCTTGATTATCCATTTATAATGTTACTTCTTTTTATTCTTTCAAAAGTCGTTTGAGAGTTTGACTCTATTTATCCAAGGCTTATTACATTTGAGCCACTTCTTCATTTAATTTTTCTTCAGAGAATGCAATTACCTTTGGAATTTAAAAAGAATTATCCATTTGCTTTAATTATCTTATTCCGCTCTTTTGACTGGGTTGATGACTCATGGGGATGTCATAGGTAGGATTTTTAAATTTGTCAAGGAGGTCTAATTAATTTTTGGCTTCCTCATAACCTTGATATTATTTTTAATTAGATTAGGTTCTTCTTTCCCTAAAGTACATTATTAAATTAATTTTAAAGTGTAAAATAAATTTGTTAATAATCTGATCATAGTCTCTAATTCTGAACTATTAAATTAACACTACATCAATTGTATTTGATTACAATATTATATTATTTTAATTCAATGTTCGACGATCAACTCAAAGCACTAATTTAGAAAAACAATCTCAAAATTGAATAGCACCAAACCAAAATGATGATTAGATTTCCTCAGACTCCTCAAGTCCGTGATTCTCAACAATAAGTAAATTAAAATTACATCTTAGTCCCAATTTTTTACCAAGTCAAACAACAAAAGTAGTAGCATAGACAAGAGCTATTTCAGTTGTGTTCCAACTAGAAAGTCAACCAAACAAAGCTTTTTTGTTCCAAAATCTGTTGTCACATCATAATACTTGGATTCCTAGGCTTTTTAAGTCTATCAAACTGAGGACATTCAAAATACTCAAATTTAAGACTATGGGCAATAGATCTAACATTCTTAAATTAATATAAGTGATAATGCAGATAATTCACCAATGAATTCCTCCATTTTAAATTAATTGAGAAGAGAAAAAGAGATCATCTCATAATAACATCAATTGCTAATATCCCAAATGTCAAGGGAAATCGAAAACAATAAACGATAATACCAGAAATCCGAATAAACTTTGTAACAGTAAATAATTCAATTATAAAATGAATTAAATGCGTATAAATAGTATTAAACAAAAAGTCTAGATTTGGAAGCAAGTCTTTAATAAATTATTATTGAAAATAACGAACTCAAATCTAAATTGTAGGAATAAAACAAATGGCTTTTTGAATTATAAGATTAATTTGAATTGATTCAAACCAAAATGATTGATATCAAATAGAAAATTCAAGATACCAAACATTTCTCAAATTAACTCTCTTAAATCGCTCAATATTTACTAAACAAACAAACACCTCCTCTTGATTTCTTAGTCTTTATGAATAATCAATCGAAACAATTATAACATGAATAGCAATAAGAAACTGAATTCAGAAACAGAAAATAGCAGATTAAACAACAGCATTTTCAATCTAATCCTTTTCCTATTGCGAAAGAGTCTTTTGCTTAAATTTATTAATTTTAGATTGAAAACTCTATGATACTCAATTAAATAGTCAAAGATTTGAGAAATAACGTTGATCGCTACTCTTAATAATACATAGCCGAAGTCGGACTTCATTTGATGTGAATTCTTTATATAACTTGCCTTAATATAATAGTATTTGTTATTTTTATAATCATATATTTACTTCTTAAATAAATAAGATTTTTTACAAAATTCTATTTCATTATTCCACAAAAACCAAACTTCTTTGGTAATTTAAATTCTAAAATGCCTATTAAGTATTGGGACCATTTAAACTAGATAATGAATTCAAAGTGAAGATCTTAATTTATTTGGAGTCAGGCTAAATTTTAGTCAAAATTTAATCTATCATAGTCTCTGATCTTTAATTAATCAATTAAGCCAGAGTTTTTTCATCTAAAGGTGCTCTACATAGAGGACATATCTAAATGTTAATCAAAATTACTTTGGTCTTCTGTATCCACAAAGTCAAGCATTCGGAATGGTAAATGTGTTTGCAATAAGTTATTTTCACATCATGTTCTGAAGAGAATGCATCTAAACATATTGAACAATACAAATCTTTTATATTGACCTCCTCTTAAATTAATTCTGTGACTTATTCAAATTTATGCGTAGGAATATATAAGTTTATAAAGTTTTTCTCTTCATTCTATTATTCTACTTTGATTGGAACCTAAGTTTCATCTAATTTCCTTTTGTAAAACTTCACACCACAACAAACAAGCAAGAAAAAGATTAACACAAAGACTGGAATAAAGATCATCATCATAATTTTTGATAAACCATCGCCTTTACCATCGTTTGAAATAATGCTGACATCAAATTCGCTATAGATCTTGAAAATAATGTAACTATTTAATTTGATCTAACTTTCATTTTCTAAAGCCTATGTGAGATTTTTGCATTCTTCAATCTTCTCATTGGATATCTCTAGTGTGTTTGTAATAATGAGAGAACCCTCATCAAAAAAAGGCATTTCTACATAACATTATTGTCTAATTGGTATGGAATTTGATATGGTTCTCTAAAATGATGTTCCAGTTGAGTACAAGTCTTAATAATATAACGTATTTGGGGATAGTTTTATTTGATCTTTAATATTGACTCCAACCACACTACAATCATCCCCAAAAGTTCCTTCTTAACATTCACATACCCCATTAGCACACCTACCTCTATTTTTGCATTCTCTAAGTTAAGATTTTATAATACTTTGCGCAATTATATAATGATGAAATTTTTGAAGAGATATTAAAGGTGGATTAATGTTCTGAGTAAGCACCAATAAATATATTTGAATTATCCATATAATAAACATTGAAATTTGCTTAAAAAGTCTATGATTTTTCCTTCTTTGTTAAAGAGAGTGTTTGCATTTCGACTTTCTAATCATAAGCATTTATGTCAATTTTACAGTTTTCTCTAAAAATAAAAAAATTTAAACTTCTATATTGAATTGTAATCGTTAATCTTATCATCCTGGGGCTTATCGTCACAAATTAGTAGAATTGGAAATTCCCCTTCTTAATAAGTAAGAGTAATGGTAACTTTTTATTTGTCAGAAAGTTATTTGTAAAAAATGCCATTGATGGCAAATAATTGAAGCCCCTTCACATCCATATAATGTTAATCTTAATTTTAACTTAAACTTGTTTTCCATAAGCAAATTAGGATAAAAGTAAGCATGTATTATAAATTTACAATATAATAAAATACTTAGGAAAACTATAAATCCAGTAACAATAAAAATTATCAATATATCTGTTAATAAAGACCTTTCATTATTCATAAAATATGGTTGAAAGAAAATAATATATTTAATCAGTCAATTTTGTATATATTCTTTTTCACTATTTTTTTCTATTTGATGGTTTGATAATCTTAGGATAAAACATTTGGTTAAAATTAATAAAAATTATGGTGTGAAATTAAAGAAAGGATATTTTTGAAAAAAAAAGTAGTTTTATCTTTGGCTACAAATTAGTAATTTTATTTGACAATTTCACAAAGAACTCCAATTACAATAATAATTAATTAGTATGTAATCGATTTTCATATGAATGAGACATATTGATACTCAATATATGCAAAAGTAAATAGAATATGCACTTGAATTCTATATTTAACAAGAAAATATGATTTTATTAGATTTATACCGATGTTCTTTCAGCAGAAGAGAAGGAGAGCAATCCATTACATAGTTTTAATAAATGTTTAAATAAAATTGAGATGAAAATTATAAATTTAGAATAAAACAAGGAAAAAAAAGTTAATTAAATTCAATACTTTTCATTCAAAATTTTTAAAAGCAAAAAATCTTTAGATTAATTAAAAAATGGAATGTTGCCTTTTTATTGTATCAGCAATCCTTTATTGCTTTAAGAATTTACTGGCAATAGAATAACTCATTCTTTTATTGACAAATTTTTTAAATAAGAGATCTGAAAAATTTTGTAGCTTTCTTAAATTAAACAATAATTATATTCTTAATAAATATTGAAGAATGATCATTAAATTTAATTGCATAAAGTATTTAAATAATTAAGACCCTCTAAGAAAAATCCTGTTTATTATTGAAAATATATTAATTAATAATAATAATAAAAATAAAAAAAATTAATCATGGATTAAGAGCAGGATCCATAATCTCAAAATTCTCATATTAAATAATCCTAAGACACCAATAAGTTTGAATCAAACTAATACGAATTCAATGAATCAATTGAGGATGAGAAATCTGCTCTTAAGTAGCTTTTATAATAACATTCGAATAAAATCTAGGAGTATTTTTAAAAAATAAAAGATGATGTGTAAAAAAATACAATTAAAAAATTTGTGGAAAAATAATTAAAAGTATTTTCCCAGGATGTAGAAAAAATACTTGAGCAATTATTAGAGAGATTAATATCTGAAAAAGAGCTATATATTACACAAATATCATATGAAAAAACCTAAAAAGAATAGGAATTATTGGAGTTAACATAAAAATATAATGAAGCGAATAATACATTATTGTTAGGATCCTATAATGATAATAATATTTGCTCGAAGATAGTGCAAATAAATAAATTATTGGAAAAGACTTGCTAGACAACTATCTAAGCTAGTTAATAATTAGATAATTAAAGTCTAGATTAAATGCAATAATAAATTCAGATCATAAGATAAAGCATCACAGGAAATACACAAATACAGATAAGTAACTTGCAAGCTTAATTGGATGAAAAAGATAGATAAATATAACAATTACAAAAGTAAAACTAGGATTTACAAAATAAACTAAATAATAATAACTCATCAAACATTTTGATGAAAAAGATTGAAGAATTCATATAACAATACTAAAACTAATGTAATTAAGCAGATTTAATCAATTAGAAGACTAATTAAATCGTAGAAATTAATAAAGAGTTGAATAGACTCAATACTTTGATTAGTAATGATAATGAAAAATTGAAAAGTCAATTTGAAGAAGAAAAGAACAAAGCAATTTAGAAATAACTTGAAGGCTGTTTTAAATTATAGGATCGATCTCTGCTATACATATAATTGGGTCTAAAAATATTTTAATAATATTATCGTTCTCACATCTAATAAGACTAAAATATTTAAGGCTAAATAGACAGATTGAATAAATTCCATTAAAATTATTAAAAAAAAGAAAATTTCAAATTAAAGAACTTAGGAGAAGTTGAATAATTCTACATTAAATAAGAATCTGAGCTTAAGGCATTATTCGATGATTCTCTCAAAGAATATAAGAACTTAATAAATGAAATTACATAGAGAAGAATTCGATTGAATGTATGAGTTTGTCTAATTTAATAATTATAAATAATAAAAGATAAGTAATCAATTTTAGATCATTTTTATTTAATTTATTATATAATATATGGATTAGGAATCTAGATGGGTTAAATCTATCCATCATAAATGATTTTCATTAAATTAATGAATGAAGAGAAGTAGAAAACCAATTAGATCGAATATTCTTTATTTTATACATTTTTAAATATAATCTCATTATTAGGCATCAGCAGTCTCATGATTATCACCTGGGTTTCTCTATTATCTATTCTTGTTATCATAATGATGTCTATTTGATCCTCTGCTTGGTTTCTATTAAGGCTTTTTTGTTCTAGAAATATACAAAATTTCTTAACCTACGTTCAATGGTGATATATTCTTCATCTGAACTGTTTTGATCTTACTTATCATTATTTTGATCGTGTTCTTGGATTTCCTTCTTTTCTTACCATTCTTCTCTCTAGGGTCTATCTCTATTGTGGTATTTATTTCCTCTGTATTATTTATTGTTATCTCCATTATTGTTATTTCTTCTGTCATTATGATAATTCTTTTTGTATCCTTTTCTTTGATCATCATGATGTTGATGGTGTCTATGTCCATCTCTTGGGTGTTAATGATTACCTTTTTAATCATTTTAATGTTCCTCTTTTCCTTCTGGTGCTTGCTATTATTATGGAACTTCTTATTGAGGGTGAGTTTATTTTCCTTGTTATTCTTATTATTCAGTATGTTAATTTGTAAGCTAATCGATAGGTTAATGGACTTATTAACGATTTTCATCTTGGAATATTTTCTTTGGACTGGATTTGATCAAGACGTATTATTCCTATTAAACAGAATGCTCCTTATGAGTTTCAATTGTGTCTGGTTATGGAGTGGTCTCTTATTGTTACTAGTGGACTTGTTGGGTTGTTTCTTCGTGATGATGATGATGGTGGTGATGGTGATGAGTTTCTGGTTATTATTGGTGTTTTAACTAATATTAATTTTAATTAATATAAATACTTTCAAACCCTTCCATTATTGATCCTACTTCTTCTATTGATTATTGACTCTATTTTGAAGCTATTTAGCCAATTCATATAAAGATTAGTGATCTTAAGAGAGCAGTTCTAGGGTGTCTTAATTCTCGGATAGATGTTCCAAAATGAGGATGAAGGCCTCTTGGGTGATGATAGAACCACTTTATTCTGCTTCCTTCTTAGCTTACAACCAATTTGAGACTTAGGCTTCTAATTCTTTAATTCTTTCATTATTTTCATCTTTGTTTTGGATCTTCTAAACTTGTTCAGGTTTCAATTCTTTAGTTTTTTACAATTCTTCTAAATCAGCAATGTCTTTAAGTTTTTTTTGGAGATTTCTATATTTTTTGGTGAGGAAGTTGAAATAGAAGTCTTTTTCTTCATTTTTAACTTAATCCCAAATTGTCTTAGTCTTTGATTGTTTTCCACCCTTCATAAAAAATGTATTTTTTAAAAAAATTTAAATAAAAAAGTCAATTAATAACTAGTATTCAAACTAAACTTGATTTTGAGTTAATCAAGCACTCCATGTCGATACACCCTTGAAGTACTCGAAAACTAAAATCAAGTAAGAATCTATATCGCTTTGTAAATGTGAAGAAATAATATTACAATAAAATTGAATATCAATATATTTGAGTATGTACATAGCAATGTTCTCCAGTCTCATTTAAGATCAGTCTAAATATTCGTGTTTTAGAGGCGAAGTCAAGCATGTATGTGTTGATCTGATTAAAACTGACCAAAAAAAAGGAATTTTTAATAATGATATAAAATCTGAATAAATTAAAATGATACATAAAAGCACTATTGATAAGCGAACATTTAAATCTGTAACTCTCAGCAATTCATTGTTATGTCTTTTGATATCAGATCCAGAGACAGAGAAGTCTGCTGCTGCTTTGAATGTCGATGTGGGATCTCTTGAAGACCCAGTTGATAGAATGGGTCTTGCTCATTTTTGTGAACACATGTTGTTTATGGGAACAGACAAGTAAGCGATGTATTTTATCATTCAGATATCCCAAAGAAAATGAGTATTAGTAATATATTTCAAAGAATGCTGGATCCACCAATGCTTTTACATCTGAATTAAATACTAATTTCTTCTTTTCAGTTGGCAATCAAGCATTGGAAGGTGCTCTTGATAGATTTGCCCAATTCTTCATTAGTCCACTTTTCAGTGATTCTTGCACAGAACGTGAAATGAAAGCAGTTGATTCAGAGTACAACATGAATCTATAAAATGATTTTTGGCGCAAATTCCAATTGTTTCACAATGCTTCCCTTCCTGGAAGTCAATACAATAAGTTTATGATTGGTAATTTGAAGACTTTGTAGTTCGAAGATACACGTGCAAGATTACAAGAATTTCATAAAAGATATTACTCATCAAATGTGATGAAATTGGTCATCTATGGTTCATAACCAATTGAAACTTTAGAGGGATGGGCTTAAACTTATTTTGAGGGCATTTAAAACAAAAACCTAGCACCTCCTTCCTACAATGTCATGCCATTTGATTAAACTAATATGGGGTAGTTGATAAAGTATGTTCCAATCAAGAATTAAGATCATTTGGAATTAATTTACATAATCGATTATCTATACCCACATTATAGAAGTTGTCCAGGAAAATACTTGTCTCATTTGATTGGTCATGAAGGAGAAAACTCTCTATTGTCTCTTCTCATAAAAGAGGATTTGGCATAGGAATTGTCAGCAGGTCCATCAAACACCATGAAACTATTTTCAGAAATGACAATCAGAATTAAGTTAACACAAAAGGGTTTATAACAATATTAGAAAGTCATCCAATATGTTCAAGAATACATTGAATTGCTCAAACAAAAGGGACCATAAGAGTGGATCTTCAAAGAAATCTCAGCCATTAAAAAATTAGAATTCGATTTCTTAGAAAAAGGAGATCCCTTCAATTATGTCTGTACATTGGCATCGAGAATGCAATAATATCCAATTGAAGATGTGTTAAGATAACCATACTTAATGGAATAATATCAACCAGAATTAATTCAAAAGATAACAAATCAATTGACTGGAGATAGGTTGATGATGTTTCTATCCTCATAAACCTTTTCAAATTAATTAGGAAACAAGGAAGAATACTTTGGAACTGAATACAGTTAATCCAAATTCCTTGAAGATGTAACATCAGTCTTCAAAAATGCAGCCAATAACATCTCTCCTAAATTGAATTTGCCTCCATAGAATATCTACATTCCTGAACATACAAATGTCTTACCTTTATAAAATGGCTTGCCTTTATTCCCTGAATTGGTTTTGTAAAATGAATAAACTGATTTGTGGTTCAAGTAAGATGATAGATTCCAAGTACCAAAAACTGTCATTCAGCTTAGAATCAACACAATTGAAACTGGATATGGGAAATTAGCCAAAACAGAAGCTATTGCTAAAATCTGGTTAGCTTTGTTAAAGAATCATGTCAGAGAATTCAATTACTTAGCAGAAATGGCTAAAATTGATGCCACTTTATAATTGGCAGCAAATGGACTAGAATTCTCAATTAGTGGATTTAGTGATTCCATCTCCAGATTTGTTATTGGCATGTTCCAAAAGATTATTTCTTTTAAGCCTCAAGATTATTAGGATTTGTATGAATCAACATTTGTTAAGATTACCTAAGAATTAGAAAACATCAAGAGATCTTAACCTTACTAATAGGTTCATTCCCTCATGACTGTAGTATTGAGAGAGGGATCCTCATTTGAAACATAAGAGTTATTAGATCAATTAACCAATATCACTTTTGATGATGTCATTCATTTCTCAAACAATTTCTTAAAACGATGCAGATTTGAATGGCTCATAATGGGTAATTTGGTTAAAGAAGAAGCCATACAAATTGTTCAAAAATCCCTTGATTTATTCAAAGCAAAAACTCTTAGATATGAACAGGTATTATAAATCAGACCAGTTATGTTAAATGAAACAGAGATTTGCAATTACACTTACGATTTGACTGAACCAACGGAAACCAATTCAGGAATTGTTGTCCATTATTAAATTGGCAAACCTGATTTAAGAACTTAACTCTATAATGGTATTTAAGATTTTTAATTCTAGAAATCCTATAAACAATAATGAAGACTCCATTCTTTTCTTAACTAAGAACAACTGAATAATTAGGATATGCAGTCTTTTCATTGTTGAGTGATGTCAGGGGAATAGCAGGTTTCACTTTCTTAATATAAAGTAATGTGAAATGTCCAAACTATGTCTAACAAAGAATTAGGTAAGATATTAATACAATATGTTAGAACATTTATTAAGGAAAACTTGAATAAGTAGATTACAGAGATGACTGAATAAGACTTTGAATAATTCAAAAGCTCAGTTAAGGTCTAATTGTTAGAGAAGGATTACTCATTAATCAAAGAATCAGTTAGAATGTGGAATGAAGTTTAAAAGCATCAAAGATTATTTGATAGAAGAGTATAATAACTCAATATTTTGGATGGCATTAAATTATCCGAAGTGTAAGAATATTTTAAAACTCATTTGATCGAAAAAACAAAGCAATTTGAGATCCATGCCATTTCACCAACCCACAAGAAGGATTAGGAAGAAATCAAGAGTGACAGCTTAGTCTATAATTCATCTGACAAATTCAAAAAGAGGCATGGATTGTATCCTGATTATTTTTATTAATGAGCAGTAATATATTGTAATTTACAATCGTTTAATCCTAATGTTATTCAAAACTATATATGAATAAATCTTTTTAAGTTTATGATCTAATTTAATGTCCTTATATCATTACTGAATTCACTAATTATTATAAGAATATTCATTTACATTTGAAAAAACTTGATTTCGTACACTTCTAAATAAGATAAGATCCTTGTTAAATCATTTATTTTTAAAGTTTAATAGAGTTTCTTGATTTAATTATAGCTAGTTAAACAATTACTATATTTGTTGCTGATAGCAAATATTACAGAGTTGTAGAAGAAATTATCGTAAAATTAAAGAATTTATCTTTGATTTCTTAATAATGTTGGCTGTATTTTCCTCAAAAGTATTGAAAATGTTTTAAAGCTTATGATTAAAATAGCTGAAAAAGGTTTAGTTAAAGATAAAATGGAAAAAAAGAGAAACTCTTTTAGTTTAAACAATTATTTATTTTAATTGATAAAATAACAGTTTAATTTGATATAAATTTAAAATTATGAGGCTTAAAATATACCATATATCAATATAAATATTTTAGATTCAAAGAAAATAATTAAAATACACTTTTTGATTTTGATAACAGCAATTTAAGAGAAATCACTAATTAGAGAAAATGAAATATATTAATTAATATTATATGTAACCTTATAAAAGAGTTTGTGTATAGGAATCAAATATCCCCTATTCATTTAGTGAACAAGATGAGAAAATTGGAATTGATTATTCAAATTTCATCTAACAAATGGAAGGACCTTACCATTAGCTTTATGAACCCATAGATAAATAATGTATAGGAGCAGGCGGATAGGGTTGTGTTATTAAAGTGAGATGTAAATTGAATAATGAGGTTCGGGCCATGAAAGTCATAAAAAAAATCAATGAGGATAAAAATGAAAATTTTAGGAAAGAATTCCAAAACCTTAAGCTGTATATCGATTTCCTAATTTAGATTAGATCACCCTAATATATTGAAGCTTTATCATAGTTTTGAGGATGATCAGAAATTTTACATTATTTCGGAACTCTGTGAAGGAGGAACCTTATCTCAATATATTGATGACCATTACCCACTTAAAGAAGCTGAAGTTCTGAAAATTATGAAGTAATTAATTGGTTCCATAAATTTTGCTCATGCGAAGAATTTAGTTCATAGAGATATCAAACCTGAGAATATCCTAATCGATGATGAGGTGGCCACCTCAATCAAGCTTATCGATTGGGGTTTCTCTGGGATGATTTAAAAATATGAAAAATTAAGTCTTAAATGTGGTACTATTCATTTTGTGGCTCCAGAAGTAATGGAGGAGTCTTATGACTAAAAATGTGACATTTGGTCTTGTGGAGTTGTCCTTTATATACTGTTATGCAATGATCCTCCCTTTCAAGGAACTGATTCAAAAGAAATTTTATTTAATATCAAAAATCAAAGCATAGAATTCAGGTATATTTTCCTATTTAATAGAGATATTAATCTTGGAAATAATATAGTACTCTCGTTAAGGATTTATTGAAAAGGATGTTGGAGAAAAATCCAGAGTTGAGACCAAATGCATAATAGGTTCTTGAGGATCCATGGTTTGAGAGGTATAGTTCATAGATATATTGATAGTAATTCATCCGAATAAATACTTTCTTAGGATTTTAAGGAGAGTATGTTATAATTTAATGGATATACTGAAGGTTAGGGCAATAGTTTAACACAGAGCAGGTTTTTATAAGCCATAGTTTTATTTATTGCCACTGAATTAGTTCATAAGGATGATAAAAAGGTGTTGAATCAAATATTTCGAAAGATTGATAAGGACAACAATGGTAATATATGTTAGATGAAATCTTTAGGAACCATCTCAAAAGATGAACTGAAAATAGCTCTACTTTAAATATATTCAAAAAATTAAGTTGATGAGAAAGTTGACAAAATATTTGACTTTTTGGATGTCAATCAAAGCGGTTCCTTAGATTTCAGTGAATTTGTAGCAGCAACTTGTAAGTTGAAAGATATTGATGGTATTTTAATAAATTAAATAATAAAGATAAAATAAGGGTGGCATTTGATGTATTAGACAAGAATAAGGATGGTTATATTACTCTAGATGAGTTATTTTAATTTATTGGGAGAGAAGACTATGACAATGATTGTAAAGAAATCTTTAATCAATTTGATCAGAATGGAGATGATAAAATAAGTTTTGTTGAATTCTCTTAGACTGTTTAAAAATACGTTAATATATGTAAATAGATTTAATATTGATTATTTATAAGAGTTTATCAATTACTTAGCAGATTCAGAAAATATATATATAGATAAACATAAAATCAAACATATTTACTAAGAATTGTAATAAGTTTTGTTCTGATTTCTAATGATTCACATTTTATCATCTTTACAAATGTCAGATAAAATTCTTTTAAATCATCTTTCTCTAATCTACTCAGAAAATCTAACATAGATTAAATATTCAATTATTTCTCCAATGAAGTATTTTCTTCGTTCAGGAAAAATTAAAAATTTTCATGGATGCTATTTAAAAGAGAAACTCGAATAGACAATGAAAATTTTTCTACTATTGAATTATCTCTCTCTAGAATTGCCACTAAACTAATTATAATCAATTATTGTGATTCTGGATCTGATATTTTTAATTTATTGATGTAATAATTAGTAAACAATTAAACAACAACATCTTATTATTCGCTATTTAAAAATGATTGTGCATCATTGACAAAAAAGGAGACCAAATCTTATGTTCTTTTTTTTGAATCTATAAATTTTAATATATTTTACTTGCTAATTACGACGTAATAAGCGGTTCAAATAACTATTCAATTTAATTGTAATCTAAAAATGGTATCATTCTAATTAAAATATTGTTTAGAGATGGAAACAAAATTAATTGCAGTTTTTCAGAATTATCATTCATCAATAACTAGCATTTCTATCAAATATATTAATTTTTACACTTAAAAAGTCATTTAGAACACCGATAAATTTATTGACTTCCTCTATTTCATTTTTGTTTAGTTGTCTTTTACTAATTAATGCTTCAAAACTATTGATAAGAAACTCAATAAATAAGTGATGCTTTGCATTGACACTTAATTAGGAGATTTATTAGTTTAAAAAGTGAAACCACTCTGCTATTATATCTTCTTCAAGCATATCAAATTACAAACATGATTTATGATAGTATTTGAAGATATTGTTATCATCATTCAAATGTAGGATTATTTGATCTTAACATAAAAAATTGAACAGCAACTATAAAGCATGCAAACCTTTCTTATGATTTATAGTAACCGTTAATTTAATTACATCACAAAAAATTTAGAAGGTTTTATTCTCTATATAAAATTAAACATCTTCCACATCTAAAGTTTATTCATTGTTAATTATAGTAATCAAGAAATCAATAGCCCCTATTATTAGCTGTTTATCTGAATTTGACTTTATTATCTTTTAACAAGCCATTGCTATTTCATGCTTTACATAAACACATTATGCCTGATTAAATAATTGCAAATAATAGTAGAATTTAGGATATAATGATTTATGAATAATCACATCTATCATTCTTGAGATACACAACTTTACTAATTCAAACTACTGTTTAAATAGTTATAAGGATGTAGATTTATCGAAAACCATTTACTTAATTGATCCTGAGAACTTAGGAGTTTCCATAGGTAATGTTAGAAACCTAGGAGTCTATTAAATGAACAAGAGCTAATGCTATTCAACTTTAAGAAAATATTCCATTGAATATTAAATTAATTCTTCCAGGATTTAAAACATCTCTGTAAATTAAGATTCCTAAGCTATACAGCAGATTTAACTTGATATATGAATTGATGCATATTTTAGATCGTCTTGATTATCTAAACAGTTTTTAAATAGTTTCATAGAAATCTACCAGAACTCATGGTCTGTGATTTTTAATTTTACAAGCCTCTCTTGAATTTGCCAAGTCATATATATGATTTTATTTGTAGTTTCAAAATTGACTATTATAATTGTATATAAATATTACAATGACTTTCTTTATCTAGTTAAATCAATATTGAGGCTAATTTACATATTGATGTGTTATCTAAACCTTCAATATGATTGGATAGTATCTCAAACATGCATTAGATGGATAACTAAGTTCTGAAAATTAGTTATTTCTGCACTTATTAACTTAATTCTTGTTGAATGCCTTCTTTGCTAAAAAAATCATTTAATAAAACCTCAAATAATAAAACAAAAATTTGAAAAGCATCTGAGGGCAAATATTTGTGATGTTCATGAATTAAATTTGAAATTATTTATAAGATATTATCCTTCAGATCCTCATATGGCAACATTATTAATTCAGATAATGGATTTAACAAATATTATACCCATTTGTCTCCCCATTTCCATTTGTTATTTTTACTATATTCAATACCTGAAATAATGGTGTCTCTATATTTATGAATAGCATTAAGCCTCATTTCCATCACCTTGGAACTACATAGACAGAAATATAAAGCATCTATTATAGTCCAAAGCTAATGAATTCTTTACCAATTATTATCAATTATTAGCAATAGTTTATCAATTGCAAAGGATTTATAAATTGAATCGAAAGTTTTCTTTTGACTTATTTGAAGTCTTTCTGACACTTAAAGTGCTAGTTAATTTAATCCGTCTACCATTTAAAATACAGTTGTGTCTTGATATTAAGAACTCCGATAAAATAACTCAGTAGTCATCTTAATTGATGTTGATTTAGAAACAACTTATTCTATTCTTTATAATGTTTAGAAAATAAGATTCCATGTTTTCGCTGTTAAGAAATTTACATTATTATAAAGAATTTCTTCAAATACTTTGCACGCTATTAACCATTTATCATTCTCATCATATTTTAAAGATAATGGAGCAGATTAAGCAGCCAAAAATCTGATAAGCAATTAAAATGTGTTAGTTTAATCTTGCTCTAAACTAAACTAAGTCCAAGATTATAAATATTCTAATAAATTGATATATTATTAATTATTAGCTATTTTTAGAATCTGCTTCATAATTTTTAGAAGAGGTCGCCATAATTTATCAAAAAAGGTCTTAAATCTTATATCATCGTTTTCAGTTTCTTAAATTTCTGCCATCTAATCTTCATTTTCACCGTTAAATACTTGAGATTGTATAAGTCTACTATAGTTTTTAATTTCTTATAATAAACCTGTCCCCTCATTTTGAAATTCATCTAATTAAAGAAATTTTTATATATTCTCAGTAATTATCTAAATTAAAGTTTCTAACTTTTAATATATTTTATATTACTTATTTATTAAACAAAAATATTTGGAAGCATTTACAAATTACATTCAATATAAGATGCCGTTAATTTGTTTATTAAAATATTCTGCTTTGGAGATTACTGTGTGAAAAATTCTTTAATTCCAAAAAGGCTATATTAATAAAGGGATTTCAATATTAAATCGTTATAATCTAATTATGAATAAATGATAATAAATACCACTAAAATTATTACCAAATGGTTATCTTATTAATAAATTTTTGAATATTGTTAAATTTGAATACAGACATAATATACCGTCATGAATTGCTATTTTACTTTAATCAAATTGTTATAATTTGCTATATGTAGTCATCAACTGAGCAATTAAATCAAATTTGTCATCTACTATTTAAATATAATTGAATATTAATCGAATTGTGTTAATTTCTAATATCATTTACATTTTTACTATTCATTATGTTTGACTCCTAAACTAAATCAATACTTTTTAAGTAAGTATATAAAGTTTCATGATAAAAAGTATGAAATTGCTTGATTTACTGTAAATATTTTCCGCATTTCAGAATTATGATGAAAATATCTTTGCCTAAGGTGATTGAAATGAGATAAGATAAATACATAATATTAAGTTGTTTGATACATAAATAAATGATTGCTCCTTATCTTGAAATATTTTAAAAAATAATTCTAATAATTCAAAATAGGATTGCAATACTGCATTATTATTCTATTAGTTCTATAGTAGTTCCTCCAACACATTGCTAATAGTAAGAATACCTTATATTGATGATTAGGCTATTATTGGATTGTTGGAAGAGGAAAAGTAAATTAACATATCTAAGACCTTAAGTATTTGATTTGAATTTTAAAAATCGATGATATCAGGACCAATAATGTGAATCAAAGTTGACACTAACCTTATGTCAATTGTTTCATCCTGCTGCTATTTTGAAATATTAAAATATTCAATTATGATATCAAGATCATTCTAATGATATGTAAATCATACTGTATTTAATGATGACAAATGCTGCAATTTCTAGATTAATCCTATTCCTTATTAAATTAATTTAATATTTTTTGAACTGACAATTTAGGGTAATAATTGCTATAATAAGGAATGACTATCTAATTCTAACAAATTTGATTCCAACACCTTTAAACATATAGATTAGAATGGCTTACTTTACACAATTAAGGATATTTTTTGCTGTAATCCTTAATTGATATCAATTCATTTTCTACTATATCTCTTCTATTCATATTTAGAAATATAATTATTATATTTTTAATCAGAAAGAGTAATAATAATATATTTTATAAATTTCATTCACTTGTCTAAAACTTATGCATTTTAGTACAGATGATTGAAAACATTATAAGAATAAGAATTGTATAATTAAAAATGATAACTCTATCAGATAAAGTCATCTAAATTAAACTCATTTTCATCTTAAGCTAATTCATCATCATACAATACTAATCGTACATTATTTTTTATTTATTTTTCATCCTCTAACGTTTCATTTGTTTCCTCAAATAATTATGTTTGCACTTTTGGGTCTTAGTTTATTTTTATCAATTTAACAGATTTTCTTTAGACTTCAGGTGACTATGGATTAAATTTTTGATGGTGAGATCTAAATTTGATGGAATGATTTACCTGCATTAACTAGGAGAGCGAGTTCCTATGATTTCTGACATTGGTTTGAAGATTTTGTTATTTTTCTTTAAATGATCGTGATCTTCCAAAAACTGTAAATATTTGTCATGCTCCTCCTTAGTCCAATGTCCAATATTTTTTCTTGGGGAAAGAGAATCACTTTTTTTTATTTTCTTTGACTTTGGAGATCTGCTACAACTGACTTAAGCAGCTTCATCCTCAAAATTACAATATTCTTCTTCCATTTGAGACATTTTTTTAATAATTGCTAAAAAGAATGCAAATTCTTATTTTTATACATAATTTGTTTATAGTTCATTTTCTTAAAGAATTTTCAACCCTGTTGCAAGTTTGATCAATAAGATTAATAATGCTCTCTTCGGTGGCTTCCCTTTCATTTTTTTCAGCATTCAACTCTCCATTCAAATAAGCATTCATTTCATCCAGCATTCTAAACATCTAAGCCTATGCTGATTCTCTCTATTTTTTCTCAGTTGTTAAAATTTCTTATAATTTCAAGATGGAATCTCCCAATCTTTTGATCACTTATTAATTTCCTTCTTCCCTAAGAGTTATTTAAATAATATACCTTAATCTCCTTTCTTCTTCAACTTCTTCCTATAACTGTAATATTCTATCCCCAATTTCTTATGCATTTTTCTCCTCTGTTTCTTCTCTGTACTTTTTTTACCTTGCTAAATCTAATCTTAGACTGTAAACTCTGTCATCTGTTGTTTTAGTTATTTTTTATTCATAATCTTTTCTATTTATTTTTTCTATCTATAATTCTTTTACCAAAACCAATTCTAACCCTTTCAAATCTTTATTTCTTAATTTTTCATCTCCTCTCTATTAGATAATTGATTTAAGTTTTACTTCTCTAATGATTTTCTCATTTTAAGCTCCCTCCTCCACTTTTTACAATTATTCTTTTAATAGCTTAAACTTTGATTCATCTCCTTATTGCTGTTTTATAGCTCTGTCTTCTAAAACCTTAACCTTTTATTCAAAAGTTTCTTTTTTGAACTATTCAGTATTAATAGATTCTATACTGCCTAATCCTCATCGATTGAATGTTGGAGATTGGATAGTTTTTCTGATAATTGAGAGATCTTTGCTCTACTAGGTGAAAGCGCTCTATCTCTATCTCCTGCAAGGGATATTGCAGATTATGTTTTTGGTCCTGGTGATGAATATATAAATTTAGAAGCTGACATTTTTGTGAAACTTAATAATTTTATTTTTTTACATTTGGATACTCTTTCAAATAAAAAATAAATAATTTTTATTGAAGTCAACTTTTAAGCTAATCAAACTTTTTTTAATTGATTAAAATCAATTTTAACCTCATAAACTAAGTTGTAAAATTTCATTATTTTTGTTATTACATTATTTTACATAATAATTTATAAATCAATCAGATCTATATTATTTGAATATTTAGAGAAAGATATTGGCTAATTCAATAATATAATTAAAAGCAGCATCTTATAATTTTAACAAAAATTAAATGGAAATAATTTAAAATATATATATTGAATTAACATAGGATGATTTTTGATAATTATAGAATAAAAATTTTAAATATTCTTTAAAATTATCATCGTTTTTTTAACTTTTAAGGATAAATAAAAGAAATAATGTAAAGGTTTATGAATAAATTAATATTAAATTGAAACAACCAAAATCAATAATTTCATAAGAAATAATCTGGTGTTTTTTTGGTTAAATGAGGTTCTCCTCTTCTTGGAGCAGGATCAAATTGCAAATAATTTTGATTCATATGTTCATCCACTTCTAAAATGGCAGCTTAATTTCCACATCTATAACAATAATTTGGAGCAGAGAATAATGTGACACAATTCTTTTCATGAGTTTCTTAAAAGCCTTCCATAACTAATTAATGTGCTCTGGCAATCATGGTTAATCCATTTGTATGATTATATTTTTCAGAAATATCTACTCCAAAAGTAAATCCAGCTCCTCTTGGTGATGGATTAAATCCATTTCGATCTTTGATATTATGATAAAATGATACCATCAGGATCACTCCATAATAAATCACATAAAGGACCTTCATGAGGTACCTCTTGTATTCTATCCAGTCTTCTTATTTCATCAAGAGTTGTGACGTCAGGAGACAGTCCTCCATGTAAACCAAAGATCTTGTATAGTAAATAAAAATTACTGAATTTTCAACCACTGCTGTTATTGGGAGATAATCAAATAAATCAGTGAAATACTTCCATGGGTTTGCATTACCATATTTTCTGACACATTCCTCATAAAATCCATAGACTTATGTGATTTATCTGGATTCGTGATTCCCTCTTAAAATAGTTATTCTATCCTATTTTAAATTTAAATTATTCATACTTTATATCTGACTTTCAAAGCCAGTAGTAATGATACAGTTTCTACACTATAATAGCCACGATCAACGTAATCTCCCAGGAAAAGATAATTTGTATCGGGTACATTACCTTGATAATATTATCTTCAGTTTTACCTCCAATTTTAAATAATTCCATTAAGTCATCATATTATCCATGGACGTCACCGCAAATAGTCACTGGAGCTCTAACTGGCTGAACATTACTCTCTTCCTACAAAATTTCTTTAGCCTTTTCACAAAGCCATTTCACATCCTATTCAGTCAGAGGCTTGCATTTATTGAGCTATTCAATAAATCCATCTAAACAATTATTGGGATTATCGTATTGTGACATATTTATTTTCAAATTTTTAATATTAATATTTGAGAATTTATATATATTTATTTATAATATATAAAAGTGATATCATAATTAATTAAACTTCAATAAAAATAATGAGTTTTCTTGTTAGTATATTTTGTAGTCCCAGGGAATTATTGAATAAAATTCAATTGTTGCTTATTGCTGTTTTTGCTGGAATGAAAAGACTGAGAAATTTTCTTATTATTAGGAGTAGGATTCTATGAAATATTAAGCAATAACTCTTTATCTCTTGAAAAGGTTCTAATCTGATTAGGTTTCTAAATTATAATAAAATCAAATACTTTATTTTCTTAATTCATTTCTGGTTCTGAGATATGATGGATAGGTAGTTTTTATTATCCCTATTAACCCTGTTTGAAATTAGTTTCTTATTTTTTATAATTGGAATCCATGCATTGTAATTAACTTTCTAAATATTATACGTGCTGAGCTCTAATTTGACTAGGTAATCCATCAAGTATCCAAACATGCATTAGAGCATTGATTGGGCTGATCCTATTTTTCGGATTCCAAACTAAACATTATTTTAAGAAGTCAATAAAATTGTCATCCTTACATTGTAAGACCGCTGATAATGTTTTGCTTCCAGGTACTTTTAATTTAGCCCCTTTATTCTACATACACAATGGTTAATAAGGAGGAGAGTCATTAAAGAAAACTTTTCTTCTTTAGGCGATCTTAAATATTTCGATATATTTACTTCTAAGAGTTCATTATCTGGCATACCTAGGATTTCTAAAATATATGCTATTTGCTCTTATTCATCATCTCCTGGAAATATTGGGTATCCCAAATACAGTTCTGCCATAATACATCCAAAACTCCACATATCGATATTCGTATCATACGGGATACCAAACATTACTTCAGGGGCTCTATAATACCGTGACTGAATATAAGAGTAGATCTTTTAATTTTCGAAACAACTACTGCCAAAGTCTATGATTTTAATCCCGCTTTTGTTTTCTTACTTTAATAATATATTCTCAGGTTTTAAGTCACAATGGATGATTTTATGTTTGTTTAAAAAATTCAATGCATTTAGAATTTAAATTGCAAATCTCCTTATGAGCTCCAAGGATAAACTTTAAAAATTATTGTTCTTTATCAACTAATACAAGTTTATCGACAAGAATTCAAAGGAAATACACTAAAATGTATAGTAATTAATTAAAAATACCACATGATTTCTAAAAATTACAAAATCCTTTATTTTTACGATATTTGTAACATTATCCTCATCCTTCTCCTTGATATATGTTAATATGTTTAATTCTACTAAAGCTTAATTTGTAAACTTCTTTTTGTTTCTGATAATCTTTAAGCATTACACTTATTATCTCTTATGATCAAAGACTTTGAATGCTTATCCAAAACTACCTTTGCCAACTATCTCCAAAATCTCATATCTGTATCCAATGTGATCATTAGGTGAAAACAAATACTCACCATTTGAATCATCAAAACCGTCATTGCAATTTGATTATTTTTGATCTATCTTTTTAGATGTCATTCCTATGCAATAAATCTAAACTATTAAATTATGTATATGTACTCTACTAAATCCATGAATTTCTTATTTCTCAAAATCCGTCAAATATTATCCAAATTATTATATGCATTCTTTTGGTGTTAAAGGCAACTTAGTTTTGCTCCAATCAACCTTTTTGGAAGGAGACACAGATTTTTCTTGATCAATAATTTTTGAGAATACTTTCTAAGAAATTTATGTTATTGTTTACTTATAATGTAGTTCTATCTTTTGATCCTGACTTATTTGTTGTTGTTTTAATACCATATTAATTATATTATTAGAAATGTTTATTGAATCTATTGTCATATCCAAATTCACTTGAGTTACTCTTTTTTGTCTCTATGAATGATATTTCTTTTGCATTCTTGAATTTATCTGTATTAATTTGTAATAGCTATTTCAAGTTACCTAATTAATTTATAATAATACTTTTCCCCATCAATTCCTTAAGTGCTTCAATCGATGATCCAGTCTTAACAGTTAAATTAGTTCTCTAATTGGATGACGATTTTTTCTATCTATTTTAAATTTTATTGTTTGAGTTATTATTAGAACAATTCGCTTTTTGCTAGGTCTAATTTAGAATTAAGAATACTAACTCGTTTGCCAGATATAAGTCTTTTTCTTGGAGTAGATGATTCAACAACTAATGGTGACATATTGCTGCCATTAAAAAACTTTTGGTTTTCTTTGTGGCATGTTGTGTTCGATATATAATATTTTGGTTTGTTATTTGAATTCAAATCATAAGAAATATTCTAGTTAATCATTATGATTGTTACCGTCAGTTTTTTTTCTTAAGGATTATACTTAGATTTCATTTCTAGGTTGTTAAAATAATTAATTTTTTTTTATTTATTCACCCAAACTAATGATCAAATAGATATTCAAAAATTATCAAATTAGGCTGTCGAATGCCTATAATTAATTTAGGAAATCTAAAACAAATTCAAAATTCAAACATATAATTTAAGATTATTTATAGAAATAGATGTTAGATTTGGTTAAATTAAAATCAGACATTAAATTCAAGTCCTTGATAAGCCGACTTGACAAATGGTCTTTATTTTGACAATATTTCTGTTTTTTAGTTTAACTATAAATTATCCTCTTCTTATTATTATTACTATTATTCAGTTTTTATTCTTCGAGATTAATCATAACCTTTAACAAATATTTATTTAAAAAAGTTAAGATTCTCCTCCTGTCTCCTTTGCATTCCAATCATCTAATCCAACTTATTCATAAGTAAATTTCGTTCCTAATAAATTTATTATATCAATACCTCAGCACTGTAGTCTGATTCCTTCTAAAATTTTGTTAAATTTTCAAATAAAAATCTATTTTATAACTCTAATTCTTCAGATTTTTTCTTCAAAATTTACACTTGAAAAACTAATTGATCAATTTTACTCTCCAGCTTTTTCTAGGTTAGATAACTTTATGTATTGATTATAAATTCTTCCTCTTTTACATTCTATTACTTATATATTTTATTCTAATTTATACAATCCTTTGAATATCTCAAAATGTCTAATCTAGATCTTGATGATTAAGAGTCAACTGATTTGCTCCTTTGAGTAATCTCTTATTTAAACAGCTTTTCACTCTCTTAATGATCATATTTATGATAATCATATTATTGCTTTTTTTGTGTTTTTTATAATTCTTCAAATGCATTATTTTATCTGATATCTTTTCTTAACTCGTTTAATTTTTCCTTAAACTCTTATAATGTAATTTATTGTGCACATATGTTGATTGGGGTAGGGAAGTTTTTTAGAGAGAATGAACCTTTAGAATTTTTTAGTTTCTAATCAGGGTTATTAACAAGTTAAACAGTCGATGAACATTCGATCAAACCTCCTTTCTAAGCAAAATACACTTGATCATTTAGATTGCCGTATGAATTAAACTTCTTTTTGCCATTATTTTTTAATAGACGGTCTTACCGTGATTGTTATTATGCTTATAATTATTGAAAATCAGCGCTTTGATTTCTTTAATTCCTTGATTATCTTTTGTATTGTGCGTGATTCATATTTGTATTTAGTAAGTTAGAGATTACTTTTGCTTAAGAACTCATATTTCTTTAAGGGGGGGATGCTGATTATCCATACGGATTATTTTTTGTTGGAGATGCAGATGTATGTACTTTTAACTGATTTTCATTTCCTTCTGTAAATATTCTGGTCTTGGAATTATTTTTATTGAGAGATTTAGAGGTTCCTAATAGTAATTTTTTTAACATTTTCAAACATGATAATTATTATAATATCTAATTATTAGGATATCTGGATTAATATTGGTTACCACTTTTTTTTTATGTTTCATTACTTTTAGAATTTGAAGCAGTTTTTCTATGATTTTGATTTTATGTACTAAACATTAAATAATTTACAACAGCTTATAAAAATAAATTATTGAAATTTTGAGAATTTCAATACTTTTAAGATTATAGGTAGACCACTGCTAATTTTAGATGGTGAGGATGTAAATTTTATTAAAGATAATCATAAAAATAAATAATAATTTTATTATACTTTCATTTTTGATTAAAATAATTGATAATGTGAATACTTGTAGCACAGGTATAAGAATAATTATTAAGGCATTTGTCTTTAAACAAAATATCTTTTAATATATTAAAGAATCCTCATTTAGAAATATAATATAATTTTAACTGAATAATACAATAAATGTAGTTCAACATAAATTTGAAAAAGATTTCTGAAATATATATCCTCTAGAGGGGTATCTAAAAGAAAAAGAAGGGCGAGAATTTTAGATTTAAACTCTAAGCATAAAAATGGATGATGAAGGTTTTAGTTGATAAAATTGATTATAAATTATTTAATGATTAAATTTTCTTTTTTTCATTTGAGAAATCCCTTTATTCATCGAATAAATTTCTCAAGTTCCACAGCTAAAGCCAAACAACAAGTGTTAACAAAATAATAAGAGTAATTTGTTAATGAACTTAAAAATACTTATAAGTCATTAGCCGATAATTTATAAAGTATTTTATGAAAATAAAAAATTTAAGGTGAGGAATCTGTGCTAAATTTATTTAAGAAGGATTCAGAAGAAGAAAAGTCAGAGTAAAAAGGGTCTCCAAATGAAAAAGCTGTAATTGCTTAATATATGAATATTCTAAACTACAGGTATAAGGATTGAAAATATGGCTAGTTTTGCTTAGTACTATTAAAGTTTAAGTCCAGAGGAGTAATTAAAAAGAAGTAAGGAAATAATAAAGTCTGATGCATTAAAAAAAGATTGGGACACATTTCTGAAGGAAAATAGAGATTATTAAGATTATTCACTTTTCGATAAAAATCTTCTTGCAATTAAATATAGTCATAAAGACTCTGATCCTCGTGATGCTAAATATAAAAACAATTTGAATTTTTATGGTGATTTGGATGAAAATGTTTATGAAAGACAACAGAAGGAAAATATATATAGTTTCATATATCAAAATCCTGAAAATAAAAAAGTAGCTAGGAAAATGCCAGAAAGGAGAAAAATAAGGCTTGCATTTAGGTATCGAAGAGCTAGAAGAGCTGCTAGAGCCAGGGAATTAATTTCTAGGAAAGTAAAGGATAATTAAAAATGGTTATTAAATCGAAAAAACTTTTCTAAAAAAAGACGTAGAAGAGTTATTGCTCCTAAATTATCATTCAGAGCAAAATTTCAATTGTTTGGATTATTTAATGAGGGTTGGACAGTTAGAGATTTATCTATTAAATATGGAATTATGCCATATAGAGTAAAGGCAATAATCTACTAAAAAAGATACTTTTTTGATGAAGTCTTTCCTCATCTTCCTTTTGAATATGTAAGGGATTTGATTGCAATTGAATTATATTTTGAAAAATAATTTGGAGCAGTAGATTACGGTGTTGATTTATAGTAAATGAGAAAGGTTGAGTCAGGATATTTGTAGACAAAGTATTTAATTAAATGTAATTTATGATAGTTTCAAGACTCCTGATAGGAATGTTGATATAGCAAAATTATCAGAGAAAGAATAAGAAAGAATAAAGAAATTATTTGAAGAAAAGAAATCAAAGAAATACGATATTGTAACAGAAAACTTTTAAGGATAAGGAAATAAGGGGTATGAAGATCAAACTATTTAAGTTATTATTTGAAATCTTGGATCATGCATAAAACACGTTCTAGACATAGTGTCAATAGAATATTTGAAAGAATAATTAAGGATAGTGATAAGCCTTACAAATTGCCAGTGACAGCATAAGCCAGATTAAAAGAAGGTCCTCGTATTGCAAGCACTCATTTTGGTCAAAAGTGAGAATAGTATTTTAAGAAAATATATAAACATATATACCCAATTTAAATACTTTTTAAGGTCCTTCTCTGTTTATAAATTTAAAAAGAAGCTATATCCTTACAAGAGAGATTTTGATTAAAAATAGTAATAATTATTAATATATGGGTTAATCATCAATCACAGTTATTGATCCAAATTAAAATAACAATTACTAAAGATAAAACTCAGTCTAAGAAGTTGAGGATTAAATAAAGCGAGCATTCAAATAGGCTTCCTCTTAAGGAAGATTAACGAGGGACAAATTTAATGAAGCACTAGGAATATTTGAAAGCATGTAATTGAAAAGGTTGAGAGATAGTCCTTTAGCTGATAGGCTATTTTAGTTATTAGATAAGGTAAAATATGCATATAGGTTTAGAATGAGGAGGGATATATAACAGAAAAAGAATACTTGGAAGGCATCACAACATTAATAAATAACAAGGATAAAAGGATTTTGTGTAATTTTATATATGGATAAAGTAGATTCCTTTTAGATGATTGACAAAAACAAAGACAATAAAATAGAATTCTAAGAGTTTTATGATTTTGTGAAGGAGAGTTGGTTGAGTGCTTTTAGATTATTGGGTGAAAAGGTATGTTCAGGACAGAATTAATACCAATTGACATAATCAAAAATAAATTCTTGGGCCTAAGGACAATTAAACAAGCTTTACAATTACGTCTAAGAGATTTTCATGAAGTTTGCATAATAGAGTGTATTCTATAATTTTAATATTAGTAATCGATGGACCCTATAGTGTTTAAATCTTGGGTGATGAGCAATGATTTTGGGTTTATCAAGGCAGAATTGGGAAATGAATCAGTCTAGATTCCTCTTCATTTATACAGGTTGGAAGAAAAGTGAAATAATAAATAATTAATCTATAAATATTATGTATTGTGCAGATAATTATATAAGTTGCACAATCATTTACGTTTTGAACATATTTGGCTTGCTTTTGGTTTTGGGGATATTGTTCAAAAACAGGGAATATTATGTAAGAGAATGGAAAAGAATAAGACAAGTCATTAAGGATTACACTATGTAAGAAAAAGTAATAAGATTATCATAGAGATTATCGAAGTGATGGAAATCTCCCAATATTTGCAAAGTTTGTAGGTGTATTAATGGGTTTTAGCATCTTAATAATAGCAAGCATAGTTTCTGTATTAAATTTCATATATATCAAAGATAATTATGTGGGACATGAGTTTCGGATTTATGGAAATTTCCAATATATTTGTATGGACTTTATGTGCATTCCTATTTTACATCGATTATCGTTCTATTTTCAAATTTTCTAAGTATTAAATTCCTTATAATTCAGACAATTGCGTCTGGCTTTAGCCATTATATTGATTATTTAGTTGTCTTCAGGCATAGTATTTGGAATAGAGAGGAACTTAGAAAAGGAAAATAGGGGATTTGATGAATTAACCGTTGAAGCATCAGTTTATTTATGCAATTTCGTAATCATGCTTGTTATTAATGTAATAAGCCTATTCTTTCCAAAGTTTGATTATTAAAAGGTTAGCAAGAATAGCGATGACAATATATTTATCAGAGTCAATAGTTTACAACAACATTTGGTGAATGATGATTCACTATCTTCATCAAGTTCTAGAAATAATTCAATTGTCACTCCAAATCAAAGACAATCAATATCTAAGACCCCAAAGAGAAGCTAATCATTTTTAGATTAGTTAGAGGAATTAACCAAAGAGGAGGGATCTTAAAGTTCCATAGGATCAGGCATACAAAAATAAAAATAGGAATAATCAGGAATAATAGATACAACTTATGGGTTAAAGAAGGAAGATGAGGCTATTTAAAAGGAGAAAGAACAAAAAGAATTGATGAGTTAAATTATGGATATGCACAAATAGTTAGATGAAAAGTTAAACAAATTAAAATAGGATAATGAAGTCAATTAATAGTAATAAAAATTACCTCAACAATAAGAAAATGAGCAAATAAATTAGGAGTAAAATGTCAATTAAGAACAATTATCTCAATAGAAATAATAGGAAGTAATTTTAAAATCTAAATATGAAATTCAAACCATAAAAATTGAAGGATTTGAAGAAATTAAAAAATAAGGGAAAAGATTCATATATTTCAAGATATTCTATTTTTCTAATTCTAAATAAAGGCAGGTAAGAACTGAACATAATTTGAAAGAATTTTAATAATTAAGATTAGCCTTATAATAAATATATGTGGATCATTCATTTCCAGAAATACCAGAGAGAAAGCCCAATGAAAGATTGAGTGGTAAAGAAGTCGCAAGTAGAAGTGAAGCCCTCGAAAAATTTTTATAGTTTATAGTTAAACATCAGATGCAATGTCCAACATTAGATAAATTCTTAGAGGAAACCTCAGGTCCTATTCATGTGGAGGATGACAGTATATTGTTTACTTATATTTTAGAGGAAGCTAATATAGATCAAGTATTAAAAGATAAATCATTTGACGACTTTTTGGAAGTAAGAAAGGCGAGCGTAGCATCAAAACAAAGTTATCTAGAGAAAGATTACAACGACGATAGTTTTGATCCAAAAAGTAGCATGGCCGCTTCCTCTTATGATTAGTCATAGTTTTTTTAACGCAATAATGATCGATTTTCAACTACTATAACATAAGGAGGGGGAAATGGGCACAAATTCATAATTAAGGAGGTTAAAACGCTATAATAAACTACTGTATGAAATAATAATAACTTAGTATTATAAAATTGAGGCATTAATAAATGGACAGACAGTGGCAACAGCTTAAAAGAGGTATAATGAATTTAAGGAGTTGTACAAAAAAGTAAGAATGATTTAACTTTTTAGTTGCTGGACAGGTAATACTAAATTCCTTCTTTGCCTAATGAGCCACCTTCAAAATAATAAGATGTTGTTTCCTATAGATAAGAGGCTTTAGCTTAATTTTTAAATACATTGTATTAAAATAAATCAGTAAAAACAAATATGGTTTTTAAAGACTTTGTAGGTATTTGATAATGTATCATAATCAATAAAAAACAAATATATTTCACAAACCAATACCTTTTTATTTTTATCTTTGCATTGCCCTTTTGTATTGTAACTCTAATTCTTTATTTCTCTTTTCAATTTCTTCCTTTTACTTCTCCTATTCATCATCATCTGATTCATTTTTAGCTCCCATTAATTTTTTAAGTTTATCTTGATTTTCTTTGCTTAATCCTCCCATGTTCCAAATTTTTTGTTTTTTTTATTATTCTTGGTTAGCCTTGTTTTATTAAGTTTTCTTTTATGAACTTGATCTACTTCTTGATCTCGAAAGTTCTACATCACTCTCTATAGTTTCGAATTATATCTCAAGTTCAGATTCATATTCACCTAATTTCATTTCATTCCTTCCCTCAACAAAACTAATTAATTTGGTTTTATTGCTCTATTGTTAATTTCAGTTCCATTAGCAGATCCCAAATCTTATATGGTGATACTAGATTTGCCCACAATCAATTTCGCATGTTGTCTGCTAATTGATTCACTTTTAATTAGTATCGATGCCTAAGCCTTGCTCCTTCCAAGTATATATTCTTTTCTTTTCAACTTTATTTTTTTATCAGAAAAAATTAAGTAAAACTATTTAGCCATTTATTAATTTTATAATTATTGTCTTTGACAAATAGTTTTTGAGTTTAACAATTTTGTTATTTAAAGATTTTAATTGTTCTACTTTTTTGTATGCAAATAATATGGTTCATAAAGTGTGGAATTTATTCGTTATATAATTAAAATCAATTACAATCAAATTTAAAATATAATGAGTTAAGAAGTATAGGAGCTATAAGAAGCATTAGAGTATTAGGTCGATGTTGTATTGAGACTTGAGGATGAACGATTACTACTATAAAAAGAGAATAATATACAAAAGTAATTAAATATGTAAATTTGAGGGAAAAGTTGAAAGAATTGAATACAATGTTGCAAAAGTACCTTGGATAATAATTACTTTGTATTGAAAAACACACCTAAACTGAATTGCAAGTAAAGTAGAACTTTGATGTACAAACACAAGAAGATGAAATCATTTCAGACTATTCACTAAGTAATTCCACAGTATCAGTGATCAATTAACAATCCTTTACTTAATAGTAGGATTAATCAAATTCTTCTAAATTATTGGATTAAGCAAAATCATTAGTGAAGTAATCTGCTTCAAGAATCCCAGCAAAAAAATTAAAATTTTGTGGAGATAATTATAAAGAGAATAAGGATATTAAGGACAATTAAGAAAAAAAAGAAGTAAAACCAGCAAACACAAAACAATTAGATTCTTAAAGTGAAGCATTAACTAGAGAGATTGTTAATTTAACCAAATAATTACAATAATTAAAAGTATTTCATCATTCTATAAAAGTTACAATAAAGAAGTTCATAAGACACAATTAAAAAATATGAAAAAGACAGTAGTGAATTAGTTAAATTATTAGAAGTGAAAAATGAAATGTTAAACAAGTTAAGAAATGAAAATGCAGAAATGGCTATTATAATTAATTAGGATAAATTTAAAAGTGTCCGCTAGTTAGATTAAGAGTTAAAAAAAGAGAGGGATGATAAAGTTAAATTTTAAGCATTAGCTACTTAAAAAACAGAAGAAAATTAACATTTAGTGGAAGAACTTAAGTAATTCAGAGAAGTTTTATCAAAATTAACTTATGAATTTGAAAAATATAGAAGCACGTAAGTTATTTATCTTAATGTAGATATAATCAAAGCAACGTGAGTCAATCTAAAATAGAAGCAGTAGATACTACTTTCTATTAGGAAGAATTAAAAATTAAAGCTTCCACTATAAATGAATTAAAATTGTAAAACTAGTAGTTACAAGAAGAAGTCGACTACTTTAGAAGCTTAAGCTTGCAACAAAAGAAGATTGCAGAAAAATAAGAAGAAGACTTAGACTTTTATAGAGAAATCCTAATTAAGCATAAAATAATTAAATAATGAAACTAAATTTATTCTATTAATAAATTTTTCTTTATTTTTTTTTAGTTGAATTTCCATTTCAAGAATACATCAATATATTATTCAGATATACTAATTGATTAAATCTAAACTCTCGATATTAAATAAGTTATAAAATATTTAGAATAAAATCAGAACTTAGCTAATTCATTAAGAGTATATATGATGAAAAAATAATAATAAAACCTGCAAACCTATTAAGAGAAATTTATAAGTATTATTTGTGTAATAAAGAATAAATAGTATGTATTTTTAACTTTGATAATATTAGATAAAACATAACAATAGTGTTATCAGGATTACTATTTTTGAACAACTTTTCACGTGTGAACTATATAATTTTTAGATATATGATGCGGAATAAGAGAATTAATTTGATAATTTTTTGTATATTAATAAAATTTATTCTAAAAAATCAAAGTTAAAAATGATGATTTTATTAGATTGCCCTTAAATATTTAATCAGAGAACATGGGTGAGTAATTTAAAAACTATTTATGTGCTATAATAAACCAGATCTTCCATCTCCTTATGTTCATGAATTTTAATTCGGATTGATAAGAACAACTTGAAAACTTTAAGTAATTATACTTCTTATATATATAATTTATGTGTGTGTGTCTAATATTGAACAAATGAAATCATTCTTTCTTTTCTTCTGCTCTTACTTTACCTTTTCCATTTGTTAATCTTACATTAAGTTCAGCTGCTCTTCTGACAAGAGTTGCTCTTTTTCTTGCAGATAGATTATGAGCTAATTCACCTGCAAATACTCTGTTGTTAGTAAGCAATAATTCAAGATCTTTTTCATTTGTGATTAATAATTTTCTGAAACCAGCTTAGTCTAAATATCTATATTGCTTTATTTGATTAAATACCTTGTTTTTTTATCGCCTCTATATCCTGATTTTGGCATAGGTCTGTTGCCTCTAAATCTTCTTCTGACTCTGTTATCAATACCTCTTGGTCTTCTCCAACTTGGTCTTAATTTATGTGGATAATCCTCTGATTCGAATCTAATAAATCTCTTTGTTCTCTTATGTACAATTTTTTTGTGAGCAAGTGATTTGACAACCATTTTTAATTAAATAAAGATTTTAATTCAAATAATCATCTTCATTCCCAGTAATAATAAAAATGAGTATTATGTGCCCTTGTATGAAGAAGGAGACTCAAAGCCAGAAAATAGTTAAACATTTTCATAAAACTATTATCATGATATATTTAATGTAGTCAATTCAACCAATACTTTTTCACTTTCTCAATATTTAATCTCAGAATCGCTATTGATAAAACTAATAGTTCTCACTGAAAATCTCTAGATTGAAGCAGTATCTCTCTATTCTATTAATATCAGTATAGTTTTGAACAGGAATATTAGATTTAAAATAAAATAAAGTTCACATTTTTATTTCTATTTATACTCTTGATTCTCAAGCAAATATTATCTCAAAACATCCTTAATTTTAAGATTTATTAATTTCTCTAAAACATAAATCCAAATTCCTCAAAAAATTTGCAATCCTTAAAATATTCTTGAATTTTTTAATGTGTCTTCAATAATAGGAAAGCGAATCATAGGTTCATCAAAAATTAGTTTTGTATAAATTCTTTGGTATTATCATTTTTGATTTATAAATAAATTTCTTCTTTCAAGTAAAATTTATTATCAATAATTCACACTGAATATGATTCGGATTACTTTTATATTAATTTATACTAAATGATACCAAAATGACCTTTTCTCTGATTATGGAGTTCAAAATATTTCTTTATGTGGAACAAGAATAACTAAATAAAATAGATTAGAGTAGAGATTAAAGTATAATTATTTGTACATTTATAAATTCAATTCTTTGTACTTTAAATTTTTATATAATATTTTAATAATATGGATAATGTTGAGAGTATAATTACAGAAATCTTCAAAAATGAGATTTAGATTAAAAGAATTAAAAAGGGTAATTTAAATTAATATCCTAGAACTTTAATCAATTGAATAATTGTAGAAAGAAGATTTTAAAATAACATTAAAAGCACTAAGCCCTAATTTATAAATCATTGTAAACATTTTAATGAATTAGATCGAAATGCCTCCTATAAGATAATTAAATTAATAACAACCAATTAAATTTGCATTATATTTAGATAATAGATTTCCTTTTGTCTTTCCAAAAGTGCATATATTAAGCTAAGTAATTATTAAAATCATCAAAGATCACCAAACCATCCTTGTCTGATGGTCGAGACTATTTAGAAAATATTATCTAAGGACACTGGAGCCCTTAAATATTGCTCTATGATATAATAAAAATATTTCCATAATTCTTGGTAATATTATTTATTCTAATGAAAGGAAACAATTAAAAAAAGTCAAAATGATAGAGACTATCTGTTGCAATTAGGAAAATACTATGAGAATTAGGAGTTCGATATAAGAATTGGCTTAGAAAATGTTGAATATTTGCAGTGTAAATAAATAATTAATGGAAAATAATATCCAAGAACGCTTTTAGTTAGCGATAGTCACCTACTAAATTTTGAATATTAGAGCAAAGAGTTGATGCTACTCAATTATTTTAGTATGAAAAACCTACAAGATATCCAGAAAATTTAAAAAAATATATTATTGAACTGGTAAATAAATGATGGTAGCTTAATTGTTTAAACTTTGACCTCAGCTAATATAAATTAGCTTCATAATTCTATAAACTCCAATAAACTAGGATAGACTGCAAGAAGACTTAACAAAGATGATGTGACATTACAAAAATTTGAAACCATTTAAATTAATGAACTATTGTAATAATTAAGTTTAAATGAGGTAGAATTGTCTAAGAACCTCAATAAAATCTCTTTAAATAATTTAATGGCTTCATATTAATAAGTATATCATTTATAAATCGTAGGCTATTGAATATTATTCAGTATTTTCAGATGAAGACTACAAATAATATGTTACTCGTCTTTAAACCTTACTTGGGAGAGAGGATGTATAAACTATCTTAGCTAGTCCTGTTAAATGATTTTATTTTTTATAAGTGTCATTATATAGATGCTTTTTCATTTAGATATAAATAAAATCCAAGATTTTTATTAATCAATAACGAGAATAAACAAAGCCCAAACATTAGAAATACTTGAAATATGACTTCTTATGATATTTTTACATAAGCAAACTGTAGTGAATACCAACTCACCTCAATTTATGTGGTTCAAAACAAATATATTTTAATTTGATTTTATTATTTTATATAAGATAATTAATTTATTATCTATTATTCTATTCTCCTTTTAATCATCAACATTGCCTATAGCAAGTTGCCTAGATAAATTACGAGTATGTGTTTAATCCCTTTTGTAATTTTATACGAGAAATATAATTGCAATAATCCCTATCGTAATGAAACATTATAAGTTTTTATTTTATATTATTGATAATAAGAATAGGATTATATATAAAGGATATGAAGTGAAATTAAACATAATTTCAATTCTATTGAACTAGTTACAATATTAACAGAAGAATAGAGATTAAAAAAAAAGCAAAAGAAAAAATACTTGAACAGAAATATATATAATTCCTAATAGAAATGGGACTTTTTTTTTTTTTAATTGCTATATCAAATGAATTTAAGCCTAATTATTTCTCTCTTATGAAAAGAATATTTAATTTATCATGGCAGAAAACAAGCCTATCAATGCAAAGATAAAAATCGTAAAGACAAACCATCAAATCAGTTCTTCTGCTGCCAATCCTCATAATACTTATTTAGATGGAAGAGAAGCTTAAGAATTATCATAGTCTAATCGTCCTGAATTCCCAAGCGATATTAATATATATAGCAATATTCTTGAATGGTATATTAGAACATTAGGGGACGAACTCTATAAATTAGCATTTATTAATAAAGAGAAATACTATAGAATTAAAGTCTTTTGGCCCTAAGATTATGAAGCTTTTTTATTAAATGATCCTAAAAATACAATGTAGGTTGAAAATGCAAACTAACAGAGACCTAAACAAATAGATAATGTTAGATATTATCTGAATCAATTCTAAGGTTTTGAAATTGAAGATTATTTTGACATTATAATCTTTCCAAAAATTGATAAGGCATAAAATAATGGATAGAGATTATAGTTAAGGGTTCTAGTCAATCCATTTACTTATTATATACAAGAATATTCTGAATAAAAATTTTAAATGGAAGCAACTTATTCTAAAATTGAGGGTCTTGAGTTATTTGTAGAGTATGAATCTAAACTATTTTTTACAAATACCATAGATATTTTATAAGAATTAACTAATCACATTTTATAAAAATACGTTTTAAGATAGGAGTATTAATAAGATAAGATAAAAATAACAATGGATTAATTGAGAAATAGAATGGCACCCATAATAAAAGAAGAAACAAGAGTAGTTCTATATGAATTATATAAAGATTTATGAAATTCATCATTATAAATTAATTTAAGTTACAATAGCTATTAATTATACTCATATTAAAGTTTAGAGTTATGAATATTGTTAAATGTCTTATAGATTTATTATTTAATATTGTTTTTTATGAAAATGAACATCTCAAATCTATAGTTTTTATCAATATTACAAGAAATTTTATAAAAGAAAATCAAATGAATAACCCCATTTTCATTGAAAATTTATTAGTATTTCTTATGATAGAAAGAAATACTGATTTAAAGATATGAAATAAATTAATATTTTAGGAGGATTACATGAAAGGAGAAATTATTACAGATTGATTAATTTAAAATAAAAATTTTGAGCCTGGTTTTGATATTGTACAATATTAACATTGCTGGTAATTAAATCTTTTTTGAATGACTTTAATATGTTAAAATTTTATAATGATTAGAATATTCAAATTGAAATTTACTTAGTTTATGTTAAAATCTTTATCAAAAGTTATTAAAGGAAATTATGCTGATCTCTAATGTAATGAAAATAATAAAAAAAAACCTAATTTGGTTGCTTTACAAAATAATTTAAATTGATAAATTAATGTTGGATAGAAAATTAGTAACATTAAAATGATTATCTTGAAAAATGATAAATTTTGAAGATAATCAAGGATGATGTAATTAAAATTTACATTATCTTTCCAGTAAATATTATAAATTGATAAAAAGGCTTAATTTAGAGTATCAATATCATTAAAGAAAATTCTACTATGCCTTTTTTTTGCAGAGAATCATATTTTATTAATTGCAATTAACCAACTCATGATATATAATTTTAGATTAGGATGATTGATAAAATCTCCTAATTCTTTGTATAGCAAAGTTAAAAAGCTAATAATTAACAAAAATAAATATATCCAAAAAAAAATGTTTAATTTAAAATGAATAATCATATTATTAAATTTTATTCTTAAAAATAATTCTATTATCAATTTATTGCAAATTCATTTCCTCTACCTAAGTAAACTCTGAATTTTCTTTAGTTAACATAAATCTTAGATTTAGAATTATTGAAATAATTCGATTTAAACATGCTTCTTGTTTCTTTTATCCTAAAAATATATAATAAAGGCTATAACCCATCTAATATCTCTAAAAAACAAGCATATTAATCAAAAAGATTGTTCTGAGATGATTTTATATTTCATTTGTTTTTTAAAAAATACTAGTCATATTTTACTTTTGAGATTTAACAAAAATTTATTCATCATTTACTCTAGATGATGAAGATTTTCTTATTAAAATAGTATTTTATTAAGATTTCAGAAAATTTGATAGCTTATGAATTTTTAGATAACCTAATACTAGGATTATATAAGATGAAAAAGGTCTAATAAAAGTGCAAATTTTAATTAAAAGAATAAGAATCTTAGGAAAATATAAAGTTTTTATGAAGTTAATATTTTTAGGTTTAATGAAGAATGATTTGAGTTCTTGTAAAATTGAGATTCCTAATTACTTTTGGGAATTGGGTAAATTTTAGAATTTTAAGCATATATATAATTAACAATAGAATTAATTAATAAATCAAATTCTTAATAATAATAAGAACAAAGAAGTTTGTAATCGTGTTCATTAAAAATCAAAGGTCATTAGACTTCATCAATGTAAATTTATCTAAAATTAGAGTGTTTTACAATAGAACAAAGGGTTTTTAAATGAAACTTAAATTTTATAAAAATAAAACAATTTTTACATGTTTGTTTGTTATTTTTTGTATAAATTCAAAATAAAATAAAAATTAATATAAATATCGTTAATGATTGGAAAGAAGGAAATACAAATTTCGAATGCCACTCGAGATAGAGTTGAAGCATGTAGATTATATATAGAACGTAGTCATTTATTATTATTTTTTAATTAGGCAAATATGCAAAACAAATATAAGAAGAATAATAATAATTAGAAGGTTGGTAGTAATTATCGAAACTTATGGATGCTCTGCATATGAATCCAAAGGAATAAGAAATTATCAAAAAAGAAATTTTAAAAAAAGAAGCAGAATAAATGAGAAAAAAGTATTCAAAATTTCAAATTTTATAGGCGGACTAAATTAAGCATTGAGGATTTTCAACCTCTAGCTATTATAGGCAGAGGAGCTTTTGGGGAAGTAAGATTATGCAGGCATGTACCCTCTTAATAAATTGTTGCAGTCAAGAAAATGAAAAAACATGAAATGATTTTTAAGAACTAAATTGGTCATGTGACTAACGAAAGAAAGGTGTTAGAAGAAGCAAAAGGAAATAATTGGATTGTTGAAATGAAGTGTTCATTTTAAGATGAAAAAAATTTATATTTAGTTATGGAATATTTAGCAGGTGGTGATTTGATGACATTACTGATGAAAAAAGATATATTATCGGAAGCTGAGGCTCGCTTTTATATGGCAGAACTAGTATAAGCTGTTGCTTCAGTTCATAAATTAGGATTTATACATAGAGATTTGAAGCCAGACAATATTTTATTGGATAACAATGGACACATAAAACTTTCTGATTTTGGTTTATGTAAAGACGCTGAAATACATTTCGATAAACCTGTATTTTCTTAAAAATTTAAATCTAAATAGACTAGAAGAGAAGTAAGATAATTAAATATAGTATAGAAAGCATTTTCTACGGTTGGGACTCCTGATTATATTGCGCCTGAAGTTCCTTTGTAATAAGGATATGATGGATCAGTAGATTGGTGGAGTGTTGGAGTCATCTTATATGAAATGCTGGTAGGATATCCTCCATCTTATACTGATGATCCTTCAACAACCTGCCAAAGAATAATTAGATTTTAGTAATCTTTTGCATTCCCAGAGGAACCAAAGGTGTCTTAATTAGCTAAAGATTTGATTAGTAAGTTGGTATGTGATGCAAATACACGTCTAACATATGATTAAATTATCAGACATCCTTGGTTTGGTGGTTTGTCTATATAAAAAATAAGAGACATGAAGGCACCTTATATTCCAACTATTAGAAGTGAATTAGATACTAGCAATTTTGATAAATATGAGGAGGAGGAGCCTTGGATTAACAAGAACTAAAAGAGCACTAAGAAAGAAATGACTTTTGTGGGATATACTTCATAAACAAGACGATTTTGAAGAAAAGAGGCCAATCTAAAAGGCTCTTGAAGAATTAGAATAATCAAGACCATCTAATTCAAGAGGGAATACAAAGACTACTAATTCTCCTTTTTAAAGTCCCAATTTATAGTTTAAAAGTCAAATAAGCAAATAAACTCCTTTAACTTAATAGATTAAAACCGTAAGTGCCACTTAATCACCTTTTACTAAATAATAGACTGTTTCTCCTATGCCTTTAAGCAAGCACCAAAATTTTCAAAAATCTTTCTTAAATAACAGACTTCAAACAGAATAAAATGAAAGCTTCCATAATACTAATTAATAATAGAATTTAATTACGCAGGGTAACATAGGAAATTTCAATAATGAAAATACAAATCCAAATTCCAATGCTCAAAATATTAAAAACTTTATTTTTTCGAAGATTTAATAACACACAATTAATTAACCACAAACTTCTAACTTCAGCAATATTTAAAAGAATGTTCAATTTAATGAACTTTAAAAACTTGTTTAAAATTAAAAGCTTAGACCAGATAAACCGGATTAAGAGTAAACAAAAGTGTTTAGTAATACAAACAACAACATAAGTTCATTAAAATAAAATATCATAAATTAATTCAGAGCTGTCAGTCCTTTAACAAAACGATGAACTTATTTTATATTTATTTAATTTAAATTATTTAATAAATATTACATACTTAGATCTTAAAATAATAATCTATTCAATTGTATGTTTTGATAGTTAGCAATATTATAAGTATTTAATTTGAATCAATAATTCATCATTATATATATTTTCAAATTTTAATAATGTAGGAGTTAACAGAACTTAAGAACTTAGTTATACAATCTCTTGAGGCTAATGGATCTCTAGCAAAAATAAGAGCTTAGATAAGGGCCTCTGTCTTTAATGTAGTTGATCAATAGGAAGGCAATAATAAAAAACCATCTCCATTTTTTTGGGAAAATAACAAAGCCCAAACTATTTATGAACTAGGATGTGGAAGAGATATGCTAGAATTAATTAAAGAATTTTTTATATTTTTTGAAATGCACTACACAAACTCGATCTTTTCGAGGTATTGAGTATCAATACAATTATAGTGAGAGCAACTTAAGAGAGGAAATCAATAGAGATTAGATTGCAAAAAAATTGAATATAGATGCCACTGATTCAACTAAGCCATTATTATACTTCTTGCTAAAAAATAGATAGCCTGAAAAAAAATCGTATTTTTTAAATTGCATTTTATATTAGGGAAGAAAAAGTGTAACCATAAAAATTTGCACAACCCTCCCCCAAAGAAGTACAAATATAGTAATAGTAATAACAATAATAAAAATTGCAAGATCAAAAACTCTAAGAATAAAAGAGACAGGATGAATAAAAGAAGTAAGAGGAATTGAAAAAGTTGGAAGAACAAAAAAAGCAGGATGAGTAAAGAAAATTAGATGAATAAAAAAGATAATAATAAGAAGAACAACGAAGAATTGAAGATTAGAAAAAAGATTAGTTAAGAAAACAATAAGAGGAATAACGAAAAATGGAAGAATTAAAAAAATAATAAGATTAATAAAAACTTGAATAGCAAAAATAAGAATAACAAAGATTAGAACATTAAAAATAAGAATAATAAAAAAAGGAATAGGAAAAATTGAAAGAATAATAAAAATAACAGGAATTGCTAAAATAATAACAAGAAAAAGAGAAACTTGAAGCAGAAAAGAGAAAAGTCCAAGCTAAAAAATTCGAACATAGAAACTATGAGGATGAAAAGTTTGATAATGAGGACTTAGAAGAATAATTAGAAGGAGAAGTATATATATTATAGTATGAAAGGATTTGAGAGATTCTTAATTGCAATAAGATTAGTTTTAAGAGTCGGATGAATACATGCAATAATCATAATCATAAGGAATAGACATGACTGTTGATTCTGAAGCATTGAATGAATTCGATTATTATGAAGATATAGAAGATATGGATTGATTCCGATTGCTTACCAAATACAATAATTTATTTTTAATTTCGTTAAGATTAACACTTTCAATTTCTTATCTTTTACATCACTAAAATTTAATTATGAATTAATAATTATAATTGTTCTACTCACTTTCCTTTAAATTTAATTTTAGAATTTAATCTTGAGTTAAATTTGTCTCATAATCTAAATTTTCTTTCTAAAAATTAAATTTCTATTAAAATTAAATTTCTATGAGTCTTTTGTTGATTTAAATTTAGAATAAAATAAAGAAGGATAATAATGAATCACTGGGTAAATTAAAAGTATTTAAATAATATATTAAGCCATAAAGCACTCTTTTTCTCTAATGTAACTTTTACCTTATCAAATATAGATTAAAGTATTTGTTTTTCAATAAATAAATAATTTATTGGTTAAAACAATGTTATAAAAGCTCTTAGATATTTTAAATTTAGAATGAGTCTATTTTAAGTTAAAAGTGTCAGAATTTAATATGATTACAATCACCGGACTGAAACTTTAATTATGGAAGTATTTTATAATAAATTTAAACATAATAATAAATAATGTAATATTAGATTTAAATCCTAGATATATAGTCCTATGATAAAAAATAGTATTACAATATTAGAATTACGAACAACTATTCTACTTGCTATCGTGATGTGAGGGTACGTTTTTAAGATCTAAGCCAATTGTCTCGGAACCTTATATCAGACAACTATTAACTTAGTGTAAGATGTTTAACAATATATGTGACTAGTTTCCTGTATTTCCAGAGAAGTCAATCTTCAGTTCATGGTTTCAGAGCATTGAAAGCAAGGAGGAATTGCAAGAACATCTTAAAGCCATTTAAGCTTACTTAGCTTAAATTAATAAGTAAGGAAATACTTATAGTTAAGAATGATAATCTATAAGCCTGATGCTATAAACTATTTTGTTTGTAATACATTCGATCCTGAGAGGTTGAAGTGCTTGACTTTTAGCAAGTTATCGAAGGAGATACTCTATAGTAATTACAGAAAGTCAGCACAAATAAAGAAGTGTTCATTCAATAAAGTGTTTAGAGTGAGTCTCCAATAAATGGCTCTCACAATCCATTAATATTTAATACCCCAAAGTGATTTTGCTAAAAATGAATATGAAAATTTTAAGAGAGCACAATTGTTGATAACAGATTTCACTTATGTTGTTAAATGCTTTGAAATAGGTCACATCGTTAAGAATAAGCCTTTTTTTAATAAGAAGATTAAGAGAACTGTATATAATAAATTCATAAAAATGGATGACATATAGTATGATATTATTTATGCAGTTGAAGAATGGGTGGAATAGCCAATGAACCAGATTATATTTTTAAGAGCATAAACACATAATCTTTTTCAGTTAGATGTTATTGTTGAAGCAATTATAACATTAGTATCAGTGGCTCAATATTTCTAATTTTTGTAGATATTTTAGAAATAGTTCTCTGTAAGTTATTTGTTTTATGATGAAAACAAAGGGTTCAAAGTTGGTGGTTTATCACCAATTCTTGCTTACAAAAAGAAATATCATCTATAATATGATAGTGATGTTAACGATTATTAAGCACTATAACCACCTGAAAATAATACAACAGGAAGTTCGTATGGTTTTAGGAATAATTTCAATGTTTCATCCAGAATCGATGTTTGGTAGATTGGTATTGTCATTTTATCAATGGCTTCACTTACATTACCAGCAGAATTTATTTCATTAGCTGCTATAGAAGATAAATTGAACTTAGTATCATTTCAATATGGGTATGAAATTCTTAAAATTAGGGAAATGTTAGGAAGTTTAATTAGAAATATGTTGATACGTAATCCCATTGAGAGATTTACACTGGTTGATGTTGCTAGTGCTGCTCAAAGCCTTTTGCCCATGAAATTAGAATATCTGAAGTATGAGGATAAAACTGAAAGAATTCAAGTTTAAATGTTAATTTAAATAGATTACTTCACTTTCTTAATAACATCTTGAACAATTAGACAAGACTTTTAAAGAGAAAAAGAAAAGAAAATATATCATTTAAATGACTATTAGCGAACCAGTTGTTTAATAAAAATTCTTATTCTATTTGGAGAGAATTAAAAGAGAAAATGTGATACAATTACATATCAATCTATCTCCTTAGCAGATCCCTGATGATTTGATTGAGAAAGTGATGGCTATCATAATTGAATATAAGCATTTACAATAACTTGTGTTTAATTTGAGAGGATGCTCTATTAGTGAAATTGCTTGTTTAAATATAATTAATTAAGCTAATATAATAAGTCAATTAAAACAGTTGACACTAGAAATAAATGGAATTTAAATAGCTTAGATCCCTGAAACAATAATTAGAGTGGTTGTGTATAACCAATGAAAATATATTTTAATATTAATTTATTAAATGAAGGCCATCTTTTTTAGATTCAGTACTTATGCTAAATTCGCAGAAAAAATATAAAATACAAAATTTGCAACCATTTACAATTACGAAACTCAAGTCAAACCTGCTTTAAGTATCTATGAATCTATGGGATTTAACGAATAAATGATTTTCAGAATTTTCAAAAATAGAGGTCTCTCTCTTGTCAAAGAGGATGCTTTAAATGATATTGGATAACTTAATGAGTTATTCAAAAATAGATTGAATGCAGAAGCAAAGTAAATTTCGATCACATTAATACAGATAAATGCGAACTATCCTTTTTAAAGACCCATAAATATTGAGCCATTCTATTGAAAAGATGGGCAATTATCTTGACCTATTTGAAAAGTAACTACAAATCAGCAAAGAAGAAATTTTATCCATGTTGACAGCATATCCTTTATTAATGAGAAATTTCGAAGTTAACTATGAAAAGTTTAGAAATGTTTTTAATACATATGCACATGTAAATGACAAACAATTTGGATAAATATTGGTGAATACTCCCTTCTTATTCTCATTCAATCTTGAAAGAATACCACCTAATTTTAGGGTTATGTATAATAGAGAGTATAAAACTAAGGAAATCTAAGAATTGGTAATTATTCATTTTTATTTGTTAGGTTCAAAAAACTGCAGAATTTTTAGCTCTTAAAAATCATGATTTTGATAGACTGTTGAATCATTATGATGTTTTAATTCCAAATAAGGAAGTTTAACACTAATTACTAGTTAACAATCATAAATTATTACTCTTAACACCAGCATATATGTTAAGTCCAAAGATCAACTTATTCAAAGAAATTGGGTTATCAATCCAATAAATAGGGTAGATATTATAAATATGTCCAAATCTATTCTTGAAGAGTGTTTAAACATTAAAATTAAAATTGAAATTTTTTGAAAAACATTTGAATTTTAAAATTAAAGATTCTCCACATTTTCCATAGATTTTAGAGTTCGATTATTGGACAGTCTTAAGACCTAGGTAATACTTCATTATTATTAAGATTGGTGATTTTGAATAATCTAGAAAATGCTATGGATAATTTAAAGATGGATTAAGACGAATTCATAAAGAAGTACAATTGTGAATAGAAATACCAAGAATTGTTAAATGAAGCACCAACTAAAAAGAAAATTGATGCAGACTTCATGATTAGGAAATACCATAGATATTGTCATGATAGAATATAATTATTACATTGATGTATGATATTTAATTGATCGTTTATATTATATATATATGCTAATTCAAAGTTGAAATTTGTAGTTTAGATAATGACTTTAATAATAATTGATTTTGATCATCTTTTCATTCTGTGAGATTTTTGAATATCAATAAGGTGAAATAATATTTTAAATTATCATAGGGATGGATATATTCAATAAATAAGGAGAAATTAAATTAAAATGGAAGTTTTGTAAATATAAAAATAATAATCTACTGAAAATTGAACATTTAATTATAATCAATGATAGATTTTATTTCTTAGATAATTTTTAATGGATTTGATTCTATTAATAATACATATTTTAAAGATACCTTAAGATTAAATCTAATGGAATCATTAAAATCAATAAACGAGTAGTCAAGATATCTTAATTATTTTTTAATTAAACAGGTATCCATACAAAAATTACACCAATTAACAGGAGAATGTTTATACATAAGAATACTGCCAATCTTAAAACATCTGTTTGGTCAAAATGTTATAATATAGTCGATTCCATAATTGAAATTAAATATCGATAACATGCTCTAATAAATATTTTTTACATTCTTCTCATTGAAGTCACTGAAATTGTATTGATCAAATTTATTCGAGTGTTCAAGTCTGGATCATCAGTTATATCAAATACTTGTTTCTGACTGCTGTTACGATTTTCAAAGTTTTAGATTGTTTGTCTCAAATCTTCAACAAATTTGGTTATTCCAATCGATAATCCATTTTGCATTATTCCACCATAAAATGAATTACATACAGGTTCAGTAACAGTGCTTTCAATAGATGCAATAATGGAGCACGGGTTATTAATAAAGATATCATAAAATGCAGTTTTGTATTTTTCTTCGAATAGATCCCAAGTATCTGTGTGTAATTGATGTATTTCGGCATCAATATCATATAATTATACGGTTATCTTTCTCAATTCATCAATGCCATTATTGTTATAGATTAAATAACTGGGATCATAAATAAATTATCTTAAAGCATTATCAGCAAATCTATTAAAGACTTCTGCTGAACTAGTAAGATTTAGAACAGGCAATATCCTTTGAACTTGACTGACCACAATTTCCACTTAAAATTCTAAAAATAGGAAGTAAAAGAAAATAAGCAAATTCAATATGAATGAAATGAACAATTAGTTCTAAAACTCTTTACTAGAGTCTTTATGTTTCCTTCTTTTAGGTCTGAAATTTAACACTGCTGCCTCATCACCCTTTTCAACAGGTTTCTCTTCGGCTTCAGATATTAGCTAATTTAATAAACAATGTAGTACATCATCATCTCCAATTTGTAGATCTGTCAAAAACAATTCACAATTATTATATATCTATTTAATTTGATTCTCTTTAATATCCAAAAACAATTAAATTATTTCTAGTTTATTATGATATATTTGATAGAAGTAACATAATGATGCCAAAAATCTAAAATATATTGTATAATAATTACAAAATGAATGTCATAAAAGAAATGATGATTAGGAAAGTATTGACACTCCTATCTATTAGTGATGATTTTGAGAGTATATTGTAATAGTAATAATTTTAGGATATATGTTAAGCAAGGGCCAAAGAATTGTATGAATTAAATTCAAAGTAAAATATTAATGGATTTAGGTCATTAAATTCTGTTAAGTCTGAATTGTTCAATTTGATGGCTACAGAAATCAATTACTCTATAGTTTCAGATAAAGTATAATTTTATAAATCACCATAATAGTTTTTCATTTACACATTTAAACTTTTGAATTCAGTTTCATAAAATTCATATTCTTAAATAAAAGTTACTTCTGCTAAAGATAAATTTAATTCTAGCTCTTCAATTTATGCTAAATTTATTTTAAAATTGTTTCTTTATATTTGAATAAATGTATTATTTGTAAGTATTTACTATAATGGTGAATAACCATAATTTAAAAACTTTAAGTCTTATATAACAGATTGTAGGAGTAAAAATATTGCTACTCTTTCATTATTTTATCTCAAGTATGGAATATTCATTTGAAGATCATCATTAAGTTTTGTACCCAAGAAGTATTCTGTAAATATACAGATTATTATTATTACTAGTAAGGTATTAATTAACATTTGCATTTTTTTATTGATCGAGGGTAATAATGACTATTTGATTTCAGTTTCAATCAATGATTTAGAAGAGTAATTTTAATTCAATTACAAAACGCTTTGTTCTTCGTCTAAGTCATCTTAGTGTGCTAATATGATTTAATTATTTTAAGATTCTTCATCCTCTTCCTCTGGCTATTAATCATCTATGTCAACCAATTTATCCCTCAATAAACGAACAGTTCTAATTCCTTAAGCTAATACATTTGTTTCTTCTTACTATTTAACCTATTCTTAAGTCACAGTCTCCTCAGATTACTTTTATGCACTTTCCCAAATAATACTTGAGTCAAATTTGATGGAGTTATCAATAGTATCCGTAATGTTTACTTTCTCTAATTAATAAATGTTTTAAGGTATGAATTTAAACCATTGTTGCTATTACAACTATTTCTTGACTACTTATAAACCATTTGTTTATGGCTTTATCAAATCCAGTTTTATTATATATCCAAACACTCTGTTCTCAATTTTTTCAGAAGCCAAGAAATTGAACTAGATTTCAGTAACCTAACAGTTAAATACTGTTTATTCATGAAGATCGAGCTAAATGTTTTCAGAACTATATTTTATAAAGTCTAAATCCTTTGATAATTTTTAGGAGGGGGTGTATACTAATTTTTCACCTTATCTTGTTTAATAATCTTCTTTGATATCCATAAAATTTGGGAAAAGATCATTTATGTTTAGTCTCTTCATTTCTATGATTTTATTGTCTATCCCCAAAACCTTGATGCACATTGAATTAATATTCTCAATTTAACCATTTGATTAACATAAAATATAACAATAAGGTTTAAATTAGACATCTTATATCAATTAAGCCATTAAATAGATTTCTTGATTTTAGGTTTAAATAATCTTTACTTAAAGTAAACATTGTATAATATAATGAGCTTTATTTTTTACAAAAATTATTTTGCATCCTTATTCTTTTGCTTCTTGTAATTGGTTGAGATCACTATTCTCAAGAAATCTAGTCATAATGGTAGTATGCCATTTTGAGTAACTAAATCAAATGATTATAAAATACATTTTTGGTTATAATATTTTTAAATGTCTGCCTACAAGATCCGTTTTAGTATAACCCAATAAAGAACAGGCTGCCTTATTTATTGATTATATAATTCCTAATTGATCTCCTTCAGTTTGACAAACTAAAATGGCTTGAGATGAATTTCCCATTTCATCCAAAATGTAAAGTCCTTTGAATTCAGAATTCTTGTTATTTTTTTCTATCTCAAACATTTATTAACTCTTTATTTCATCATTCCAAACATACTTATAATATTTACCCATCAATAAGTATAACTTTTTATGTTTTTAATTTAATTTCTTTATTCTCTTCCATTAATCTTCAACTATTTAAGCAAACTATTGTATCTTAGTACCCAAGTATAGTAACTTTCCTGTGTCAGGCATTTCCTCTTGCAATTAAGACCAAAAGTCAATAAATAATAAAGCAGTTCTCTCAACCATATTCATTAACTATTTACTTTAAGCTAAGAAAGTCATCTCATTTGAAACATCCAAATGAATTGAACTTTCTTACTATTATTATTGCAATTCTTCTTCAATTATCTTCTTAAATCTAAAGATAATAAAAGAAAAATCAAAACTAACATTGCTTTGCTCAGCCTATTACAATTCTGTTAATGCTAACTACTTTAGTTTCAAGTAATCCATTAAAAAGTAAGCATAATGGAGTCTCAAATGAGTGTCTGTTGGGAAATTCTTAATACCATAAAAAAATATTTGATTGATTACATCCAATAAAATTTGATTACCTTATCTTGTAGATTTCTTTTTTTCTGTTTATTTACGAGCTTTGAGAACACAATCTGGTTTTGGACATGCATTTTTATGTACTTCAATATAAGCATCTAGTTCTAATTAAATATAATGATCATTATGTGCATTCTGAATCATATTTAATAGGTATTCACAAAGCTAAATTATATGATCTCCACTTTCATGAGGATGAATATTAGCTGCAAATAAGTCTACTTACTCAGATGGTTCTCTTATTATGATTATTGTAAGAAATGGAATACCAATTAGCCATGCATATAAAGACTTTCTAAAATAATAGCCTTCCAGTATAGCAGCAAAGGTAAGCATAAATGATGTCCAAAAATTTAGTGCAGTTATTATAACCCATAAGGTTTAGATATTTTTATCATGAAATGGTTAAGTAGACTTTACTAAATAGAAAAGCAAATAACTATTTATTAAAAAGACTATTAAAATAACTGAAATGTATTAAGGAGTTTCCAAAAGCTGATATGTCATTATATTAATCAGTATACAATAATGATAAAAAGAATAAGGTCGACCTGTCCTTTGAGAAAAAGCATTCATTTAAGTTTTCTTTGATTAATAACAAATTAATGAAACTATGCTAATTAAGCCCTAGCTTAAAATTAAACTCAATATTGCAAAAATAGCATGAATACTATATTCAAAAGTCCAACAAACTTATGAATTTAAATAAACCATTACTTAAATTCCATCTTTCTCATGACAAGCCAAATACTATAATATTCAAGAGGAAAACTTACTCCAAAAAATATTTGCATTAGTGGAAAATAACCTATAGTCAACAAAAATTTCAATAGATAGCCAAGTATTTTAATCAAAATTATTGGGGCATCTTTGTCTAATATACCAACTAAAAATAGCAACATTATAGTGACAAGCACAATAGAGAAGAAGAAATACAAAAAGGCTAAAAATATTGAGAAATCAGTATTAACAATATGCAATAAAATTGTAAAGTAGCTATTTGATGACTTTATTACTTTACCTTAAAAATTATGTAATTGTATGTGTTAACTATGTGTTATTCCATAAATATGAGGTTTTTAATGCAAAAGCTAAATATATTAACTAAAACATTTATATAAAAGATAGAGCCATGCTAACATATATAGATTAGTTATCAAATTATAAAACTTAATATATTGCACTAAAAATATAAATAATTTACTTGAACAATTTAGATCTCATGAAAACATACACCTTTTAGAACAACGAAGTATGTAATCCTAAATTTTTTAAATTATTCATATTAAAAATATTGTTATATATTATGTTTAATATTCAATTAGTATAAATAGCATTTATGAATGAGAAAGCAATGTTTATATGTAGAAATTTGAAATAAGAATAAGGGATTTGATATATGATATTAATGACGTTTACAATAACACAGTAAAGAAATATGAATTTTCATAAAATAGAGAATATTTAGAAAATATTATGATAAATAGTAGAATGATAATAAAATAATGAAAAAAAAATATTGGATAATAATAAAGAGATTTATGAATAATAAATAATATTAAGAAAAAAAAAAAAAAAAAGAGTAGAAAGGAAGGGGTTGGGGGTGGGGTGTTGGGTGGTTTGGAGGATATTTAATTTTTGTATTAAGTTTTTATTTTTTTTGTGGGAATTGGTTTGTTGAATTAGAGGTAGATATGGAGGAAATATGATATTTTAAAATAAAGATTAAATAGATTTTTGTAAATATGATATATATGGATAAAAATTAATTAAAATATGTTTGGTGAGATAAATAATTTATGAAAAATAGTTTATTTATTAAGGAAAAAAAAAAGTATATGTTTAAGAAAGTAGTGATATATGTATAAAGATTATAATTAAAAAAATAAGATGAAAAATAGAAATTATATGTGAGAAGGAAATAAAAAAAAT